CCAGATGCTAATGTAGTACCATCAGGAGAGTAACAAATTGAAGTAACATATGATGAATGACCATCTAATTTGGCTTTTTATTATCCTGTCTTAACATCCCATAAACGGATAGACTTATCTACACTACCAGATGCTAATGTAGTACCATCAGGAGAGTAACAAATTGAATAAACTGTTGATGAATGGCCATCTAATTTGGCTTATTATTATCCTGTCTTAACATCCCATAAACGGATAGACTTATCTAAACTACCAGATGCTAATGCAGTACCATCAGGAGAGAAACAAACAGATCTGACAGGATTACTATGACCATTTAATTTGGCTATTTATTGTACTGTGTTAACATTCCATAAAATAATTGATTTATCATCACTGGCAGAAGCTAATATCTTGCCATTAGGAGAGAAGGATACTGATAGAATGCGTTTTTTATGGCCATACAATTTATTAATTCATGTATTTTTAAGCTCCTCTAAGCTTAATTTAAATTAATTCCGCTTATATTTACATTTATGAATTCTGACTCAAATTGCACCTCGCAAAATTAGCTCCTATCAATACAGTATCTTATATCCTAATACTATTAAAGCACTATCCTCCCAAATCAGCCTTCATTTCAACTAACAAACCAAGTGAATTTGATCCACATTATATAAATTATTCATCAAAGGCTGTAAGTTTAACTAAAAATATCAAAAATTTTATAATCTTCTCATTGTTTCCAATTTGTTAAATTAAGTTTTTCCTAACTTCTTTAAAATCCTCTAGAGAATAATTCTTTTTATAAAATTCAAGTTCTCTTATCTTTTTGATAACATGGGCTATTATCTAAATATCATTTCTTGTATTCTTCAAACTGGTTTACATATTAATTTCAGGTAAATTGTGAAAGTTTTCTTTGAATTGGTTTTTAATAGAATTGAAAAAAGAATAATCTAGAGGGGTTTTGTCTTTTTGTTTTAATTTTTAAAGAATAGCACTAAATAATACAACAATACTATCTATTTCTTTTGTTAAAGCTAAAACTTCATACAAATCTTATTTCCAAACAAAACTTTTTTATCTAATATTTAGAAGTTCTCTAATAATAATAGTTTCTTGATTCAACTCTTGACTTATAGTGCTGATTCCTTCTTATTAAATTTATATCATCTTCTTCAATCTGCTTAAATAAATTTTTTTCTCGCAATTCCAATCCTATAATTATGTTCCTTTATGAATTTCAACCAATTCTTCTAACTTAACTTCTGATAATTCTGCTAGATTAGTATTATCATTTATAATATTCAAATAATATTCGTTTTTCTAATTAATGCTATTGCATATCTCTTCTTTTAAATTTGATAATTCCTCCTTAATTTTTTACAACATACTTTCAATTCCACTGAGTTCTTATTTGAAATTATTTTTCTCTTCTAAAGTTGATGCTTATAATTATTTTAATAGTGATTCATGAAATTGGTCTAAAAGAGTGCACTCGTGAGTTTTGTTTTTCTCTTAATGTTCGCATTATGAACAGAGTTTCCTTTAGCATTTATGAGAAGCTACACATACTAATTCTATTCGACTCTCTTGATGATAATTGCAATTCATTATGAAAAAAGAAATTATTCAATATTTCTATTAATATTTCTTTGATAGTTATAAAATGTGTTACTAATATATTTAAATATATTCAGTAAATTTTAAGTTATAGTTATGAAAAAGAAAAATATGCTATTTATAAGTTTACTTTTGACTGTTGGGATAATCATTAATAAATTAATAAGATTGAGTATAATGCTAAGTAACCTTCTAGAAACTGTAATTAAACTGATACTTATTAATCTATTTAAGTCTAAATAAATTATGATAAATTGTTAATTATGCACTTCCAAAATTTTATTCATCTCTTATGTGCTCTGCTTTTTTATCTACACTTTCATCTTAACTTTGGTTTTGCTAGTTTACTACAAAAAGTGCTGTAATTAAGAAATATTAATCAATAAGTAATAATGTAAGAAAATTGTATATTACTTTAGAAGTATCTAATTGAAGATATATGATTATTTAATTAGAGTTCAAATGGAACGAAATTAAAATTTAAAAAAGTTACAGGAAAAATAAAAAGGGAGTGAGTAAAATCAAATGAAAGGTTCGATATATCCGATTAAATCATCTAAGGCTAAATTGTATGAAGGATAAAGAAATTTTGTATTGATATTTTCTATTTGTAGATTTACTGCCTAAATTAACTTCAAAATTAAAATACTAATAATAAATTGCTTTATACTATAAATTTAAATTCTAATTAAACAATAGAAAACTATTTTAAGGTCAAGGCTTACTTAAAATAATAATTGTGTAGTTATTATAAATACATGATTCAACATAAATCTTTATTTAATTATAATTCATAATTTCTAAATTTGCAAAACAAGTTTAAGATTTTAACTTTGTTGCTTAAAGTTACGATAAAGATACTCTTAACTGAAAATTTATAAAGGTTTCTTTCAAATTACTTTATCTTACAGCTTCTTTTTTCTGAACCTGATTTCTTAGAAGATACATATATATTATAAACAAACCTAACAAAGGATGAAATCTTTCTAATTATTATGACTTTGACCTGATTAAAATTTCTGCCAATTTTTTATAAAATTTGACAGTATAGAATCGTTTAACCATAGACCAAGGTGGATGTTGAAGAATGAATCATATGTAATAAATTTTGAAAAAAATTTATTTTTATGAGAATATTGCAAATTTATTACGAGAGAATACTTATTGTATGCAAGACCCATTGTTTATAGAGTATACGGAGTAAAACAGAAAATCGGATCATCATTATGATAAAGAAACAATAGGTTAAATGTTGCTACTGTAAATTCCAATAATAATTTCACTGTAGACAATTCTCTTTCTACCTCTTTTAAAGTCATATCTATAGCGTAAGTTTATTGGAATTGTTGTAATGTACATAATGATTTCAATTCTTGGTTGAAACTTCCCAAACTAAGATTGATCCATCAGTGAAGCCTCCATAAAGTTTAGCACCATTAGCATCAAGGGCAACAGAAATAGCACCATGCTTTTAGATCTTCTTAACTCCTCCAGCAACCAAAGCTTAACGATAACTTGTAATTATTACTTTCAGTGTGGTGATCCAAAGTAACAATAGGTGCTTTGGTTTCAACTTTTTCCTCTTATGATATTTACCAAGCTTTTATTCCATTTTCTGTGGCAGCAACGATCCAATTTTATTAAGGATGGAAAGCGAGCTATTTATTAAATTTTTCTATTTACTTAATTAATGATTCCTCCGGCATCGTATTCAAAAGCGGGTTTCTTCAAATCAGTAATGTTCCAGATGTACAATTTCTTGTCTTTACCTCCAGTAGCAATGTATTCACCAGATGGATTAATGGCAACGCTGTTGATTTAAGAATCATGAGCTTTGAATTAGAATCTGATTGTAAAATTTTAATTCCAGACTTTGAGCCAACCGTCCCAACCAACTGTAACAAAATATGGTTAGATATTTTTGATTATTGGTGAATATCTGACAGAGCTGATCCAATCAGAGTGGAGATGGTTTTATTAGGTGAGTTTTTCTTCAGCCTTAACATTGTATAATTTAAATTTTCGTTCAGCTCCACCACAAAGAATTTATCTATTGTCTGGACTCATTGCGCATGTGAAGATTTCCTTTTTATTTCCAACAAATCTATGTGTGCATGTTCCATTAACCAAATCCCAAAATCTCAATTCCTTGTCCCATGAAGCAGATAATAAATATTTGTTATCATTTGACAATACTAAATCGCTAACAAAGTGAGAGTGTCCATTTAATTGCTTTCTTGGTTGACCAGCTAAATCACCATCAGGTTGTTTGAATAGTTTCCAAACTAAAATGGATTTGTCTCTTGAGCCTGAAATGACTAAGTCAGCCTAAGTTGGATCTCAGTTTGTTATGACAGTAGTAACCCAATCACCGTGACCTTTCAAGAAACCAAGTTATTTGAATTCAACCTAATTTGCCATATTACTCTATATTTAATAAAAAAGATTTAATTTTAATTTCAAATAAATATTCATTTTATATATCATATATTTATACATTTCATTTAATAATAAAAGGAATTTCATTTCTTTCTGATTTTCCTTCTATTCAAATCAATCACAAGGGACACTTTCCCCTAATTTTTTTATATTCATTTTCTCTCCTCATCTAAATTTAGATTGTATTCTTAAGGTGTTAACTTTTTCTATTACATTCACAAAGTAGCTCTAAACTATTAATTTCTTTATTGTAAAATCCTTTTCTCTGATCTCTCCTCAACTTTTTATGTAAGCATACTCGTTATTTTCTACCTTAGATTTTCGCCTATAAATTAATTTAATATACTTACATCACTATGTTTCCTATCTTATTTCGTAAAAATTAATTAGATGACAAACAACTGTAAACTTTCCTTTCTTAATTTGTTCAAAGGAGTAATACTTTCTACTACATAAATATTTTCAATTTTCATTCTATTTTCATCAAGTTCAACTGTAAACTTCTTTTATTAATATAGAATTTCCTCTTATTTTAACTACATTATCTCTGACATTTCTTCCCTTCCTCTTTTTTTATGCCATTCTATATATTGACTACTTTCAAGATCCAAATTCCTGATTAAACTCTCTAATTATTTCTTCCTTCTGATTTGACTTTTCTTCCATATGATGTTTTAAATGTTTCATATTAACCTGTTTTTATTTCATTTTTTACGATACTTTAAAAACTTCAACATTGTTTACATAGTTTTGGAGACACTAGAAGGTGTAATGATATTACAACCTATGTTCTATAGTTGTATTAATCAACCATGACACTGAAATAGATGATTTAATTATATATTTAATATTTTCTCATTGTGATATGAAATAAGTATTTATAGAAAATAAATATCTAAATTAGATCATTTAAATAAAATGAAGCTTACAAAAAATGATACCTAAATGCATGAAGTAAATTTAAACTTGAAAGCTTAGGAATAACAAATGCTGTATAATAAAAAATATGCATTTTTTACATTGTAAAATTATAAATATGTCTAAATTGTTTGTGAATTACCTAACATTTTCACTGTTGAAGATGCTATAACATTCACACTTAGTCAATTCTAAACGGAGATAGGTAAGTTGAATAAAAATAATGACTTAGGAGAGAACTTTAGATCAAAAAAAGGAAGTGATTATGTATTAAAAATTTCAAAAAAGTCTGGGCAGCCCAAAGATGATTTGCCATGTATGAACTGAATATTATCTTCTTCTAGGTTTAGATAATGAATAAATTCTGTTCGAAACAGGAAGTCAAACATTCACTTTAGTGTATAAAAATAGTCAATAAAATTCTGAAAATTAACAATAGCCTTAGACTTCAGTGACTACTACTATGTGTTCATAATAAGAATCATAGGATATGTCAATCAAATCTAGAGCATCATATACAAATGGGTTAAATAAAGGAAAAGTATACTAATGTTCTTATTATTACTTGTAGAAACCTATCAAAGAAAATGATAAGAAGGAAAAGAGCGGAGGGTTTTGCTTTTTCAATAAGTGCTTTTGATAATAATAGAAATTATTAACTAATTACTATAATAATTGTATATAATATTAATAATAAAATTGTGTTATAACAAAATAAAATTGTAATTTTAGGGATATAAATCTTATAAAGCATTCAAAATCTTATTATTAATATTTTTAATTGTGATAATTTTAGAGCTATCGAAATGATCCAAAGGTTAATGTCTTACAGTAGAATGTCCAATGCATCCTAATAAGGTAAGAAAATCTGAGTGATTTATGTAGTACTATCAAAATCACTGAATAAAACATCTAAAAGCTATTTCAGTCAGTCCTCTTAATAAGGTTCTTCAAACACTGAGCTTGTGAAAATATTTGCAGCATTTTTTGGAATAGTAGGTTTGGGTACTGGTGGATATGTTGCCTATTAAAATTCTTAATAATAACAGAAGTAAGAAGCAAAGGCAAAACAGACCCATATATCAAACTAAACTATTGACAATTTGAGATAAAAATCAATTGAAAATGAAGAGTAAAAAAAGGAGGAAATCATTACCATGTTTTCAGATGTTAATGATAGAATGCTTAGGTATAGAGGAGATCCAACAAGTGAGAAGATGCTTGTATATATTTCTAACTATTCAAATATAGGCTGATTATACCATTTATGGGGACTTGAAGTGGTTTGAAGTTGACCCTGAGGAATGGGAGAAACCAGAAGAAGAAATGATTATGAAGGATGAGAATGAAATTAATAAGCATCCTATTAAAAGAGCATTGATAAATGAAAGAATCACACATGCTTTTGAAGCTGAAAGGTACTCATATTTATTTATTTTTAAAGAATATTGCAAAGTGTTTTTGTAAATGTAAATGATGTTCTTTCAGAAATTGAAAGGACTGGAACATACACTCCACCTGGCATCTTCTTTAGGTTTTATGGTTATGTGTACTTCCAAATCAGAAGAAAACCAATTAATGTTGAAAATTTAGTAAAGGCCTAAAAATATATTTCTGTATTAATAAATTATTATCATAGCTTTTTGATTTATTCTTCTAATATTAAACTCCTGTTTTATACTATCACAATCAATATCTTGAAATACCCTTAAAACCTGCTATTTTTGATGTAAATGAATAAAGTATTTATTTAAGAACATTGATTGGTTGCCTAACGCTTACATTAATTCCAAACAATAAGCAAAAATTTACTTGACAGGTAAACCAAAACACGTTTTTTCTATGAGAATTAAATAAGGAACTGTTGATGAATCTACTCAAAGATTTGCATGGACCAACCATTACAAATGAAAATTTAGATACAATAAATAATATGCATTATTAATATTCTTAGATTAATCATAATTTTAGAATAAGTATTTTATTTCTAACTCTTTTCTACTTCTAAATAAATTGCTTTAATAATTCAAAAAGTGTATTTAATTCGAAATAGTTCCTAGTTCAATTAATAAGAAATATAATTAAATTTAGTTGCTTTCTGAGAACTCTCTATGCTTGATATACTTAATATCCATAATTTAAAATCATAGAAGAAAAAAAATGAATAGAGGGAATCTTAAAACCAAACTTTTGTTTTTTAGTTCATCATCAAATTAGAGAAAATAAACTTGAAAAAATATTGATTCACTTCAAACATGAAATTATTCCGAAGCTAAATACAGAAAAATTCATTAAACTTACTCAGGATTCTAAAACACAGATTTCATTTTAATCCTAATATTAAATCATCAATAAAGTAATTATCGAATTTCGAGGTCTATGAAATCTGGTTTTGTTTATCACCTTTGTCTAATTTTAGGGAAAGTGAAATTCTTTTAATTGATATTGAATCATCTGAAGGAATAATTTCTGATTCTTGTAGTATTTTAAATATCTTAAGAATTCTTAGTTATTTAGGAATGAAATTCTTTGCATTTGCTCTATTTTCGTGTTAGCAAAGTTGTTTTCTCATTTTCCATGAATAATTTGTTACGTTATTAAATAACTAAAGATCTTGTCAAAAATATATATAATCACAATTTAGCTAATTTAGGTACATAAACTGTTTTTGACCAATCTTGTTGGGGATTTTCAAAAAATCTTTTAAGATCTTTTACCTATTCATAAGTCAAGGTAGGAACTTTATGACCTTAGTTATGATATATTACATAAGGATTTAGAAATTGCACGACTAATCCCAGTGATCTATAATACGTTTATTTTAGAATGTTACTTATCTACAACAAAATCATTAAACCCTATTAAATGAAGTGAAGGGATTCGGCATAAGAATTATTTTGTTTCAGGAATATGATTTGCTTAGGCTGAAACAAAAATGAAACATTTTAAGTCATATCCTAAATCAATTTCTCCAGCTGCAATTTTGGATGCTAGCCTTACAGCAATAGCTGATCCTTATGAAAAACCCATTACTCCAAAAAAAGGTCCTTATTCCTTAAGTATTTTCACTACTTCTTCTAATGCTGGAGAAAATACTAAGTTAGTTAATTTAAGCTTACTTGAATCAATATCATTGTTTTTAAATTACAAAAAGTTCAACCAACTATAGATATTCTTATTCTCCAACATTTTGGCTATACTTTCATCCATAATTACCTACAGGATTTTAGAAATGTTTACATTCCTGTTTAATGGAATAGGTCCATTAAGTGTAATGAAATCAATATCTTTAAATTCTTTCTTGAACTATCTCAACTGATAAGATAAGAGTTCTGAATTTGTACCAAATCCATGAAAACACAAAACTTTTTATTTTACTTCCATTGTTTTTATTTTTTAATAATTTAGTATAATGAATTTTAAATATGGATCTCCAGAAGTTTAAATTAGAAACAAATTGATTCACTCTCATAATCTTTGAATAAATTAATTAGTGAAAATTAGATTTAACAAATGTACTTAACCTTAAGTAAGGCTTATTATTATGGTCAACTAATTTAATCAACTTCTTATTAATCGAATTGATAAACAGAACCTAAAAAATAGTTTATAACACTGATTAAGTACATTAATGCATGTAGCGTTACTATGTATAGCCCTAAAGCTGGTCATATTTAAGTAAAATTTGTAAAATACAAGATAAAATAGAGTACTAAGCATTACCATTTTATTTTGAATTTAATTACTTTAGTTTGATTTTCTTAAAATATTAATAATACCAAAAATCTTAATTTAGTCTAGTCAATATTACAATAACTAAAATATTTGAGGAAAATAAAAACTTCAATTTATTCATTGAATTTAAAAATATTTGATTTTCATAGAAATAGAATTAAACTGAGAACTTAATGGAGAAAGGTAGTTAGAGCACCTTGAATCTGATTTATGGGTAAAATTTGTCAAGAAAAAAAAAGTTACTTTTACTCTTAGAAAAATAAAATTATTAAAGACACATCTTTATCTCTTTGTAACTTTAAAAGCTCAAAAAAGGATATAACTATTGATAATGCAATAATAATATAAGCCTTCAACATTTAATTTTAAAATTCATAATTTGGCTAATTGAGGTACATACACAGTTTTCGTCCAATCTTGAGCTGGATGTTAAAAGAATTTCTATAATTCTTTCACTTATTCATAAGTTAGAGTTGGAACTTTGTGACCTTGATTATGATAGATTATGTAAGGATTTAAAAATTACACAACTAATCCTAAAGATCTATTTTATTCATTAAACATACCTATCTACTAAAAAATCATTCATTCCAATCAAATGTAGAGAAGGAACTCTACATAAATAAGATTTGGCTTCTGTGTTAGCAAAAGGGTTAACTTAAGCTGAAACGAAAATAAAGCATTATAGATCATATCCTAAGTCCACCTCTCCAGCTGCAATTTTTGATGCCAACCTAACAGCAATAGAAGATCCTTGTGAAAATCCCATAACTCCAAAAAAAGGCCCTTACTCCTTTAATATTTTCACAACTTCTTCAAAAGCGGGAGAATAAACTTGGTATTACATTATAAAATACTTGAATTCATATCATTATTTTTCATATGAAGAAAACTCATCCAGCTATAAATATTCTAATTCTCAAGCATTTTAGCTAAATTTTCATCCATAATAATCTGAATATTTTAGAAAATTTTACATTCCTATTTAATGGAATAGGTCCATTTAGTGTGATAAATTCGATATCTTTAAACTCTTTCTTGAACTATCTTAATTAATATGAAAGAATATCTGAGTTTGTCCCAAATCCATGAAAACAAAGAACTTTTTATTTAACTTGCATCGATTTGATTTAATCACTATAAATATATATATATATTGTAGAATTTTATAAGCAAAATATTTTAAATATATTTGAATTTAAGCAATATCGAAAGCTATTCAATTCATTTTATTAGTATACCAATATAAATTGAGTTTCTGAAGAATCTTTCAATTTCATCGCAACATTTCTTCTCAAACGCTGATAAAAACTTAATATTAAAACATAGTTTTTATAATTATCTGATTATATAAAATTTATTTATATTTTTCAAAATTATCCTTATTTTCATGGAAAGAAAGCCAATAGGAGAGAAATTAAGTAACTTAAGTGCTCTTATCTAAAAATAATAACCCAACAAGGAGTATTAATATATAAATATCCTTAGTCAATAAAATGAGTAAGATGAGAAATACAAGTAAATATTTCCAAATATGAATCAACCAGAAAACTAAGATAACGGAGAGTAGGATAAATTGAAATAAGTTTAAAATATCATTTAAGATTAAAAGTAATTTTAAAAGTAAAATTTGATTAAAACTTAGTGATATATCAAGACTGCTAGATAGACTTGGAAAATTATAAGAATCAACTTCATAATCATAATCATAGACGCCAAGTGTTAAACAGTAATATCCTCCAAGCTAGTATGATCAGACACCAAATTAAACACCTAACAATCGAATGGTTTAGAGTGTTTCTGCTTTACCAAAATAAACTACACCGTAATAACTTCCTCAGCCTGTTTAATTGTTTCCAACAAATAGTCCAATTAGTGATTAAACCTACAGAAATTTGAAAGAATAAAATGTAGATTTATTAAGAAATGTAGCTTAATTATAACCTTTAGTCTAAGTTGTAAATGAAGTAATCATTACATAAATTATTTAGCTTAAAGTAGCCTTACAATAAACGAATGATAAAATAAAAGAACAATAAAAATAAATAGAGTAATTGCTCAAAGAAAATATGCAATTAAAATAGCAAGTTATTTTAAACGAACAAGAAAAAATAAATAATAAGCGATAATTTGATGATATCATGGCTAATAATTAATTAGCACATTAAAGAGATTTGTAAGCAATAAAATTTTAGGCTCAAGAAAACTTAAATGGTTTAGAGTAAACATGGAAATAATAATATGTTCTTTTGAAAACTGAATCTGACGCTATTATTAATAATCTTAATGCTAAACTAGCTATCTAACAAAAAGATAATCAGAAATAGCAAGATTTAATAACTAATGTAGTAAATCAAAATAAGGAAATCTAAAAAAGTTTATGTAATCTTTATCCCAATATATTTAGAGGATAGAATCAATGATTTAAATATATATCATTAAGCACTTGAAGAAAAGAAATTGGAATACGAAAAACTCTAGAATAATTATAATACTTCCTTAGAGAAATATGAAAACAATACAAAATAACTGATAAATTAATATACTCAGAAACAAAGACAACAAGAACAACTAATAAATGAGTTAAAATAACATAATACAATTTTGAGTTAATAGTTGGTCGAATTGGATTAAACTCACAAATAGACATTATAAAGTTAATAAATTTAGGTTTAGCATCATATAAATGGGAAATTAGAAGAAGTACAAAAAATCAGCATTGTAGAAAAGCAACAATTATAATAATTGTATGAAGATAAGATAAATAAAATAAGCCAAGATGTATGATATCATCTATTTAATTTTAGAAAGAATCTCAATTAAGTTCACAAAAATAATCGATTTTATTTTTGGAACAAAAGATAGCTGTTTTAGTCTAGGAAAATAAAACTTTAGTTGAGTAGATGAATAAAATAAAAAAAAAGGCTGATAATTTAGAATAAGCTATGATAAATTAAGAGGCTGCATATTAAAATCTAACCAAGGATTCACAATATAAAACATTATCTCTTACTAAGTAAATTTAAGAATTAAATTCTATGATTGGAAATTCGAATTAAAATAATTTTTAAAATTTTACTCGAAAATCAGACACATATGATTCTACAGAGAGAATTTAATAGTTGGAATAATAATTATCTTATAAAAAAGAAGAAATGGATTTACTTTTGCATCATTTAGATTAAGTTTTTGAAATAAACAGAGATTTTGAAAATAAAATTAAAACATTGCAAGCTTAACTTGAATTAATGGAAGAGAAAAACAATCGAGAATAAGATCAAAGTAATAATTTAATTAAACAATAAAAATAATAACTTGAAGAATTAAAATCTTAATTAGAAACAAGTTAGAAGCTGGACAGCAAAAAAGAATCTTAAATAAAGGAACTATACTAAAAATTAAATGAAGAAGAATAGTTAAGAAGAAAATAAACTGATTAAATTATGCTGAGTGAAAAATAATAATTCCAGGATGTATTAAATTTTAGTAATTATGATAGTAAATTAAATAACTTAAAATTAAAAATGTGGAGTTGATCAATTATAATGAAATATTGGAACAAAATTTGAAAGAGTTATAGGAGAAATACGATTAATCCTTAAAAGAATAAAGCGAATAGAAATAAGTAACAGTGATTATTTTATTAGTTAGCGTTTCGAAGAATAAAAGTAAATTATTGAACAGTAAATTTAAATGTTGCAAAAAAAAAATTAAGACAATTAAATTGTACAACCAAATTCATTAAGGCGAGACCAAAAACCTGTCGATATAGAAAAATAAATTATTGAAAAAGATTAACAAATTAAGTTATTAGAATAAAAACTAAAAGAAAATTAACTTAAAGCTAAAGATTTTGAATTAAAATAAAAAACCGTAGAGGAGACAGGAAATTAAAATGTCTCAATGTAAAAGTATTATGAAGATAAAATAAAGGAACTAGAATTAAGAATTGGGACATATGATGATTAAATAAAAATTAATAACAAATAGCTTTCAATTTTCTAATAAAAAATAAAAAATTTAGAATAATAATTACTAGCAACCGAAGATGACATTTCAAGATTGAATGAGATCAATTAAAATTTAGAGGAGAAACTTGTTGATTAGAAGAACGATAAATTTATCTCTTAGCCGAATGGTTAAGGTGAGCTTTAAAAATTATAAGAAGCTAATTTAAATTTATAGGAATAATTAAATCAATTAAAAAAGGAGAAAATATAATAGACTTAAAAATATGAAAGTTAGATCTAATCACTTCAAGATTAAAAAAATAATAATTTATCAACGATTAATTAGCTCAAAAAAGAGAATTAGTAAATAAGTGATGATTTGAATAATAAAATTATTGCCCTTTAATAATAAATTGACTCCCTGCAGAAATAAAATAGTAGTTTAAAACAAGAAAAAATAGATTTAAATAAAGAATATTTAAGTTTAAATGAGTAAAACAAGTGTTTAGCAGATTAAGTTACAAAATTAAAAAAGGAAAAAGCTTAGATGACTATGAAAATAATGAATTCAGGAATGGCAAATTTGATTGGAAGTTAAGTATCTTCAAATTCAGAGAAAAATTTATGAGATCATTTTATATTTATAATATGATAATTTATAAACAACTATTTATTAGGTATTGTTAGTACCAAACTATAAAGTTTCAAAATGATTTCAATTGTTTGACAATAAAATACAATTCATTATAAATCAAGCCTATATTAATATGATTGTTATTAGGCAGATTTTTATTACTATTTCATCTATTCTGTAGGATATTATTCTAAGCCTTAATATTCTTAAGATTACTAATATTATTGATCTCTCTTTTTTACTAAACATTCTTAATTCTATTATTAGTTTTATGGAGTTAAATTAAGATATGATAAGTTTCTTTATTAATCAATTTCTGAACCTTACAAGAGATCTTAATAGTTACCATATTATTAAGGGTATTGATGTTGTTAAAATTATTTAGTTGAAAAATGCTTTGTTTGAACATCAAAGTTAGGTGTGGGATACTTAACACTCTACATTTGTGACAAGCAATATTGAGATTTTACAGATTCTAACTTTTCTTTATCTATTTTTTTGATTTCGATAACGTAATAACTAGATACAGGCCGATGATCGCTATCTAAGCATTCATTTCTTTAATAATATCGTTATGAACAAATCAATTCCTCTTTACAATTAACTAAAATTCTATCACACCAAGAAGGTATTCGCAATTTTTTTGAAGTATCATAAATTTGACAGTTTTTATCATATTTATAAGTTGGTAAAAAATTAATACTACCTTCCTAATAGTTTTGAAGGTATTAATTTTTATTTTTGTATTTTTCAAGTTGATCGAAATTCAATAAATGTGCTAATTTTTTTTTTGCTTTCGAGCAATTTGGATCTTCTGATATCAGTTATTGATAATTCTTAATTTGTTCAACAACTTCTTAATATGGTAATTCAATTCTAAAATTCATATCACCAAAAAAAAATGAATAATCAAGGTTCTTTAAACTAATCTTCTATTTAGAATTTTAAAAAGCTCTTTGATGAATCTCATCAATGTCTGATAATCTTTATTGACATTATTTATTACCAGATGTAAGATGACAACAAGTAAATCCTAACTAAAATAATTGATAAACAACATATTTACTAGAGAATCATCAAAATTCAATTTCACTGAAACACCTCCTTTATTACCCAATGTGCCGCCCATACCAGTTTTAATAGCATCTATATCAATTTATGTTATCCTTGAGATTTAATTTGTTTTCACAAAAATTGCTATGTATAAACCAACTAAATCACAATTTCCTATTTTTGTATAGGAATCTATTTTGGACAAGTTAGATTGAATCAATTAATTCCACAACTAAAGGGTTTTTTCGTTGCTCATAATGACAATATTTTATGGATTCAAATCTACAATTTCTTGTAAGCCAAAAACAATAACATCTGGATTAGATTGTTCTTGAAAATGTAATATATTTTACAAAAAGTCTTTTGTTATCGGAGTGTTACCGCCAACATTCCATGTAATTAATAAAATCGAAATTTCACTAAATGTGCAGAATTGCCTCTCCTGTTGAGCGATCCAATTATCAAAATGAGTTTATGATGTTGAGTGATACAATAATTAGTTTATAGTATTCTGTTTAGTATCATCTTCAAATTAGCGATTATAAAATCTCTCTATGTTATTGTATCCATCTTTGAGCATTCCCATAAAACCTCTTTTTCCTTCTCTTGCCATCTCTGATACAGTACTTCCTGATCCTGAATAAATGAAACTCAACATATCTCCATTATTAGCCCACATGATCTTATATTTTATGATTAGATCGTGTAATAATTTCTTATTATTCTCATCAAAAGTATTAAGGATATCATGACTACCACTTAATTATAGATTTAAAATTCTTAATGATCGCTCCAAACTATAAAGACAAAGTTTACTCATAAATAAATTTGTTCTATCCAAGCAATCCAAGCAATTAATTCTAAAGACTCCATTTTATTTTTTTATCATTTATCTATCTTTTTCAAAATAACACTAAAACTTTTCCAAAGTTTAATCATATTAGTATATATAGGAATTAACTCCAGAAGACTTTCCATTTTTAACTAAAGAATGAAAATCAACAAATTAATAATTAACATGGTCTAATTTAGCCTTTTAGAGTTGGTAGTAGAAGTTTTCTGTTAATACTTATTCTAATTATCGACTATTCTACATTAAATTAATGCAAAAGATTTTGCCATAGCTTCTTAAAAGATTAAAATGTTTGATAAATGCAGATTATGTTAATTCTCTTGATCTAGTTAGTTTTATACTATTAACGCCATCTTAATTCCAAAATAAAGGGACTGATCCTCTAATGACAACAAAACTCATTAAGGTTGAACCTGAAATAATTATTTACTCTGTTTCAACAAAATTAGCCACATGGCCATCATCATTTACTCCTCTTGAGTAATAGCGAGTTCCTCCCATAAATCTGCTTCTTCTGGAAATCAAAACTACTGTAATTGGTTATTTATCAACTGAAGAATCTATTTATTCAACATAACCCTGAATCATAGGTAATTGCCAACTAGAGGAAATCTTATTTTCTCTTAAGGAGCTTAGTAGTTTATTATTCCAAACAAAACTATTTTCATACTTTTAAAAATGTCTTGCAAGAGTTATATCTCCATAGAGGGAGAAGTAAAATCCTGATTACAATAGTTTTTTTTGATTGTTTATGCTTTCCAAAATATCTCTATTGTTATTAGGATTATAGTCCTCTAATTAAATGTTTGTTTTACATCGATGGCTAAGTAGGACACTTGATCAATGTGATATATAATTTGATCCTGAATTGTTGCAACTTTTGTGCACTCATCAACTATCACTATGAATGATTTATTATAAGTCTTAAAGACTCCTAAAATGTAGGAGCATCTTTTATCTCCTTTGATATTTCCTTCCTATTCCTAAAATTTTGGCGATTCTTCAATAATTTATGAAATTCGATGAAACTTTAGCTAAGTGGTTATATATGATAATTCTGATTTAATCTAGTATTAGGGATATTTTCATACAATAATTTCATTTTGATACCCAGTCACTTAGAACAACTTCAAGTTAGTCATTTAATATTGAGTATATAAATTTATAATCAATTAAATTAAAACTCCTGGAAAACCAATAAATTTTACAACTTTCAATTTTTTTAGGTATATTGAGTTCTAAAATTATCCTTGAGTCAATTTATAATGAGAACGTCTCCTATAGGGAACAGGTTGATTCTTAACCATTACTTGGAGTGTGTATTTCTCTTGAAGTCTTCAATTATCTTTCTTGATTAATTTACTTAATTCAAAAATATTTATCTCTTCTGTTCTTAACATCTAAATAATCGAATAAATAATACTTTTGTAAAATCGATTTTTGGATTTATTGGGGTATAATTTAAACATTTTAAATTTGCTAATAAGATGGTTAGCATGTATGAATATTGTTTTGTAAAGTTCTCTTATGTTTAAGTTATTGGTTTTAATGATATTTTGAACATTAGACCTCAGAATATTATTTTAATTAAGGAGTTGTAAGTTTCTTCCATTCCCAACCTAAGAATTCTTTATATTTGAAAAACTGCAATAAACAATTGATTTCTGAGAATTTAGGAGCGCTTAATTCATAATTTTAAATTGTAATTGTTATTTTCAATTAAAAATAATTTTTGAACCAAATTTGATTCCAAAAATTACAAAAATGAAAACTCCATTCGGACTGCAATAATACTTCGCTACTAAGTAAGCTCAGCATCATCAACTTTTGGATGAGGAGTCTGAACGCTCACATAAGATGCTAGTCAAGGAAATTGAGATTGATGGAAACATGTGTAAGAAACAAGCTTCACTTGTATTGGATAATACTCCTGTGTATTTTCCTCATTAGCCATATGATGTTTAAAAGAGTTACATGGAAAGTGTGATAAGAGCATTAAATAAGAAATAAAATGCATTGTATATTATTAAAATTAATTAAGATTAGATTGGAATCACCAACAGGGACAGGTAAAACTTTATCTTTGCTTTGTGCTTCTTTGGCATGGTTAAAAAAGAATAGGAAAGATCAATTAAATTCTGATCAGCCTAAGAATATTAAAATTATCTATTCTTCAAGAACACATGCTCAATTAAAATAAGTAGCTATGGAGTTGAAGAAGACTGTCTATAAACCTAATGTTTCTATGCTTGGATCAAGGGATTAATATTGTATAAGAGGGGATTTTAGTGCGATTAAAGGGACTTTGTTAAATTAAAGTTGCCGAAAATCAGTCAAATCAAATTAATGTCAATTTTATAAAAAAGAACATCTGATACTTATGGCTCAAAATTATAGTACATTGATAAGTAGTTTAGATGAAGCAAAATAATTTGGATTTAAAAATAAATTGTGTCCATATTATTTCGAGAGATAGAGATTGGATTTTGCAGACCTCATATTGCTTCCGTATAATTATCTCTTAGAGAAGGATTTTCAAGACGTTGTAGAAATTGAAAATTCCATTTTGATTTTTGATGAAGCGCATAATGTGTAGTCTACAGCTGAAGAAGGCTCTTCATTTCTTATCACTCATAACAACATAATAGAAGCTGAAAAAGATCTTGAAAAGTGGATTGATGAATTAGAATCTGTCTCGATCTTTTATGATCAATTAAAATCTAAGTTGAATTCAGCCAAGGTATCGACTGAATTAAAGGAATTCAGATCGATTATGATTACAATTAGAGTATTTGCTTAATACATTGAATCATTCAAAAATAATCCAGAATTTGTCATTTCTGATAAGGATGAGAAATATTTGATTTCAGATGCTCGAAAAATATAAAGTATGATATTTGAACACACTCAAGACAAAGAAAACACATTTAGATTGTGGTCTGAGAATTCCTAGACTAATTATGCAAAAGGTGTCAATAAAAATAATTTTGCCAAATATTTGACCCATTGTTCTGTTTTAATTGAAGTTATGGGTGAATTATCTCAGATTCCAGGTTATCATTTTGAATCATGGGTTAAATTTATGAAAAATGTTTTTGATCTAATCAAGGTTGAAGATGAAAGAGAGAAACAAAAATTATCATTAAACTCTTTATAAAACGAGTTTAATCAATACAAATTGTCTTTCATTCTTGACTAATCTAATTAGTTATCTATCAATATGTGGTGTCTTGAACCCTCCCTTGCCTTTTCTAGACTATTTAATAAAAGTATATACTCAATCTTGTTGACATCTGGCACACTGTCCCCAATGCCATCATGGGCTTGCGAATTGAGAATACCATTTGAAGTTTAATTAGTTAATGAACATATAATTGACCTCAATAAAAATCTTAGAGTTTTTTAACATAAAACCTTTGATTTTTCATACAATTAGAGAAATAATGAGGAATAAGTTAGTAAATTTGGTGTTACTTTATTAAGCCTATGTTAGATTATTCCAAATGGAATTCTTGTTATTTTTTCATCCTATAGTCTCATGAATAAATTCAGAAGCAAATGGACTTATAATAAATTATTACCAAGATTATGTGAAATCAAGGCCTGCTTATGGGAACCATAGCAAAGTGCAGAGATGCAGAACATTTTTGATTTATACAAATAAAAGTCTAAAAAAGGTGCCATCATGTTTGCAGTCCATAGAGGAAAGGTTGCTGAAGGAATTGACTTTTCTGATGAATTATGTAGAGCCATATTTTTAGTTGGTGTTCCCTATCCTCCTAAATAAGACAATCATCTACTAGAAAAAATGGGCTACTTGGATAAAATCTTTAATGATCCCGAATTTACTAATTAACAAAGAATAAAGAGCTCTGAGTGGTATACTCAATAAGCCATTCGTGCTACTAATCAAGCCATGGGAAGAGTTATTCGACACATAAATGATTATGGGTATCAATATAATAATATTATTAAGTATTGTTTATCTATGCGATAAGAGATTTGAATATAGAGACATAAAATAAGGGTTATCAAAATGGGCACAACCAGCCATCCAACCATGGGTCAATGATGATGATGTGATTAAGCAAACAAAAGAATTTTATAATAGAGCAATTTCTATTAAAGAATAATGTATCAAAGAGCAAATTGAATAAAAACCCATCCAAGAACAAGATTGCAAAAAACGAAAACTTCAATTTTTTGGTTTGCAAAATAAAAACGATTTTGAAAAATTAAAAGATGAAACTCAAGAGAGGGTGAAAAATTTAAATGAACAATAATAACAAAATGAATATATCAATCTACAAAGTTATTAGATGAATTATCAGGAATAACAGAATAAAAATTCTAATAAAAACTCATAAAAATAATTAGACATCTCAAATTTTCAGAATATTAATTTATCAAATTTAGATTAAAATAGTATTTAAGAAATATAATAAAAAATGGATCTAGATGACGATTAAATATCAAGAATGGAGTCGAAAAAGAAAAAGCTGTGTATTAGATTAAAAAATTAAAAATGAAAATGGTGTCTTGTTATTTATTTTTTTATTTAATATTATTATATACCCTTGTTATTTTTATCAATCCTCTGCATCTTCTCCAGCCTTTGGGAAATCATTCTCATGAGTTTCCTCCATTTCAGGATCTTCTAATGGTGCTTCCATTACAATTTCCTTAGCATATTCCTTTCCATTCTCAACAGCCAAAGTAGGAAAGTTAAGTAATTCTTTGTTTTTCTTTTAAGCCTTCCAAGAATCCTTTAAATAAACGATTGAACCTGGTTTTCCTGGAACTGATCCTTTAATGTATATTAATTATCGAACTGCATCTATCCTGTAAATCTTTTTAAAATAATATTCAAAATTACTTAAATGCCTTCACATGTGACTTTATCATTTCCTAAATGACCAGGCATCTTCTTTCCCTTAAAAACTCTACCTGGATCTTGCCTTTAACCAGTACTTCCCAATTGTCTATGGCACAATGAGTTACCATGAGTTGCTGGTTGTGTTTTGAAATTGTGTCTTTTGACAGTACCTCCAAATCCTATTATAATGATTCAAAACTTTGTTTTACCTTTTCCTGTTGAAATACCTTAAATGTCAATGTACTAGCCTGGAGTAAAATGTCTTGCTGTCAACATATAGCCAACTGGTAATGCATTTTCAGGTGTGATAGGGAATTCCTTGATATATTTTTTTGGAGGTATCTATTATAACTCTAAAGGGTTACATTTGCTTTAAGGAAATGACCGATTTGGGGTTTTTTTAGGGTTTTAATATTGACTCTTCCTGCCCCTATCTATAACCCTGTATAGGTGTCATTTTTAACTACTTAAACAACCTAATTATTATCTAATTGCAAGACGGTTAATGCATGCCTGTAACCCCATTTATCCCATTAGGCAGTCATACCAACTTTAACAGCAATCAATCCTGCTCTTTTTGGCTAAACAAAGGGGTCCTCATAAGTATGCTATTTGATTTCAAATTTTTAATTGCATTCTTCGGTAATATCAACTGGAGGTTAAACAAACTTTTTATAATGCTTTCTTCTTCCTTCAGGTTATTCATTTAAGGGAAGATAAATTGTTTTTGGTATCTTTTTGGTTTAAGGGATATGAGTTTCATAAAATGAACTCCAGGTATGCATCTTTGGTTATAATGCCCTTAATTTTTCTAATTCTATTTTCTTCTTGAGATTTTCCTATTATTATTTTTATTCTTGTTCTTGATCTGATTTGGCAATTTTTCCTGATTTATCATCACTAATTGCTTTGGCTCTTGTCTTCTCTCTATGAGGTTAAGCCTTGGGTCTAGTGTGTTTTGTGAAATAATATAGTGAGGCCCAATTTAATTGATGGGTTGTGGTTATAAATCTAAGCAACATATTTAAATTAAAATTTATTTAAAAAATATATATATTATATACATCTGAATTACAGGGATGAATATATTGGAATCTACGCAAATGGAGGAATGATTTTATAGCTTTATTATATCTATAATTATTTAACAAAAGACATAGTGGACTAATTTATATTTAATATAAACACAATTAAGGATGACCTCTAAATTTAAGTATTAATATGATCAATGATTTTTCAATTAACCTAAGATACTATTCTTTAAATGTAATCTTTGCAAAATAGCAAATATTGTAGTCTATTTCATCTGTTGTAAATTTAAATACTTTAGTAATAATAATATTGATATTTAATTTAATTCAAATTTAGTGAAAATTGAACTATTTCAGTTCAAAAAAACAAAGCTGAGTTTAGTTTTGAACAAAGATAAATTAAAATGAAAAACAATTCTGTCAAGTTTAAGTTAAACGTACCCAAGTCTTCTACAACTTCTGTAATTTCAGAATTCTCTTGTGACGAATCTCCTACTCCAAATGCATTTCAATTTCAAAGCTTCACCCATGCTTAAACAATTTCAGCAAAACTCAACAAAAATTCAGTCTACAATCAATAGAATATTATGTTTAACACACCCAGAAGGTTGGCTGTTCCATTTCAAGAAATTGTAAGTGATAGTAATAATCAATTAGGAAAAAGATGAAGTGCTTTCTAAAACACCAATTAATAGGTAACTGTTCTAGGGAACTAAATAATTCAATAGTGGATAAGTAGAACCAGTGTCATTTTCAGAAGCATTGATAAAACAATCAAAATATACAGAGGAGAGTTTGAAAAAAATATAGAAGCTTGAAAGATTTTTAGAGAAAGCAAAATAAAAATATTTGAAGCCGATTAGTATTTTATCTTCAGATGAGTCACCATCTAAACCTATTGCTTCTAGTTACATATCAAATTTGGCAGGATTGGATAAGAAGTTGGATTCTAAGGTAAACAAGAAGTTTAACTTTCTGATGGATGAGTTGAGGATAATTAGAAAAGTAATTTGATATTTAGATAATAGAACATCCAATATTTTTCAGCATTTGATGGAACTTATTCTTAAAGCTAAAAAACTAAAAATAATTTTATATCTTTAAAAGAATAAAATGGAATTATAATCAATAATGGGAATCATTTGACAAGGTTAGAATTAATAAATGACACTTTTAAGAGTGAGAAAATATGTGATATTCATGAGAGCGATTCAAATTTTATATCATTTTGCATTTGCGACTAAAATGTCTCCAATGACATGTTGATCACTGGTTCTGATAGAGGTAATATCATGGGGTGGAATTTCTTCAAGAATTAAGCATATCATTATTATGGATTAAATAATCAATATAATTGCAACTTGTAGGAGCATTCATTACCAATATTCATAACCTAATCATTAAAGAATATTTATGTAGGAACAAAAAATAATGTAAGTGATTTATTAATTAATTTAAGGAGTTATTGATTCTAGATGAAAGGATGAATGAAAGACAGTGTTTATCATTAACAATTCAGAAGTTGCAATAAAATGTAATTGAAGCCAAATCTGTAATGTCACCACTCATACCAAGACTTGGATCTACAATAATTGAAAGTCCTCAAATAAATCCCATAGATCCTAACCTATTAAATGAAACAAACTTCAGATTAGATGAGGAGGAGTAGGATTCAGTCAAGGATGATTTGATTGAACAATTCTCGACATTAGAATAATTATAAGATTCAAACAGGTAGGAGTCCTAAGAAATTAAATATATTGATGTAAATGATTATAATGTTTTGGTGACTATGACAGATGGATTCATCCATTTGGATATGAGAAATCCAACTGTTGCTCAATTCAGTTTCTAACAAAATGGATAATAGGCTTTGAAGGCAATGTTTAGTCCTGGAAACTCGAACAATATCATTTATGCTAAGTAGAATTCTAATAGATGTTTACTTTGGAATGCACAAAAGAATGAAGTTCTGTTTCATAAGGAGTTATCAAGTGAGCCCATGGATATGATTGTTGCTAAAGAAACGTAGGAGATCCTGTTTTTACATTAAGAATAAAATGATTCCATCATTAAAATTTATGATAACGTCACTTCAAAATTGAAATACTGTGATGAGTTAACGATTCCTAATTTCCATGTTCAGAAGATACTGTTGGATTATTAGTGTGATACCTTGTATGGTATTGGACCTTACTCTTTGAGGACGTGGAATTACTTTTAATAAAAGGAAATAGATTTGATACGCGAAGAGATGCAAAATTAATTAGATGCACTTAACTGAATTGTGATTTGTTAATATTAATTAAATGAATATTGTGTCCTTGATAGAGTATAATATGATAAATTAAAAATAACGAAATAAATTATTATTATAAATAAAAATTATAGTCAGAATGCTCTAAATTAATGTTGAGGTGCAGACAGTTTATTTTTATATAGATTCACCAATTACTTATTGCCATATGCAACTAAATGATTGTAATATGTTTGATTGAATGTAGCTGTAACTGCAGTGATGCTGAATAGTTAACTTAAATGTAAATGCTATGAACAATAGGATATTTATGAGAAGGCGGAAATCAGAACGGCTTATGATCCAAAGAACAAGAAAAAAGTATTTTTCACTCTTTATGCAAGCTGAAATTAATCTTCTTCGAAAATCAAAGCAAGTTCGGAGAGGCTGTCTTTGATCTAGACTTTTATATAGAGAACAAATTCTAATAATTATCGGATAAACTATCCATTTAGAGCGAACACAATGAAGAAGCCCAGTTAACATTCATGTTTGAATGGTAATTCATCGAAAAGCTTGCAGATATCAATCCTAAAATCATTAACCCTTATCTTTCAGGCAATAGTCCTTAAAACACGCAGCGAAATGTTGGGTAAAGCCCCAAAAGATTGGCTCAAACAAAAAAAGTCGGAGATGAAAATGAAAAGAGGACTACTCATGTAACGTATTCTCAGTGGAAGGATCACAAAGAATACCTAAAAAATCAATTGGAACGAAAATTAAAGGAACCAATGCATCCACAAAAAGTGGTAATCGTTGATGATTGCAATTACAACTGGTCTGATACATTGAGAAAGCCAGATGCTTAGGTGAGGGTTGTTTCTCCTCCAAAGCGATTTGGCACTCCTACAAAGACAAATAAAAAGTTCCAAAGTCCTACAAATACTTTTAATTCTCAAAGACAACAAGATTATGAATTAAGAATGATAAACGAAAAATTAAGTAAGGTGGACAAACAATTATAATAAATGAATAATGATAATAAGGAAGAGGAGAAAAAAAAGTATTCATCCAAATTAAATTAAAAATTAAAATAACGGTAATTTGATGATTATAGAAACGGCTCAAATGAGGAGCAAACTAATAGTCAATCTGAAAAAGGAATCAAATAAAGATCGTTCCATTATTAATCCTTTGTAGATTAAAAAGATTCCAAAGATTATCAATTTATGTACAATAGTCAAATTTAGCCTCCCACTCAATAATATTAGGCTTCTGATTAATTAATAAAATCTCTACATGATCCCTAAGCCTCCAAACAAGGAATCAAATAAAATGTTAGCAATTTGGATCTCCCAAAGGGTTCACCAAAGCCCAAAGAATTGCAGTAATAATTATCACAAAGAAGTAAAACACAACAATAAGAGGATTTGATCAACAGTAATTAATTCAATAATTATTCAAATAACTCCGATAAATATGATGAGTTAATGAAAAAATATTTAGATTTAAAAGACAAATATTAAAATTCATGTATTGAATTTTCACTCCTATCCACAACTTATAATTAATTAAAAGACGAGTATACATAAGTGGGCCAGTAAAATTAGTAGTATTAAAAATAAATTGCATTTTTGCAATAATAACAACTAATTAATGGGAATAATGAATAGAGTAATTAATATGCGTTTAATCAGGAAATAGTCAAAAAGGAACTTGAGTTTCTGTAAAGAGACAATAATATGCTTAAATCTCAATTAGATTAGAGTCAATACAATGTGAATCAATTGTAAAAGGAGAAAGAAAAGAATCAAATAGAAATATCTAATCTAAAAAACAATTTACTGTTGATCAATTAAGAAATAGAGAAAATTTAGAACGACGCCTTGTAGATGAAAATAGACTTAAAACAAAATAGTTAAACTTAATAAGGAACTGAAAGCTATGCTTAATTAAATATCAAATCAGATAGTCAACTCATAAATTAGTTGAAGGCATAACTAGAAAGCTAAGAATTTAATGCTATTCGTTCAAAAGAAGAACTAGAATTGCTTAAAATCTAATATTAGGAATTAGAAAAAGACAATTTAAATTAAAAAAAATAAATTGGCAATTTCAATCAAATAATATAATCTTTGGAAGATGAGATTACAAAATTGAAGGATCAACTTGAAGAAAAGAAATAAGATATCATCAGAACCTAAGCTTTGAATAATAAGGATAACATAGGAGATATTATTGATGGTTATAAATAGGTTATTAAAAAGAAAGAATAAGAAATTTTGGATTAGGAAGAAAGCATTAAAGAAATGAAAAAATAAATGTAAGTCTTAGAATAGGAATTGTAATCGGAATCTGAATTGAAACAAGAAATGGAGTAAAAGTTAAATAAAAAAGTGAATGATCTTCAAGAGGATATTGAAAAACTATAAAGTGATAATTAATACCTAAGATAAATGATGTCTCAAACTCAAAATGAATAGTAAGCATCTTTCTAGTAAGTTTTATATCTACATTAGGTAATCTAAATAGAATTCGATGTATTAGTAAGAAACTAATTTCAAAGGGTCTAGCTTTAGAGGAGATGATATGGATAACCAAAGCGAAAACTTGAAATACGAAAATGCTTCATTAAGTATTGATTTAAATGATTCATTTAGAAATTGAGTAGAATAAGGATAAAGTTCTAATTGAAGCTTTAACAAAGCAATTAGAAATCTAAAAAGTAATCAAATTCATTAATTTAAGAACATAGCTGAATTCAGTGACCAAGAATTGATGAAAGCTCAAGAACAGATTATGTCTTAGAAATAACGAATAGCTGATATTTTAAATTTGATTATGATTAAAGGCGATGCAAAGCAGATGGATGACGTAGAGAAGTTACTCTAGAATAAAGAATTTTTATCTCTTTGAAGATGTTGTTAATATTATATATATAATTATTTCAATGTTAATTAATGATAGTTTGAAATTAGTTTTATATCTTTAAGATTTATATAGAAGATGGAAATTAAATAGATATTTATAAATATTTTCAATTCAATTCAATGTTAAAGATTTGTATACTGTTTCATAAGCTTTTTATTACTTTGAGGATCTTGAGGGAGAAGATAAAACTAATGATAACTATTCAGCTGCATCTCTATGGTGCTTTTCTTCGATCATTACTTGAGTTTGTTTAAGTTAAACTAAAACTTGCTTTTTAAATAGTTTCTAATAGAAATACCTTATCATTTTTAAAAGCATCAGTTTTCATTAATTTATCAGTCAATTAATTCAGAAATTTAACAACATTTTCATCATCACCATTTTCTTTGTTTTCTTACATTTGTTTCAATTACACAGGAGCCAATCTAGCTTGTTTCTTTTCATTAGTTCCATGAGCATATGGACAATTCACTCCATTCTTACAAAATCCTTATTAATCATATTTGCATAACACAGCTGTAATATATAAATTAATTGGTACTCTTATAATTTGTGATAACTATGTTCGAATCGATTGTTGGTATCTTACCCAATATTGGATCTAGAGTATAATCTTGATAATACCATTTGGATTTCTCAATTCTTTTTAACCATGTGCAAATTGACATTTCTCTCCAATTGAGCAGTTACCTAATTCAAAGTGTCTGCAAATTGAAGTCTTATAGAGTCTGCCATTTCCATGTTAAGGAATAGTAATCACAGCGTTATGCATTTTTTAACGATTATAATTATTAAATTTATATTTCTTTTGTTTATAACACCACAAATCGTAAAACATATATAAAAATAAAATTATCAATCTTCTTTGAATTTCTCTTAATCTTCTCACATTCAGTTATGATGATAAATGAATCGCTCTTGTTTTTTTGTATTTTTCAATTATGATATACAAATTCATAATTTCTCATCCATATTATCATTTATTAATAAGCTAAAAATGATAGGACTACAAAGATATTGATTAGCTTTAAAATTAAACTTCAAATTCGATGACAATACAAAAATGATATCTTAATGATATATGTATTTCTTATTTTATATGAATAATAAATCATTTAGATGAAATTTCTAACATTCTATTGACATCAGCAAACCACCAATCTAGGAATTTATGTTTATCAATATTTCCACTTGTGTCAGCCAAATATTCCTAAGCCCTACCTTCCATAATATCTGTAAATTTAAATTAAAATGCCAAGTCTTCACTACAAACCCATAGATTAAGTTCGAATTTATCACACAATTCAGGTAATTTATAAACAGAAATTTACTAAGAGAATATTACATATCTTTACTCCTCCAGATCCTAAAGTCTTGCACAATAGATCATATTTCAAACTGGCTGTTTCAGGTGTCAGACTATGACTTTATTCAAGCATTTTTTTCCAATTATCTGATACCTTCTTTTTAAAATATATTTATGCTTTTGGATCTGGCCACAAGTACTTATTTGGTTTGTATTCAGCTAGTAAAGGTCCTGAGTGTTTTTATAATAGACATCCTGGTTCATTCCAAGATTTACGGCAACAAGTCCAACTAATTTAAATAGAGATTTTATTTACTGAGGTTTCCATAGAATCTTGGATCCTTTTTCTTATTTATATTCCTCAATGGCCTCTTAAATTTTAGTAGCAGTATGTCCAAAATCAAAGACTCCTGGATGAGATCTACACATATTCTTTTTTCTATTTTCAATCTCTCGATATTGTTTTCCACATGCCCAATTTGTACAATTTCTTAATTCCTTCTCAGTCTCAATCAATTTCATCAATCTCTATCTATCCTTATTAATAAATTCATTATAAGGTTTAGTCTCTCTGTAGACATCTGGTCTAACTTGAATGTTTTTATTTGGCTGAGTCTCCTTGTCTTTTTAAGCAAGATTCTAAATATTAACAGATAATAATTACAATGTGTAATTTTTGAACAAAATAAACTTTGGCTGCAGGATCAGGCCATTTGGCAGCTTGATGAGTTCCTGAGTTATATTTACATTCCGAAGAATCTCCATCTTAGAATCTCATTCCACAAGTGCCTTCAGGATAACCAGTTCTTGGATCCAAGGGACCTACATTGATACAAATATTATAAAAGTCTTTTTCAGGAACCCCCTTATGATATTCTAATTTACAACCCTCTGCCTCCCACTTTTTACCGCAACATGTCCAACATTCTGGCCATAATCCATGTTTAGATCCAAATTCATATCTTCCAGGGTGATGTTTACATGTTTTAATTCCATTTGGAGTTGAATCAAATTTAAATGGTTATCCACAACCCCAATTCTTGCAAATGAAATCAGAACCAGCATACTAGGCTTCTCCCTTTTCTGATTTCTCTTATTTGTCAGGTACATTGCAAGGATGATCATGGGCTATCTTAGATCTTTATGAATAATTGCTGGTTTTTAAATACTATTCCTATTTGCTTGCAAGATAGTTCGTATCTCCATAAGCCTAAGCAATTAATACAATATCATCATAGACCTTTAACATTCTCTTCAAGAAACAATCTAAGAATTTAGCCAACTTTTCATTCTTTCTAAATAAAAACACTCTCCCTTCTTTATCAATCTAATTTGTTTAGCCCACTCCTCTAATATATACATCAAAATGTTCTAATTGTTATGTTTTATCCCAATTTCCTATTACCTCTATATTAGGGAATAAATCCTTTAATATTTGTCCAATTTCATTAAATTTATTAGCGAAATCGGCCTCATTATGCCAAGTAGTTGTCTTGTGTTTTTCACAATCAGAACATCTATTAATGATGATTTGGAATTTCCCTTGATTCCAGTTTTCTGGTAATTGTGGCAATGTTTCTGGTTGATTTCTTTTTTGTTTTTCTACTTCTGGATTCTTTTTAAGATATTCTGCAGCTAACATGATTATTTGAGAATACTAATCCTTCTTGACTATTCTCCCTCTGAATCCAGCCAACCTTAATTACTCAAAAGCATAGGTTTCCAATTAACCAGTTGCATCCTATCCTTCTCTGTATGAAAAAGTTTTATCGATTCTAAATGTCTCTTCAGCTTCATGTGTTTTGAATGATATCATAGCCATATTTTCACCATTGTAATGAACTCTGAAGTACTTAGGTTAAGTTTCTTCAGAGATATTAAGTTTCTATTGGTAAATCTTATCTTGATCATAAGAAAATAGATCAACTCCTTCGATTTCTACTTCCTGTCCTGTTTCTTTGTGAACATAGACTGCTGTTAATTTTTACACATATTCGTCATTGTTTACGAAATAAGCCAAAAGGTAATTGATATTGTACTTAAATGCTTCATTCTCAGATCCTACCAACAATGTCAATTATTCAAAGAAACTGAAGTTATGATGCATCGCTTGCTTTTATCTTGATATTCCTCCTGTGTCAATAATCAAGTCTTAATCTGCTTCCTTCTCATCAGTATTATATAGAGCCTTTACTTCTTCAATTTCCTCTTATGTCAAAGCAGCCTACCTAATAGATAATAGCAATCGATCGTATATTAAATAATGGCCGAACTTTTTATTTTCCCTAAGAGAGTCAGTGATTACAGCCAATTGATAAATATCATCGTGCGATAACTAAATTCCACTATGCTACACAACTTTGCAAAACCTATCAAATTCAATGGCATAGTAAGGGTAGGTTTCAAATCTAAAGGAAATAATCTACAAATAATTACCTCTCTTTGAATAGTTCCTAATGAATATATTCGAATGGAAGTTTGGGACTTGCATTCTCTTCCAAGGGTGGTGCCAATTATTGTACAGTAGTAAACACCCAATAGAAATTCAAACTCAATTCATGACATTTATGATATATTATCTCGTTCTATGAAAACTCATCTCTTAATCTATCTTAAAAATTAGCATTAAAATATACTTGCAAATTCTTGAATTGTTTTTTGATGGGGTTGCTCTTGTTATTGAGTTTTCTTCTTATCAATTTCTTCGAATACATGATAGCTCTTTTAGAGATGAGGAGGTATCTGTAACTTTTTATTACTTGCCTTTGATAGGGTCTTGGACTGTTATTTTAACAAACTTTAAGTTTGAGTTTGATTAAATTTGGATTCATCTTAATCGATTGGGATTTCTTCTTTGAATTGTTACAATATTTCTTCAACAATTTCTTTTGTTTTTCTTTGGAATTTATGGGATAATGCACTCTAAAGCTCAGCATAAATTGATTTGATGTGTTTTTAATGTAAGGATTATGCAATAAACAAGATATCCTATAGAGTTCCTTTGAATAATTTGAGAGCTTATTCAGATCCAATCCAAAAGAATCCTCGGGGAGGTTCTAATTATTATGACAAATTAATTTGATTTTCAATGGCTCCGTTGATGTACATAGACACTTCTCTAATTGAATTGATAGTGCAAATAAGTTTACTTGTATGTTTCTGTTTCAGAATAAACTAGTCCAATTTGATATGGTTGATTCCTTTTGATTTTCATTTGAGAATAGAGAGTTTCCATTTTCCCTGACATTAGTTGAAAATTAAAAAAGAAAAGCTGATCTCTATTGATACCGAATGTCATGTTTTTGGACATCAAGGAGCTCCCAGTTGACAATACATTTAGATCGTCCTCTAATTGATATTGAAAATACATACTTATTTCTTTGGGAAAGGGTGAAATGATAATTTAAAATAGAATAGAAAATGAATGCACTTTCAATGGTTATATTTCCAGTTCATCAAAGCTGACTTTGACTTGATCAGTTGATTATTTGAACTCTTTGGCATCCTCCATAACCTAAAATTACAAATCCATGGGTTCTTCATATTCATCTTGAATGTAATTTTCATCTCGAATCTGATTATTGTCGAATTCCTCTTCTCCTGATATATTTCTATGTGGGAATCCTTGCATCCCATCGTCTTCTTCGGCTCCCAAAGGAATATAAAATATTCCTCCTTGAATTGATTCATAGGCATTTAGAGGTATTTTGAAGATATATTGATTCTGATTGGGCCCAATGAATTGTAGTTGTGTTTCCTAGTCATTACATCTGACCAGGATCATATGACTACTAGATCCAAAATGACTTTCCAAAAATTTCTAAGATTCATGTAGAGCTGTATTAAGGTCGTTGTATTGTTATGCAATATTCTTTTCAATTTGTTGACATGTTTTAATGAACTTATCTTTAGAGAACGTTCCTTAGCTGACTTCCTCGAACTGTGCCAAAATATATCGAGTTTTCTCAATTTCGATGTCAATTACTACAAATATGAAATTAAGAATTACATATTGAAGTGTTTGATCTGATTTAGTATTTCAATTCCATGGGACTAGCAACCACATAAACAAACCTAAAAATAATATTAAAAAATATTTTACCAAAGTTTTTCAAAATTATTATTAAGTAGTTATTATAAAAAGAGAGCTGGGTTTTAGTGAGTTAATTTATCTGAGTTGTCAAATAATAATTTTTTTAATTTCTCTTACATCTCAGGAGTTACATTTGAATCGAAATATAAAAATTTCATTTTATAAATAATATTTTTATTATTATCTCTGGCAATTTTAAATCTATATATATAATTGAATTATTATTGTCATCCCCTTAAAGCATTTTGAACACACCGCCTCGAATACAATTTCAAATAATGTTTCTGAATCTAGCTATCCTTGTTCTAGTCCAACCAACTCTTCCTCTCAGATTAAGTCAAAATGTTCTATGGACCCTCCTCAAACACGCCCTCCAACAGTTTCCCATAATCAAGAAACTACAATTGAGACAAGGCGAGAATGCAATCCTAAATATATTCCTCCACCTCCTCATCCGCCGTCCCCTTTCTCAAAGCCTCGAACAACTTCGATGTATACTGAGGCACAAAAGGCACAAAGATCTACTAAAACTCTAAATGTTAATCAACACATCTTACTCTCCTTGTACTCCTGAGGAATCTGGGTCTTGAAGGTATCATCCTGAGGTTTTAAGATCTTGAATGCCACTTCCAACCAAGAATAGAAGGTTTTTGCTGCACTCACATGTTTCAATCCAATTGCCATTAAAGTAAGTTGCAAGATTGTCGTCAGAGCAGGACTCTACAACAGCAATACTGGAGTGTATCTTCCATATCGAACTAAAATTCCAAAGAGATCCTCAGTCAAATCAGGATTCTCTTCAAAACTTGATAATTAGGGTAAATGTTAGAAAGTTATGTTGCAGAGATTTTCAAACGCCTCCGATAGAATGTTCCTATATTCAGGGTATTTATAAAACACAGTAGCTGACACTTCGGCTATGTAGATGCATGCTGTGATTGGCATTTATCGATACACATTCAAAAAGCATTAAAATACTTATGTTAGCAAATCCACTGAAAATGCATTGAATGCCTTTCTAAAAGTATGTTTTGTGTATCTAACTATCTTTTCAGCTATACTTGACTCGTACATAACAATTCTTTCCATTCCAAATTGCAACATTGGCCATAATTCCTTGTAAACGTTCACTATCAAAATTCTCACCTCCAAGAAATCCTCATGTTCATTGGCAGGAATCTAACTGTTTGCATAGGCCAAACAAGAGATATTTTTACTAAATTAAACAATGTTGTCTTCTAATGAGTCAATGCTCATATTAGACAATATCTATTCTTCAATTTATTTTTGCAATTAAAGGAGATTCTAAGCAAAAATTGAACATAATTTTAAATAATAATTTTGCATAGTTTCCTTACTAGAACAAATAGCATTGGCCACTCCCTTAATTAAATTATCGTAATTTTAACTAAAATCATAAGAATTACACTTACACTTATTGCAACTTAACAATCAATTCAAAAAACTAACTCAAATGCACCAATACAAAATTTTGATTCTATTTGCAGATCAATTAAAATGCCTTAGTTGCTTTTTTTTGAACCGATGGCACTTTGTGATGAATACCAATCGTAATAAAATTGAATAATAATGGCAATAATTCATTCGATGATATCAATTGAGCACAACCTTAAGAAATTGTTTTGAACACTATATTTTAATATTTATAATAATAATTACCAGTTTTTAAAATGAAATTATTACTCGCCAAAGATTATTATGAATACACGTCTAAATATAATTTAATAATTTCCATCAGATACTGAACTCCAATTTAATCATTTTTAAGTGTGATTTATTTAACAATGCCACTTATTAGATACATACATGCTTCAAAAGTGATCCAACCGGAGTCATCCATTTTGCCAATGAATTCCTACTTTAAAATCAAACCTAAATGTTGGAGAATTTGATTAGGTTAGATTATAGTGGCCAATTCCTCTATAATCTCTTTCATGTCTGATCTTGTATCTAATAACTATTCAAATTCATCTTCAATTTTAGATTACAAACCATATTCAGACAACAAAGTTAAATTTACTTTGCTATTCTTAACACATCCATTAATCAATTATTCAAAAGTCAAAGCAAATTTACTCTATAATTAAACGTCATTCATAATCCTTATGGTCTTAATCATCTTAATCCAAAAATCAGTCATGATTTCACTTTCATTATAAGAATTTTCATGGCAAAATATCCATATCATAGTTGTTAAGAATGCATCTAGTTGAGTATTCAGTAATATCTTGCATATAAACTTCTTACCCAGTTTGGAGTAGAGTCGTATCAAATTATGTATTTCATCGCTCAGATCTTCATCAAGAGCCTTTTTACATAATGCAAATGTCTTATAGACTTCATCAAAGATGATTTTAATTATTTATGGCTCTAAGGAAGGGGAATCCGATATATTTCTGGGGATGATTCCAAAGAATGTGCATATTACATCGACTGCCTTATTCTGCAATTCTTCAATGATGATGGAATCCAAAGCGCCTTTAAACAACGGAGTTTGAGTGGTTAATTGCATGAATTGAATGGCCTTTAAAATTTTACATGTTAATAATATACTTCGTCTTCGTTGATATACTTTTTCATAAATTCCAACCACCTCTTATATGCTCGTAACACGTAGAATCGGACATTCTCGTTGGTTGAGATATTCCACTTCTGCTGTAGAAATTGTATGATGTCCAACATTTGTTTATTCTTGATATCTTGGGCGATATATTTTCGCTTTTCGTCATCAATGATTATCTTTTTATTGCTGATGATTTCTTCCGGAAAGGTTTCCAAAATGTCGAATAAGAAATTCTAATGCGCACTATTGTTTTGGCAATCAACCAATTGGGAAATCACTCTAATTTTATATAGATATCGTACTCCAAGATGGATTTAGTTTATGGATTATAGGTGTACAAGTATAAATAGATGAACATAAGTACACATTATATTCTAGTAGATTTTTAATTTTATACACTGTAATGGATAATGATTTATATGCAGTTTTAATAAATCTGTTGAATCTCCTATGGATTGAGTGAAACTAGAATGTAAAATTAATCAAAATACTGAAGTCATATAGGATTTTTGACTGCAGAATGCGTAACACCTAAAATACCAATGAAGTATCTGGATTTGACTATAAAATTTGAATGCAAATTCCCCAAGCCTCTTTAGATTATGAGAAACTTCTCAGGAATGCATCAGCCTTCTCAACTTAACCATTGTTGAATGCATGGATCGCCTAACACACATTCTCAATCGAAAAATCAGCCATTATTTAATTAATTAACTAATTGAATACACTATGAAGGATATAAGTGAATTCCCACTAAATACATCAAGTGTGCATCCTCTTCAATCAACGATGTGCACTAAACAATAAGTTAGGAACAGGAACAATACGTGAAATCAACTCAGCTATTTAGAATATATAAGAGTGTGTGCCATTAAAATAGTGCGTGTGTCAGACAAAAGATATCCTTAATTACATTCATTACTAAAAATAATACTTTTCCATCATTAATTTGACATACAAAATAACAGATATTATTTGATTATATTCAAGAGGATATTTCAATTTCCTAGTGATTGAAAAACTAAAATCATCTATGTCTCACTTTATACCTATGTTGGAATTACAAATGATTGAATATTTAGAGTATTTGTGCATAAAATTCTTAATATTGACCAAGTCTTAGAAGAATATTCACAATTATAAGTTTTGATCAAAAAAAATACATAAAAATGAATGCAATTACATCTACAATTGATAATTTGAACAAGAATAATTATTTTTCAAATATCAACAACGATACCAAACGATTCAGCATTTTAATAACTCCAATTTCATCTATATTAAAATACTGAATAAATAAAATATAAGCAAAAAAGTAACTCAATAATAAAGCCATATTACTTGTCAATTAAGAGCCCAGGCTTCATTATTTATGATATAAACCTTGTTTATTTAAATTAATCTATTTACGCTCTTCGTGCATGTCAATTTTATTTATTAATGAATTAAAATTATGAGAGGTATGATGAAAATTTCTAAATGATCCAAAAACTTGAAGAACGCAAAATTAAACAAATATTTTCTGATAATCTTTCATTGTCCACGCCTGCATTTATGAACACATCGCGCAAACAGACAGATATTCAATATATTCATAAGGAAAGAGCCATATTGGATGTGCGTTTAACCAATGTCATTTAGCTTGATCTTTGTCAATTCCATTATATTGAAGTGCCGTTATCTGGGCACAAAAAGCCTCTTGTAATTTGTACAAATCATGATAAATAGTAGATTTCTAATTCACCGATTAAGCCAAAATGAAATTTTACATCTCAAGTCACACCATAACTCCAAACAGATTTAACAATGAGGAATCTTTCGAAAGAAAACAAATTCTTAGATATACAGAATAAGGTGAGCACATACTCTTCACCCAACGTTGTTTGTATCTGGCAATCTTTTCTCAATAAGCTACCACGATATACGCCAAGGCTTCGTTCGGAATAAAACCGTAATAGCAGTAGAAAATGGAAACGGAATCCAAATTAAGACCATCCACAGGTTATCAATTCGCAAGGTCCTCTTAATTCTTCTTCACAAGGAAACCCTCAAAGGATATGATATCACTAAACAAGAATATTGAATAATATTAGCCTGACAAAATTAAACTTTAGCAGAATTTGAGAAGGGTTCAGTCAGCTCGGAAGCTATCAGAGACTCTGCATAAAAAAAAATAAATATTCGAGGAAAAGAAAGAAACCTTAAAAGAGCGCTTTGAGTTCCAAGAGAAGAAAAAGATATTGAAGGAGATCATTCTCTACAGAAATAATATAGATAACTTTTTAAAGTTCCAATAAAAATTATGGCTTCAGAATCTGTATTTCATTTAATTGGTGTCCATAATCAAAAAGAGATATTATGTAAAATCGATCTTATCTTTAGGATAACATCATATTTCAATTTAAATCCTCGATTAAGAAAAGGAGACAATATAGAGTCAGAAAGGTGTTATAAAGGATGTTGCAAAAGTCTGGAAGAGACATATTTCAAAGAACTCTGTTTCAAGGGCTTCTGATATTAAGAATGTTATCGAAGGTTAAGGAGAAGGGGGCGAAAAAGAAGGCAAAAAGGATTGTGCATACTTTTATGATGAGTTATGGATAAATTGGAGAGATCTTTTAGAAAACTTATCAATTTAAGAGAAGAATGAGGAAGATCATCGAGGTTTATAGGAATTACCGAAAGAAGGTCTAAGCCTATGCGAATAGGATTATCATGCTTTGGAATAAGTATTGGAATCAAATCTATATGGAGATAAAAAAGGAGGATTAGGAAAGTAATTTATTATGTTGATTTCTAAATTTTAGAAGTTAAATAGATTAAAGTTTAAATGCAAAAGACAATAATTAACTATCACATTGAAGAGGAGATTGTGAAATCACCGTATTTAGACATGTATTTTGATATATAAAATTGTTAGTAAGGTATAAGGTGTAATTGTAAATAACTATTATAAGGAAATAAAAAATTTATATGTCAGGAAATGGAGGGTTTTAAAAATTAAAGTAAAGTCATCTAAGTTTTAAACTTTGATGGCCACTTAAGCATTTGATAAGAAGAATGAATTATTATTATTTACTATTGTAGATAAAAGTGTTTTAAAATAATTAATCTATAAGTATATGTAAGAAAAGGGGATGATATAAAGTTTATTATTAAAGAAAAATTGATTATATAATAAATTTATATATGTAATCTTCATAATAATCATTCTGTCTTGATCTTCTTCTTTTTGGGGCAGTTGTTCTTTTTAACAAAGGCTCTTAGGACTCCAACTTTCTCATTTTTGTGTTCATTGAAATTGAATCCAAATTTTCTACCGTATCTTATTTACAACAAATAGTCGTCCAAACTCTTTTTTGAAATATTAACCTTTTATGCAGCTTCTTCTAGTGTAAATCGTTAACTCTCTCCATCAATCATGATGCCCTTGAGTAGAGATGAATTCTTACACTGTAGTATTCCCTCCACTTTGAAACCTTCTCTATGATGTATCCAATCCTTCTTTCCTTTGTTCTTCTGCATTGCTTCTAGTTCTCCTAGCCCTGATGTTAGAGATTCTATTGATCATTGCCATCTTGTTCCTTCATTTTATTGACCTTCTCGTTCATTTCCTCAGACATGACTAAATGTATAAGGGAAATGGCAGTTTAAAGGCATTTGATTCGTAATTAATTGTTTAATTTGATCTCCTCGAAAGGAATCATGTATGAGTAATGAACAGGATCCATTCCACAATTGATATACATTTCGCAGTCATAACTATAGTAGGATATTGTGCGGCCTTCCAATGAAATTCCTAATTCTTTGAGTCTTTGTGTCAATTTGAAAATATTGATCCCATTCGGTTCGATCATCTTACCCAAATCAAATGAAGGGAAGCATTCGATGTATGCGGATGAGTTGTCTTTGGCATCGATCATCTCAACGTAAAGCTTAATCTATAAATAATTGTATAGAAACTAATGAATTACAGGCATTTGCTGCATATCTATTTCACGACTACTTGTTGAATTTTCTTCGCTGCTGTTATCAGACATATTCTATGATTATTTGTTTGTTAATTTATTATTAGTGCTATATATTATTGATATTTAGAGTTTATAAATGCAAAAATGTAATAATTTAATTTAGAATTGTGTTCAAGATAATAAATTTAGTCAATGGTCTGTATAGACATTTTCATTCTCTGTTTCATCTTTGGGTACGTACAAGTTAATTTCAGGTGGGTCGATATCCATCAATTGTTGTTCCTGCTAATCCTACTTATACTGCTTCTTAATCATGGCTTGAGCCTTCAAAAACCATCGCTTATAATTCGCCTATTGTTCTTGCCATTCCTGTATGGCTGGAAACAAGTATGACAAGAGTTCTTTAGTGAATGATTTCTTGATGTTCTCTTGTTTGTTCATCCGATGATAGATTTTCAACTTTTTTGGATTTTCATTATCGTCTCTCCGACTCTTCTGACTCTTCTCAGAATTTAATTCAACCGAATTGTTTCTATTCGAATGTCTTGACTTCCGTTTTTCATTGATCTTCTTGTCTTGATCAATATCAGCCAACAAATCATTCAAATTGATTATCGAACTGATGCTTCGATCGAACAGGAAGATTTCATTCTAATCATAATTGGAAACATTGTTCTCCTTCGCATTGTCATGAGACTAATCAACTGACTTCTCATCCTCCCTGATATCGGAACTATAGAAGGGATCATTCAAACTGAAAGTTAAACTAATATTTGATCTCTACTGTTTTTCAAATGAGATGTCGATCTAATCATGTCTTGGAGATTCCATTCTCTTGAATTACTACTATTGATATTTCTTTTATTGCTACTTCTTCTTCATCAGCTTTAGTTTCAGCGATTTTGCTTCTAACTGCAATTGGAATTGGCTCTCCTGTTGTAGATTATGCTATGCAATCTTCCTCTTGATCTTCAACACCAACTCAATCATTTGAGAGTACCTGATGTAAATCAGATGATTCAACAACTTAGCCTTCTCCTCAACAGTGTATTTCTACTTCTGCAACTTTATACACTCGAATTCCTTATAGATGTCTCTTATGCTCTCCTGTCTGTAATTTCGAAGTCGGTGCTGTATCCTGTATATCAAGAAGTGTTGAAAAACAAATCGAACTAGTTTGCTCCAGAACATGAAAAACTTGAAGAAACAATTATCAAATATGTGATCGCTGATCTCCTTTTGGATTTCAATGGGCATCTAAGGAAATATATTAAATATCAATTGGAGTGCTTTACTGATTGATGAGGCATGTTGACCATCAAAAATCATGAACAGACCCTTCATCAGAAATTGATAGTTGAAATCAGTTGGAATCTTCTTATTTTACTTCTTGATTATGTGGAACCAATCGTTGATCATATCCAGAGTGTAGAACACTGCAATTCCATCGTACAATTTGGTTTTGTGAAATATCACAATGACCAAATAATTGAGCATGTTTTCATTCTCCAAAATACACAACGAAGCATGTTTGATAGTCTCAGGATATGGATATTCATTTGAGTATTTGATCTCCAACAACAAGTATTTAATTAAAATCAAATAGCCAGGAAAACCAGACCATGTTAAACTCATATCATATGGATGTTTTGCCTTCTTGTAATGGTTCAACATTAATTGGAACCACTTCAAAAACACTCTACTTGTAAGTATGATGTTCTTCCAATCAATAGAATTAAGTATACCTTATAACTGTTTCTTATGTTCCTGATGCCGAGGATCGCTTTGCAGATAATCGTAAAAATTCTTATCCCATTCAGCTGAAAATGTATTATCAAAACAATTTATTCCAAAGTCTTTTTCGAATTCCTCATTCAAAGAACGTTGATCCTCTTTTAAGATGTCAATAACCAGGTTCTAGAATTAAGGGATCCTGAAAAAAGCAATGACCAAAAACGTATTCACAAATAATTCTTCCTTATCGTTTTAGCCTTATTAATTTAATTTCTATGCCACCTTCTCAAAAGTCTGATGTAAGAAATTCTGATAATGCAATCCTATTCTAATTTTCTAATTCAATTGCTGTATAAGTTTCTTGTTCTTAGATACGTAGTTTTGATCGTTCCTTAAGAGGTAAGTTTCCTTAAGGTCCTTATCGAAACCCAAGTAACTGATGAAGAACTCGTCTCTATTCAATAAGGTGATGAGCACATCATAATATTGATCTCTCAAGTCTTCGTCTATTAGATCAGCACTTTCTAATAAGTTCTTGGTTACGTCTACAAAGACCAATTGAGCAGCTATCATTTCCTCAAGATTCTCGTATAACTCCTAATTCTTAATTAAGGAACTCAACTTTTCAATGATCTGGTTGATGGCCTTATTGATCTTGACTCTCTCCCTGTGTTGCAGACTCTTTTGATTCAACTTCCCAGCCAACTCATCTATTTCGTTATTAATTTGTATTATTTGATAGATGTTTGGACTCTGTGGTCCAGAATATTTATCCTTTTTGATGTACAGCAAGGAAGATCTATGGATGCCTTCTTCTGTTCTAAATCCTCCCAACATCTGCCTAATAAATGTGTCCTTGGTTATGATGAATTCTGCTTTGACTCTCCCAACACATTAGCCATGGATCCACAGTTTATCAGTGAATCTCACTTCTTGGAGGGAGATCCTGTCTAATTCAGCCAAGACGTTAACATTTTAACTGAAAAATTTGTTAAGGGATATGATGGAATTGCCAATTTTCCTTACGCTTACATTGTCTGATTTCTCATTTGGTTTTGAACTTCCCCATAGAATGAACTCAAAGGAGGAACTGGAAAATTCATCAACATAAATATCGAAGGATATGATGGGGTTGTTTTCTTGTACTTTGAATTCCCAAAGCAGATCCTTCTTTGTGATCAGATCCATAGTTGAGTAGGGTCTTCTGGAATTCAAAGATTTGATGGTTTGGGATTGGTTGGTCGAGAGATGGATCATGGTGTTGAGTTGGTTGTTGGATTTGGACTTTTTGAGGATGAGGTCTTACTCGTTCTTGAGTCCGTTCTTTTTCAAGTAGCAACTCTTGAGATCGGCCTGAATGATTTCATCCTGGGAGGAGTCGAAGATGTCTCTGACCAATTGGAACTCGTCGGATTCACTCCTCAGTTTTTCTTTGGAGTCGATGTAGCCATATTGTTTGATTGAGGATTAGCGGTACAAGTAGTGATTGAGGTAGTTGGGAGAGAAGTCGCTGTAGTAATCCACTTGATGAGACTTGACGATAATGATGAATGTGATACTCTGACTTTGAGTTGAAAATTGTAGGCTTGTTCCATCAATTGGTCTTTGAGTTCGCACATGACTTGTTTGCTTTGGATTTTCAGGGTGGTCATTTGCACCATTCTCAGATCAAAGGTGATTCTGGAGGAGTTGGCCTGAGTGGATTCGAGAAACAAATCATAATGAATGGGACCATTTGCAACTTCCCACATATTTTAAACAACATAAGCAAAACATTTATTTTTTTCAGCGCAGAAGACACTCTGAATAAATAAGAGTAGCATACAATTTTGAAGAATTCTGACTTCAAGGTTTCCAAATCACTCTCATGAAACGACCTAAAGGTTTATCTCCAATGTGGGTTAGGATTATTATACGAAATTTAAGTTTAGTAACACTCTTAATTTGCAATTGAAAAATGAACTTTAGCTTTTTTAAGAGGAATGTTTTTGATCTTGATATTCGAAAATATGATCTTGAATTTGATCAGGGGTTTCAAGGAGGCAATTTCAGTATTGCTCTCCTTCTTTTCCTTCTTCAATCCACAACCCATATATATATTTATATATATAAAATAAATAAATATTAAATTATCGACTAATTCAATCTGACAATTCATCAGTATATGAGACCGTCTACTTCTTCGATTTGTTGTTTCTCAATAGATCTTTGAACACGTCTCCCAACATCAGTTGATTGTAACCAGGTCCCTGCAACTCCACCCCGTATTCACTCTCATCGTCTCCGATCCTCTCCAAGGGCAGGTTTTGGTCCTTCTTCCCAATCTGACTCTATTTCTCGCAGAACCCATAGACAGCCACCACAATCACCACCAAGATCAGCAGCAACAACAGGGATAAGATGGCGTAAAACCATGCTAAACTATTCACCTCGCTGTCCTGTTCAATCCACCCAATTTCAAATTATGCCTAGCAACTGGAGTAGGAATTATACGCCGTAATGTTGAGGTACACGGAATGATCCTAAATTGGATAAATAAGATTCACATACCCTATCGTCATTTGCTGATAGTATTGGGTAATACAAATAATAGCCATTCTCAGCATACAGTATCAGATCAATCAAGAAATACGTGCTATTGGTGATTAAGAGGTGCGACTTAGACGTATTGGCTTGGGCATCAGATTAATACAATTGAATTTTTTGGAAATGCAGTTCCTGAGGGTTGACCAAATAAGGTTCCAAGATTTCCACTGGTCTCGAGTAGTTCCGACTATAGTTTCCTATGTAGCAATCAATCTAAAATCATACTTATGAAAAGCGATGTATAAACTATGTTGGTATTCAACTCATTGAGGAGGTAAGTCATTTCCACCTAGACGGATTGATACTCAAATTGGTTGGACAAGCATTGGCTTACTATATAAAACACAGTATCGTTCTGATAGGAAAGCTCAATTTGCGGTCGAGACAAAAAGTTATGATGACATAACAAATATTAGTAGAAAGTGTATTGTAATTTGGCTTGGAATGTTTGAACGTCAAAAGCAATCTCATAGATTTGATTGTTGTTTCCGACTGACAAAGTCTGAGTCATATGAGATTCATTGACGACATGGGGTTGAAAACGATTGATGGCCTGAATGAACACAGCCTTTTCGAATCTTACGTAATCTTCATCATCCTAAAAGATCAGGTTTTAACCAGGCCCATAAGCAGGGAACCCATCAGTCAAATTAATCACCTATACAAAAATGTTGTTGGGCTGCAAGACTATTAAGTATAATTATTGGATCTATTCCCATTGAATTACAGACAAGGCGAAATCTTCGGAGTATTAAAATGGCTATGAATCATTTTGATTGGGGTACGAATTATACTGAATGAATTGAATAGTTTGATTGTCCTTAAGAACTATTTGATAAATTCCAAAATAAGAATTCAATTGTTAATACCCAGTCTTGATCATCTAGTACACTTGGTTGTTGTATAGGAATGGCTATAAGTCATTGAAGTAGCAAAAGCAAAACTACCTATTATTCGTTACAAATGTTGGAATCGATATGTTATTGTTCTGTTTGGTGTAGTAATACTCCAAGTAGATATACTATTAGATGTTCTCCTTATTCTGGAAGGACAAGTTATCGCTTAGTTTGTGAAAGTATTTCAACTGACACACTATGATTAAGACATTCACTCCATTCAATTGCATTTAACAATACAAGAATGAGTTGAATGGTTTGAATTAGTGATAATGGATCAATCTTATTGAACATAGGGAGGAATTAGTAGTTTGCTACCCTTGGGTGTAATCAAAGTAAATGCAGGATCTATTGGCATCTGGGATGGAGTGTTTTTGATAAAACAATACATAGTAGTCTGTCAAGACAATAATCAATTCATTGTAATTGTTAACTAAATTATTGGAAATAACCTTACCATTATTAATCGTTTGATTGAACAAACCTATATAGATTTCATCTCCCACATCTATGATTTGAGTAATCTCGCCAAACTACGATACCTCATTCATGTAACTCCCTAGGTATTTATTCATCTGTAGATATGGCGATGGAATGATTGACAAGTTCTACTGATTTGAGGAGTGATCATAGGAAGCAATAGGACCGTTGAATATGGATTACTATCAAAATCAGTACGATATTTACATTCACCAAGAAGAGGTACTGATAGAAACCACCTGCTTCGACGTACTGGTCCTAATTGATTACCACCTTGTATGTTTCTGAAGAATCATAGGCAAACGAAATCTAGGTGCTTGTGAAATTGTAGACCAAGGTGTAGTTTCTTGTATTAATATGCTTTGAACATACCTGAACATGGTTTTCGTCTTTTGAGGTTAAAAGACCCCGATTACCAATACAAATGGAGAATTGTTGTACACAGGTATAAACTAGGATTGCAGATGGAAAATGAATTCTGCCTTCTGATTCAGATAATAGATCTCGAACTTCTTCTCTGTTATGATGAGTGTCAAACTGATGGAAGATCCTGCAATTAATGAATCCATTAAGTTGCTTATCGGATAGGTTATCTAATAATCGATACAGTAAATATTACAATGGATTCGTTCTTCTTCTTCTCAATTTCAATCTTTTCAACCAGCGATCTGGCAGTGTAGTCTTCCAAATTGTAAATGTAGTAATTTTGAAAATAGTCATTGTACACACTCTTTGTTATTACAGGCACATACAAGATCAAACCAGATATCAAAATGGTTTGATTGCTCAAAATAGTGTCATAATGTGGAAGTCTTCTCCAAAAATTGATTTAATTGATGTTAGTAATTATGTACTACAAAATGTAAGGTGTAAAATTGCCATTAGCATTTTCCTAACAATAAACTATCAAATATTGTTTTGCCAATTTTGATTAGAAATATTTCGTAATCTCAAATCCTAAATAATTGTTGTTCTGACATTCTGGTATGTTAAGCACCACATTCGTCAAAGTAGAAGTAAAATTGTACAATTTAACATCCCTTGTAGAATTGCTTGGACCTGGAGTGTATACAACAATCTAAGAACTAGAAAACAAAATAAACAAGGTTTGCTAATTAATGTATGTGTATCTGAAGGAAACTATGAGATTCTGAGTGTCCAACAGATTGTAAAGACTGGAGTTGTGATAGGTGATACCTGGATTTAATTGGCTAGGCAACTACAATATCATCATGATTATGACTTACAAACACATCTAGAACATAGAAGTATAATTTGGTTTAAGTAGAATTGTAAAGAATAGTAAAAAAGTAAGACACTCTCTCATTTTTTATTGGTCCCTAGAGAATCACTAATTATTTGACTATATCCCCGGGTCTTTCCATGTCTGTAATGTTCTGACACCTTTCACGTCCTCCCAAGGTCTCTATCTTTTAGCATATAACGATACTAAGGAAAATCTATAATGCAATGCTTACATCGAATCCTGATATTACACTGCAATGTCATAGTATTCAAATTATTTGTAGTAATTGACTTCATCCAAGTATTTTTGCAGGTCTCTGTATCTTCCTTCCGTACATTACTGTATTTCGATATCCATGGGGAACTACTTCTCAAAGCTTTACTAAATACGATACAGACTCAATTTGTTACATATTCCTTAGCATTTATGATGCAAGTCTTGTTGAAGATGACTGCCTTTACAGAGTCTAATTTTTTTGGTGATGGCTCTTTGCCAATATCCGAGTATGTTAATAGGATCTCCACAATGCCAAAGATGTTTGAAGTTATGAAAACGTTTTTATTCACAGCACTCAACACATTGAAAACTGATCTTGTCTGATTGTGCTTTTCGAAGAACTGGTTTTGTTTAATAACTGCCTTGTGATTTTGATAGTAGGGGTAGAATCTACTGATATTGTAATTGGGGACATAGTTGAAGTTTAAAAATGGGCCCATTATCTACGTAATAACCTCAATGAAACAATTACCCCTTCAAACAGGTCGATCGAGTTTATGATTTCTTGGAATACATATATGTCCTTACTGATAGGACATTATGTTAAATTCTGCTGTTCCTTCTATTCAAGCTTGTGTATTTAGGCAATCAATTGAAAACTGCTATCTTCTAATTTGATGAAGCATAAAATGATGTATCTGGGAAAGGTCACAACGTTGTAATGGTAGGTGTCCTAGAATTAATCATACACAAAGTATCCGCCTGATATGTTGAATGAAATCTATGAGATAATTCAAGTTCATTACAATGACGGGTGCTATTTATTGATTATAGGTTTAGGCTAGGTTGTCTTATCCCAAGAGATAGGATACGTTCAGCTGTCTAAATATTGAATGATAAGTGTACTTCTCGAATAAGGTGATGATATTGAGTTTCTTATTGAAAAAGTTATACAATAGGATAAAATTTCCGAAGTCTATTTAATTCAGACTCTAGAAGAAACTCTGGAACTAATTGAAAGTGTCTGATTGATAATACACCGTCTTGTATTCGGCATTCAAGTAAAAGATCTTCAAGATGTTTTTAGTCTCACCGGAGGCCTGTCTAGTACAGTATAAGTTGGGCTTGGAATAGAAGGGGGAGATCTGCTGAGCAAAGGGGGAGTCAGTCATAATCACAGCCAAGTATTGACTCGTGATGGACATGTCAACTAATAAGTAACCAGGTTCAAAGATCTACTTGTAACTGATGGTAAAGAAGTTTTCAGATTCATACGATCTTTCCAAGTAGATAACGAGGATAGCGATGTTGGTTCCAGTTACTAGGACCACCTCGTCATTTAGATTTTGAACCATTCTGATTTGATTTGGCTGATAAACTATAAAATATCAAAGTGAATACGCTCAATCAAAGTACTATTGCATTTGATGTTGTAATGCGATGTATATGCCTCTTGAACGTTGCATTTACAAATAGTCGGCGATGACTAGAACAGAAACCCAATATTCCAAGTGGTATTATCAAACCCATTTATCAAGGAGTTTATGAAGACCTACTCAATCATAGAATTTTCATCCATCTTGCAGGAGTTTAAATCAGTGATGTTGGCTTTGAAGGCATCCAATTTGAGAGTTCTGTTGTGTCGAGTCAATCTATCATGGTAAATGATTAGAAAGTCATTTGTGATTGCCTTCTGGTTGAATAGACTTGGACAATACTGAAGGAACTCAAATTTTATCTCATTGGCCACATCCATGATGTTAACATTGATGGTTTTTCTGAATTGGCATTTCTTGAGGAAATTCTCGTTGTCCTCGTCATCGTAGCTGTAATAGTAGTAGTCGTTGTATGTAAAATTGACTATAATCTACGTTTTCTCATCAAAAACCAGATCAAAGATAAGGATGGAAGCGTTATTATTGATGTTGCAATCCAATCCAAATTGATTGTTCTTTCTTAGTTGGAATATGGAATAGCAGGAAATATTTTAAAAATTCTCATTCAAATCTGGTAAATCTCTGTGCAATTTGTTCTAAACTTAGACTATTTTATCGTTGGTCTAATTATAAAAGAGGAGATCTATTGCTGTTTGACTCAGGTAGAAGCGAGCCGGTTGGTATAAGGGTCCCCATTCATCGACTGGGCAAAATGCTTACCTAAGATGCATCAACACTTCTTACTCTATGGATTCCGACGAGGTTTCGATAAAAGGAGTGATTTAGAAGGACAAGTTTTTGTTTGTGGAATTTACATCATTAAAGCTAGTGTTTTCTAAGACATCCTTAGAATTGAATAAATCAATTGTGTATGATTCATAATAAGGAGCTATCACAAAAACTGGGGAATTTTTATTGTAACTAGCATTCATTCATAACTATTACAAATCAGTCAAAATCACTTTGCTCTCATTTCTATTCACACACAAGATGCCTATTATAAAATTTAAGAAAATTAGAATAAGCATATGAAATATTTATTAATAGGAAAAATACACTAAAAATAAAGGACTTTCTATTTGACATCAATTGAGTATCAATCTTATATTCAATTTAATAATATTAACAATAATGATCGATTAATTGATTAAGCCATTAGTCTCCATTGTATTCAAGATGACAATAATTGTTAACTATTTTTACTTGAATGTTTACAAAAGAGCATAAGTATTTTTATTTACAATATTATGAATATAAAATCAAATAAGACAAATCACAAAAACAAAAAGCCCTCTTAGAATGCCATAACTTCCGACTCTTTGGATATCACCTATATTTGTCCCAGGATTCTCGCTATGTCATTTCCAGGGGATGGGAATCCAGCTTATATCAATAAGATAGACGATGTAATAGCTAACAAAATTATCATAAGGTTGCACAATATTTGCAATAACGACACCATAATGACTATCAGATTTACAATTTGAGTGGGATGCAATATGACCATACCAAGTTCAAAGGGAGGATTTACTCTTTTGTAAGCGATGACTCTTATGATATTAGCCATGGGAGGAGAAGTCTGCACCCAATTTGGGATATTTGTTCATGTTGTGTAAACACATTGATGATTTTCTGTCATGTATGTTAACAGTCTATTCTAAGCCAAATTATCGAATGTGATTGCTGTGCATTGCATTAATGGAATCGGGAGAACTGGAACTGCAATTTGTTGTTATCTATTATACAGTGGTCGTTTTTCAAATGCAGAGGAAGCATTGTTCTACTATGACAAGTAGAAACACTTGAAGGGAGGTGGAGTCACTATGCCGTCATAAATAAGATATGTGTAGTACTTTGAGAAGTTAGTTATAATCAGTTAATCATTAGAATACTATTCCAAAGACATATTCACCCACCTATCAAGTACTTGACTTCTATAGTGATACATGGGATCCCAGACATTTAAGACAAACAATGTAAACCTTTCTTAGAAATTTACACTTATGAAAATTCGTGTAAGACCTTGAAATACACTGACAAATTGGAGGTATTCTCAATCTAAATTTAGTATAAAGATTAAAAAAAAGCCAAAGATTTGCTTTTAAAAGATATCGAACTAATTAGGATTAATATTGGCAAACCATTTTTAGCAATTGGAGACATAATGATTAAATTTAATCATAATGGTATTATAAAATACAATAATGAGGCCAATTTGAAGTGGAACCTATGTTTCGAGTTTCCTTCAATACTGCCTTTGTGGAGGACAAGTAAACTTATTTTCTATATTATAGCAAATTGGCTTTCAGGAATGAAGATTTGGATCCTTCGAAATTACAGAAGGATGACAGGTTTCCTGCTGATTTGAATGTTGAGATTTAGTTTAAAGAATTCTGTAAATGCACGAATGAAATATAATTTAATTAAAGGTGTAAAAGTTGTTCCAACTTGTCCAAGCAACTTTGCCCTGATTGGGAACTCGTTTAGAATATTTTGAATGACTACACCAAGCACAGTGTGGAGGAGTCGTAGATTTTGTTATTTGGAGATGCTGCATTCGACAATCTCAATTAAGTTAAATATCAAACATGTAAAGTAATACTCTAAGGATTTTAGTTTAAGGAGGACGTGCTCGATCTGATATCATTAAAGATGTTGATGATGATTTTTGAATAAATATATATATCAGAGATAAGATTGTGTATTAATCAAGGGGATTATCATAATTACCCAATGGACATCATTTATTAAATAAAAATTATATTAAATAATTAATTCAAATTTCAAACTCGTTCTATAAATTCTAAAAATAATCCTTCATTAAGACAAATTTATTAAATTACTTCTGAATGTACTCATCATCCTTGATTTATTGACATGATTTTATTTGCTATATTGTGGGAACTATATTCTGCAATTGCATCTTTGCCTTTATTATCATATCAGTTGCCTTTGCATCCATTCTTTAATCATACTCTTCAGAAGATCTTATCTTTTTTATATTATAAAATAGCATACTGATAGTATAGTATCCAATCGCTAATTAATAGATTTCAGGTAAATGTTTTGCTTTACCAAACTTAAAATTAACTTATAAAATTCATTCTCCCTCAACTTGATATTCCATTCCAGAATTTGTTGCTTAATTTCATTCAAATCACACTTAAATTATGCAATTTAGTCTGTGTAAATTTAATTAATTGTATAATTTTCAATCAAAAATTAATCAGTCTCTTCCAGAATCTAAAATAATTGTTCATATAATTTTTTGCTTTTTATATACTTCCTAGTTTTTGAATTCGTATTCAATAAATAGTGAATGTTGAAACTGTATTAAAAATAAGCCAACTTGATAATTTGCTCTTTCCATCTTTAAATTTATTCAATTTTATGGTCAAATATTTAACTTAATAATTTGCCATCAGTCAATTCTTGTGTTTTTAGAATCTAATCCCTTAATTATTCAATTTTCTCACTAAAAAGAGTGCCAATATTTTCTAGAGTCGGAGGTTTTTTGAAACTCCTAATCAATTCTAAATCGTCTTTGAAATATTGAAAACCGTCTTTGTTTATAAATTTAAACGCATCTAAATAAACTCGAAAAGTCTAAAAAGTTTGATTCTGCTTCTCAATCAAGTGTAATTTCTTCTTTACTCTATAAAAATAGGGTTCCTAAAATCATAATTAAGTATACTTAGATTCTCATTCTCAAAAACCTGTAAAAACTTTCCTTAATTTTGAAATAATCGTCTACTTTAGTTGACAACAAATCAGAATGCTTCTCAAAGAATTAATCCACCTTACAAATATTGTCTTCCTTCATATCATTTTGTCCAAACTTTAACAAAGCATCTAAATCTTATCCATATTTCCTAATTGTAAAAACTAAGTTCTTGTAATCTTTGCTTAATTCTAAATAGCCAGAAATCATATATTTTTGATCTATTATTTCAGGATTGTTCAATTTAAATTTCTTCATTTTCTCTTCCATTTTCATGAATGATTGTTACATAGAAGAAGTACTTGAAATTGATGAAACGGACCTTTTTCTTTTCAATGAAATTTGGTTTTTCTTAATCTGCTATTGATAAGCAATCCTATGATAGCCATTATCTTTGGTTTGCTTCCTGGAACTCATTTATGAATTCTGACGAATAGTTATAGTATTGTTTCTACTCTAAACATTGTTTAAGTTAGTTTCCGAGATATTTCGAGTAGGCATCTTAGATTATTAATTTGATGGAATTGGATTAGGAATGTATAAATTTTAGGTGGATGGATTGTTTAGATTTAACAAATCCATCATATCCAAACATTAGTTCATTATTATTATTATAATTATTACTATGATGAAATATTATCAACTTTCTACGATGGCACATAAACCAATTCATAACTCTCTTGTAAGTACTTTTCATCATCATTCTCATCATTATCCTCCACAACCTATTCAACCACCACTTTTTCAGCTGGATAATTCCTTCTCATATCCTTTCTCCCTTTATAAAAGTTGGCCATCTATTCTTCCTTCTTTCTCCTTCTCTCAATTATCTGCTTCTTCTTCTCTTCATCCTTCTAATTCGTCTGCCTCTATTCCCTACAACATTTATTAATACAATTTACTTTTTCTTCAAATTGATCTTCTTTTCCGCATCTATAAAATCCTATTTAGATTTCATTAGGAATTGCAACTTATATTCTGATAGTTCTAAGACTACCTTTTCGAGTTACTAATCATTAGACCAATTCAAAATACATTTAATGTAAATTTAAGCATCTTCGAATCGATCCCCAATTTCTTTATCAAAGGATCTTGCTCCTTCTTAGAAACATCTGTATAGATCTCTATTATTCTTTTCCCTATCTTATCCATATCCAGATTTTCACCTTCTGCGAACTCCAATTTATTTTAATCCACTTTTTCTTATTTTTTCAATTCCTGCTGGTATTGCTAATGCATGACATACTGTTTCTCTAACACTTTGAATCTCTATTCATTCTCCTTCTAATGAATCGCCAATATCTCTCTTAGATGTTAAGCCTCTCTCTTCTTTTGTTCCATTTCCTCTTCAGCATCTCTCTGATTCTGCATATTTCTTAGATTTCCCTCCTCAATTGCATCCAAAATCTCAATCACAGTATCAGCCATCCTATTCTGCTTATATTCAAATTGCAATTACTCCAATTGTTCCTTAGATCTAGTCTCAGATTCCAAAACATTCACCCCAGTCAAAAACAAAGTTCTTTTGGAAGTAGCAGTAGTTTAAGGTAAGGTGATATCCTTTTCTAAATCTGCAAATTTGGTTTTGTAGTGTTGCTATAATGATTATAATGTGTGCATTACTTTGATTTTTTCTAAAAATTATCTATATTTATCTAGTTTATCGTATTCATCTTAAAGCTTGCTTCTCTACAACTTCAATCTATCAATTTAGGCCAGTATTCTAGCAACTTCAACTTTGACCTCTTCCTTCCTTCTCACCTCTTTGTCAGCTAAAATTGCGGCTTAATCCGCTTGAGACTTAACTTCACTCATAAATCTCTTGACCAATTCGCAATCGTTTTTGAAGTATAATTTTCGAGCCCTCAATGATTCCTACTCATTCTTAATAAAATCCTCGAGTCTATTTGTCTCCTCTTTTTTTGTTAAAATATTTAGATTTGTTAAACAAATCTCTCTTTTCTTTTCAACAAAATCTTAAAGAGTTTCCTTCTTCTCACTCAAAATACTCCTTATTTTATAACCTTTCTATAAAGAATCTTAATAATTCTTTTCGAGCATCCTAGGATTAAATTGTTTCAAATGACATGAAATTGGATCTGGCTTCGCATTAAAACTTTTTGATTTGAAATCCTAAGAAAACACATGATCTCTCTCGACTGCCAATTTCTCAGCTTAAGCTAGATAAAATAAATTTACTCTACTCTTCTAATTTTCTCAATAACCCATATCTACTTGCAGATTTACCAATATAAAGTTAAGTTAATCTGGTCTGCTACTTCTAATCGTCCTCCTCCTCAATTGCATTCCTGTCGTATTCCAAAGAATTAGTAAACTTTTTAGGATCCTTCTCAAATTAAAATGGATTATCAATCATATATTATAATAAGTATATAAACTCACAATTACTTTTGCCTTTTTTCAAATGTTCTCTTCATCAATTCTCTCACTCATAATACTCTAAGTATTTTGCATATCTGTTTGAATTCTAATGATTTCTTAATTGTTCATAGTTATTTTACCAACCATAAGTATGTTTTATCTTTAAAGTATAATTTTGAATGGGCACTCTTTAATTGATAGAACTAGAGAATCTTTATAATTAAGAGTTTAATAGTTCCTTCAAAGGTGATTTCATTCATTAATCTCAAATTGCTTTTGATTTTAACTTATTTTTTATATCCTTGCATACGTTTCCAATTAGATAGAATTTACATCTATCAGTTGTAATTAAAAATCTTTTAGCTCATTTAGAATGAAAGTATAAATCTATATTTAAAAGTGTAATTAATCAACAATTGTGCATTTAAAATTAAACTAGTTAGATCAAATTAATGATTTAAAATTATACTTTTTTGACTTTTTTTGATCATAGTATCTCCTCTTCGCTTTACTAGAATTAAGTTAGATCTTCAATCTAAAATTTATTCATTCAGAGAATTAAACTTTAATTTATTTTTCTGAAAATTTGTAACATCCAAAAATAATTTATGTTTTGCTTTGTTTTTTAAACTGAATTGCTAAACTGATTAAATTATTGAAGATGTTCATTCACCAGCTGGGTGATATTAATATAATAGATTTTGTATATAAGAATTATAGATTAACTGTAAAAGATTGAAGAATATGTAGAATGATTATTAACATATATTAATACTTCTTTTATATCATTATTTAATTTCTTTTATTTTCTTTGTTAACTCTGGCACTACTTTAAACAAATCATCAACAATTGTATAATCAGCAACACTTACAATTGGAGCCTCTTGATCTATAAAATTTATTAATCCTAAATTACCTTTATTGATAGCAACAATGACTTTAGAATCTTTCATTCCAGCCAGATGCTAAATGGCTCCTGAAATTCCTACAGCAATGTATAATTCAGGAGCTACTACTTTTCCTGTTTATCCAACTTACTAATCATTTGCAGCATATCCAGCATCAACTGCAGCTCTAGAAGCACCAATAGCTGTATTACCCAAAGCGTTTGCTAATTCATCTAATATTTTGAAATTTTCCTTGCTTCCTAAGGCTCTTCCTCCTGAAACAATCTAATAATCAATACTAGATATACAAATTTAGCAGTAGTTAATTCTGGCTTATCGCTTTATACTAATTCATCAGAAATATGCTCAATCAATTATTTTGTATTCTCAACCTTTACTTGTACAACATTTGCCACTTTTTCACCAGTTTGTTGAATCTAATTATAATATAATCTTATACTTCTTCAAAATTTGTGGGTCTGAATGAAATGAATTTGACTTTGTCATTTGATTTCACTTGAGCTATTGCATTTCCTGCATAAACAGGTCTTAAAAATACATCGTTATTTATGGCTATAACATCAGTAATGGGCTAAGCTGCATATTTAACAGCAACTCTAGGTAAAAAGTCTTTTGCTAAAGTGGAAGTGCTTGTAACAAAATTGGTGAATCCATGTTAATCGATCAACTATTTAACCAAATTGCCTAAGACATCTGCTTAAGGTGCTTTGAATGAGTCATGTTGTGCAACCAGTACTTGGTGTACAACATTGCTGGGTATTGAAGATTTGATTTAATCAACCACAGAATTGGCATCATTGCTAGTTACTAATAAAGAGATCTATTAATTCAATAGTTTTGCAGCATTTAAGATTTTAAGTGTTGACTTCGATAATTTTCCACTTGAATGATCAGCGAACACAAGAGTTGAAAATTTTCCACAATTTCTTAAATGATTCATCATCAAATTAATTTATGTATTAATTTTCTTATGTATTCTGTTAATTTTTAACATATATATGTGGTTTATTCTAATACAGAAAACCTTGAATAATTGATCTAATTTTACTATAGGAACTTTCATCGATTTAAATTTTATAATACTATTCTATAATAGAATTTATAATAACAATCATAATATAAATTAAGAGAATAAACCAACTTTATTATTTTAAATAATGAGCAAGCATCCAATTCAGAATTATTAAATTTTAAAGGTCATTGGCAAGGTACTTATAGTTATTAAACATTTTCCTAGGGAGCATTCGCTATAGTTTATCAAGGTTAACATCTAAAAACTAACGAGATAGTTGCGATCAAATAAATTAGTACAGACATGTAAGAAGGGCCTCATAAAAGAAAAATGTTAGAGTTGTTTAACTAAGAAATTCAAATAATGGAATCCATTAAACATTAAAACATAGTTTAGTTAAAGGAAGTACAATTTACTTCTGATTCAATTAATATGATACTTGAGTATTGTGCTCTTGGTGATTTAGAAAAGTACATCAAAAAGAATTCTGCAAAAAATAGATTGCCTGAAAGTGAAGCTAAACCAATTATACTATAATTATTGGATGCTATGAAAATATTGCGTTTAAAAAATGTCGTTCATCGAGATCTCAAACTTGCTAATATTCTCATAAATGAATAAATGTAAATAAAATTAGGAGATTTTGGATTTGCTAAATCAGTTACTTCTGATTTACTTGAATCATATTGTGGAACTCCCATTACAATGGCTCCAGAAATACTTAAGTATTAATTTTATAATAATTTTATAGGAAATATGATAATTACGATCATAAATGTGATATTTGGTCTTTAGGCATAATGATTTATTAAATTCTGTATGGGTAACCACCATTTGTATCAAAAAAAGGAACTGTCGAAGATCTAATTAATGAAATTGAAAAATAGAATGTAACCATAAATATTATCAAAATAGATTAATTTTCCATAATAAGTTGGGGTCTCTTCGGAATGCATTGACTTAATACGCAAAATGCTAGTTGAGAATCCTAAAAAAAGAGCATCTTTTGAAGATATTTTTAGACATCCATGGTGCCAAACAGAAGTCATTGATTTGAGGAAATCAATTCTAAAGACTTATGTCCCACAACATCAAGAGTTTATCACCAATTTATCTTTTACAATTTAATAATAAATTACTTAGCTAATCTCGATAATACGATTGATCTAGTCAATTGAGAATATGCATCAAGAATTTGCTGCGAATTGTGTCAACTTTCGAAGTGCTTTGGTAAATGCTTTCTCATCAATTCAGCTAAATATTACTTACTCAAACTAAAAGGCTTGCATTAAGCCAGAAAACTTCAAATATTTCAATTATTAATAAGAATTGCTAATATTTTTAGCTAATTTATATGAAACAGCTATTTAAAGTAAGAATAATAATATCCTTGATTTTCTTGATTTGAGTTTATGGGATTACTAAATAACCAACTATTTTTCTATTCTATATGAAGAGTATACAGTTACATTACAAGAGGAGATGAAAAATATGAAATTATCGGAGCAAATAAATAAAGGGAAGGTATTAATATAAATCGAGGACTCAAGAGGCTTAAATAAATTTGTAAAATCAGATTTAAACACTCTAATTGAACTTATCAAAGATAGATTTAAGAATTAATGAATTAATATATAGTTAGTATTAATCACATTTTACTGTTATGTTAAACATACATTTTTCATAATACTTTAACATTTGATTATTCATGGCTAAGTTTCTATTAAACATGAAATAATTCAAGAATGTTCTTCTTATAATTAAATTCTATAATAAGTAAATTCTTTAAATGCATAATTTAATCTGTTATTTTACATTAAAATTTTGTCTTCCATGAATAATTGAAAAATGCAAGTGATAGAAAGCCCTTAAAGCTGAAATACATAAAAAATGCTCTTCTCCATTTCTTGGTTGAAATACGTAAGATCTTTCCTCTTTTTTTAATTTAATAAATTTCAACTCTTCTGAGGTTTCATCAAGACGGAATTCGATAGCATAGTTTCTAATTTCAAATTGTTTTTTTATATTTAAGGATGATATATAATTCTCTAATTATTATATAATATAAATAATGAAGCAGAAACCTCAAATTGAGACGAATAATGTTTTTGACATCTTGCAAAAAGCTAGTTAAAATCTGAAGACCCAAAAGTTGGATCTCATTAACTCTGTTAGGAATATGTCGACCAAATCGAATTCCAATAAGAACATTTTTGGGAAAGAATTCTTAAAGCAATAATTTTGTAAGGAGAATCAACAAAAGAAGAAACAAATGTCAAATCTAGAGTTAGTTGCAGCAATGCAGAAGTATAATTAATTGCTGCAACAAAAGCGTGATACACCAACCAGAAATTATTCAAAAAGTTAATCGCTGTTAAATCAACTTGTCACTAAAGTAACTCCAAACTTAGAACTTAACATGTTTAAACAGTCTTCACGATCTCCTATTGGCACAGACATAAGACCTCAAACTTCTGACTTGAAAGCTCCTACATCCGTATAACACAAAAGATAACAATCAATAGGTTCCAAAGATTAAAATTATAAAAAATTGTACAATGCAATGTTACAGAAACCCAAGAAGGCTCAATCACATCAAACCACTCCTCAACATTCCAGATAATTGTCACTGTAGCAATCATAACAATTATCTAATCGAGAATCAAAATATTTTGAAAGCATTAAATTTAATAAGGAAAACAAAGAAAATAGTCAATTTCAATATTATTTGGGCAAGATTAGATAGGTTTTTACTCGTCCTCTGAGAGACGATTATTTTAGCTGTATTTATAGGGAACATTTTTTTCAAACTTATTAAGGAATTTATGTTGCTTCTTATCTGAGGCCAGTTGACCCCAACGATCTAAAGAAAAAAACAGTCTAATTAAAATAAAAGGAAAAATACAGAAGTATTATTAATCTTATTCGCAATTAGATAAAATCTCTGTGATCTTTGATTTGGATGAAACTTTGGTACATTGCAATGAATCGTTGCTATAAAAATCTGACATTATATTAAATATACAAGTAGGTCCAAATGAGATGGTTAAGGCTGGAGTCAATATCCGTCCAGGAGCTGTAGAATTATTGGAATCCCTAGTTGACGATTTTGAAATTATTGTCTTTACGGCTTCTCATTCATGCTATGCTCAATAGGTCTTAGATTATTTGGATCCAGAGAACAAACTAATCTCACATCGTCTTTTTAGAGACAACTGCATTATGACAACAGGGGGAATGTACACAAAGGATCTTAGAATTTTCGATAGGCAATTGAGTCAAATAGTTCTGATTGATAATGCTGCTTATAGTTATGCTTGGCAATTAGATAATGGAATACCTATAGTCCCTTATTACGATAATAAAGATGATCGAGAGTTGTGGGGTTTACAAACCTATTTATTAGGAATGATTGGTGTGCCTGATGTAAGGGAATATAATAGGTAAGAATCAATGAATAAATTAATAGAGAGAAATTAAAATTGAACTAATTTTTCGATTCCCAAGGACCTGCAAGTGTATTTGAAAAACTGTTTTAATAGAAAATTGAAATATGATTTTAGTTAATCTTTAAAAATTCAATTTCATACAGTCTTCTTCAGTAGACAGATTAATTGAGTTTCAAAAACGCAAAAGAAACTAAAAATATATTTTATTAAGCAATATTTTAAAATTATATAATGAAGAAATATACGAGCAATTAATAACTGAGAAGATCAAATGGACCTTTGGGGAGGTATCGAATCTTTAAGCATACAGAAATAGATAGAGCTAATTTATTTGAAGGTTTACCTTATGTCTAATTTGATGCTTTCATTAGAAGAGGTAAGTATTATAGAAATTAATTTAGACAGGACTATGTAACATGTTGTCATTAGAGACTTATTAAAAATAATAATGGAGAAATGCAACTAATTAAAGAATTTGCTACTTGATAAGTTTCGACTCAAAAAGATCTTTTTATTAATGGATTTAATGGAACAGCCAAAAAAAAAGGGAATGTTTAATTAAAGGTTGGAAGACACTATTGTTCTGATTGATTAGATAGGTTCAATCATATTATAAGAATTCAAAAAGAACCCTGAGTAAATTGGACTTAAGTAGTCGCCTATTAAACATTTATAAGAGCAAAATCCAGAGTATATAGATCCTTATTGGGAAGATAAAATATATGATAAAAATGTGGATTTATTTAATGAGATGCTCCAGTACTTAAGAGATCGCATTGAACTATACATGTTAATGATGAGGTAGGCTGGCCATAAGATTTTAGATGATTAATAATGTATGAGCTTTTTAAAGGATGTAACTGCTCTTCGTTATAACTTATTGCAGTTAAGTGAAGATATCAGAGTTTTGGATGCTAATTCTGAAGAGAATTTAAAGTTAATTAAGTTAACTCTGTAAAAATTTGAAACGGTCAGAGATAAAAGAATTGAAAAATTGTCTCCTGAAAAGAAGAGTGAAGAGCAAAAGATTGAAGATAAAAAATTGGAAGAAAAGAGAAAGAAAATAGAATACATTGAGAAGAATTTGATTGGGAAGACTCTATCAAATATGGATGATTAGGCTGAATCTGAAGTTTAAGTATGTTATCTATAATTTATTAAGAGAAAAAACGAGCATAAAGATTGAATGAATTATTATAGTAGAAATTCAACTTTAATAAAAGTTCCATTGTTACTCGAGAATCCAAACTGATATTGAACTAGGAGTATTAAATTATTATTAATTAATTAGCAAACTAGAGTAAGAAAAGGTTCTACTATTGGAAAGCAGTCAAAAAGCCTCAAAAATAAAACATAACTTAGTTGATAACAGGAAAAGATTAGCGCTTGAAAAGTTAAAAGATCCTACCAAAGACCCATAATTACGTGGAGCCTTAGAAATTATGACAAGAGTTCTAAATATTAATATATAGGATTAATTTTAAGAATGAAGGATATTAATTATTTTATTATTTATTTTTAAATATAATAATATCAAATATAAACATAAGCTAAGAGGATATTCATTATTTTTCAGAGGGGTTGATAATAATTTAAAATAATTTAAGAGATATATTTAAATAGAAACTTAAAGATATTCGTTTTCTTAAAATTATTGTGGAGTAAAACTGAAATTTCAAGTCTTTTCTATATCTATTCAGTGCATTTATAATAAAATTTGTCAGTATATTTTACAGTAATAAAAGATAGGCAAAAGATATGTTCAATATCCTAATTCTAAGCTTATACTTATTATTTAGATTGAGAAAAAACTATCTCATCCTAAAATTTAACAACAAATATTATTTTAAATCATTTTCTTTCTGCTAGCTTCTATTATGAAATTTGTAAAGCTTCCTTAGATTATTAAAGCTCCGGATGTATTGATAGAGCTTATATGAAATTATTAATTGCCTCCTTATGTCTATTTAATTATTATAAAGCAAGTCCTAATGTTATATATTTTTATACCCTTATAATGATAGGCATATGGATATAATGGTCTCTATTTCAATAGAGTGTCATACCATATTAAAGACTCATTAAATTTCTACATACCTCTTAAAGACTCACCTTAGAATATAATTGATAATTACTTTTCCCCCAAAGAGCAAAAAAGTGGTTTGGTTTTATTGAAAGAACCTTTTCATAGATTTCTAGCGAATCATCAAATAAACCTATTTTTAATAGAATATCTCCTTAAAATTTAAATTTAATTATTACCTTATTTAACTTATGCATCTAGATTGTTAGGTTGCAACACCAAAACTTAATCAAGCATTTTATGAGCCGCATCATATTCTTACATTTCCATCAGTGTACAAGCTAAAGATAATATTCATATTTACCTTTTTCGTATAACATATCAAAATTTTTAAGATCATCCTAAAGGAGAAAATCATAAATCTTCAAAGCTTCATCATATTACTTTAAACGCCTTAATGCGACAGCTTAATATAATTGCAATCAATTACCCTTAGATTTATAAGCGTCTCTATAGTGCTAATTACAAGATATGCACTTATCGTACCCTACAATTGCTTCTTAAAATTATTATAGAACACTTAAAATATCACCTTGTTAAATAAAGTTAATTTTACTTCTAAAAAATAGAGAATCAAGATTATAAGGGAAGGCTTTTAATATTACATTATCTAATTGAGATAATGCTTCTTCGTATTTGCCTTATATTATTAAAATCGTTGCTGTAAAAGATATTAATAAAATTACTTAATTTAACCCATGTATAACATCTGTTTGGATTGATTCTTACTGCCTTTTTAAGTAATTATTCAGCTTCATCAAATTTAGTTGAGACAAATAAGATATCCGCTTCTAAACAAAATAATAAATCATTATTTGGACTAGAACTCTTTAATTAATTCAAAATATGTTAAGCTTCATCAAAATGTTTTGTATGAATTAAAATATGTGCTGAAAATTATGCTTTATATAATTGTACCATATACTAATAACTCTTCATTATTTAGACTTTGAATATTAAAGTAATTAATAGTTTGTCTTAATAGTTCATTGATTTCTACTTATTTACCTATAACATAATAATATAACCTAATTTACTTTAGGTCCATTCTAATTTATGGTCTTCCATAATTTCATTTTAAGCTTTGACAAAATACTTTATAGCTTTCTTATTTTACCCCATAGAACCTAATGTTAATCCTAATGATTATTTTAGCCTATTTACCTATTTTTAAAAAGACAAGTATTAAATCTTTCTTAAGTTTTTTTATTTTGCGATATTGTTCTAGAGCCTATTAAAACTCTTTCAATTTTGTTAGAGCATCACCTTCTATTACATAATTTTATACCATAACCAAATAATGCAGCAATATTATTTTAATCTAATCCTAAAATATTAGAATAAATCTAAATCGCTTCATGAAATTTATTCTAATCCATTAGTTATTTTCCTAAGATATTATTTAACTATTAACCAATCTTTAATTAGGCTGAAATTTAACTAAGTTTAGTATTTTGAGCTTGATTGTCTTAAGAAATTGCTTGATTGAATAAACTTTATTTCTTTAAATCATCTACTAAATCAAAATAGCCATACTTTGATTATTATTTGAACTTATTGTAAGTGGTTGAGCTTTCGGTTGAGAGTTTAAATTTGATGAAAAAATTTGAAACATTTTGAATGAAATAATATTGCAATCATAGTTGAAAATGGAATTCAAAATATCACTTATTCTGTCGTATTTCTGAAATGAATTCGAGAATATAATAAAATTTTTACTAGAATATATATTTGCTCAATCAAAAAAGCATAACCCTTAAGATATTTAGATACAGTTTAAAAGATTACAACAGGTTTGATAGATAACTAAAATCAATTCATGTCTTTCCTAGTTTTAGTTTAATTAATGATATCAGTAACAAATATCTTATTTAAATCGAGTTCTTTATAAGTCTGGATTTGTTTTCCTTTTAATATGATATGCAATCAAAGTAAATTCTGGAAATGAACAAAGTAATGGAAATATGCTTGCAATTGAATGGTAAGGAAAGAAAAATATGATAAATATTTATAAATATATGTATTTCATATAGTAAATATCTTGGATCATTGAATTTTATTTTATTTTTTTTATTTAATAAATAAATGTCTTCATACACAAGCAGATATAGACCATCCACACTTGGTTCGAGTGGCATAAATTAGAATCAAGCAGCTACAACTTAATCTAGCTTCCGAACATAAGTGACAACAACTACAACATCATCGAATTTGTCAGTACCACAAACGAACACTACAAGTACATTTGAGAGATCGGAAGGAAGAAGATAAAGTACAATTAAAGCACCACCTGCTACAGCGTAAATAGTTATTTATACGAAGTGTTCAAATGGCTCCACCATCAGGTGAGAGAAAATGGTTAGGAAAATACCCAGAAGTTGTTTGTTTCCTTTTGGCTTTGGAAAATGATCGTGTAATGAGAGAAAATGATGCTCTCATCAAAAGAATAAAGGAGTTGGAAAGCTAAAGTGAGGGGGGAGATGTTAGAGTAAGGGAATTACAAGCAAAATTAGATTAAGCAAATAGAGATATAACGCAATACAAATCTGATATTGATAAACATTTAATAAGAATCAAGCAGTTAGAGACAGAGATCGCTGATTACAAGTCACGATTAGGGTAAGTTGACAATTCACTTGCTTAGAAGTTAAAAGATGCTGAACGTAAGATCACAGATTATGAAAGAGATATAAATTAATGGAAGAGCAAATATTCAACAGATAAATCATCATGGGATTCAGAAATGAAGAGACTACAAGATTTACTATCGTAAAGATAGAGAGAATTGGATGATTTGAAAAACAACTCAGGANTACTTTGATTATTATTTGAACTTATTGTAAGTGGTTGAGCTTTCGGTTGAGAGTTTAAATTTGATGAAAAAATTTGAAACATTTTGAATGAAATAATATTGCAATCATAGTTGAAAATGGAATTCAAAATATCACTTATTCTGTCGTATTTCTGAAATGAATTCGAGAATATAATAAAATTTTTACTAGAATATATATTTGCTCAATCAAAAAAGCATAACCCTTAAGATATTTAGATACAGTTTAAAAGATTACAACAGGTTTGATAGATAACTAAAATCAATTCATGTCTTTCCTAGTTTTAGTTTAATTAATGATATCAGTAACAAATATCTTATTTAAATCGAGTTCTTTATAAGTCTGGATTTGTTTTCCTTTTAATATGATATGCAATCAAAGTAAATTCTGGAAATGAACAAAGTAATGGAAATATGCTTGCAATTGAATGGTAAGGAAAGAAAAATATGATAAATATTTATAAATATATGTATTTCATATAGTAAATATCTTGGATCATTGAATTTTATTTTATTTTTTTTATTTAATAAATAAATGTCTTCATACACAAGCAGATATAGACCATCCACACTTGGTTCGAGTGGCATAAATTAGAATCAAGCAGCTACAACTTAATCTAGCTTCCGAACATAAGTGACAACAACTACAACATCATCGAATTTGTCAGTACCACAAACGAACACTACAAGTACATTTGAGAGATCGGAAGGAAGAAGATAAAGTACAATTAAAGCACCACCTGCTACAGCGTAAATAGTTATTTATACGAAGTGTTCAAATGGCTCCACCATCAGGTGAGAGAAAATGGTTAGGAAAATACCCAGAAGTTGTTTGTTTCCTTTTGGCTTTGGAAAATGATCGTGTAATGAGAGAAAATGATGCTCTCATCAAAAGAATAAAGGAGTTGGAAAGCTAAAGTGAGGGGGGAGATGTTAGAGTAAGGGAATTACAAGCAAAATTAGATTAAGCAAATAGAGATATAACGCAATACAAATCTGATATTGATAAACATTTAATAAGAATCAAGCAGTTAGAGACAGAGATCGCTGATTACAAGTCACGATTAGGGTAAGTTGACAATTCACTTGCTTAGAAGTTAAAAGATGCTGAACGTAAGATCACAGATTATGAAAGAGATATAAATTAATGGAAGAGCAAATATTCAACAGATAAATCATCATGGGATTCAGAAATGAAGAGACTACAAGATTTACTATCGTAAAGATAGAGAGAATTGGATGATTTGAAAAACAACTCAGGAAGGAATTTGGATGGATTATAAAAATAAATTAGAGATTATGAAGTCAGAATTAGGGATTATGAAAACAAGTTTAATACATTACAATCAGAGATAGACAGATTGACTAAATTGTTAAATGAAAGAAATGCTGAAAATGATAAGTTAAAGAATGATTTAAAAAATAAGTTACTTGAATGTGATGATTGGAAGAATAAATATAATACTTTGCAGCAATAATTCACTTCTATGAAATCTCAATATGAAAGTAAAATTAATGATTTAAGTAACTAATTGCAATAAAGGGATCGTGATCTAAATGATTGGAGAAATAAATATTCAACACTTGAGAATAAATACAACAATCTAGGAAATCAATAAAATGGATCAGAATAGAAATTGAATTAATTAACATAATTATCACAATAGCAAATTAGAGAAATCGATAGATTAAATGGATTGTTGAGAGACAAGGATGCTCAAAATAACTCTCTTAAGGAAAAGTTGGCAAGAGCGGAATAAGACAATAAAAACCTTTTAGATTAAATTAATCAATTGAATCAAATGATCAAGTAATTAAATAGAGAAATTGAGAAATTGTAAGGAGATTTAAATGGCAGAATAAATGAAATCAACTATTTGAATTAATAGCTTCAAAAATGCAATGACAATATTCGCAATTTAGAGGATTAAATCAATAAATTAAATGATGATATTATGAATAATAGGGATGAAATTATGAGTTTGAAGAGTCAAAATGAATAATTGAATAATAAAATTAATGAATTAAATGAAAGAGCTGGGTAATAACAAGGAGATCTACACGCAGCAAATTCAGAAAGAGAAGAGAAAGAGCTTACTATTAAATAGATTAAAGAGTAATTGGATCAGTTGTTAACTGATAAATAAATTTTGGAGTAGTAATTAAATGACTTGAAGAATGCTCTTCAACAGAAGAATGATGATATCAGTAGATTGAACTAATAGAATAAATAAAGATTGTAACAATTAATGGATTTGTAAAAGAAATGTACAGAGTTAGAATTCACCATCAGTGAATTAAGAGGAGTAGAATTGAAATGCAAATTATTAGAAGACAAAATCAATGAATATCAAAAGTTGATTGATGATTTGAAGAGAAGAGTTGCTTAATAAGACTTACAATTATTATAAGCATAAGCAAATGAGAAAAGACTATAGGATTAAGATATTGTCATTTAAAATTAAGCTAAAGAAATATAAAGACAAAATGATCAAATTACATCCTTATTGAAAGAGAACGACTAATTGTAATAATAAATATTATAATTGGAAAATGAAATCAATAAATTGAGATCCCTTGAGAATTATGTTGCTGATTTAGAGAAATAGTTATAGAATGCATAAGATGAGTTAAATAAATTGAAATAATTGCTTGACTCAAGAACACAAGACTTAAATGATTGGAAATTAAAATATTAATAATTATAACCTTTAGAGGATTAGTATAGAGTTTTGGAGGAGAGATTTAAATAGGCAGAATAGAGAGTTTAGTAACTCTAGAATGACATTGAAAAATTAAATAAAATTATTCAATAAAATTAAATTGATATAGACACTCACAAATGGAATTTGAATCAGCAGGAAATGACAATGAAGGTCAAGGATGATGCTTTGGAAGCATTAAATGAAAGAATGAACAATTTAGTTCATGATTACGAGGAAGAAAGGAAGAAAACTCAAGATTACGAGTAATTATTGGCTCAACATCAATAGAATTTAGATAAATTGGCTTAAGCACAAACATAAAATAATAATTTATAGAGTGATTTAAATAATGCCATAAAGGATATTGAATAATTATAGAGCGAGAATCATGACATGAGACAAGATTTACAAGAATTGGAAAGATAAATCCAAGAGTTCAAACAAAACGAAGCCAGATACAAAGATATTGAAAATAAGTTTAATTAGTAATTAAAAGATATCGAGAGATTGACTGAATAATTAAGAGAAAAGACCCATTAATATGATGAATTAAATTCACAGTTTGGTGCTTTGGATCTATAATTGTAACAAGCAAACCAAACAATCGATGAATTAAATAAAAGGTATAAAATTAAATTAATTCATAGAATTGCTGAATTAGAATAGACTAAGAGAGAGCATGAAGTTTTGAAGACCTAAACAGATTAGTTGGACAATTTAAATAAATAATATTTGGCTGACTTGGATAGATTAAATGCAATTGTGAATTAAAGATAGAAGGAATTGGAAGAATTACGTTAATTGATGTAGAAATTAGAAGACAGAATAACTTATTTGACTCCTTTTGAAGAGAAAGTATTAATGTGTTTGATCTTAGTTCCAAGTCATATCACCAAAATATTAAGAATCACAAGAGATAGTTGAAAGACAAAAAGAAGATATCAATAAATATTAGGAACAATTGAAGACTGTGGATGAGTTAAATAAAAAGTAGGATTATTTATTAATATTTTAAGAGTCTAAGATTGTATGATGATTTTAACTATGCAATTTACAGAATGTGAAGGGTTGAGAAGCTAATTGGATGAGAAGGATAATCTAATTGCAAATCTGCAATAACAATAGCACCAATGATGAATAAGAAATAAATATATATAAATAAATATATATATAATAATGATATTGTCAAGAGGCTTATTCAAGTTGCCACTAAAACAAGTCTAATTTTTCGGAAGAAGAAAGGATTACTATGCAATTTTAGGGATCTCAAAGACTGCCACAGAGGAATAAATCAGAGAAGCTTACGCGCATAAAGCACAAAAGTACATGTCAAATACAAGCATATTAGACTCTATCCAAATGTCACTACATCAGTGGCTATAAATGATGCATCAGCCTAATAGGAGTTCTAGGATGTGGCTGAAGCCTTTGCAGTACTCTCGCAAATACAAAGCAGAAATGCATACGATCTTTTGAATAAAGAATAACCAGAGCTATTGTATGGTGAAGAAATGGAAAGATATAAATAATCATTCTAAAGAAATGATGATGGTACATACAAGAGGCCAGGATAAGTGGCATCAGATTATGCCAAAGAGAAGCAAGATTATTTGAAAAAAGAGAGATCAGTTTTTAATGTGGACGATTTTGGCAGATACAAAGGAGGTAAATTATAGTTTAATCATTCAAGGTGTCCCAAGACCAAACAAAGGTTATGTCAGAGGAAATTCCCTAATGGGTGTTGGTTAATATCATAGACCATTATATCACAATATGAAATAAAATCCATTTGAAACAGAGCATCGTATCACTTCTGAAGATGCTTAATATTTTAGAGTGTGGTCTACTGAAGAGAGAACATTCAAAGAATGGTCATATTTGCATTAAAATGCAGTAGTCGATTACGAATACTTAAAAGTATGATAGTCCAATATTATTAAGTTTAATGATTATAGAATTTTCTATAGATGGGTAAGAAATTTCTTCTTGGTGTTTTTGGCATTCCCTTACTTTTTCTAATCATTATTCAGAGGTCACTTGAGAGAAATTATCGATGAGATTAATGTAGAGTTGGCTGAAGGAATGCCTATTGTGGGAAGATAATTTGGTGATTTGCAGGTTGTTGTAGGCAAGACAGGAACACTAAAATTGTAGGATGTACATGGAGGACATCATCATCATTGAATTATAAAATAAAAAGAATAAAATACATAATGATCACAAATCCGTTTTAATTATTAATTATAATGTATAAAGTGATAATATTGTGCTCACTTGTTCTATTTGCAAGCAGCATGAGTGAAGGAGAGACACTACTACAATCTTTGCAAAGCACTGAATTTGGAAAAACAATAATTTAAACTATTCAAGTTGAATTATAAGGAAATAGCAGTGTTGATAAAATTATTGAACTTCTTACTCAAATGAAAGATAGAATCAATGGTGAATAAGATGATGAAAGACAAAAGTCAAGAGATCATACTTAATTTTGTGATGATAAATATGATGAAATCCTATTTGTTATTGATTCATCTGAATATTAGTTGGCTAAAGATTAATAAACATTGCCATTATTCGTCTAAGAATAAAAAAACAAATAAAGATAATTGTTGGATAAATAAGAAATTGAAAATAGAAATAATTAACGTATTGCTGAATTAACATAAGAAAGAGACATTACCAGAGTATTTATCATGCTTAATTTTAGTAACAATATGAAGCAAGAAGAGATGAATTGACAAATATGGTTGGTGCTCTTCAAGAAGGAAAAAGAATCATTAGCAAATTAAGTACCAAAAAGTGGGATCCCTTGGCTGGAACCTATTCTTTCCTTGAGTTCTCTTAATTTATGTTTAATGAATTAGAAGGACATTAAAAGTTATTAAAAAAACAATCAAATGGAATTGGCTTACTCTATGAATTGCTTCTAGAAACCTCTTAGTAAACCATTTTTCAATCTATCAATTAGAGATCCAGGAATACAAGCCAACTAACAAGGTGTTGCTAAAATTTAGGAAATTATTGATGAATTAATTGAAAGTGTTTTCGATTTGTTAAAATAAGAATTACTGACTGACAATGCTAGAGAATAAGATTACCAAAATTAAAAAGAAAGAATTGTCATCCAAAATAGAAGATTAGAAGCGACAATCGCAACATTCAAGGCTAGAGTCTTAATTATCAATTAAACCATATTAGAATTGAATAATGACATTAGATTTAACACTGAAGTAAAAATAACATATTGAATTTTAAGAAATCAACTCTATTGAGAAAATAAAAAGATGATTGGGAGAGAACATGTGTCGATTATCACAATGGTTATGTAGAAGCTACTAAAATTAGGTATTAATTAATTGAATAATTTTTAGAACCTAATAAAGTGATATCTTAACAGAAGTAATCTAAGTCTTCAATAGAAACTACAACGACTTTCCAAGTTTAATTTAGAGGATATCAATTTGATAAATTTATTCAATTTAAAAATAATACAATTCTCAAACTAGTAAACTCTTTAAGAGGCTCTATTCAAATAATAATAAAGCCTTCCCTAAAATAAACGAATTTATTTATTTCTAATTATTTATTTCACTATATTGAATTATAGTGGTACAATATTTGTTGTTTTGGATGAATCATTAATATTTGACAAAAGTATAAATTAACATTTTTCTCAATTTTAGCTATATAATTGAAAGTGTAACCTAAAAGCAATTTTTTTATTTATGCATTTCTTTCGAATTATTGAAGTATTTACAGGTTTCCTAAGGAATTTTGTAATATCTGAAAAATTAATTATGAATTAAAATTATATTTTAAGAATTACAATCGATCCCAAAATTCTAATTTCTAATAGTTACTGATTATAATTAAGAACTCTAATTTATCCTGTTAAGAATTTCGATGATTCAAAGCTAATAATCTTGATTCTTATTCTTTAAATAATAAAAATGGAACCAATTTTCATAGCAATCCTCTCTTTAATAATGTTGATGGTTTACTTCCTAATCATAAAGCCCTTAGTTCCTTTACTCCTATTAAAGCTATAATTAGGAGATAAAGCAATTTTAATGTTTTAACCTATCTTTGGCTTCCTAGGAGTCTTAACAAAATCAATAAAAACTAACAACGATCTTATGCACACAATTAATCATGCATTAAGAAAAAATCCTAAAGCAAAAGTTATTTTATCAAATCATTTAACCAAACCTTTTATCATGCTAGCTGGATCAGAATACATCAAGGATTCATTTCTAGACCATCACGATTATGAAAAAATGAATCCCTTTATGATACCTTCATTTTTACGAAAAGGTTTAGTGATGAGTGAAGGGGAAAGCTGGAAAAGATAAAGAAAGTTCTTAGGTACTGCATTCACATTTGAGAAGTTAAAATCAAGATTGCCTATGATGAACAAAGTTATCGAATAGATATCAGAAAAAGATGATAAAAGTCATTTAAATGATTTTATGGCTAGAATAACTGGAGAAGTAGTTATTAGGAGCTTTTTTGGTGAACTAGTAGAAGGATTCTAATTAGAAGGAAAAGATGCTTAAGTAGCTCTTATTTAATTAACATGAGAAATATCTATAATGTAATTATAGAGTGCCTACTTTTTTATTAAATATTTATTATTTAAAGAACGGATGTTTGAGATTTTTCCTTGTAAAAAAGAAAAAGAGATTGTAAGACGAGTAGAGAATATAAGAGTAAAACTGAACGAGTTAATCTTGAAAAGAATAGAATAATTAAAGGAAAGTCCGGTCAAAGATTAAGATAAAATGGTATTCTTAGACTTATATGTAACTGAATACTTAAAATAACAAACATAAAAAGAACAATCGATAGACATTGAAGAAATATTACATCAATTCATAACCCTGTTCTTTGCTGGTACTGATACAACAGCCACAACTTCTGGAACTTGTTTATATTATTTAGCTAAATATCCAGAGATTTAATCTGAAATCCTAGAAGAAGTAAGGGAAGTAATTGGTGATGCTGATGTAAATGAAGAAAATTTAAATAAACTAACTAAAGTTAATGCTTTAATATAAGAAGTTTTAAGATTAAGGAATCCAGCATTTGTTACACTCTTTAGAACAGTCAAACATGATAAATAGGTTTAAGATATTAAACTTAAAAAGGGGTGGGCGTTAGTATAATTGTAAAATGCTAGTAGTATTTAAGACTCACATTTTGATGATGCTACTGAATTTAATTATAAAAGATGGTTAAACAAAGGGAATGTAGTTAAAAATGATAATGGATACATTCATATTCCATTTGCAGCAGGACCAAGAAATTGTATTGGATAGCATATGGCATTGATGGAAGCAAAAGTTATAATAGCACTGCTTGTTAGAAAATATAAAATACTGTTAAATCCAGATGTTTAGTAAGTTAGATTTGGAGTCAAATTTCTATAAACTGTTGAACCAGACAACTGTTTATTATTTGAAAAAAGAATTTGATGAATAATAAATTATAAGATATCATAATATTTTAAATTTTAAAAATAATCTAGATTTGATTCATTATAAAATTATGAATTAATAGTTATTTATATATATCTATATATTAAGTTATTGGGCAGTAATTTTATTCAACGATTAGGATATATAAATAAGAATTTCCTATAAAATCAAAACCTTTCTTTTAAACTCTAAGGATTGTACAATTAATATTACATTCGATAAAGTTCTTAATATATATTTGGGAATAAATTAGCATAATCAAAACACATACCAATCAGAGAAAATAGTAATCTTAAATCTTAATATTCTTTCCAATAGTTATTAATCTAATAATTATTTCATTACAATCTAATTATACTATATAAACATTTACATTATAAAACTGTAAAATGCCTAACTTTAAAATAATAATAAATTTAATGTCAATATTATTTATTGCAATCCTCGTATTGCTCCTATTAGCATTTTTTTTCATCTTCATATAGCCATTAGTACCATTGCTTTTATTGAAACTTAAGTTTGGAGATAAAGCAATTATAATGTTTTATCCAATTTTTGGTTTTGTTGGCATTTTTATGAGGTCTATAAAAACCAACCAAGATGTGATGAAATCTATAAATGATGCCCTTAGAAATAATCCAAAAGCAAAGATCATCCTTTCAAATTTTCTAAATAAACCTTGTATAATGTTTGCAGGGACAGAATATCTAAAACAATCTTATTAAGATCATGATGATTTTGAAAAACTAGATCCATTTATGCTACCTTCCTTTATGCAAAAAGGATTAGCAATGAGCGAAGGGGAAAATTGGAAGAGATAAAGAAAATTTTTGGCCCCTGCTTTCACCTTTGAAAAATTAAAATCAAGATTGCTTATGATGAACCAAGTTGTCGAGGATATTGCAGAAAAGGATGATAAAACAAATTTAAATGACTTCATGTCTCGAATTACTGGAGACATTGTAGTAAAAAGTTTTTTGGAAAGTTAGGTGAAGGGTTCAAACTTGAAGGAAAGGATGCATAGATAGCTCTCACTGATTTAACAGGAGAAATATCTTTGATTATGATGGATAATCTATATGCGTTCATTAAATCTTTATTATTTGGAGTAAAAACATGGTCAATCTTGCCAACCAAATAAGAAAAAGATGTAGTGAGGCGAGTTGAGAATGTAAGAGTAAAACTGAACGAGTTAATCTTGAAAAGAATAGAATAATTAAAGGAAAGTCCGGTCAAAGATTAAGATAAAATGGTATTCTTAGATTTATATGTAACTGAATACTTAAAATAACAAACTTAAAAAGAATAATCGATAGACATTGAGGAAATATTACATCAATTCATAACCCTGTTCTTTGCTGGTACTGATACAACAGCCACTGCTTGTGGAACTTGTTTATATTATTTAGCTAAATATCCAGAGATTCAATCTGAAATCCTAGAAGAAGTANCAATTAATATTACATTCGATAAAGTTCTTAATATATATTTGGGAATAAATTAGCATAATCAAAACACATACCAATCAGAGAAAATAGTAATCTTAAATCTTAATATTCTTTCCAATAGTTATTAATCTAATAATTATTTCATTACAATCTAATTATACTATATAAACATTTACATTATAAAACTGTAAAATGCCTAACTTTAAAATAATAATAAATTTAATGTCAATATTATTTATTGCAATCCTCGTATTGCTCCTATTAGCATTTTTTTTCATCTTCATATAGCCATTAGTACCATTGCTTTTATTGAAACTTAAGTTTGGAGATAAAGCAATTATAATGTTTTATCCAATTTTTGGTTTTGTTGGCATTTTTATGAGGTCTATAAAAACCAACCAAGATGTGATGAAATCTATAAATGATGCCCTTAGAAATAATCCAAAAGCAAAGATCATCCTTTCAAATTTTCTAAATAAACCTTGTATAATGTTTGCAGGGACAGAATATCTAAAACAATCTTATTAAGATCATGATGATTTTGAAAAACTAGATCCATTTATGCTACCTTCCTTTATGCAAAAAGGATTAGCAATGAGCGAAGGGGAAAATTGGAAGAGATAAAGAAAATTTTTGGCCCCTGCTTTCACCTTTGAAAAATTAAAATCAAGATTGCTTATGATGAACCAAGTTGTCGAGGATATTGCAGAAAAGGATGATAAAACAAATTTAAATGACTTCATGTCTCGAATTACTGGAGACATTGTAGTAAAAAGTTTTTTGGAAAGTTAGGTGAAGGGTTCAAACTTGAAGGAAAGGATGCATAGATAGCTCTCACTGATTTAACAGGAGAAATATCTTTGATTATGATGGATAATCTATATGCGTTCATTAAATCTTTATTATTTGGAGTAAAAACATGGTCAATCTTGCCAACCAAATAAGAAAAAGATGTAGTGAGGCGAGTTGAGAATGTAAGAGTAAAACTGAACGAGTTAATCTTGAAAAGAATAGAATAATTAAAGGAAAGTCCGGTCAAAGATTAAGATAAAATGGTATTCTTAGATTTATATGTAACTGAATACTTAAAATAACAAACTTAAAAAGAATAATCGATAGACATTGAGGAAATATTACATCAATTCATAACCCTGTTCTTTGCTGGTACTGATACAACAGCCACTGCTTGTGGAACTTGTTTATATTATTTAGCTAAATATCCAGAGATTCAATCTGAAATCCTAGAAGAAGTAAGGGAAGTAATTGGTGATGCTGATGTAAATGAAGAAAATTTAAATAAACTAACTAAAGTTAATGCTTTAATTTAAGAAGTTTTAAGATTAAGGAATCCAGCATTTGTTACTCTCTTTAGAACAGTCAAACGTGATAAATAGGTTTAAGATATTAAACTTAAAAAAGGGTGGGCGTTAGTACAAATGCATAACGCCAATAGTATCTTAGATTAGCATTATGATAATGCTACTGAATTTAATTATAAAAGATGGTTAAACAAAGGGAATGTAGTTAAAAACGATGATGGATACATTCACATTCCCTTTACAGCAGGACCAAGAAATTGTATTGGATAGCATATGGCTTTGATGGAATCAAAGATTATTATAGCATTAATTGTAAGAAAATATAAAATATTGTTAAATCCGGCCGTTTAGTAAATTAGATTTGGAATTAAATTCTTGTAATGTGTTGAGCCAGACAACTGTTTATTATTTGAAAAAAGAATTTGAAGAATCAAATTTATTAATATAAATCATAATTAATATATAAAATTTAGTATTTCTTATGATATATTAAATTATATCAAAATGGATGATTAGGCTTTGAATTAATGAGTTTAAAACAAGCCATTAAGAGATTTGAAAATCGTTTATTAAATGATTGTTATGAAATAATTTATTAAAATTGTGAATATTAATTATATATTAATTATGTAGGAAATTTAGATGGTAGTGCCTTATCGATAAAATATTGGCAAATCGATAATATTTTATCTTCTTTGCATTTTATCGTTCGGTTTAGTCTATGTAGTCGCTACTTGGCATTATAAGATTTGGGCAATATTAAGAATGTCTAAGTGTGAAATATTTGCGGCAGAGTATTTTAGAATAGACTCAAAAGATGGTACATAAGTAATTGTTCCAAGCCATCATTATATGTAAAAAGGATTAGATTATATTGTAAAATTGCATATAAATTTAGGGTTTCAATTATAGATATCAAAGGTTTATCTACAGATAGGGAAGATTTGAAAAAATTGTCTTTTAACTTTAGGATAATAAAGGCGCTCATCAGAGGGATCATTTGAGGTCAGTAGAATAGTTGAAAGATTATTAAGACCTTTATGGAATTAATTCGACAGAAATTCCAAGAAAACCAATTTTATCAATCCTTATCGATGAATTAATGCATCCTTTATTTGTTGTGTAGCTTCTTTAAATATTTTTATGGATTTATGAAGAGTATACCAGTTATGCTATAATATTACTGTTGACATCAATTATTTCAATGGTTGACACTTTATTTGAATACAGAGAGAGTTATCGTGAAATCAGATTGAATTCTAAATTGGAGCATGAAGTAAAAATCATTAGATTTGGATAAAAAATAACAATTCATTCAAGAGAGTTAGTACCAGGAGATATTATTTTAATTGAGCCTTTTCAGGTGATTGCTTGTGACTGTGTACTTATAGAGGGCACTTGTATTGTGTAGGAGTAATTTTTGAATGGTGAATAAACTCCTATAACAAAAAGCAATTTGCCAGATGATGATTAAGCTTTTGTTTAAAAGGATGGAAATATGTTATATATGTCAACATTTTGTTTGAGAGCAGATGAAAATTGCTTGGCTTTTGTAGTCTCGACAGGTTTTAATACCAAGAAAGGTGAGTTAATAAGAGAAGTGATGTTAACTCCTGATTATTCATTTGATTTCTATGATGATAGTATGAGATATTTAAAATATTTAAGTATTGTGGCGATAGTAGGTTATTTAATTGCTTTGCCATTTAAGATTTATTTTTTAATAACTTATCCCTTTATAGAGGCTACCGATCTTATAACTGATATACTAGATCTATTGGCAGTATGTGTACCACCAACTCTGCCTACGACTTTATAAATAGGGTTAAGTTTAGCGTTGAAGAGATTTAAAAAGAAAAAGATATATTGTTTCAATCCAAATAAAATAAATTTAGCAGGTGTGGTAAGTTAAGTCTGTTTTGACAAAACAGGAACACTAACAGAGGATGAACAGAGACTTTATGGAGTAATTGAAATGAATAATCAGGGTTAATTGAATCCGCTTTTGAAGGATTTCGATAATTTAAACAAAATAATAAGATTAGTTATGGCATGTTGTAACAATATTGTAAACGAAGAAGAAATAATTTATGGAGATCATTTAGACTTGGCATTATTCAAGAATAGTTCTGCAAAGATTTTTTATAGAACAGTGTTGTTGGATGGAATAAATTATGATATTGTAAAAACGTTTGAATTTACATAAGAATTATAACGAATATGTTGTATTATTCATAATTAATAAAATCATAATAAATATTCATTGGTTAAGGGATCTCCTGAGAAGGTAAAACAAATATGTGAAAATATTCCAGAAGATTACACTTCAGTTTTTAAATATTATAGTCATCATGGATTCAAAGTTATTGCTTGTGCATATAAACAATTATTACAAGAAGATGTAATTCCTACAAGAGAGTATTCGGAATCAAAACTAACTTTTCTATGTTTTTTAGTATTAGAAAATAGGGTCAAAGATAATGCAGAATAAGTGATTTAATAATTAAAAAGTGCCAAAATAGATATCATTTTAGTAACTGGAGATAATGTATTAACTTCAATGAGAGTGGCTAGATAGACTAGAGTAGTTGAAGAAAACGAATAATTGGTATATGGAGAACTGGCAGAAAATAACAATGAATTATAAATAGATTGGAAGGATATGGAACAATAATTTAAAGAAATTGAAAATTAAATGCATAATGACACAAGAACATTGTGTGCTGAAATTCTATAACAGAAATTGCCTAATTCAATTAGTAAATTCAACTTTGATGCTAAATCTTGTGAGAATTTGGACAATAATATTGCTATTGTCAACGATGAAGCATAAGAACAATTATAAAGGTCAGCCACTCTAGCAATTACAGGCAAGTTGTTCACTTATTTAATGGATTAAGCTAAAAATAATAAAGACTATAAGTATATTGATTAGTTAATAACCAAAACTAAAGTTTATGCTAAGATGAGAAGAGAACATAAGGCTGAATTGATTAATTACTTGAAAACTAAAAAGTAGATAGTCTTCTGTGGTGATGGAGGTGCTGATATTTAAGCTATGCGTACTGCAGATGTTGGAATAAGTTTAACAAATACAAAATTGTCCTTAGCAGCTCCATTTACATCTGGATAAGAGGATTTAAGTACAGTACCAATCATTCTAATTGAAGGCAGAGGAGCTTTGACTACCTCATTTCAAGCTTTTGAATATATGACAATGTGTTCATTAGTACAATTTTTAAGTTGCACAATCTTGTATTTCCAATATTCATACATGACAAATTCCTAATTTCTTATTTTAGATTTATTTGTTGTATTACCACTAAGTATTTTAATGACTTACACTAATAATCTTACGAAATTAACAACAGAAATCCCTTAAAGGAGTTTGGTTAGTGTAGAAGTGTTATCAATAATATTAGGATAGTGCTTTATTTAGATGACATTTTAAATGCTCATTTATCTTATATTAATTTATTAAGATTGGTATAAGGATCCTGTGACATTATCTCATGAAGAATATGGTGAAGCAGGTTTTATGCAATCATTTGAAGCTACGTCATTATTTTTAGTTACTAATTTCTAATATATTATGTTATCAGTATCATTATCTTATGATCCTAGATTCAAAAAACCATTTTATTCTAATAGACCTTTTACATTTTATTTGATTCTCCTAGTCATACTTGAGTTATATTTGCTTATGTTCACATATAGGGATGACACAGAAGACGATTATCTAAATGTATAAATATTTATTGATTTTAAAAGCTTACATTCAAAGTGAAAGGATACGAAATGCCGCAATCATGGCTCATGTTTCTGCTTGGGATGATTATATTGAATTCTACTTTAACTCACACCTACTAAATTTATGGAGTTCCATATGTTATTATAAAAATGAAAAATAAATTATGAATGTTTTATATAAATTTTATAACTAATACCTATATTTATACTTCAAATGTCTGAAAAATCATAGAATTCACATCCCTATCAGGAGCTTTCGTATCTTAATGGGAATAAATAATTTTTAAGTTTTGAAAGAGCATTGCCAATTACAGATTTTGTACATTAATTAGAAAGCAGAGATTTTGAAAAAGAATTTTCATTTCTGAAACAAATAACCTAAACTAGAGAACATGATCGACTTCTATTTAGAAGCGCTTAGATACAACATTTGAATAGATATGCTGATATTCTTCCTTGTAAATTAGTTAATTCATTAATAAAGATGCTCATTCAATTGTAAAACCTTAAGTGGATTCTGCTGATAATAGTTATTACATTAATGCTAATTATATTAGAGGGGGAAACAATGAAGAAAGAAAATATATTGCTACTCAGGGTCCTGTAATTTAATCAGTTCAAGATTTTTGGCACATGATATGGACGAATAATGTGGGTGTAATAATTATGTTATGCAAACTGTTTGACAGATAACGAGTATGCAGCAAGATATTAACTTTAGATTTAATGCGAAAAATATTGGCCATCTGATAAAGCAATTTATGGGCCTTATTAAATTGATACTATTTCAAGATAAGAATCAAATAAGGATCTATTGGAAAGTAGTCTAATTATGAAATCTAAAGAGAAGTAGCATAAAGTAAGTCACTATTAATGGTGTGATTGGCCAGATTTTGGCATTGTAAAGGAGGATTCCTATTAAGTTCTTGATTGGCTGGCTGGAATAGCGAATGAAGCAGCACAAGATAACAAAATACCAGTAATTCATTGTAGTGCAGGAGTAGGACGAACAGGAACCTTTTTGGCTATTTGTCATATAAAACAGTTACTCATAAAAAATGATGCTTAAATTTCAATCTTTAGTATAGTGAGGAGACTAAGAGAATAAAGACCATTATTAGTGCAATCAGTGTAATAGTATGAGATGATTTATAAATATACAATTTGGTTGTTGAGGAATTTGAAATACATGTGATTTAAATATATATTAATAAATTATGGATTAGTAAGCGATGACTAATGCCCTTGGGAATCTAAGTATCTCTTTGTTTTTATATAAAAGAGCGGCAAAATGAGATTCGTTAGCAATAAAAACAACAAAGTAGTATTCCAGATCAATAAACTGAGAGCAATGTTTATAATGATGACTTTGATGGCGATGATGCAATTCTTAATGTTATAAAAAGTAAAGATAAAGGGTTAACTTTTGTTTAGCTGCCCAGGATTAAAAACCTAAATAATAACCACAAGCATAATTGCCCAGAAGACCTGAATCATCAACAAAGAGAACTGCCTCAATGCCAAAGAAGAAGCCTTATTAATTTAATAAGTTGAATGATGGAGAAAAAGAGAAATTATTCTTGGATGTCTATGATGAGAATATCAAGCTGAAGGAAAATTAGGCAAAATTTGAAAAAATGTATGGGACTATGGAAGTTAAATTATAACAAATGTAAAAATTCATGGGGAATAAAACAGTTGGTGCAGGAGAATCTACTGAATAAAATAATTAATTAGTATCGAAAGTCAACAATTTGGAAACTGAAAATGAAAAATTAAAATAAAAAATATAAGCTATTTCATAAGCATAAAGAGTTGTTGTTGCTCATTAACCAATGAAAAAAAAGAAATTAGTGTAAGCAGATAGACCAGAAATGGAATAGACTGGAATAAGAGGAGGTTAATTTGTGGATTAATAAAATCAAATCAAATAATTGTTAGATTTAAATGATAAATTAAAGAAAAGATTACTTGAATAGGAAGCTTAATTCAGGTAATTGTAGGCAATGATGAACTCTAAGATTGTTAATCAATAGGAGTTAAGTTAGAAAAATGCTTAATTTGTAACACTACAAGAGAGATGCAATAAATTAGAATCTAATTTAAGTGGTATGAGATCATAATTGGATGATGAACGTAAAAGACAGAGTGAAATCATGATGCTCTTAAGAGAAGAAAAAGAGAAGAATCATTTATTGGAAGGTTAAGTTAGATCAATGGAGTTGGCATAAAAGAGTGTTGTTGATTTACAAGCAGATTTGCAAGAAGCAAGAAGACAAAAGAAGGAGATTGAGGAGAGATTAGCAATTCTAATGGAGTCACCATTTTTTAAGGAATACAATGAAAGAGCTACTATTCAAGCCAAAATGAAGGCAATGGAATAAGAATAAATAAGGAATGCTACAGATTTAAAAAATTTGAGAGAAACCAATGCAAAATTAGAAACAGAAAATAGATTGAAAAGAGAGGATATGGAGAATCTTAAAAAGGAGTACAAGATGTTATAAGAAAGAAATTAAGAATTGAATATCAAGTTGGCTGAAAAAGATTAGCAATTACTTCCATTTAAAGATTTAAATTATTGGGATAATGATTAATTTTTAAAAGTATTAGGTAATTTGAAATGGACTGGAGAAGATCCTGCTTGGAGAAAGATTGAATTTATAGATCGTACTTATTTGGATTCTGATGATCCTGTGTATTTGAGAAAAGAGATTGAACACTTGAAACTTGAGAAGGGAGAGTTGGCTGCACATTTAGAAAAAACATAAACATTACTCAAGAATCAATAGGATATATAGATGGAGAAAGACAAAATGCATTAAACTTAAATAGAATAATTAAAATTGGAGTTAAAGGTTGCCAATGAGAAAGCATATGAATATGCAAAGATAGCTGACCTCAAAACTCAGGCAAGATAATAGTAGACTTTGTATGAAGCAGAGGGAATCAAATATGATGACTCTATTTCAGTGTTCTCAGTTGACAAAGATGAAATGTTGTCACCAGGAGAGAATTTCTTTGATTTATGGGTTGGTAAAGGAGAGTATCAACCTGCAGAGCTAGTTTCTTCATATAAGACTTCTACACAATTAAATTTGGATCTTGGAAGTCTATTAACATTTGTTACTATTGATTTCTATGATCATGAAACACAACATACAAGTGTATCAGAAGGAACATCATGCTTTTATAATTTATAAATCAGTTTTAAAGTTGATGCTGATGCTAACTTCATCCAATACCTTGAAAGCAATTATTTGAAACTAGAACTCTATGTTAGTTAAGGTAGTGAACCTACAAAGATTGGATCAGGATTGATTTAATTGAAGGATTTGGTTTATGAGAATAAGAATGATACTATAAGTAAAGTTATCAGTGGATCTCTTACTTTTCATGGAATCAACAATTAGATGATAGGAATAGTGGAATATAAAGCAAGAATGAGATATCCAATTTCTAATTTCATTCGTTTGTTAAAGGAAAGAAACTAATTACAGATGTAAGATTTGGATGAAGCCGAAGAGATAGTTGCAGTTAGAAAAAGAAAGCTTGTTATATGCATTGAAAAAGGTACATCTCTTCCTCCAAAATCTAATTGTTTCATCTACTATAATTTTGATACCAAAGATTTTCATACTAATACTCAAATGGGATCCAATCCAAAATGGGATTATCGAATGGTTCATGATATTGTATACAATGAATTGGTTGTCAATCAATTCAATCGAATGCCCTTAGAATTATACATCATCGATGATAATCAACCGTTAGTGGAAGGATCAAATGATAAGGTAGGGTTCTGTTTGATTGATTTGGCTCCTTTAGTAAAGAATCAAATGGTTGATTTAGCAGCAGAGGTTAAGAATGATGATGGAGACAAAGTGGCATCAGTTTATGTCAAAATCTTTTGGTACGACATCAAAGATGAGGACACCTTAAATTAATAGAGATCCATGATTGCAGAGTCTTGGGAGGAAAATATTACCCATAAAATAAGTTCAGAAATGAGATCCAGAGGGTTATTGGGTATTACTGCCTTCAGAGTATTCGACAGGGATCAAGATTAAATTATCACATATGAAGATTTTGCCAATGGTTTAAAGAATGTTTTAAATATCAAAATGAACCCTCAGGAAATGTAAGTTTATTATTCTAAATTACCTCAACCTTTAAATCAATAGAAATTCTAGGAATTTTTCAGATTACAGTCTAACGAAAGCATATAGTATGAAGCAGGGTTCAAATCATAATATCAAACCCAAGAATTGTCATCAATAAATTAACTAATGTAATAAAATACTATGCAGTTGCAAAGAACCTAATTAGAATAGATTCATAATAATATTTATGATTTATTAAAACGAAAAATGTCTTATGGTAAATCAGTGTAGGAGTTATTTATGGAGATAGACTCTGTGAAACCTGATGGACAATTAACTATTGATGAATTACAAAGGTATCTCTAGCAGAATAGTTTACTGATACCAATTGCTTAATTACGAGAGTTTCTCAAATTTTATATGGATATTAATAATGATCAATTAATCAATTTTAGAGAATTTACCAACTACTTTAAATTGATTCCCACTTCTTAATAGTAATAGATGTATTCACAATCTTCATTTTAATAAGTCAGTAACTAAAGAATGCAGTCTAACTTCCCAAGCATATAAGACACTTAACTATAGCAATCGCCAATTGATATAGCTATCACTGCAATTCTTAATTATGGTTAGGCAAGATAATGGACTTTGATGTAAGTTAGAGAATTCATGGATGAGAACAGGAATAGTTTTATAGAAGCAGGTGAAATGAAGAAGTTCCTTATATAATTTGGAGTCCATAAAAATTTACAAAATGGTGATGATGATATAAGACAGATTATAGCATTCTTCGATGTTAATCATGATGGAAGAATTTCAATTTCTGAATTTGCAGATACATTGAACATGTACAATAATAGACTCTAGATTATCAAAGCATAACCCACTCAATAAAACATTTAGAATTATGTTGTTGGTTATCTCATTTCTTATATGAGAAAGTATAGGAAAACTGTCCCAGAATTATTTAATGATATTGACTTGGATGGTAATGGTTACTTATCAAAGGTGGAACTCAAGAACATATTTAAAAATAAAATTGTAATTAAATTTATTCGATATTCTTTATTAGTTGGTACCAGTTGATGAATTTGAATTAAATGAGTTATTCATGGAATTCGATAAAAATAGGGATGGGCATATTAGTATATCGGAGTTTTTGTAAATTGTAAAACCAGCACTTGATCAGGATAAAAACGAGCAATAATTTAATCAATAAGGAATAGACAAAGAAAAGATTGCTCGAAAGGCAGAAGAAATATGTTTCAAAAATGCCAAAGTTCTTCAATTAGCCTTCTAAGCTAAAGCCCAAAAGCCTGGCTATGTGACTGAGACATAGTTCAAGTAAATTCTTAGAGATTAGAAAGTCGGATTCACACCCAATGAAATTGACGATTTAACAGTGAGATTTTAATATTAATTTTTAGATATATGTGGTTTTGCCAGAAAATGGAATGATAAATTACAATTAATTCTTGGATCTGGGTAAACTAAGAGGTCCATAACAATCTGACATATTTGGATAGACTAGTAGATCAGGTTTTGGTTCCTTGAGTTAAATAGAGTAGGAGAGAGCCATAGGCAAAGCCAAAGAAGTATTTCGATATCAAGATATCCTAGGTTTTCAATAGGATATCCAGGGCTGTTAAGAATAAGTATACTCCTTAGCAACTTTTTGCAACCTTCGATAAAGATTCAAATGGAAAAATCAATAAAGCTGAATTAGCCGAAGTATTCTCAAAGATGAGAATTAAAAATCTTGATAAAGACGATGTTGAACTTATTTTCAAAGCATTAGACAGAGATGAGGACGGATCTATTGATGTTAAGGAATTCATCAAATATCTAGAATGATAAAATATTATTCATTTATAAAAATTAAAAAATAAAAATAACAGCCGATTGAGAGAATTGAACTCTCGACCCTTTGCTTACAAGGCAAAAGCTCTAACCACTGAGCTAAACCGGCTCGGTTGAATTTATTACGATTCTTCTGGTTATCAGTGGCGTTCAAAAAATATGGCAACATAATATATTGAGGAAGCCTTAAATATTTTATAAAAGGCTTAATAAAAATACATAAATGTAAGATAATGCATGGTGTAGGTGCATTGATGATTCTAAATGTCATAATATTGATACTTTTCTACAACTTGTTTTTATTATTCCATAAAATAATACTATTAAGAATTAAAAAATTTTTAAAATTAGATAAATGGTTTTTATCCAGACAATAAAATCTAAAGTCTACATTTAATAATAACAGGAATTTTAATGAATTCAAGTACACACAATCCTAATTTGATTGTTCTAAACAAATGCTTTATTGATTACTTAAATGGTTTTGAATTATAAAACAAACAGAAGAACTATCCTAAAGTTGAGTATCATTTTATAGTTCTGAGAAGAAATCCTTTGAGAAAAAAAAGAATAGAATTTATAAAGAATATATTGAAAATTTACAGGATAAATTATAAATCAATAACAACAATACATAAATCTTCATAATATGGAAGAGCGAAGAGTGGTTTAAGAATAAGACATTGAAGAGTAAATCAAAGATCCTGTAGATTTCAATGTAGAGAAACAATAAAAGGATGAAAGAGCATTTAGTTATAATTCAAAATCCAAAAAAAAATATTAGAAGATTATTGAAAAATTGAAAAAACTTAAAAGGGCAGAATAAAAAAAGAAAAATAAAGAGAATTAGAAATATGAACTAGAAATTGAAGGAGAAGATTATAGCGAGGTTAAAAGGAATTAAGAGAAATTGAAAATTTTAAAAGAGATAATGAGTTCTGTTCCTGCATATTTGTTAATGAGCCCAGCTTAAAAAAGGAAATATTTCAAAACTGTTAACATCCAATTTTATGAGACGTTAAAGAAAGAACTAGGGTCATAGTGTTCTCACTCAAAAAGTGTGCATTTCGATCTTGAAAGGAATAAAATCAAAAGTATTGTTCCTAGTAATATTGTAGCATTTAAGTCTAGTGATAATGTGCTTGAATTGTCATAGTCATTGATTTGATATTTATAATTAATATAAATAAAGCAGAGAATTTGATACTAAAAGCTTTCATTATTTTAGGTTATTGTTGAGTCCAGGTTTAAAGCGACTACATAATAAATAAAATTTACATACGCCCTAACAAAGCGAAGTTTAAGCTCTACGTATTTCCTCTCAATTCCTTCATCTCCTTCATTCATCTTCTAGAATTCAATAGTAGTATCATCATCTTTCAGCATTTGATTGAAGGATTGACTCAGGTTGGATCTTTTTTTCTATTCATTTAATAGGTTTTCCAAATTGGAATCAGGAGAAATAGAAATGAGATGATCAAGTTGATTAGTATTTGGAGTACATGATTGATTGGACTTACTATTCTAAAACTTTGAGTTTGAATTAAAAGATATTCTACTTAGTCTGCTCAAGATACTAGGTTGAATTCCAATCAACACGCTGTTATTGAAATCATTGTCAGAAACTGTATCATTATTACTACTGATAGATTATAATCTGTTTTTTTTGCGATTTATTTCAGGTGTAAGAGTAGATCTCTTTTTATCAGGCATTTTGAGTAAGGAGTTCATGTCTTACTCCATTGATTGATTTAATTATGAACCTAAAAGATTGTTAGAGGAAGAAAGATCTTCTTTGGATTTCTTAAACCTATGAGTTTTGAATTATATAATTTACAACGAGGGTTTGCTATTAAGGAGATTACTGCTTGATGATTATCCTTCTCTATCAGTTTTCTGAGATATTATCCAATCAAAAATGAGTTCTTTTGAAAGGTAATTATGTTCGTTTGATATTTTTCTGAACAATGACAAACAATATTTATAATTTGGTTCTGACTTAAATGGCAATCCTTTAACATAATCCAAGTACCTGGCAAATTCAATAGGCAATCCTTAGCATAATTCATTAGTGTCTATTTTTATTTTTAATTGGCCAACTTAATTTATTTTATCCTCCTCCGAAGTAAACTGAAGATTTTGCCATGGAAGCTAACCTAGCATTTTAGTGCATAAATCAATACCTTTTAATAGGTAGATCAACATGTAACATAAGGATTCCATGTCATCTCTTCTACTTAAAGATAATCCTTTGTGAGCATTGATACTTGCATATCGAGTGGTTCCGATAAATGGTTGTCTCTCTCTTAGAGATCTAAGGAATAGAAAAGGGATTCTTACATATGGGATTCATTTTCATCTTTATAAAACTTACTAATCCCAAAGTCCACAATAAACAGTTGATTTTCTTCATCTTCTTTACCAACCAATATATTTTCTGGTTTGATATCTCTATGAATTACGTTGCTGCAAAATAAAACTAATATCTTTACTGTTTGTGCAAACTTTCTAAGATTATTATCATTTGTTCTGCAATATTGAGTACACATTTTAAGGAAAACTTTCGATAATTTTTAATGTAATGGGTCAAATCTCTTCCCAAATATTGAATCACCAAGTATGTTGAATCTCCTTCCCGTCCTGACCAATAAAGTTTCGGAATGTGTTTTAAGTGTTGCAGTTTTCTCAGGATGTCTGCCTAACAGGATAATACACTTTTATTTTTACTTCTCTTTGAAGACTAGAGTCTTCCTTGTTTTCCTTATCAACCTTGATTGCTACAAAATTCCGAGTATTGATATCTTGTCCCATATATACGACACCAAAAGAACCAGAAGAAATTCTCTTTTTCGTTATATATGTGTTGTTGATGAGCTTTTAATTATTCATTATATGAAATAATAATTAGTAATTTAAGGAGTGGCCACAGGTTCCTCAACTAAGGTCACTCTCAAACCTAAGCCAGTACAATAAAAGCCAAAATATTAAGCTCCTCCTCCCAAATAACCTATAAAAAAACAAACAAAAGCCAATGTCCCATAATAACAACAACCTAAATAATAATAACAAAAGCCTCCTGAAACTAAGGTTGTTCAATTAACAGAGTCCATATTATCAGATAAATCAGAACCTGATTAGTAGCAATTTAAATTGTAACAGGAACCTATCAAATAAAATGAGTTTGCACAAATTCACGTCCCTGTTTATGGAGAAGTTACAGTGAAGTACTCCCACTATAATGAAAAGTTTCCAATAAAAGATGGTTAATTATTGGCAAAGGCCATAGATGAGAAATATTGTTTATCCTTTGTTTTTCAGGGACAATACAAATTGATTTTAAAATCAGAAGACAAGAAATAAACATTTGAATTCAGTCGTGGAGGTTGGGATGGATGCGAAAATGGCAAAACCTATTATGTAGAAATCGAAGAAGACCCTATTCAAGAAGAATGGGATCGAAAGAATTCCAAACCTTATTAAGCCCCCAAAGATGAGACTTGTTCATTGAAAAATAAAAAAGTGGAATTGATATCTTCAGAACTCAAAGGAATGAGCATAGATGAACTTAAGGAAAAGGGATCAAAATATAAAGAACTTATTGAAGCCAGAGATTTGGAAGATATTTTATTCAAATGAATATACATTATAATCCAAGTTTGGAACTCTATCATTATAATTCTTTTTTTTTGATTCTCTCCTTAAAGGATATTTCAATTCAAAGATATTTTTCTATCTATTACAATTTTATTGATTAATTATTTATAATATTGAAGAGCATTCATTTCTTAGTAGGATTCAAGAGAAGTTTTCTTGGTGATACATGGGAAATAATGGGAGAATTAATATTTTCTGTGGGGAATCCAAAATTAATTCGATGCAGTTTATGTAGAATTTGATTTAAAATAACTAGTAGATTTAGGTAAATCTAAAATAAATTTGAATTGGAATAGAAATTAAACTATTTATTTGTTTTTTATTTCTTCTTAATGTTATTTTTTATAACTGTTTATATATTTAAATTTATGTTATTAATTTTATAAGCTGTATGGTTTTCAGTACATTTGATATTATCAGTAACGATTTTCGAAGTTGAACGGGTTTTCTTAGATGCACATCTATTGAAATGCTAATATAACTAGTTTAAATTGTAAATTATATAATGCATTAAAATAAATTTAATATTTAACTGCTAATTAAATGTCTAATAATACACCCTTTTAAGTATATCTTAGAGTAAAGCCCTTGTTAGATAATAAGTAATAATATTCGCAATTTCTAGTCAGGACAGTCTTATTTAGGAGTTGGATGAAAAGAGAATAGTAATAACCAAATAGGGTAGAAATAATAAAGAGTTTCATTTTGACCGTATATTCAATAACGAAAATAATGCTTAGATCTTTTCTGAGATTCTCTAAGTATGTTTTGTTTATCTAAAGTGATAGCATAATATAAATTATTTCCTTGAAGGCTATAATACAACGATTTTGGCTTACGGTATAACAGGATCAGGGAAAACACACACTATTTTTGGTAATGAGAAAGACGAGGGACTTGCATTCTAATGTTTAAATTATTTAGTTGAAAAAACAAAGTATTTAAGCGATTTAAGTTAGTGCTTACCCAAATGCATTGGTAGAAGTGAGTTTTATTGAGATATACAATGAAACTATAAGGGATCTCTTAAATACTAATTAAAAATCATTAGTAATTATGCAGGATAGTTAAAGAGGATAATATATATCTGGAGTGTAGTAAATGGTTTGTAAGAATTGCGAAGAAGTGAAAGAGGTCTTAAACCTTGGCAATCAAAATAGAAGTCTGGCTTAAACTATATACAATGTTTCATCTTCCAGATCCCATGCTGTGATTCAGGTGAACTTATCCTATAAGATCGAAAAGTATTAATACTATAATTATTACTAGTTAAATTCTAACTCCCAAATTATTTATTGTAGATTTGGCAGGTTCTGAAAAAGTCTACTTAGAATAGAAGTCAAAAAACTAGTAAGAAGGTTCTAATATCAACAAATCATTGTTGGCCTTGAGTCATTGTCTAACGATGCTCTCAGATAAAACAAAGAAAAATTAACACATTCCATACAGAAATTCTAAGCTTACCAGACTCCTACAGGACTCATTAGGGGGAAACACTAAAACTATAATGATAGCATGCGTATAATAGAATAAGCAATCATACGATGAGATTCTTAATACATTGACTTATTCTTAAAGAGCCACTTAGATCAAGAGACAGGTTCAAAAGGAGGTCACATCCATTCAACAGAATTCAAAATCGGAGGATCTTTCTCCCACTAATGAATCTTAACATTCAGGAGATACTTCTTCTAAGTCAATTTATTTAACTAAAATTTACAATGACATCTACTAAAATGTTGAAGAATATTATGAGATTAATAATTCAATTATGGAAATTTAATCATAAATTTAAGCAAATTCCTTAAAAATTGAAGAAACACAAGAAACTAAACAAGAGGATGAAAATTATATGAAATTGTTGGCTGCACAAAAAGAAAATCAAATAATTGAAAAACAACTATAGAATGCCCTGAAAACAAATCTATAACAAAAAAATATATTAAAATCGTTGCTTCTTTAGATTACAGAAGAGTAATAATCAACAATAAATTATTGGAAGTAAAGATTCGCAGATCTATCCAAATAAATATTAGACATGAAATCTGATCAAGAGAAATCACAATAAGAATTAGTTTCAAAGGATTTAATCATAGCTTAATAAAAAACGATTATAGAATCCATTAAATTACAAAAAAATTAATCGCAATATACTACCAGCGGAGATTCAGATCAATCATATCCTATTTCATTTTCATCTTCTACCAATAATTCTTAAATTAAGAAGAAGGCATCGATAACATAATAGCCTGCTGAAGACAGACCAAGATTTGCTAATATTTCTCACATTAAGTAGAGATTATCACCAAGAGAGAGGTCTCCCGCAAGTAGTATTTTTGGAACTTCACCTGTTAGATCACCGTTAAAACATCATTCAATATATAGAAATCTAAGTAAAAAGATAGAGTATAATATAGACTCCATTTCAAAAGATGATTCAAGAGAGTTATCAAAAGATCTATCAAATCTTAGTATTCATAAAAAGTCACGAGTTGTGGATCCCTAGGTAACAACAATAAACTTATATGGAACTACTTACATCAATGTAATAGATTAAAAAGAAAATAACTGAACATATTATTTATCTCATCTATGAATGTTTAATTTAATTTAAAAAATTATAAATCTATATCCAATAACATAGGAATTAGAATACCAAAATTATTATAGTTTCATAATTAAATAATATTAGGATAAATTTGGGATAATGATTCTTTGTCATTGTGTTATTACTTTGATAATTAAAAATAAGTAATATTCTTTACCAGATACATCTAAATTTCCATCCTTATGATTTGTAGATATAATTAATCAAAAGGAAAATACTGGACATAATATTATGAAAATTGAGAGTCTGGTGGTAGTAGGTTTCTTGATATAACTTTTAATTTATCAAAATTGAAATCTTGGTTGCATGAGTAAAATTTTGATATTAAAATTTATAATATAATAATTCTGCAATGTTAATTTATTTTTAGATTAATCTAATAATACAAAATTCTATATTCAAAATAATCTAAATGGAATATAGCTTGTTTGTCGATTACAAACAACACAGATTTCGATTTAATCTTTGCATTTTTTGGATATCAGGGGAATCCAAAATAGGGGGAGAATAATTATGAATAAAATACATGCGAGGATATATGTATTTGATCCATTTTTGAGGAATGATTGAGTAGGTTTTCTTGTATTGCAAAATTTACAATAGATCTTAGAGGGTTATGAGATTTTGATTGGTTTTTCATATTCATACTTTTCAACATTATCATTGAGAGTAAAATTTGAGACCATTAGAAATTTGTTTTGATTGGTTAATGGAAGATTATTTTTTTCATTCGTGATTAAATAAGAATTAACAATATTTTCGACATCTGATTAAGTGCTGATTTGCTTATTAACGCTTAGTTTAAAAAGTTCTTGCTCTCCTTTTTTCTAAGCTTTGGCAGTTGGACTGTCTGGAATGTAAGAGAATGGTTAGGGAAGTTGATTAGGATTGTTTTAATCCTGGGTTTGCTTAAAAGAATTAGCACACATGATAATTTAAATTTCTAGATTATAATAATTAAATGTAAAGGAAAAATGAGATTTATTTATGCTGAAAACTTGATTTAATATAGAATTAATTTAATTATAAGGGGGATCACTTTATTCTATTCGGAATGAGTTTGCAAAATCAAATTAAGATTGATTATATAAATATTATTAATATATATTGAATTAAATCAGTGTGTTCAGTCAGTCAGTTAATTAACAAAGCATAGCTACGCCTCTCTTCACCCAATGATGTTATGATTATTCAGTTGGCATATTGACATTCATAATGAAATTAGTAGAATGACCAGTGGTGGAGAGAACACCTCTTCTTTCAGCAGTTTTGTAGACGGGGCAAACATATTAGTTTCTTGTGTCTGCTTCCCCTTATATTGGTTTGAGCCAAATGATAGGTGCCAGAGTCGTCAGTACTTTAGGATTAGATTCAACAATCATTTCTCGACCATAATCCCACCTGCATCCTTCTAAGAAGAGTCCAAAGATTAGAGTGCCATCTACAATATAAATGATAATAGGTTACCGTTAACTTATCGAGGTAATTAATTAATTTCAAAATTAAGTTGAGGCTCTTCAAGAAATTGGAAGTCAAAGTCTAATTTGTCTATTGCTATTGAGTATTTTCTAGCATGGTTTTGTAGGACAGCAGTCAAGAAGGATTGAGTAAAGAAGAAACCAGAGATCCAATGGACATAGGGGATCTATTTATCTAGCCAATTTTGGAAATATCTGATTCTTCTTAGGAAATCCTATAGATAAGATGCCAATGGTTTCAATGAAGGATAACTGTGTTTTTTCCATTAATCTGGAACTGCTCCAATTAGAAATGATTGAGTAATTTTTTCCAATTAATCAGACATGGCTGTTAGACCCTTAATAGCATTTAAAGTATCAATAAATGATTACTAAATGATTGAGATCAATTTATTGAATCTGGATATTTCCTATTAGAAAACTGTATTAAAAGAGTTCTTATAATCATGAGGGTATTTAGCATTTGCTATTTCCATATCAAATTTTCTAGGGAAATTAGCAAGGTACTCTTCACATAATTATTTAAGGACATTTTCTGCCTTTTTGGATTCATCATTTTATTAACCTTCACTATATGAGGATCCGAGTGTTTGTTACAATTTTCTTAGGATCTCATCAGTATATTGTTAATCCTTCATAATTTCAGCATTGGGATGGAATCCAAAAAGATGAGTAGGTTGAACTAGTGGTAGATTATTCAATTGATTCAGATATTCTTCATATGATAATCCTTCAATGATTGGGAAATCTTGGATTTGGAAGGTGTCTTAAGTGACTTTCTCAGTTAAATATTCATCTAAAAGAGCTCTTACTACTCTCCTATCTCTTTCATCAGTCACTCTGCCTCCATAGTTGCATTCTCCAATAAGGTAATGTAATGCATGGAAGGGTATAGAGACATCTGCAGCCATTTATTAAAGTTGCCTTATTGATATAAATAGATCAGATTGATTAAAATCGTAATAGATATTAAAACCTATAGGTCCATAATTTCTACGTTCTTGTAATATAGCATGGAAAAATGATAATGCATAAAATAGTTTTGATAGTTTCTTATTTGAATAATCTAATTGTTAATAGAGAGCACTAGAATAACTGACCTATAGATTCGATTTGATACCAGTTGGAGGTTCATTTGTCATCTTCACACTACTCTAAACAATAGATGCAGGCAAATCTTCACTGGGATAACTGGTTAACCAGAGTCTGAAATGATTATGCATTTTCTATGTTTGTATATCCTCTATAATCTTTTCTAATTTTGGCATCCATGATGGATATAAATGGCAATTTTACAATATTACCCATGTTCCTGATTGCTTAGCATCTTCTATTTCCTTTTCAGCAATTACTCCTTATCCTTAACCCAATGAAACAGATCTTAGTTAGATATCTTTCTATTTAGCAAAATTAAGTAAAGCATTCATTGGATCAGTACCAGGCAATACAAACAACAATGGGGATTTTGGATTGCTACCCTGAAATGATGAATTGAGTGAAAATGGTGGAGGTTAAATGTATTTATCTCCTAATTCAGAAGAGACAAAGTCTTGTATCACTTTAGGTAGTTTTCCAGGTCTTAACGCTTTAATAATACACATTCTCTAAATGGGTGTGATGACGACAAAAGGTTCTGGTAATCTAACCTAATGACCTTCAGGAGAATTTAGTAATTCCATCCAGACTTCAGGGAAATTATGCATACTATCTACAATTTATGATAGTTTCTTGTTCACTTTCATTAACACTTATATTCTTGCCCATGCTTAGTTTGGTAACCATTCTTTGTAAGGATTTTCTGGTACTTCAGTGGGAACAGTAATTTATCTAATAATGAAGGAAAATTCTTCAAAATCTATTTACTTCTTTTATTCAAGAATTTTGATCAAAATGATGAAACTGTAAAGCAATTTATCTTTTTCAAATAATCCTCTGCAAACTTAATTATATAATAAATGGAGTGTCATATTATTAATGTTATTTATTCTTTATTGAATACGTTAACTTGGTTCACTTTTGATGAATGCTTCCTAATACAAATTTAATAACCAAGATAAAGAGTACTAATACATAGAATCTAATTAGGCTAGGGAAATGACTGCAAAGAAAAGCAAAGCTCCATGAATAGCAATTGGTTTGTATTGAACTCTGGCTTCATCAATCTTCCTCTCTGTGTATTCTGATGTTTCTTATTTCTCTTCAATATCTTTTGATTTTTCTTTAGAAGTCTACAAAATTTGAATAGCCTCCTCATCATTCAAAATATTTTCAGCCTTATTTAAAACTCTCAGAATCTGATCCTCTATTTTTTACAACTCCTGTTTGTTTTTGTGTTACTATAAAATCTATCTATTCTTCTCCTCTTCTAAATTCGGTTACTCTTTGCTAACACATATTTCTAGTAATTAATCCTCCAATCCACTTTAAGTAATGGTGAAATTGATAATTGTAACTTTAGTGCTTATTTCTGGAGTGTAATGAGGATTGCTTAATTTAGTAGTCATGAACAGATTGAACTATTTATTATAGGGTATAATATTGTCCCCGATTCTGACTGACATAACACCAGCACTTTTGAATATTTGCTTGAGTAAGACAGAATCAATAGTGGAATCAATATCCTCATATAAATTTTCAATTAGTAATGGTTATCCGAATTGCAATGTATTTTCTAATGTTCTCAAGAAATCACTGTCAGTGAATTTAACTAATTTTATATCTTTTTCATTTTGTCTAATAAATCGATTGCCTTGTCCTTGTGGGTCTATTAACAGAGGGAACCTTTGACATCTATTCATAATAATTCCATTTTCAATGCTGAACTAATCACTGGGTAATCCATTCATTCTCCATTGTCTAATCAAAATTGGTTATCCAAGAATGTTTTGTAATGAAAAGTTTTCAGAGAATTGCATATTGCCCTTTAAGTTATCCATCCACATTTTGATGGTTTTCTATCTGAAATTATTACTAAAGACTCCCAAATATGCAATAGTTCCTGATGACAGTATAATGTCTCCCAATACTTATTTTAATCTCTATTCATAAATGGCAGACGACTTACTCCATCTCTCTCTTTCTCCTCCCAATCCTTCCATCAACTTTGTCGCTCTTTGCAACTTGACTTCACATTCTTTAATATCTCTATCTAATTGCTATTGATTATTCATAGTCTCCTAATAAGCCAATTCTAACTTATTAATCTCGGCTGTTAAAACAGATAAATCTTACTATAATACCTTCAATGACTCTGACAATCTTGCTACTTCCTATTGTGATTGAAGGTACTTTTCTTATTTCGGTCTAACAATAGTGAGTACTTTTTCATATTCATCTAAAGCTAGAACCCATTCACATAATCCCTTAGCAGCAGAACTAGCCTTTTCAACTCTTTTTGGATTGAATTCCTCCTTTTTGGAGACATAATTATTTCTGACTTTCTGCATAATCTCAGGCTTTATATTATTTTTATCATAACCAATCAGTTTCTATAAGAAATCTTTGTCTGCTAAAAATTTCTTACTCGCTTCCCAATAATCCATAAACCTTTCCTTGGGATTCTCAGGCTTAGGCATACTGATCGGAGGGACTCCACACAAGACACAAACAGATTCCATTACTAGTTTAACTGTGATGGGGGGTTTCAACATAGCCTTGATTGAATTAATATCTGCAGGAGACAGTGTATTTAAAGCTTCTTCTGCTTACTTTAATTTAGGTTTTGCTACAGATAATTCTTTCTCGCATTCTTAATTTATAATTTCAGCCTCCTTAACACATTCTGACACTCTAGCTTCCTCTTCTTGTACTTACAATCTCTTAGGTTCCATAGCATCTGCTTATTACTTGATAATAACTGCCAATTTACTGGCTTCAATATTCATTTCCACTAATTTAGGCTATTTTTCAATTAATTCAGCCTCCATCCTCTTAACTTCCTCTGAAGTTTAATCAAGCTTTGTGACTCCATTCTTATACATATTTCTAGTATCTTCCAACTTAGTCTTCTCTACATGTAAAACAGCTTAAAATGTCTTCAATAACTCAAAATAACTACTGGGAGTAACGTAATTGTGTCTTCCTTCTTGGGCTTTGAATTGCTCACTAATAGTCTATAATGATGAATGCATATATTTGCACTAGGCTACCAACAGTCTTTATTGACTATCCTTGATTTGTATATCCTCTAAGAACTTTCTAGCTACAGCCTCTAAAGCATCTTCAGGCCATTAATGGAAACAATCAATCGTTGCACAATTTACAATGCTTGGGAACATACGTATTCTAGATCTTAAAGTATCCCCTATGGGACTCATAACCAAAACGACATGGAGTTTCTTCTTGACACATTCAATAAAATAATCATAGAATTGAGCATTATTCCCATTATCAAACAACTACTATTTGCCTTCCTTCTTTGCTTTCAATCTCAGTTTATCTATCTATGGAATGAAATCTTCCTATCCAAAAAGATTAGGAATGTCGCCTGTATTAAGTAGATTATTAACATCCTCTAAAATGAATGGTTTCTTGATTTATGAATCAGAAATACAAAGAGTTATCTCCTTATTGTCTGCTCCAGCATTTATCATTAATTTCTACATTGTTTCTTTCCACTGTTCATAGGTATATCCTTTGCCTACCTCAATTTGTAAGAATTCCTATTCTCTAATAAAGCATGCCAATCTAGTGAGACTCTATCTTCCAGATCCTCCTAAACCAATCAATAACAAATGACCTTAAGTCATATTTAAGACTCTTTGGATTCTTAAGAGATGGTCAACGCAATAATCAAACAAGGCCAAATTCAATGGCTTTTTTGTATTGGAATTAAGATCTTCTAAATAGAATTGCAATTTTGAATACACTCTAGTTGACGACATTACTTCAGTGTATTTCCTTTCTGAAACATTTGGTTCTTCTGAAAGAATGTCTGACCAAACATAACTTTTTATATTGTATTTAGTGGTTGCAACATCATCATATGGTTTAATCATGTGTTTTAGATCATCTCTTAATTTTAGTTTGATTGAGTTTGCCAACATCATTGAATATTGTTCATGATCAACCTGTTCCAATCTATCAAAAAAGGTTCTTGTGGTTTCATGAAGCCACAATCTCTAAACTTTCTTATGATCAAGTGATAATTCCTTTGAATTTATCACCAGAGTCATCCCTTGAACTACTCGACTGATGTCTCTCATGTTAAGGATATACCAGGATTTTCGTGGAGTTGCCTTCAATTAATCTCGAATCTATGTATATAAATCAATTGTAGCTTCGATTGCATATTGGAAACTCTTCCTAATGTCATTATCTGTGTTTTCTATTTTAATATTATTCAAATGCCAAGAGATAATGGAAGTGAAGATGTGTACAATGTTGTTGGTGTCAGGAGTTACGATGGATACAATTTAAAAGAACCTTAGTAATCTCTATGTAACGAAGCTTCTTCCACCTCCTGGCAATCCCATTGATGCAATAACGTTGCAATCCAATATGTGCATAAATTATCTGTCATTTCCATACCATCCTTTCGTGCCTAAAAACTGTCTTATCAATTCCAAAGGAGCTTGAGTGCCGTATTTATCAGGGGCAGGCATATTCAAATCATCAATGTAAATGAGTCCGATGAATCCCAATGGGGGTCCATAAAAACCTTTTCTTTTCCTTTCTACCTTAGAATCAATAATCATTTGTGTCTTGTTAGCACTTGTAGTAGCTGAGAAATTGACAAATATGTTTAAGTAGTTTTACAACTATGATATGTGTTTTCTGATATAACAAGTTTTACCAACCCCACTTGGACCAATTATCAACAATGGAGAGTGACGATTTATGCATTTGTCAATAAGTGATGTGATTCTTAAAGATTCAGATGTCTCTACCAATATCTCTTAATAGGTTATATTTTCTGGTATTTTTGAATCATGAAGCAATTCTTTCCACATTCTCCACTTGAGTAATTCAGGATCATAGAAGAAATCATAGATGTTGGTATTTGATAATTCTGGAATCTGGGATTACTTGTCTATTTTTATGACAACATCTTTTTTATTCTCATTTCTGAGAGGCTCCTTAATTAGTTTTTTGAGATATTAATCAAAATGTTTTCTGCCTATTTCATCTACAGAACTGCCAACTGTCCATACAACCGAATATACGAAGAATGCATCAATCAGAATACTAGGATCTGCTTGTTTCTTCAAAGCTTCAGGATATGTTTAGATCAATTGAATCAACATGGATAAGGTATGAATGCAAAATGAGTTTTCTGGTACAGATTCATATTCATGACATTTTTATTTAATGAATTTTTGAGCTTTTTCCACAATGGTTTCAAAGAGATCTGAGATTCTCATGAGAATGCCTTAATCCACATTTTGAATTTCTTGTAATTATTTCAAAAATATATTAAACCATCCCAGTTGATCAGGCTGTAAATATACCATACCACATCTACTAACAGTTGCAGGAGAAGCCTATGTTAAATCTTGAACTTCAAAGATGATTGTCATTCTATCAGTCATAGCAATAGTCTCTCCACTCATTAAACACAATTTCTTATTATCATCTAAGACTGTATTCATGTTTTCAATCCATGCGGCATCTACAGGACCATCAAATACCAAAAATTGTCTATCCTAAGAAGTGGATGTAGCACATCTACGATATATTTCACCCAGTACTCCTTCTGTCCATTCCTTACTGACAGGATCAGAGTACCCATACAATTAGTTCAAAGTTATTGACTTCGGATTTAACACATGATACTAAACACACCTTTCATCCTATAACCCATTTTTATGACAGTAGGTTAGAGTAGACGCTAATACTTAATAACAAGAGGTTTTGCCACTCATAGTCTGTCCAACTAACATAAGTCCATGTCTACAATTGATCATCTCGTATAATTATAAGACTTTTCTTTTGAAGTTAGGTACGACCTGCATGTTCTAAGATTACAAGACCGAATTCATAGCTTCTTGGAGATTCTTATATTCAACTGGTTGCACCTTGACATCTGGAAAGAGATCACTCATAATGCCATTGAATAACATCACATCATTGGTTAAGAACTTTGGTAAATTGATATCACCAATGGCTCTGTATATAAGAATGTCTTCTCTTTCAGTAGATTTACGTTTGAGTAACTATGCAGCTGTCAAAACTGCTTTGACTGCTCTCATACCATAATCATAGTGATCTTGACTTGATAATTATTCTGAACATAATTTATACACAGCAACTATCTTTTTAGCCAAAGCTCTTGCCTCGACAAATCCAAATGAATATAGAGATATTTCTGCAATGAGAGCATAGTCTGGCACCATCATAGCACATGGCCTAAAGAGTGCTTTCAAATTATCAGGTAATTCTGATCTACCTGCATATCCAGGATTCATTGTAATAAAGATGTTGCATGATTATTGAATATGTATTTCTGTGCCTTCAAATTAAAATGACTCAATCGACATTGATTTAGCTTACTGAATTTATAAGATTTATTATGCAATGACAGACAAGACCTCCAATTCAATTCTGTTAAATTCATCAAAACATGACCAAGCACCAGCACTTGCTAGGCCTTTAAAGAACTTGGCCATTGCATGAGTGTTCAATCCCTCACCACAATTAAATACTATACATTATACTGCTACAGCTTTGGCTAAGTCCTTAGTGGATTCTGTCTTGCCAGTACCAGCGGGTCCTTCTGGTGCTCCGCCCAAATTTAAATGTAATGCACCAACTAGAGTTCTATAACATCTATCTGTTAATGGAGTAATAACCAATCTGCTTCCTATGCCTAAATACTCATTTCCATATGGAATAGAGGTTTAGACCATCTTGACTGAAACACTTGTGTCTTCCTACATGTAATATCTCAATTATGAAGTCCATTCAAATATATTTGTGTCTTTCATTTCCAATTTTATTAGATCTTGTAAAATATCATTATTATGCACTTCCAAAACTATTAAAGCGGACAACAATTATCTTTCATTTTATTATTAAGATTCCCTTACCAAAGACACAATCTCATTCAAATGATTAACTCTGTCACTCCCAAATTTATTCAGTGTCTTTCCAGATCTTATCGTACTTTCGATCTAATTAGTAAAATTAATGCATGCACAAGCCAATACACATTGGCCAGGCCATCTACGAATCCATTTGATTAACACTGGTAATTCTTGTAATTCTCCAAAGCATTATCTAATTAAATGAGAAATGCTGTTCCTCATTTCTTCTTCTACCTTTAGCAACCATTTTTCAACGCAATTCTTGAACTCTCTAGGAGATACCTTATTATCAAAGTTGACTTCTTCCTTTTCAACACTTTTCATTCCTAAAATATCTGTATTTGAATTGAAAATTAACTCCTCAATTCCCTCAAAACACTTTCTCATATGAGGTTACACCAAGAGTGGATCTCTCGTCTCTGCCAAGATGTTAATCAAATCATCATTTGATAAAAAGAAGAAGCGTGGGAATTCCAATCGCTTAATTTCCAAATGGTTCTCTAATCCCTTCTGTATTTCCTCTATTAATCTTAATGATGTTTATAAGATATCCATTAAATTTGGAATCTTCTCTAAGTTCAATGCTAACGGTTCCATTTCAACAGCCTTTGTAATTAAATTCCAATTACTACTCACCTTCTTGAATTTCTCACTCTCATCATACAATGTCTTTATTATATCTTCAAAACTGAAAATTGGTTCCAAATATAGGTACATACCTTACACCTTAATCCACAAATCTAAGATTTACTAAATAAACATCATTAATTTCTCCCATCTTATGGCATCTTCCTCCATGAATTTAATCAAGGGATTAGCTCTGATTGTTTAGGATTTAATGACATGATCATCCAATAAGGTTTGTATTTCCTCTACGCATTGTCCCTACAAGATAAGAACTCCTCTTCCCTTGTAATTCAAAACAACCAATTTAATGCTATCCCATTCCTTTTTCATTTTGACCAATGCATTTTCTAGGGTGAATTCCTTGCTTGCATTTTCTGAAATTTCTTCCACATCTCTAATAAACTCTACGATCTTCCAATTATTCAACTCCCTCAAAGACACTTCCTTGTAGTTGAAAGTCTATGTTACTATAGTTTAAACTGATTTCCAATGTCTTTCACGTAAACCTGGATTGGAGAGAACTTCTAAAGTCTTACTGTTTTAACTCATGATTTCAACATCCTCTGTGAACTCCCCCAAGACTCTGAATGGAATACTATTCTATTTAAACAATTTGCTGAGTTTGACTATTCCCTTTTTTTGATTCTTCAAGATGGTCTCTACATCACCGTAATTAACATCCATAATAGGGCCATTCATCCATTTCTTCTTTTGTTCCATATACAAGCCTATTGATTTCCACATTTCTGAATAAGGCTATATTTAAGTTTGCAAATTCACGAAATTCTCAAATTGAGATGGATATCCGAATAATGTCAATTCCTTTTATATAATCTCTTGCATTTCTGCAGCAGCATCAGCCAATCTCTGTTCAAATTCTTCTATGTCCTTAACATATCCTTTGTATTACGATCTTTCAGTGAATGAGTCAAGATTTTTAATTTCAACACAGTACTTAGCGACTCTCTCCTCAAATTGAGATCTCTGCTTCTTAAGTTCTTCCTCTAATCTGCCTCTCTCAATTTGATGTTTCTCCTCCTATTCAATCAACTCCTTGTCAAGTTGAGCTGGTCTATGATACAATTCTTCCGATAACAATAGTAACTGTTCACTAATAACGTAATCTTGCTTCAATAAAAACATAACTTTAATAAAGATATCTGTCGTATTGGTTTTTATCTTCACTCTCTCTTGCCCAACATCTGTAATGTACTTGTCCATGGCTTCCACATCCTCAGGTGTTTTAAGTGATCTTCTGATGTAGGTACTAATCTGCAAGTACCTATCAGATATCACTTTAGATTGATCTATCAAAACAGATTCAAAATTAATGAACAATCTATCCTTGTATTCTTTGATCATTTATTTGACATTGGAACACACAGACTCACAATTTACTTAAAATAGAGGGAATTGAATGGTTGATGGAATTTTATCCAACAAACTTTTATATTTATTGAGAATCTCCATATACATTTTGAATTCTTCATTTGAGATGGCTTTCTTTAATGATTTGATTTCCTTTTCATAGACTTTGTTGAAGAATTAAGTGAACTGTTAGAAATAGTCAATGACCTGCAGAGTTTTTTTGTAATGTTCACTAACATGTTTTAATATTCTGGCTTCTTAAACCAAATAGCACCCTTCTTCTATTGATGCAACTGTCATATACTTTTTCTCTTAATACACTTCTCTCTATTCCTCAGATGCCAACAAAAGTTCTGGATGTTCTTTCTATTGCTTTTCCTCCACTTTCACTTGTGGCCAAAAAGACTTGAAGAACTTCTAGAAATCTTCTTTAGTCATACCTCCCATGTCTTGGTCAAAATTAAACTAGAAATTTCTTAATGGAACTGGTTAGATGGTCTCTTTGGGATTGTAAGTGACTTTGGCAAATTTTGGATGCAGGAATTTATCAAATGAGATTATGATACTTCTGAAGGCATCCACAAATTCATTCCTAACAGATTCTTCGTTCTCCTTCAACTTAACAAACTCATTTTCCATTACCAATTCCAATCGGATGAAAGGATCATAAGGTTGTGTGAGTAAATTCCATTTTGGAGGTATGAATTCCCTGTCTTTCATACTTTGAAAAGCCTGGATCAAACTAGTAAAATTAGTATCGCTGAGTTCGATATTATATTATTTAGGAATTTCGATATTGATAATGTGCTATTCAAAATGCTGTAAAGATCTATCTATGTAACCTCTAAGTTGCAATTGCAATAACACGGTAGCATTGGATGTGACTGCCTTCCTTTATTCCTTTTCTAATTTCTTATATAGTTTTTCATCTTGCTATTACCTAACATCCTCCAATTGGAATTAAGACAACTTATCTGACTCAATGGGATTTGGGTTTTGTAACATTACATGGTATTCTGTAAAGGCATTGAGTGCTTGGCATGAATCTTTGAAACGATCAAAATTGTACGGTTGGGTTGTTTTGGAAGCATAGAATTGTAAGGCTTCCTTGATGGATATGTAGCAAGAGTTGTCCTCACCCTTATAAATCACGTTATCCTCATCGATAAAATCTTCCTCTGGGATGATTTCAAGCACTGTTTATCGTAATGATTATTATTTAAACTTTGGCCCAGTAATAGTCCATGAACTTTTGTATTGCTTCTACCTTAAGAACTTCTGGAGCTTAATTATTAGCATGACTCCTCTAAACCAAACGTGTTCTAAGAGACACAGAACATTCAATTTGTAGATAGTTTGAACCCTTTGGAATTCCTGGAAGGTAAAGGTATAGCCCAATCGAGCCACTTATTTCATCTTGCTTAAATCACATAATTTAAAACTGCTGAAATCTTGGATCCAATCAGACAATCCTTAATTGATTGTCGATATGAGTGTAAGGTTGTTTTTGCAGAAATCCTTCCCTCGCTATACGAAATCGTGCCAATCTGGGAATAATTTCATATTGTAGCCTCCCTCTCTGGCTATTCTTTAGGCTGAATGTATGAAAGTTCTTGGGAGTAATGTGATATGGAGTCTCTTTCTTTCCTCTGGAGACCTAAGTATATAATCGAGCATTGCTCTCTTCATGTATTCTCTAAACAATTCCAATATCTCCTTAACAATAAATCTTGAGCAATCTTCATTGCGTAATAATTCTGGTTTAATCAAATTGAATGCATTTAAAATCCATTCTCTTTTGAATTTTGGAACTTCGTCATTTCTTATATGATCACCAGATAGGTAATTACGATATCTTTCTTCAGAGATGAGTACTTCTTTGAGAATGTTTTCTGGCCAGAACTCTCTACCTATGTGAATGTAATAGTCTTTGCATAAAAGTGATGGATCATAATTGCCATTCATTTCAGCTAGCATCTCATTGAATTTCCTTAGAGACAATTCCATTTGATCTATATTTTCATCATTGTCATCAAAGTATTCAGGATATAAACAAAGTGACACTGGTTCTCTTGTCAAGGCATCATTAGCTCCTGAATTGATACCTGTTTTGTCTCTTCCTTATTTTGGAAACAGTTCATTCACAATAGCCAATTAGATGGGTACTTCTCCATCACTCTTTTCAGCTGAACTCATTGTTTTTTACAAATCGATAATTTTGAGCAAATGTTCCTTTTTCAACTTTGCTGAAAATTGCATATAAACTCCAATTCTCTGGATTGGTGAATAATAGCCTAGATCACCGAATNTTACCTAACATCCTCCAATTGGAATTAAGACAACTTATCTGACTCAATGGGATTTGGGTTTTGTAACATTACATGGTATTCTGTAAAGGCATTGAGTGCTTGGCATGAATCTTTGAAACGATCAAAATTGTACGGTTGGGTTGTTTTGGAAGCATAGAATTGTAAGGCTTCCTTGATGGATATGTAGCAAGAGTTGTCCTCACCCTTATAAATCACGTTATCCTCATCGATAAAATCTTCCTCTGGGATGATTTCAAGCACTGTTTATCGTAATGATTATTATTTAAACTTTGGCCCAGTAATAGTCCATGAACTTTTGTATTGCTTCTACCTTAAGAACTTCTGGAGCTTAATTATTAGCATGACTCCTCTAAACCAAACGTGTTCTAAGAGACACAGAACATTCAATTTGTAGATAGTTTGAACCCTTTGGAATTCCTGGAAGGTAAAGGTATAGCCCAATCGAGCCACTTATTTCATCTTGCTTAAATCACATAATTTAAAACTGCTGAAATCTTGGATCCAATCAGACAATCCTTAATTGATTGTCGATATGAGTGTAAGGTTGTTTTTGCAGAAATCCTTCCCTCGCTATACGAAATCGTGCCAATCTGGGAATAATTTCATATTGTAGCCTCCCTCTCTGGCTATTCTTTAGGCTGAATGTATGAAAGTTCTTGGGAGTAATGTGATATGGAGTCTCTTTCTTTCCTCTGGAGACCTAAGTATATAATCGAGCATTGCTCTCTTCATGTATTCTCTAAACAATTCCAATATCTCCTTAACAATAAATCTTGAGCAATCTTCATTGCGTAATAATTCTGGTTTAATCAAATTGAATGCATTTAAAATCCATTCTCTTTTGAATTTTGGAACTTCGTCATTTCTTATATGATCACCAGATAGGTAATTACGATATCTTTCTTCAGAGATGAGTACTTCTTTGAGAATGTTTTCTGGCCAGAACTCTCTACCTATGTGAATGTAATAGTCTTTGCATAAAAGTGATGGATCATAATTGCCATTCATTTCAGCTAGCATCTCATTGAATTTCCTTAGAGACAATTCCATTTGATCTATATTTTCATCATTGTCATCAAAGTATTCAGGATATAAACAAAGTGACACTGGTTCTCTTGTCAAGGCATCATTAGCTCCTGAATTGATACCTGTTTTGTCTCTTCCTTATTTTGGAAACAGTTCATTCACAATAGCCAATTAGATGGGTACTTCTCCATCACTCTTTTCAGCTGAACTCATTGTTTTTTACAAATCGATAATTTTGAGCAAATGTTCCTTTTTCAACTTTGCTGAAAATTGCATATAAACTCCAATTCTCTGGATTGGTGAATAATAGCCTAGATCACCGAATCTTGCAAATGTAGCTGCCACTGTTCTTTCATTTCTATCGAAGAGTTCTTCATAAGGTAGATCAAGAGCACTGACATTAGTGAATTTAGTGTATATCTTGAAGAAGGATTGTGGGGCAGTTGTTTTTGAGGAGAGAGGCCTTTGATGACTCCAATTACTTTGGGGTCTTAGAACTTATTAGTCGATCATGTCTGTAATTTATTTTTTATGTTTTTGAACAGGCTTTTGAAATACATCAAGAGTAGCACTTTGGATGCGATCTTATTTGACTCTTTTGCTTTCGGCTACCTCAAAAGCCTGAGATTGAGGTCTCTGAATAGATGTCATAGGTCGTTTAGAAATTGGTGGTCTTGATAATGTTTGTTGAGCAGATTGTAGTCTCTGCTATTGTTCTTAAATAATAGTGAAGTCCATCTTTCCAATTGATGTCACAGTTTAGGGACGAGGTTGCTATGCATTATTTTATCTGGAAACATCAATTGATTATTATTTGGAGGGTTCATTTGAAATCATCTTGCCTCCGAGAGAGGATAGAAATTCATAGGGTTTCAGAGTGCCGCTTATCGTTTCGCAATCCAATTGATATTCAGTCTCCTCTTTCTTGACAGCAGAAGAAACTCTTTTCAATCCTATGGTTGTGTTTTTACTCGCTTCCCATAGACGCGCATTCACATCCACTGTGCATGAATATGGCTATGCTATTCTGTAATTGATGTACTTATTCATCATTACTGCAGGAGTCTAATTCAATTTCAAATTTATTTTACTTCTATGGTACTCTATGGTCTTTGATGCACTATTGTCTATACCTCGCTATGCATGGGCTATAATGTTGATGTTTTAGCCCTATACTCAGTCTCTTCGATAGAACGTTGCGATGCACTTTTACATTCATATAACTGCAGTACTTCTTCATATTGGGTAAATGAAATTTCTGCCCGCTCTAATTGTACAATGTGTACCCATTCGGCATAGCAACTCGCTTAACAGCAGACGAAGCTCTATTTCCACTTGATTATGCTCTCCGAGGATTCATTAATTAATTAATTATATAATATTCACTTATATAATTTCTTCTATTTTATCCATAAGCCTAGTTCTCTGCATAATCCTTCTAAAATCAATCCTATAGATTGTCATTCAATACATTGATTTCTTATTAAAGCATTCTTAAAAGATGAACTTACTTTATACAAAAGTGTTATTTTATTTATTTACCCTTTTGTAAATTGAGATATTGGGTTCAATTTGATTAAGGATTTAAGAAGTTCATGCTAATATAGATGCTCTGCAGTCACTGTTTTAAGTACTTTTATATTCTATTCTGTCTCATTCTTTCTTCAAACACTATTTATGAGGAATTTTCAATAATCCACTCTTTATCTTAGTCTACTGTTTAAAATTGCTAGCTTAGATCTTTTCCATTCTTTCTTATAGTGCCTAATTCAGTGATACTAATATTCATGCTCTCTTGAAACTATCCATTTTTTAGATGTGATCAATCATTCACACTTTAGTTAGTTAGGTTGTTTTACTTAAATAGAAAATTTCTCAAATTAAAAACTATTTTATACTTGATTTTATTTTTAACAGAAATTTATTACATGTACCCAGAATATTGTGTTGCTCAGAGACAATAACCCTACCCTTTACACAAAATTACACAATCATATAACCCAGTCGTGCAGAATGAACCTAGACCACGGTAACCTAATGAAAATCCAAAGGATTATATGATCACAGCATACACTTCCATTAATCATGTCATTGATATCTCTCCAACCTCCTCCATCTATAGATTGGATCCTTTTGCCAAGTATTTGTGTTGTTGGACCAATACTGTGGGATCTGAAGAAGTAAGTGCTATACAAGAAAGAACCAAATGGAAACACCCAAATCTAGTCTCTTTCCTCTTCTTTGAAGAATAAAGTGACAAATTTAGCCAAAGTAAACAACTCAAAATCTTCTATGAATACCTCCCTTTGGACATTAGATAGTTGATTGAGAAGAGATCAAAAACACAAGAATACGTCCCTGAAGAAGAAATATGGAAGATGATTTCTGGATTATGTGAGGCCTTTGTATTTCTCCAAAAAAGAGGAATCACCCACTCTGCCCTGACACTGGAATCAGTTTACTTCGACGAAGAATATTTGCTATACCGAATTCAAGATGTCAGTCCTTTCAGAGCCAGAGCCCCTCATCTATTTGAAAACTAATACAAATCGCCAGAATCTGGAGGCAACCTTAGAGTCAATAGATTTAAGTAGGACGTATTCGGATTAGGGTAAATTGTAATTTCTATATCAAATAGTATGATCATATTGTCTCTTTGTCTTCTCAAAAACTGTGATTACCTCTTTGAAACAGGAAGCATCGGTGTCATTCAACTGAACGACTGTTTTGATTAATTGAAATCACTTTATCCTGGGAGAGTTGACTCGATACTCAAAAAGATGCTCCTGATTGATTTCAACTAAAGACCAGATTGGTTAGAGATGCAATAGCTATTAGGCAATTTGAAGGAGATGCAACTTACTAATTTAGATCTTGGTTTGAGCAATAAATCATCGATTTTAAATTCATCTTTTTAGTTACAATAACAATAATAATAACAATAACAAGTATATAAAGCCTATGACTAATTAACATTAAGTTAAGAGAATAGAGAGATCAGCAACAATAATAATAAATTTACAAGTTCTATCAATAATAATACTACCATCAAGACTACGAGTACAGATTCTGTAGACTAAAAACTTATCAATCTAAATAAAAGAATTCAAGAAACTCTATCAAAAAGTCTAAATAAAAATATTAGATGATTTATATTAAATTGCTACATAATATTAATTATACAATGATTATAATAATTTTATTGGTCATCATAAGCTAGTATCAACTTTGCTAATCAAGGATATTTGAAATTGAAGATGATAATGGTAAGCTCAATCTGAAAAATATGAATGGATTCAAACTTTAGATATTCTACAGCTTAGAGGTTTAAATTAGCGAATTGACCTAAATTTAAACATCAAAGTGCACTTAAGATTGTAAGGATTGTACTAGACGTCAGTGTTACTTAGGTTAGACAGAACTTGATCATTCTGAAATCAAAATGTATGATTTGGATACTTAATTAACTGTTCTTTAGCCTCTCACATACCTTAATGATTAAAATTAAAGTCATGCTATTAATAAAATATCTTTGGTAAATCCTGGACTATATATAAATTCTTTTGTGGGGGATGGCTTTTAATTATGTTAAAGTAATACAGATAAAACATTAGAGACCCCGTTTTTAATGAATTTGAAAGACATACCTAATTAATAGATATTATTTTCACCGATTCTATCAGAACGTAATTTTAATTATTTCTAAATCAATTACTTGAAGTTTGGAGATTATTAGATTGATATATCATCTTGCAAAATTTATTTTTATTTTGGAGTAGAGCCATTCTTTAAAATTCACATTGTAAATGAGATTATGAAAGAGTTAGAAGATGATTTTGATTAAAAATTTGTAAGTTTACTTAAAAACTCTGGTTGCAATTATTTTCCAAAATGGATTTTTAAGCATATAGAATTAGAGTTTGAAAAGGCAGGATTCCTTTATTTTGAGGGTGATAATTAAATTGAATTTAAAATTGCATACAGAAACAGCACTAATATTAAATTAGATTCAAAATATGATTTTAAATTTTTCAATAAAGAAAATGAAGAATATCCTATTATTTATTCTTCAAATCAATATTTAATAGATTTTAAAAATGAGGAGCAGTTGCTTAAGTTTATTTTCCATGATTTTTCTAATATAATTATTCTGGGGGCATCTTTCTTTGAAAATAAGAAAGTGTAATTCAATTTTAAAGAAAACTTTGTTACTATTTAGAATTAGTTTGATGAAAGATGCTTTGAATATGAAAAATCTACTCATTATTAGCAAGAAACACTTGTATTACAGGTATCAATTCCATTGATAATTTTGATGGCATTATTTTATAGAATAAATTAAAATAATGAAGAGGGCTCTGAGTTTTATGGAGGAGATCCTAATAAAATTTGAAATTCAACTATGTAACTTAATTAACATTTTTATTTATTTAAGAAATTACAAATAGATTAATTATTTATATAATCTGGAGATCTAAGTCTATCATGTTGTAATCAAAATTTTGTTTATATTAACCTTCTTTCAACAATTAAATTAAGATGATATAAGTGCTTTAGTATCAGTTTAAGTAGTGAGATTATATTAGAGAAAATTATCAATCTTGTATTAAAATAGTATAATTTACTCTATCTATTGATATTTATTGATTTATTAAAAGAGAATAAAATTAAGAAAGTAAAGACTTTCTGTTTCTATGATAATAATTATATATATTTTTATAATGAATGGATCAAAGTCCTAATTCCTTAAAATTGGGATTTGGTCTTGAGTATTCGTTTGTTAAGAAATATCTAAAATAAGCTTATTTGATTACTCTGGGAAATACTTTTTGGCTAAGCCATAAGAGGCATTCATTCTTACACATAATTAGAAATAATTTCTAGCATCTAGACATTCTGGTACATATGAGTCCTCAAAAAGACCGAATTGATTCTTGCAATGTTGAGCCATTCTATCATAGAGATGACAAGCTAATAATTGATTGGCCTATCATATCGTGCATGATTACTTTATATTCGACAAACTCAAATTTGAGATTATCCAACAACTTCACATGGTTTTTTGTTAATGTTTATAAATTAATCATGTTTCTAAACATGAAATCTAATAGTAAAGATTTCAAGAGTACCTTCTTCTTCCCAAACTTCATTATAGATTGGCATCTTTGTTTATTTGGATATATTTAATAATCAATTAAAATTTAGATAACTAATTTACTAAATTCATTTCATAATCATTAATTTAATTTTTTATTGATGGTTTGAAGAGTCTTTATATTATCTTTTAGAAAGAGTAGGTTTGCCTACCACTATTCTAAGACTTATTCATTACTAAAGAGTAATTCAATCCGGCCATCATTTTAAGTTATAAGAGACATAGGCCAAAACAGAATCCTACAAACAGCACTTTCCTATTTACTCAAAATGTATTTGCATTAAATTTGTTTCTTTATTGAAATCGATTATTGGATAGTGCTTGGAATCATTGCTCTCATAATTTCATCTAACTTTATTGTAGCATCAACTTACTAGATAATAAACATAAATTTACATTTAATCTCATCTAATTCTTAAATTCAATACTATCTAGGTTTTTGGATAAACAAATGATTCTTGGACAGAACCCACAATTCGCAGGATTTGAGCAAGTAAACGGATCAAATTCTTATTTTGTTAAGTTTGGCTTGGTAGTTGAGAATCTTTTGTATATCTACTACCCTTTTTATAACGGTTTAAGTATTTTCAGAATTTCCTATTCTATTGGTGTTAATTAATTTATGGTATTCTAAACTTTTTAAATTTCCTTTGTTTGTCCATTGTTGGTTGATGTATTTGCGATGAACGATTTCAATTGTTCCTTATTCGAAGTTGAGTCAAATGATTTGGACTTTTTTTGCTTAGATAACTTTTCTGACAAAGAATCTTTTGATTTAAAAAACTATTCATTTTTATTTTTTTAAGTTGATGAAGGTATCGAAACCTGATTACTAAAAAATAAAGAACCATTTGAGGATGGCATCTTTTTTTATTTTTAAGTGATTTCAATCTAATTTTTGAACTAATCCATAGATTACACTTCGCTGTTTGAAAATCTTTTAGTTTAATCTGTTAGAGGGATAGAAGAATTGTCTATTTATTTAATGGCTTTTAAATTTAAAATGTTCTTAAGATCTATTTTTACAGGACTTGAGTCAACCTTGTGTTTTTGATCCATCTTTTATCTGTTTCTTTTAGAACTTAATTATTCTTCAGTTATGGTTTGCAACCGTAAAAATAGATTTTGTTATGGTGATAAATTATCTTAATTAGTTAATGATTATTATGGTTGGAACTTCACTGTGTGACCATCAAGAGATTTACCTGATTAAATTATTGCCAAATTTAACTCTTGAAAGTGTTACAAGGTTGAATCCTCGGAAGTGCATTATCTCTCAGAATATTTGGTATCCATATCAAAATTTTTAGATTAACAGGTTTATTGAAATTAATTCAACTTGGATGAAGTTTCTTGACTTGCATGATAATTGAAAAAACTTTAGGTTTAACTATTATTGTGCTATCCTTTTAGATCTCTTAATTTCTATTACGAATTAGATCTCTCATTTTGGAATTCATCACAATCAATCTATGATATATCATCGAATCCAGTCAGATTGCCTTGATAAAGTTCTTCAGTTTCTTTCTTCGTTTTAATTTTCTCTTGTGTAGATGTTTAATTCCTGGCAATTTCATTTAATTATTATGCCAATCTTATGTTCTTTAATTCTAAGGTTTGCATCTTCTCGTTTAGATTTGATGATATACCTTCTTCCAAATGAATTCTAAGGATTTTCTAAATCAATTCCTAATTTTGCTTGATTGCCTACTTAACATTATACAATTCTTGATTGAGATTGGTATCTACAAATTCAATGTTACTTCTAATTGATTTGTCAATGGATTGATAATTTCTGAATAATTATGTAATTCCTCTTATTTTTTTATCATATAAAATTGCCATGTTTTAAATAAATTCCTACTCTTTTTCAGCTACCAATTATTGATATGTTTCAGGGCCATAATTATTTTGAATGAGATCAAACTGTTGTCCTTTCAAAAATTATAATTAATAATGTACCCCATTGTTTCAAGTACATTCCTAAGGCATTGAGAGCCTCTTAATAAACTATTTTATTCAACTCATCATAATAGAGTTCTTTTTATCTTAATAATTCGTTTGCATTTCTGGAGTATTTTAATTATTGTTGAATAAGCATTTCTAACTTTTCAATTCGAATTACGAAAGCTATTTCAAAACAACTATGTTTCTTATGATAATCTATTAATTCCTCTAATTCCTCAATCTACCCAATGAATTCTGCCCGCTGCAACAATTTCCCATTCAAATCTTCAATGAGCATTTGAGTCTGATCCTATAATACTTATTGATCAGATATGGCCTGTCTATACAGGGTATTCAAAGAGGGACTTGAAGCCTTTTTGCTTGTGGTTGACAATTATCTCTATTATTATTGGATATTCTATTTATTAATGGTATCATCAAAAATATCACTCAAACGTGAGTTCCTTCTCGATAGGTCCCTTGATTTGCATTCAATGTACAATAACGACGGTCTTTTTGATTTATGATTAAACATAATAAACTATTTATTTACAAATTCAAATACAAAATATAAACTGTTATTCTGTAATTTTAAATAAATTTTGATTTTCTATTTTCTCTGATTATTCAACAAAGATTTATAAGAAATATTTTGTATAGATATACATATGTCAATATAGAAATGTATTTTCACTAAGTGGCTATTTCGTAAATAGAATCTGCGACTGCGACCAAACCCAGAATACAACCTAGAATCATTGCGCTAATATAAATTTGGCCTTCCAATTCTGATGGCTTAAATCGCCAAGTCCATTTCAGATAGAACATTAAAGGAAAAAAAAATTAAAGAACAGCTCCACACAGTCCTCCAATGAAGGAAATCAAGAGAGCGAATTAAGGAATGCCTATGGCTAATCCTGCAATGGCTAGAACTTGAAGTAATCTTAAGATGGTTCTTCTCAATAAATAACCTGAAGTTCCTTCTCGAGTAAAGTTCTTTGCTATTCTGATTCTTTCGATCAAATGAAAAGCTGGGAGTAATTGCAAAGGCATTGTGATTATCAAAGCGATGGCATAGAGTATTTGAAATGCTTCAGCACCATCTCCCAAAGAGAACAATATAATCTCATTTGTTGTATCTCCATAACTCAGCGAACCAAGAAGTCCAAAAATCCAGAATTGCATTGTACAACCGGAGAACACTAAAGTCATGATTTTGGGGAATTTGACTGGTTCTTACATGGATTTTCTGACATCCAAGAGTGTTCCAATGGCCTCGAAAGAAAAGAGAGCCACTCCTATAACTAAAGGGAGATTGCTAAATCTAGCAACTGGTATATCATTATAATTAACCTCCTTGACAAGTTCAATGTTAAAGTAAACGATGCAAGCAATAAGCGAAACGATGATAAGACTCTTGATTACTATTATATGTTACATTTGCGATAGTGCTAAATTTAGTGAATAGAGTCATGTTGTTAATAAAAACTAATGGGATGATGATGCACATGGCAATTGACAAATAGATTAGTTGATGAGAGAATACGACATCTTGATGATGGTATATTGCATATTCTAAGAATTCCATAAAAAATAAAACATATGATGCACAACATCCCCATTGCATGACAATAATGAATAATTTGTTTAAGTACACGTAATTCTCACCTAAGATTATGTGAGTGATTTCGGAGAAACCTAAATTGGGTTGATTGATTTCATCCACAATTCTCAATAACATCTACAAATTAGGTGCATAGATACTAATTGTGAGTAGATCATGAGGATACAGATCAAAAAGTAACAGAAAGAAGTGAGTAAATAGCCTCCTTCACGGAAAGTAAAGGGTGCTGCCAAAATACCTGAGCCTATACAACATTTGTATAAGTTAAGTGCTGCTTAGGAAACAGTAGATTTATTTTCCTTGCTTTTTATGGTGTTTTCTGTGAACTTCGGGTTGGGGGTGTCGCTTGTATCTAACTCAAGTGGTTATATTGAGGGTAAGTTTTGATTGGTTGATTCACTCATATATTTTATTAATATGCCTCACATTCATTTTTAAATCTAATTTTTAAAAAAATCCAAAGATTTTAATGAAGGTAACTATTGAAACTATTTTATTTAGTTTAACATATCCTACCCCTTGACAGGAGCTCAAAAGACAGTCGAAATTGACGATGACAAGAAATGGTAAGAACATTTTATATATAATTTTTAGCTCAATCTTTTTTGATAAGAGAATGGGTCAAGTTGTCGAAGCTGATAATCTTGGTGATGAATACAAAGGCTATGTGTTCAAAATCACTGGTGGTAATGACAAATAAGGATTTCCAATGAGACAAGGTGTCTTATTCAAGGGCAGAGTGAGAATTCTCATGAGAAAGGGTCACAAAGGTTACAGACCCAGAAAAGACGGTGAAATGAAGAGGAAATCAATTAGAGGATGCATTGTCGGTTAAGACATTAGAGTCCTTGCCTTATAAGTCGTCAAGAAGGGAGCAAATGAAATTGCTGGACTTACAGATCAAAATGTTCCCAGAAGATTGGGTCCCAAGAGATTGACCAAATTGAGAAGATTATTCGGATTCAAAAAGGCTGATGGTGTTGCTATAGTTTAAAAGAATCTCATCAGAAGAACCTGGACCACCAAAGACGGCAAGAAGAGATAAAAGGCTCCAAAGATCTAAAGACTCGTCACTGAATCGAGATTGAGAAGAAAGACCATTCAAAAGAAGACTGAATAAGCCAGAAGAACCAAAGCCAAATAAGCATTGGAAGCATATAAAAAGTTGGCTCATGATGTACATGAGGCTCACAAGAAACACAGAAAGGCCTCTTCTGAAATCAAAGAATCCACCAAATAAGCCACTGTAAGATTATTCATTCGCTATCCATTAGCAACCAAAATAAACTAAACAAGCAGCCCCAGTTAAATAGGTTGCTCCAGCCAAAGATGCCAAGAAAGCACCAGTTTAAGCACCCGCTAAGACTGTGCCAGCCAAAACCGCTCCATAACCAACTTAAAAAGCTCAACCTAAAGCCCAAGCCAAGAAATGAGGTTATTATATAAGTTGTTTAAGTACATTATATATAAATAGAGATATTACTTATTAGATATTAAATATTTTAAAAATGAAGGCTCTTTTTTGTTTAGGAGTTGGAATGTTGATCACCCAGAAAGACAACACTGTACATGCCTGGCTCTATAGAGATGATATTGGTGCCTTCTGGGGTATCAAGGGTTACGAAGAGCAGGTGACAGAAGTCGGTACTCATAGAGGTCATATGTCATGGCCATAATATAGATTCTTGGGTACTTTTGACTCTGCAAGTGTTAGAAGAGGGTATAAAGACATACTGATTCTTTAGATTTCTTGTTTTCTCTAGAAACTGTGCCAATTGCCATGGAATAGTGTATAAGAAATATGATGTTTTGTTGGATAAAGTCTATAAGCAATTAGAATTGGCAGCCTTGGTCAGCAATTTCACCATTCATCCTGCTCATCATCATTTCAAGCAATTTTACTACTAAGAATGGGATGAAAGAGATAGATATATTCACGACAGTACTTATTCTCTAGATATTCACTATTTTAGGAATCTACCCTCCCTACTTTTCTTAAGACTAAGCTAAAAATGCAAATGGTGGAGTTTGGCCAACAGATTTCTCCAAAATCAGACTCAGACCAGGAGGTATCAATTACATCTACAACATTTTGACTGGTTACCACTATAAGCCTTATTAAGGATTGGATGTTCCTAAAGGTAAGGCATACAATCCCTATTTTGATCACATGATTATTGGTATGGTTAGATAATTGCATGATGGTATTAACAAAAATTGGATTTGAATAGGTCTTGTTGATTACGAAGATGGAACTCCAGCATCTACTCCTTAGATGGCATTTGATGTCACGAACTTTATTTAATTTGTGTAAAGAAGAAGCGGTTTCCAAAGACCAGATAAGACCGTGAGATACTATATGTTCTTGACTGGAATTGCTTTGATCTATCCTTTTGCTTACTTGAAGACTAGGGGATTCTACAGAAACAATCTCTCTCTTAGGTATGTTTTAGAATCTATGAAATTTCAGATGGGAAATGTATGCAGTCAGAGATGGTGTGTATTACAATCACTTTAAAAAAGGATGGAAGAACTCCAGAGCTATTCAATTTAGAGGTCAAGTCTGGGCTTGAAAGTTCTATAAAATATTAAAAACAATAAATATAATTTATTTATATATATTTCTGTATTTATAGAAAATTCAAATAAAATTTAATACATAAACATAAATTCAAATATGCAATCTCTATTTGTAAAGTGTTAGAAATGTCAACAACGACCAGCCACAATCAAATGTTCTTAATGTCGTTACGGCCAAACCTACAGACTCTGCTATTCCTGTGATTCGTAAATTCACAATCGCACAGGTCCAATCGACTAATAACACAAAACAGAAATCATACCCTATCAAGGTACACCTATTTCCCTAAGATAGAAATGTATCAAAAGAATTAGAATTTTGCACCAGCTCCCTCTAAACTCGAACAATCAAATTAAATTAAAAAGAATGAATTTAAAGCCCAACCGCCAACAAAAGATTATTTGTCAAGCGAAACAAGAAAACCTGATTATTCTAAAACTATTGATGTTAATAGGAAACCTGAATATCCAGAAAAGAAACACGATTATTTGGATAAAAAAGTTGATAGTCATGACAAAAGATATGATTAGCAATACTCAGCAGGTTTTGATAAAAAATAGTATACATCCAATCAAAAGCCTTAAGATTAAGATAGAGCCAGCTAATCCATTATGAATTAATTGAAAGATGAATAATAATAAACAGAACGCTTGAAGGCTGAGTTGAATATGGCTAAAGACAGAGAAAAGGACTTCCAAAAGAGATTGTAACACTATTAATTTGATGTGTATTAGGTCTAAGTTGGAATAAGATTACGAATCAAAGCATAGAGAAGATAAATAAAAAATCCAATAATTGTAGGATGAAAATAAAAATTTAAATCAGAAACTCAACCAAGCCAATAGACATTTACAGGAAGAAATCAATAAGGTTAGACATTAATATGAATCCTAACTTAACGAACTTGAGTAAGCTTACAATGAAAAAGAGTAATAGTTAGAATAAATAACATAAGAATTTAATTTAGTAATTGATTATGTAAATAAAAATAGGAGGAAATATAAAAAAAAATAGAAGAATTATAATAAGAGTCAGATATGAAAGACTAAATTATTGAACAATATCAATAGTAACTACAAGATATGTAAGAAGCAATTCAATAAATTCAAGAAGAATAAGCAAACAATAGTAGGAACACTAGAAATCAATTCTCGTCAAATAAGAAATTATCAAAGAGTCAAGATAATGATAAGGATCAATTGATTTAGAATTTACAACAATAACTTGAAGCAAAAGATGAGGATTGCAGAAAATTAGAAGGTAATTTAAATAAATAACTTATATTTAGATTTGATAGAAAATTTCAAGCCCTTATATTAAAATTTAAGTGATGAAAAACAACAGTTATAAGAGGAAGTGGAAAAACTTGCAAATGAAAATAACCAATTCAGAGAAATCTTTAGTGTAATATATTACAAAAAATTTAGTAAAACTTGCATCTCTTCGGAATCGACCCTGAATAATTGAATGAAGAAGGCGAAGAAGGAGAAGAAGGAGAAGGAGAGGGCGAATATCCTGAAGAAATTGCAGAGGAAAATGATGATCAAAATGATTGAACAATTTTACCTATATCATTATAAATATGATTTATATATTAACTGATAAAATTTATAATCATTAGATGATTGATAATTATATGGAAATCAACGATGCTATTAAAGATAAAATGGTTATGCCTTCTAAAAGGTGTCACTTTAGCTTTAGTGCAAAAACCATTTATTTATTATTATAGATTTTTTCAAAATTAATTCTTATTAATTTATTACTTATAATTAATATATAATGGAAATTGATGTAGGTTTTGTTTCAAAGTTAGCCACCATGCTTGATTTTATATTAATTCTCATTTTTTGTATTTGGTCCATTATTCTTGGGTTCAAATCGGATAATTTTAAGTTAAACTCAATTATGACCAATATAAATTTGATGTATTATATACAGGTAATTAGGATTGTGAATGCAGTACTATTGTTAGGTGAAACAAAAAGAGTAGTAATAGTTGAAAAGTTTTATTTTGCATGCAATTAATTTGGAAGAGGCCTATTTTGCTTATTGTATGGAATATTAATTTTTTAGTATAGCGTTATGGTTATTTGCAGAAAATAATAAAACTGCTAAACATACAAATATGCATGACTTTGGATTATCAGTTGCAATCTGTACTACTGTAATTGGAGTTTTGTATATCATATAGCATTTTTTAGTATTTGTAGAATTTAATCATTTTAGTTTGACAAAAGATAATTCATAATAACAAATTGATTAATGGTTTTAAGATAATTTAAGAAATATGATATTATCATTTCATTTTTCTGAGATTATATCTATTTTGAGTATACCTATGAATATTTTAAACAAAATTAGAAAATTTTCCATAATAAGATTTAATTTTTGAGAGTCTCTAACTGAATTTACTTTCTATTCGTATCAAAAATTTAGAAAGAGTTTTATTGAATTTCAAGGTCAATTCTTTTAGCGTTTTGTTTATAAAAAATTGCAAGGTTCAGATATTTTTTAGAAATTCAATTAGGAATTCCCTTAAATTATTGCATTTAAGTCTTCTTTGCTGTTATTTAAGAACAATAAACTTTTAATGTATGAACAGTAATTTTATTGATTAATCCTGATGCCATTAAGATTACCTAATTCTCTTTTATTTTTAAAGATTAGCTTTCTTTCTTGACTCTTAATGATAAGAACAGTTGTTAATTAAAAATTGATAATAAATTTTATCTTGGACATCGAATAAGACACTAATATTTTAGTGAATTGCTTCTTCCCACTTTCATCATTATCATATTGTTCATTTTATAGATATTGTTGATTTACATTAAAATATCTAAAGGGCTTTAAGATTTAACAACCCTCAGTTGTTAATTTTATATTTTTGTCATATAGGCTGGTATTTGAAATTGCCTACTTATATATCTTCATTCCTTTAATATTATTATTGACTCAGGTAAGTAGAGACTTTTTATAATTTTGACCTTGCTGCTTAATTAGTGAAAGAAATCTAGAATTTATTTTCTATCCTTAGTCTATTTAGACAGATTTATTAGAATTCCATACTGCGTAGCCAAGTGTTTTGGAATATATTCCGCCTTACATGCTGCTTTTTGGATGATTATTTTGCTTTATTCATATCTTTAGATTAATATATTAATTAAATAAAATGTCTAGAGCAATTCGTAGATATGTGAATGCCAAAGAGGAGATGGAATACGAGCGAGGATATTCAGCTGAAGAGATGCAAGCAGCTAAATTGAGAAAAGCATTTGTTTAGAAATTTATTGCTGACTTTGACACTAATTTTTACAAAACATAAGAGGAAAGAGATTGGGGATATGTTGTTAGAAGAGAGTATAATTATGTACTTATTTTCGTTAGGTATCGCTATGACGTGACTTATTCCTCTCTTGTTGATGGTTGGGCATGTGCAGCTGCTGTTTCTATGGTCAGAATGTTTTAGACAAAGAGATTCTCATGGGCTCCTTATTTTGTTGTTTGGCCAATTGCTTATCTCTACTTTCAACCAATTAAATTTTTGAAACACAATAAAAAATACTTTGATATGTGCAATTTGGGTGAAACATTTTATCTTGGAAGAGAAAGAAACAAGGTTCTGGCTGAATGTAACAGAATATTAGATAGAGAGGATTTCTGATCCTTATAATAACATAATAATAAGAATAAAATAAAATATTTATGATTTCATTAATCAAACCTCTGATCATTTTTACTTTTTCCTAAGAAAAAAGTTTGAATAAAAAATTTAATTTATCTGTAATACAAAAATACTATCCAATGATTAATATATCTCTTAATATGTTAATTAGATTTATGATATCATGGTTACCCATCTAGAGAAAAAATAATTAATTGAAAATTGTATTTTTATGTATTACACTTTGTAATCGGTACTCCTAAAATACATATCATTGATTTATTTCTACATAGAGAATCACACAAATTCTATCAATGCTAATTACGATATTCCAATGCCTTAAATCAATATCAAAATATCAAAGTATATATTTGGCTTGGATTCTTGCATAAAAATAATTTAATTTGAAAATATGTCTAAATAACTACATTTAAAATTGGGAAAATGAGCAGTGCCATTATTTACACCCAAACAATAACAGGAACCTTATTAAAGAATAATGGCAGTATTTTAGCTACTCTTTCTTAATTGACTGCAATGGATATTTCAAGAACTTCATCTAACATTAAAATAATACATTTCAATAGTTTATCACTAACGAAAAAAGAACCGCGTATTTTTGGATATGAGTGGCAAAAAATAATTGTGGTAGGGATGAAACAGAAAGTGAAAACTAAGTACCTATTTGAAATTAATGTTTTTCCTCTATTTCTTCATTAATAATTAATTTAAAAGTTTAATGTCTTTGGTGAACATAACCAACATAGTGATAGACGATAAACCCTAGCCATTCCAGAGTCCTATAATAATCGACATTTACTTTGATGTCTTGGTAGACATTGAAGATGAAATCGAATGGATGTACATCATTATTTTAATTGTAGGCTACTCTTTATAGGTTCACCTAAAGATGAGTCACATGATTAAATACTTGATTAGTTCTCAATGGGCCCTCTTTAAGCGGGAGCAAAACATTTTACTTTAGAATGTAATCCTCCTGATTGGTAAAAAATTCCCCAAAACGAATTACTGGGTATCACAGCCTTCATTCTCACTTGTTCCTACAGAGAAAAGGAATTCTTTAGAGCAGGTTACTATGTTTACACTACTTACACCTCTCAAGAGAATATAGAGAACGATCCCCCCGAAATTATTATAGAAGATATTTCACGCTAAATCTTCAATAATAAACCCCGTATAACTCGATTTGAAATCGATTGGAAAGGGACCAATTAAAATTAAAGCACTCCAGAACATGTTGACAATAAAGAATTTATGTTTTAAGAACATCAAGAAAAACAGTCAGCCGATGTGACTGAAGTCGATGATCCTTAGCTTATCTAGAATGTGTTCGACTCTTGAAAAATATATATATATATTTATAACTAATTAAGTTAAAATTTTAATAATTAATTAAAATACAATATTTTAATGTAGTATTAAATAAATATGCTAAGATAATAAATCTCTTTAAGATATTCACGAAATTCCATTTTAAAATTGTACTCCTCTACTTATTAACCATTAATCATGTAATTATTATAATTTAATTTCATTTTTACACTTAAATTTCTATATTTCTATTGCCAAAAAAAGACTGATTGAATGTTAGTTATTAGTATATGGAGTAAATATGGGAGTTTAATAGATAATTTAGACTTGACGAATATTGATTATCAAGTATGGATGGATTTGTAGATCAAGTTGATTTTAAAATTTATAATAAAAAAATTTAACAGTAATATTAATTAAATGATTGCATATCGGAATGGAATTTATTAGGGAACCTTGCAAAATGGGATTAAGGAAGGAATAGGAATATTTTGGTGGCCTACAGGATCTATTTATATTGGTGAATGGTACAAGGATATGATTCATGGAGAAGGGATTATAATGATCAATGACAATATCATAAGAGCATAATTCAAGAATAATAAATTTCATGGTTTATGTGTTAATTATACGTATCTTATTCCTCCCTATTATTCTAGTTAGAGTGAATTTTATAGATTTGAATATGGATAATTAAATGGAAAATGTTTGAAGGGATAAACAGTTTCTCAATATCGGAGAGGGGACTTGATTCAAATCGATACTAATCTAGAATCTGTGGATGTTTTGTTGGGTATTTTATGAGTATTGAAAAGTAGATGAATTCTAAAATAGATTATTGGATTTGGAGGAAATCTTGGATAGGAATTAATGTACTTAAATAGGAATCACAGAGACATACCTTGGCAGAATGAAAAGAGGAAAACAGTTGGGATTGGGCATTGAGAATATGTTTACAACTGAAAAAAGGATAGGAATTTTTCATGATTAAAGTTTAACAAATATCGGTTAGATTTGGATGAATGGGGATATTTATACAGGGGGTTTCAAAGAGAATAAATATGATGGTTTAGGTTGTTTTTTCATTAGTGTAAATTTGATATTTATGTATTAGGGTGAAATGAAGATGATTTAAGGTATATTTCAAAATGGAAAGTGTGTGGAAATAAAAAAGAAATAAAACGGAGATATTGAAGCATATAAAATATTGGCCGAATAAACATTCTAAGCACTACAATCAACTACAATACAGCAAAGAGTGCCTATACCTTATTTGCAATAATGTTAATTTGAAGTCTAAAACACTTGGACATAGAATAGTATTTCATAGATACCCTAATCAATCCAAGAGAAGGATGAAAAGGACCAAACCTTTTTGGAGGTAGAATTTGATATCCAGAAAGAAATTGAGAAAATCTAAAAGTAAGCTATCATTATTAATATATAAGTGATTAATAAACAATTGAAGCCAAAAAGTTATTGTATGATGCTGTCAATAAATACTAGGAAAATGATTACTAGTTACACCCATAAGAATTCGATTAGCTGTAAACATTTAGGAACAATCCTTCAGTATTGGAGATAGAAAATATTCAAGGGGAACATCAGAAGAGTAAATTTGTTTCTTCGCATTCTCAACAAACCGAATATTTTCATGTTAATGATTCGAAGCAGACATCTGGACATAGTTGCAAGAGATTACCATTGCAGACACTCAAGAATTAAAATAATGAAAATTCAGAGACTAAATAATCAATTAGAGTAACTACAATAAGTGCTAGATCAGAACCATATTCCTAAGTACTAAGTTCTAGGAAAACCCCATATTTATAATGATTTTACTTAACCAAATAATATAATAAATTTACTTAATTATTTATTTACATTCTGAATTCTCATCCATTAAGATATGTTGTGAGTTTGAGATTGAAATTATGTTTATTGATTATATAATAAAATTATGATTGATTTAATCACAGATTATGATATAAGATATAAGATATAGGATTATTAAATGAATAATACATTAAAGAATGTACAACCAAAAAATTAATAATAAAAGTTTATCAAAGATTTCTCACCTTTTGTTCAGTGATTTTAGTTCCCTTAATGGCGGCTTCGTAATATGATCTTTCAACTTCAAAATATATTTAGAATCCATCTACTCTTTCATTCCCAAGTAAGTATTATACCCATTTCTTTTGTCCAAAAAAGATTTAACCTAGTTATCTACCAATACCTGAGTGTTGGAATAGTTCATTAAAGTCCTTAAAACTGTCATGATACCTAGGATTAGTCTTACGTTTTGAAATGAATTTTTAAACAACTGGACATCGAATGGATTCAACCTCAGCCACAATCCAATTTCTGAAGTGTCGACCAAAGGTGTAGGGAACATTCTTGTATCGGCCTTGTCTTTTCTTTTTAATTGAGGGGCTTTTTTAATCTATAATATTGGGGTCGGTGTCAGCCTCAGCTTAACACCAGTTATTGGTTAGCTAAAATTCAACTTAATCACACTCACTGTGTTATTATAGCTGCTGCTCCTCACTAAAGCTATCTCGTCTGAGTAATGGACACATTGCCTTCATTTTAATTATTTAAATTAATTATACGCACAAAATCTTAGTTCATAAATCATTTTATATGGCTATAAGAAATATTTATAATGATATTAAAATAAGGGATAATTTTCAATCTTAACTATTTGGGTGTTAAAAGAGAACCCCCCAACTCGAGAGCACGATAAGAGCAATTAATTAAACAGTTATAAAATATTAATATATTATTATTATATATTTTATGTTTGAACAATAATTTTTGGAACAGCGTAAATCCAAACAAGAACAAGTAGTCAATACGAAATCTCGACACCTAATTGTTATGAATCAGTTAAAGAAGAAAGTATTCACTATATTTGATGATCCGCTTAGGAAGAAAATTGGAATAATAGATTTTATGTTTAAAATTAAAATAAAAATGAATCCGTGGAAAAATAGAAGCCAAAGTAGATCCACAACACATCAAAATTAATAGAAATTCAAGATTATTACAATATCCCTGAGTTTCATAGGTAAAATCAATTGACATGTTATTTAGATAGTTGTTTTTGATGTGTCTGCAAACACTACCAAAAAATAATTAAGCAATTCAATTTGAAATAGAAGAAATGTAACAAAAGAAATCTCATATCTAAGTATTGCATATTGAATAAATAAGCTTTGTATGCAAGCAGTTGAAGCCCGGGAAAAGTGCTTAGCCTTCTTGATTAATCACATCCACTAAATTTAGGACAATCCTGGAGATGAGCAACTACTCCAAAAGAGCGCAGAATTAATAACACATCTGAGGATCCTCTCAATCAATGTAGTAGAACAAATCCTTGGTTGGAGACAATACCTAATGAAATTCCTGGTTAACATCCATTCACATGAGAGCATTTCACTTCCCTATCTATACCTACGAGAAAACTATTTGATTAAGGTTTCAATAACATATCATTCATTTCTAGATGAGGAAGGACATTCAATACATAACCAATTCAATTCTATCAAACTATTATCAATTTTCAATCAAACCAGATCCTTTCTTTGTTGCTATAACCAAACCAGCTGAAGATCCCAACAAGATTGTCCAGTTCATTTCTAAACCTCTCTTAAAAAGAATTAAAAATTGTGAAATTATTATACAAGACGAAGCTACGTCAATTTGCAGAGATGATAGATCTATTCACAATCAGGCGAACTCAAAAGACAAAATTCAAATGAGTCCAGAAAAAGCTATTCAACCAGGACGCATCAGACCTCCTAAGAGATAAGAATAAAGTTAAAATCAGAAAGTAAATTAATGTAGTAATATAGCGAATAATATATAAGCAACACGATCCAAATGAAATCAATAATCAGCAATAAAATTCAGTCCCTAAAAATATTCCCCTAAGATAAATTAACAAATAAGGAAGTGCTACACCTTAGAAATAAAACTCAGTCAAAGTTACACCGCATGAATCTAATCATAAGTAATAAGCATAATAGAGTCCTCCTCAATCTGACTAAAAGCAATCTTCTTCAACTCATGCTGCTGTGCCCACTGTTGAACAACAACAATATGCAATTACAGAAGATGATGACACATTTAAAGTAAAGATGTGTCAACTCAGTGATCAAAAGGTTATTGATCATTTATATAACATTAATGAAGATTTCAAAAAGTCATGGAGAGGAGAACTTTAATTAATGCAAAATCAATATGATCAATAAGATGATAGCTTTTGTTTAGGAATATATTTAAGGGATTAATTGTTGGCTTTGGGATAGTGCTATTTAGATTAGTCTCTTTAAGAGAGAAAATTGATATTAAGTCACTTTTCTACAGCGGATCCATTGCAATTTCAAGAATTGCTTAAAGTCATTCTTCAATTCATTTGGGAAATCGATCCCTGCTTAGAAATTAGAATGTCTTTGTACCATTACAATCAGAACGACTCATTCTAAGCCAATAAGGAAATTACAACTAAATTGAAAGAATTAGGATTCAAATGGAAAGTCGTACAAAGTGTTAATTCAGAAACAAGATTCACAGTTATGGGTAAAATATTAAGTTATCTTAGCCATTAGAAGACCTACTGATCTAGGCCAGCCTAAATAGTTTGATCCAATATTTTTATAACATCTTTACCTTACTTGCGATAACAATACAATAATAAACACGGATGCATTTACTTCATTGTACTGTCTGACAACTCTGAATACTAAAGTAGATTTAGATGATGAAATCATTAATTAGCACAAAGATAATCTTATAAGCTCAGTATTATAGTCTTATTAATATATCAGGAATTTGGATTTAGGGGAATTAAATTACAAGAACATACCAGCGATGAGTTCCTTGCTTACACTAAACAATATTTTGAGAGCTTTGATTAACTTAATCCGTTCGGTTCTGAAGTTTCTCTTTCATCAAATAAAGTGATTAGCAGTTTTTGCAAAGAATGCTATAGATGGGCAAAGTGTAAATTAGCCCAGCATCAAAGACTTCTTTATAATGGATTTCATGTTGCTTAAAATGCTGATCATGCAAAGGTTTTTATGTCTGATTCAGGCAACATAAAAGTTTATTTAATATCTACTGATTAAAGTAGTACAAGCATTTTTGTATTTGAGTGTAAATTATGAAATCTATTATAGATAATGATGAAATCTCATTGTAAAAGGTCTAATCTATTCTTAATTAATGTGGAGCATAAGTGCCAATTGATTAAAATCTTTATATTCCCTAATTCATCGTTAATAGTAAGGTTAGGTTTTCAGAACATGTAATTGGATTAGGGAGGTTTAGTACAGCTTATAGACCTAAGATGGTTGACATCTAAAATGCTTAAGGTTACATAATCAAACCTCCATTTATTTTTGGTAATCAATAGTAAATAACATGTTTTAGGCATGATAAATGAAGATTTTAATGAGATTACCGGAATGCCCAACTTGTTTTTTAAAGTTTAGGATACTCACTGTATCTAACTATGATCAATGATTTTTTTATTTTTATAATATCTTTAATCACTAAAAATATATCATAAATGATATCCTGTTCATAATTATAAGAAAATATAGTAAAAGTCTTTTTAAATCGTAATTTAATTTACATAAACAAGAAAATTAATATAAAAACTTTGAATTTTAAAATAATCATAAGAAGTAGGGATGGGTTCTGTATATATTACTTTCTAGCTTAAGAATTGTTAATAAAGTGAATTAAATATAATTATGAAATATCAAAATAAATATTATTAATAATAAAATATCTATTTGATTAAAATTGAGTTTATTTTCATATTTAATAAAAGCTAATGATAAAACCTCCATATATTATTGAAATGTTTACACCCAAAAACTTAACTATTCTTTTAGCTTAATTGAAAAGATTTACAAGTTCAAATTAAAGGTTTTAGAATTAAAATGTGAATAGCCGACATTTACATTTAATGAATATGAAATAAAGAGTGTCCTATGGATTGAAGAATTAATAGGGTTTTTATTTATTAATTTTATGTAATAATCATCATTTTATAAATTGCAATAGTTTTCTTTAATTTAACTTCAAATTAACCAACTATTGCATGTATTCAAGAGTAACAAAATATATCTAATTGTGCTTGACAAGACAGAATTGTAGCGACATAGCATCAAATAAATTCAGATCTAGGATGGACAATGTTTCATATTCTACCATGGACTTTTCAATGATACTGGATTATTAGGGCAGAATCCGCATAGAATTTTTATCATACTTAGGTAATTGAGCAATTGCAAATTGAACTCTTTAGATTAGGTTGTCAATATTGTTGTATTCAGATTACAATTTCATAAATCTTGAAATTAGATCTGCTTGACTCCGTTTTGGTTATATAATCTTTTATATTTTCTTCCAATCGAAGTTTAATTAAATAGCTTTTTAGAGTAGTAAGATGTCATCCTAAATAGTGAATGGTGCCTTTGATAAACTAGGGTCTATTAGGTTGTTCCATCTGTGTTTACAATTTTTTTTGTTCTTGTCAAGCCTCAAAGCTATTTCTAGCCAATTTAGCTATTAATTTCGAAATTAAATCAACCTGTTGTCTTATTCGTTGGTCCAGTTATCTTGCAGACTAATCCAATAGGCTTTTACCTCTTTGAGAGGTTTGTTTAAGACTTATGAAATTTCAGGCCAGAATTGATGATTGACTCCAAGTTTACAGATAGTTTTAATCAACCAGTCTTATTAAGATTTAGTAAATGAATCATCATCAGAGTTTGTAAGGAGTTAATCGTTTTCATTTTCAAGAAATATTTGAACATTATATAGAGTGAGCATTTGTTGTAGATTCTGAGTTAATTGCGTGAAATTGAGTGATAAAGATTCAAGAAATTCTTTAAATTAAATTTAAGACATGGTTGATATTTTGACGAGTTTTTGTGGTGCTTCCTGTAATAGATAGGGTGATTTTCTCTTAATAAATTATAGTTCATTTGATTCACGAATTTTATTCATAAAGAATGTTATAAATTGTGTTTTTAATAGATATGCTTTATTAATATTCTCAAATTTATTATTATTTTTATTAGATCATCGATTCCTCATTATTCAAGAATGATGGCTAACCAGTACTGGCTAGCAGTCTCTGCCATTCTCTGCTGTCAGCAACGACTCTATTGGAATATTTTCCTGAAAGCAACTCTTCTATGGGAATGTAAGCTAATCTGTTATTGACATGACCAACTGTGAATCCTGAAAAACCAGCCATGGCACCATGAACAGCATTTTGAGCCAATTAAGTGCACATGATCTTATCATGAGAATTAGCAGGGACTGTTCTGATCATGTATGTAGGATCGATGTGTTTAAGAGTGATACTCATTGCTTTGTTTTTGCAATACTTAGTCAGTTCATCCTTCACAATGACTCCAACATCCTAAGGTTTTTTGTTACCTGATGCATCAGTCTCCAACACATTAACTTTATAATCCAACATAGCATCTCCTGCTCCTTCAGCAATGACAAGAACCAAAGTGCCCTTCTTCTTGAGTCTCTAATAACAGTACTCCAATAGACCTCTTTCTCCATACAACTCAAATTTGAATTCTGGAATCAAACAGACATGTGCATCTCTGGAAGCATTGCAAGCAGACATAGCAATGAATCCAGCATTTCTACCCATTAGTCTGACCAATCCCACACCATTTTCTGCACAATTGGCTTCAACATAAGCTGAGCTAATAGCATTAATTGCTTCCTTATAAGATATTTAAAACATTTACTTCAACAGCAGTCTCAAAACCAAAAGATTCATCTATGATTGCAATGTCATTATCTATAGTTTTAGGAATACCCACAATTGATATCTTAAGTTTTCTCTTTCTTAATTCTTTAAACAATTCCAACACTCCACCATGAGTACCATCTCCTCCTAAACAGAATACTTAATTAATTCCATGATTAACAATAGCCTCCACTATCTTGTTCAAATCAAATCCACCTCTTGATGAACCTAATATGGTGCCTCCCAAATTATGAATGTTTTTAACATAGTTTGCATCAAACTTAATCCAATCATAAGTATAAAATCCCTTATATCCGTACTTTATTCCATAAATATCTTGAACTCCATAGTTGTAATGCAAAGACATAAATAATTCTCTAATTACCACATTCAATCCTGGACACAATCCTCCACAAGTCACTATTGCAGCCTACGCATTAGACTATTTATACTTTCACTGTTTTTGGGTCAAAAAATAATGATTTACGTGGTCCTGCTCTCAACCATTTCTTTGTCTACTCTATTCTTTTGCCAGGACCAAATACGGCTGTATTAATTACATAGGATCCACAATAAACAAAGGCATCATCTGGTAAAAATCCACCTCCTCCAAAGACTGACCTCAAATTGCCTTCTCCCAATAATGGTGATTTAATATTTGGAAATTCATCATCTAATCCAAGTGAAAGATGATTGACTCTCTCGATATCACAAGTTGCACTGTTTAAGAATTTTATTTCGTCAAGCAATGGATTCTCTGAGTTTAAAAGTGCCTCTGGAACTGGAGCCTGTTTTGAGTTGACTATATTAATATCCAATAGTACTAAATGATCTTTTTCTGAGTGTTAGACTTCTCAGAGGTTTTGGATCCTCCTTGACCTCCTTCTTATTTAATCGATTTATTAGAAAATCTGTGATCAATCCAGATGCCAATGTAATTCCAGCATAAAAGAGAGTGGAATCTAAATGTATTATTAATCTTATTTACTTGATTCACTCATTAAGATAAATTTAATTAAATAAATAATAAATAATAATGACACTGCTATCTAAATATTATACATACTCAAAAGGATGGCACCAAATCAAATGTATATCTTTAGTTTTGAATTCCCCATTCATTGCTCATTTCATCATTTATTTTCGAAAATCATTAATACTGTCCTCTCATTTCATTGTCTTACAAATATATACCTAGTATCTTTATTTTCAGAATAAATTAAATAGTTGTTTAATTTTAGTATTTTATTTAAAATGTAAAAATAGAGACTCAAATAATTGCAACTCGATTAACCAAAACCAATTAAGTAAAGTTCTGCATATCGTAAATTTTATGATGAACAATTCGTTCTTCTTTAATAAAAATACCCTAAACGAACAACAGAAGAACTTATTAAATTGATCAACTCAAAATGGAAGGTTAATGAGAAAATGAATAAGCAAAAGTACTTTTAAAAAAATGGTTTTGTGAACATAAACGATACTGAAAGAGTCCCTGTGCCCTAACCTCCTCCTCCAATTATGATAATGTTTAATAATTTATAATGTCTCCAAGCTTCCAAAAACAAATGAGGTAGGATCTTGAGGTGACCCATCCAGAGTACAATGGAACATAGATAGATAGCACTATTTAATTCGAATGGGGTTCAAATTCGGCCTTAAAAGAGAAAGCTGCCGAGGAATATAAAAAGTTGAGACAAGTTAATTACTATAAAATATGTATAGGAATATGAAAACCAAAAGAAAGAATTCATAATTAAATATGGTTTCTGGCCATAACATAAAAAGCAGTCAGGTGAGTAAATTTAATAGATCCAACATAGCAGTTTACAAGTAAATCCATTGGCTTAATTGCTCAAAAAAAAAGTCAAATAAGAATGAAAACAATCAAATGAGTTATAAATAATACAGCAAACTACTTAAATCTCAGAACATCATGGCTTTATTAGCTTCTATTAATTACTAAATTTAAAAATTCAATCCATTCTTTTCAATAAAAATGTATTAAACATTAGCCAATTTAGTATCAATCTTAATAATACATTCTTATGACAGGAATAACACTATTTTAGCGTATTTAGTCTTTTCAAATTTTCACGTTACTCTCTCGGTTCAATCCTTAACAAACTTAAGATTTGATATATTCATCAATTGGATTTGAATTTATAGTTAGATTTTAAACTTGCCTAGATTGCATTATCGATTTATCAAAACAATAAGAATATTATAAATAAATAACAGTTAACAGTAATAATTTTTGAATTATGTAGAATACATATGTTAGACGCCATTTATAATTCAAGAAATATAGGTTAATGATCTAATGTATCTTCAATCTAAATCTGTAAAATTTATTCGTCCCAAAATATTTATTTTCTAACTTTATTGAATTATAAATTTATTCAAATTATTAAATGTCAAGTTTTGCCTCAAGAACAAGCTAAAAAGTTAATTTTAAATTAATTGATAGATTAAAGAATGGTGGGGAGCCAAAGTAACAGTAGACCCATCATTGGAAGCAAAGAAACAAAAGATAAACGAAATAGATTAATATATTAAAGGATTAAATTAATCCTTTAGTAATGTTAGTGCCTTGTTTTAATGTAGATATTTTCAAAATCTCATAGAAATGCATGGACATATGGGAAGGATCAGTGCTATATCATCTAAGCTTTTTGAAAGAGAAACAGACACAAACAAAAGAATCGGCATTGAAGTAGCTTCTATGTTTGGGAATTTATCAGAATTATTTAGATCAAAAGTATCCTATGTAATTCATTTAGAATGAACCAGTCTAAGAAATAAATAAAAATTTCTTGGATTGGTTTCAAATGATTGAAACTTTGAAAGTGCAGTTAGCCAATTTCTAAGAGACTCGTTTAATTTATGATCATTACAAGATGAAAGTAGAAGAATTAGAAAAAAATAAATCGAATGCCTTATAGAAAGGGCAACCTGAAGATTTCAAATTATCAGATAAAATTAGAAGAGTATTCAATTAGATAATACTATTAGAATCAAAGTAAGCTTTCCAGTTCTGAGACCAACTATAAATAAAGACTCTCAGAGATATTAAATAATATGAATAAACTATTGGGAAGTTATTTCAAAATCATAAATTCAAGTCTCGACACAGTATATACTAATACTAATTATTTAGTTTGTTAATATTAATTATGATTTGTATATGAATGCGAAATCTATTGTGAAAAAGAATCTAAAAGCATTTAATAAATTTAAATACCCTGAATAAGAGCCAATTATTGACTTATTGAAAGAATAAAAAGAAATGACAACATTATTGGAAAGAGAATAATTAAAAGAAAAGGAGTTAAGGGAACTAAGAGAAAAGGAATAAGAAAAAGAGAAAGAAAAAGAGAAGGAAAAAGAAAAAGAAAAAGGGAATTAACCTTAATCATAATTTGCACCTCTTTAGTAAACTACTTAATGGGACATAAATAACAAATTTAATCCTTTCGGCCAAAGTTAAGTTACTAACTCCAATGGGTATTAAAATAGTTAAATGCAACCATAATAAATTAATGCACAGATGAATAACTTTTCTAGTAATTTTATGAACTAACAATAACAATTTGGAACTCCAATGACACCGACCCAAAGATAATCTGTTGGCAACAATTTTACTAACTAACAAAATTTCTAATAATCCTTTGATGATGTTGGATTTTAAATGATGACTGATATGAGATAAAGTCAAATTCAAAATAGGTCATAACAACAATTTTATTCTTAAAGTACAATAGTAAGCCCCACTAACTTTGTGAATAACAATCCTTTTACTAGTTAACAATATCTAAATCAACGAGTGAGTTTATAATAGCCATAACCATTATAATAGTTTGATACTCCATTAAATAGAATGTAGCCACCTGGATCATAAAATCCATTCTTTGATTTTGATAATGATCCTTCTAAGAGGGCTATTTAGGATAATTCATACACATATAATTCATAATGGTAAGATAATTAGAAAACTAATCCATTTTCTTGATTTATTACATATATCATTATTATATATTTTTATATAATATTATTTACTAATATTTTAATATTAATAAGTATCTAATTGTTTTGTGATAATGAATATAACTTATACTATTCAACTGTCTATTGAAAATAAATAAAGCTATATAAAAATAAATAATATTGTTTGATTTTTCCCAATAGAATTAGAATTAAATAAAAATAATATTTAGATTTAATTATTTAATCTAGCGAAGAATTCTTTGCAGAATTGAATAATAATTTCGATTTAAATAACTCAATTCTTCTTAATTAATTTTCTAGTTTGATACTAATGATTGGGTACTGCATTTTCATCATTGTATTTAGTTGAACCTTCTGAACTAATGATAATTATAAATAAAGTACCCATTTATTTTTTTGAGGGTCCTTCTGACTTTTTGGGTTCCTCAAAATCTAGTTTTCTATAATTTGTTTTGCATATTTCTGCTTCCTAATTATTTAGGATGAAAATACTTCAAGTCGATTAATCTTGGATACTAAATCCCCTTTTTCTTATAACAATTCTTTTAGTTATTGAGTTAGGACAACATTAGCAATATATAGTCTCATATATTCATGTTAATAATTGATTCCTCTTTTTTGTTCAAATGAAGCTGCGATATCCTCATCAACTTATTCTCCCATTGTTGGAGTGTAGAGAAGTCCCTTTCTAATGGAGTCACTAAAAAATGGTTGGAAAAGACATACCAATTATCAAGCATTTGAATTCAAATTTATTATTATTTATGTAATGCAAATTACTAAATGTTAATTTTTTAATGAAATTTTATTAATAAACTTATAAAACAAATAAAAATGTTTAAAAGTGATTTTATGAATTACTTGTAGAAACATTTGCATAATATGATTCAGATATAAACTTAATGTGTAGTATGAATTAAAAAAGCAAAGCTGTAAAAATAACTAATTATCTATTATAGTTTATAATTTTGCGATTTATTTGTTCTATTGAAGAATTTGATTCACTTTAAAGGTAAATGGTCAAAGATATTGAAAATTATGGGAAAAAAAATATTATTAATTTGCCTACTTCTAAATCACTGAAATTTTAATTATAAAGTGAAACATACATCTGTAACTAAAGGGAGGTCATAAGAGAATTTGTAAAATTGACTTATATTGAGTATCAAGTTAAGAATAATTAATTATTAAATAATGAATATATATTCACGATTTTTGTGTAGATATTATTTTGGCACATTGAAGATCTTCAAGTTGCCTGATTTAGGGGAAAGTAAATGTTATTATGATTTTAGAGATCAAGGAAGCCACTATTAAAAAATGGCATGTTAAGATAGGAGATCATGTGAATGAAGTACGTCATTTTTTGATAATAGTTCGATCCTGTTGCGGATGTTTCAACAGATAAGATGTTCACTCAAATTCCTAGTAATTACACAGGGAAGATTCATAAGTTGTACCACTAAGAGGATGAAACATGTTTAGTGGGTGGAGATTTCTTAGAAATAGAAGTTGAATCTGACAATCAAGAATCAGCAACACCATAGACTCAACATCATTAAGTGAAATAAGAAGTCACAAAATAATAAGAAGTACATTAAACCATATAAACTAACAACAATCCTTCTGTACATTTAGATTAATTATCTATAGAATCATAAATTAGCAACACCAGCTGTCCGTCATTTGGCAAAATAAAAGGGAATAGATTTGAACAAGATTAAAGGCAGTGGTTAAGATGGAAGAATATTAAAGACAGATCTTGAAAAGTAAACATAACCACCAAAAGAACAACCATAATCATCCACTAAAATCAACATTAAAAGCGATTCCACTTCCACTGTTATCAAGATGTCAGATTTTTAAAAGGGAATGCAAAAGTCAATGACTGAAGCCAACTCTATTCCTCATTTATACTTAAAGGAAGAAGTTGATCTCACAGAATTAGCACACATGAGAGAATAATTGAAAAAAGAAAAGAATATAACATTCATGACTCTACTCATTAAATCCTTTTCTTTGGCATTAACCAAATATCCTATATTGAATTCAACATATGAACCAACAAAATAATTCGAATATACATAACATTCATCTCATAATGTGTCTGTGGCTTTAGACTCTCCTAAGGGTTTAGTGGTGCCTAATATCAAAAATGTATAGAATCTGTCGATTAGTTAAATACAAGATGAATTGAATAGGTAACTTTAAATTCTTAATAGAGTATAGATTAAGGACTTTAGGAGAAAAGGGACAGTTGAGTTTTAATGAATTATCAGGAGGCACAATTTGTTTGAGCAATATCGGTACTATTGGTGGTACCTACACTGGTCCTCTTATTCTCGCCCCTTAAGTGTGTATAGTTGGGATTGGTAGATTGATGACTGTGCCAAGATATGATGCTAAGATGAATGTTGTTCCAAGAAAAATTGTAATGATTCAAGATTTATTTTAGATGAACCTAAGTTTCGGTTGTGATCACAGGGTTATTGATGGAGCAACTGTAGCAAGATTTAATAATGTTTGGAAAACATTTTTAGAAAATCCAACATCTATGTTTATTCATCTTAAATGATTATTAAGTTGAGGGTAAAGAAATAAAATTTATAATAATTAAAACTATTTAATTTAGAATTCTTGGCAACTGAATTCTCGATTAACTCTTTTCCGAAATCTATCATTAATTATAAGTTTCTATTCTATCTTAATTCAGAAAATTACTTTTTATTTAAGTATATAGAAGTCATAATTGAGATCTAAAAAAAATAGTTAATTTTTGTAATAGATTTCTCATATTTCGGTCCTATATTCGTTAATTGTCTTGTTATGATCTAAATTGTCTAATAGAAGAAGGTTGTGAGGATAGAATGAAGGAGATGGGTTTATATTTTGAACATATAATGAGTTTTGATAATGGGAGATAAATAATAGTGAGACAAGGGAAAAGAGAGTACAATAATAATATTGCAATTGAATTTAATGAAGATTGAATAAAGCTCATTTCTCTTTCTTCTCTTTCATTAAGATTTTGACAACTCTGATAAAAATTTTGATTATATCTGTGTAAATCATAATGGATCCCAAGATGTAATCATCAACAGTTAATCTTAATTATTTGTCTCCGATGATCAATTAGATATCGTATACCTGGGTTAATTATGAATTAGTACCAAATATAATCCTAAACATATAGCACCTCCAATCAAGTAAATTTAATATGCAAAAGAGCTGCTGAAGATAAAATAGACAAGACCAGCCATCAAGCAACCGAATGAGAGTAGGAAAACTAAATCTGTAATTGAATATATTTACCAGCAGCCCCGTGATATGAGAGATCATTTTTAGTTGTCATAGCATACGTGGCCAAAGCAATAACGATACCGGTTGTAATTATGAATGCTTGGAAAATGATTTCAGGATCACCAATTGCAGAACATGTAATGGCTAATGCGATGGCTTCACAGAGGGTAAAGACACTGAGTAAAATATAATTCTTTGGATATTTTCTTGCTGAAGCTTGATAGAAATAAATAAAAATTTAAATTTACATGGGCTTAAGTAAATCCATAATCCTGTAACAATTGAACCAATTAAAGCTGGTATATAGAGGTATTCACATAATTCATCAAAAAATTTATTACTCATAGCTCCGTATGTTACTGCTGAAGTGAACAGGAGTTAAATGCCTACAATAGAGAAGACCTTTTTGGCGAAATTCTTTTAAGCATCTCCGAGCAAGGATGAATCAACTGAAGCTTTTTGATCTTGGTATTCAGTTTGGGGAACAGATTGATATTCCATTTCTATAAAAAATTAATGATTTCAGGCATGTGGAAATTATGATTAGGTTATGATAAGCTTATTTCCAAAAATTAAATACCCCCTTAATATATGAAATATTTAAATCCACATTTTTTTATAAATTAATGGAAGGCGGAGCTTAACCAACTACAAATGAAGCAAAGGAGGGACATGAATTACATGTTCAAACCTTGGAAAATAAGATTAGAGAGCTTCCTCTTAAGGATAGACTCAAGGCAATTGCCATCTAACATCATTATCTATAAAAGGAGAAATTGGACAAGGAATGTGATGAGAAGATCCATGCTCTTTAGAAACAATATGATATCAAATCACTTCCAATCTATGCAGAATAGCAATCTCTCATTAATGGCTAAAGAGCTGTGAGTGCAGAAGAACAAGAACTTTTCAAGGAATTCTTTTCTGAAGCTGAATTATAAGAAGCCTAATAAATTGCCTAAAAAACCGAGCCAATTGATAACTATTGGGGAACCGTCCTAACAAATTGCGATAATTTATCTCATGTCTTTGGAGAGAAGGATAAAGACATCCTTAAACACTTAACCTCAATTGTTTTGGAAACCTCAGCTGACACTGAAGTCTTCACCCTCAGATTTAATTTCAAGGACAACGAATATTTCAAAAATAAAGAATTGACAAAGAAATTCATCATTGAAGAAGGCAAAGACTTCCCAACAAGTACAGTTGGAACTGTGATAGAATGGAACGAAGGCAAAGATGTCACAGTTAAGATAGTAGAGAAGGTAATAATGTGTTAGTATGTTAGAAATAAAAAAACAAGAAGACAGGAGCCTCAAGAACAATCAAAAAGAAGGAAACCTAATTGAGTTTCTTCAATTTCTTCAAGAATTCAGAAGATAAGGATGAAGGAGATGATGAAGGAAAGGCTGGAGTATTTATATTTATGAGAATTTATAGAATATTGATGAAGATTATGAAATTGGAAAGACAATAGCAGAGGAAGTCATTCCTTATAGTTTGGAATACTTCTTGGGAATTAATCCAGATGATGAAGATTATGAAGATGTTGATGAGGATGAAGATGATGAGGATGACGATGATGAAGAAGATGATGATGATGAGGGTGATGATAAGGGTGATGACAAAAAAAAGTTGTTATCGAAAAGAAAGAAGAGTGGTGACAGCAAAAAGTCTGATAAAGACAAAAAAGGAAAAGCTGAAAAACCAGAATGCAAATAATAATGAGAGTATTGGATTGTGTACAAAAATTATAATATATATTTTAATTTTGCATTGCTTATGGATAAGCTTTCCTTTATAATTTCATATAATTATATTGAATTCATTTTTTGAATCCAATTTAATTAAAAAGATGAAAGTTATTAATTTGTTAAATTACTTTTAATATGAATATTTATGCCTATCACACATTCTCAACTTCCACCAATTACTTTTCTTTCATTTAAGGGAAGCCACCTTCTTATGTAATCACAAGATTCTTATAACCATTTTTAACGAGAAGACTCATTGCAATCTTTGCTCTTCCTCCTGTTTTACAATAAACATGGACAATTTTATCTTTAGGAATTTTTGCAAGATTAGCTTCCACTTCAGGTAATGGAACTCTTATAGCTCCTTTGATAAATCCAGTCTCCTTATGTTCTCCTGGTCCTCTGACATCTAAAAATGCATGTTTTTCTATTGATATTATATATTACAATACCTGGATCAACTTTGACATCGCAAAACTCAACTAGACTGACTAGTTTGACTGTTGTTGCCAATGGTCCCCCATTGTTTTTGTAAACTTCAAATCCTCCTTACAAATATCCTAAAATATTATCATATCCAATTCTTAACAATCTAAGGATGGTGTCTTAAGCATCACCTTAATTAGCTATAATTATTAATTTAGTATCTGGTTTGATAACAGCTCCTACAAAGTTGACTAATCCTGACATAAATGTAACATTGATGGCTCCATCAATTATTCCCTCTGCTACATTTGGTCTTGTATCAAGGATGGTTGCTCCTGATTTGGCAAAGGCAATGAATTATTCAAATGTCAATGCCTTTTACACATCATTTAATAAAACAGTAATATCTGCTGGTCCACTTTTATTCTAGATGTTATGAGAAATATGAATTTACAAGTTTTGCATCATGGAAAAAGTATTGAGGTGGTTTTGGCATGCCTTCAAGAACTTGTTTTGTGAAGTCTTCCTTTGACATGGGTTGCAAAGCATAATTCTTCTATTTTTAAATTCCAATAGTGCAAAACTTTCCTGCTCCAATAGCCTTGCCACATGATGAACCTGCACCATGTCCAGGATATACGATTACATCATCATTCAACTTCATAACCTTATTTCTTAATGAATCATAGAGATATGCAGCCAACATCTCAACTGTCAATTCTCCACTCTTCACAGCCAAATCAGGTCTGCCTACTTCACCCAAAAATAAGGTATCTCCGGTGTAGACTGAATGGTCTTTTCCTTTGGAAACCAAAACAAAACAACTGGATTCCATTGTATGTCCTGGAGTGTGATCCACTCTTATCTAAACTGTTCCGAGTGGTAACAATTCCCCATCTTTGGCTTGTTTCATTGGGAAGTTAGCAACCGCAGTTGGACCATATACTATGGTTGCTCCGGTGATAGCTGCTAATTCTCGGTGGCCACTCACAAAATCTGCATGGAAGTGTGTCTCAAGCACCCATTTAATGTTAGCATTTCTCTCCTTGGCCAATTCACTTCCCATAAATATACAAGTATTACACATATTATTCTATATCCCTCAAGGGATCGACTACGGCAGCCTCTCCTTTGGATTCAATGTAATAAGAAAATGTGGCCAAACACTCGATGTAAAATTGTTAGATAAAGAAGTCTGCGTTATCAACCTTCTCTGTTGGTTGATTTTCATAGATGCGTGGAGCTGCTTTCATTAAAGATTATATATTTATTGCAATTTACAAGATTCTGCTTCCAATTTTTATATTAAAAAATAATGCGCACTAAAATTTTTACATTTAATGTAAAATTGTCAGAAATCAGAAAAATCATTCTAAATTCTTAGAGATATTAATAATAATAATTATCAAAAAGTCATTTTAATTATATTCACATGGCTAATACTACATGCATGAATTTCAGCAAGCCTAATTTCTTATGAATACCAAACCATTCTCATAAGCACATAATTTACATCTGAGATAAATTCAGATACTCAAACCACATGACCATTTGGCAAAAGATTTATTATGTATGTCATGTTATGCTCTATTACTAGATTGTATCAAAATGGTGTAAAAATCGGACCAAAATTACAAAATGATATTTTTTATATAATTGGACCCTCTTGGAAATATATTATAATATTTGCAAACGATCTTTATTACAATATAACTATTAAATTAGATTTATTTGCTCAATATGAGACTTAATTTATAGGAAATGTGTTGTCATATGAATTCAAAAGTGTTAAAGCTATCTTGTGTGATAAATAAAACTAAGTATAACTATGCTCTATTGAGTTCACCTTATACTAAAGAGGAGTTAATATCAATAATTGAATACTCAGAAGTCAATTTGATAAAGGATTGTTTATAAAGATGGAGAATAATCATTTCTCGATTACACCATTTTGAAATTGACTGGCTTCTGGCAAGGCCACAATCCCGTATCATTTAAAGGCAATTATGGAATACCGCACTTTAGACTTACTATATAGAAATTTACAGGAAAAAAGTACAAAATAATAAGTTCATAATTATTGATGAGTTTAGGATGATAAAATAAATCTGAATAACGATATATGTCTGCAGAAAAGTTGTTTAGACTATTGAGGAGCATCTCAAGACAAAAACATAACATCTGCATACTTTTGGCATCTGAATATTAATTGCTGTAAAAACATTGACTCACAGACAGACTAAAGTTCAAAGAAAATTGAATAATTATTTAAAAATTATCAACATTAATTAAAGTAATTTAAAATGTCTCCAGGAAAATAATAAAAAGCTGTTTATTTTGTGATCTACCAATAACTATTCCATTTTGAGTTTATGATATTTTTGTAATATAAATTGATTAAATCAATGTTTGGCCTTTCCAAATCCAACCATGTTTGTATCCCTATCATAAATACTTAAATATTTTGTCAAGAAAATATCACCCAAAATCCAAGCAGGTCCTTGAGGATCTGGAATGTCCAATGGCATAAAGGCTCCAATACATTGTCTTGAAGTTCCTTAAATGAATGCTGATGCTGACACATCATTGTTTAAAGGTATTTCTGTACCATCATCCTTCAATTCCATAATATAGTCTTTAGATTCTAGATCGTATTCAACTCCATCAATTTTAAATGTTAATTTAGGCAATTCATTTAGATTAGAGCAATCATCATTGATATTGGTTAAATCTAATATGAATCTATTAAAATACCTAGTAGTTTCATCAAATCTTCAAAAGGACCTGTGATGAGGGAAGTACCAGTGTCAGCTACCAATTTACAACCCTTAGGGCAGAACCCCTCATCTTTTCCATTCACTAATATATTCTCAGCCTTTATCATCCAATAGTATTTATCAATAACTGGATGATAATGGACTGGACCATCAAGTTTGGTAACATCATAACCTCCAAAGGTAATTTAGGATTCATAACTATTGACTTAGTTACTCATATAAAATGAGAATTGATTAGATTTCAATTTCTTCTCCTGGATGATATTGTCAAACAAAGGATTAAAATTATAGGCTGCCATACTTGGATAAGCTAATCCCACTATACCATCGAATCCTGACTTTGCAATTATTTAACTTTCATACATTTTAAAAAACTGAACCATTCTCCTCTATAATTTCTGCAATATTTTAGTCTTCAACTTCTATTTCACCCAATTTCACAACATCAGAATTAATTTCGCCATTTAAATCCCCAGTGCCAAATTAGACATTCAAAGCATATCCCAAATGTTTGGATCTGAAACTTGGTTTATATTGTGTATGTTGTTTGCATCCTTCATTCTTGCATTTGGCAGAGTCTATCCAAAAGTTTGCAGAACCAGTATCAAAGATCACTTAGAATTCTTAATCTCCTACAGTTATGGGTCCAGTAAATTAAGTATTCTTAAAATTGTGTAATTTTAGAGATGTTTCCTTTTTTTACTCCTTTTATTGTGGTTTTGGAACATACCCACCAAATTCTATTTCCTAAATGTCAATTGGAGTCTGTTATCGAAAATATGTTTGTTTAGTTGATAGAAAATCATACATTTCTTTTGCTGTCACCTATGATTTCAAATGGATAGTATACAGTTTTATGAGTTTCCTTTAATTTTATGGTGAATATTTTGTTATCTTGTTTTTCTTAAAGGAAACTACCTTACTCTTAGCCACAGAGTGTTGTGACAATCAATAAGGAAAATATGAGTTAATTCATTGTTAAAAAAACGATAATAAATATTGATATATAATTACTTTGTGATGCAGCCCAGAATGGAGTGATAATCAGAATAAATTAATTGTTCTTTAGAATAGATCTTATACTTAATTAGAATAATCAAGATATTAGAAATCAATAAGATAACTGGATATTTGTTAAAGAGAATATGAAAAAGTAATCATTATATCTCTACTAATGGTGAATGATGTAAATTTAGTCGAAAGTTATTTAATACAAAAAAAAGTAAGGAATCATTTTTTGATATTGGTGGAGCAGCCTAAGTAGACAATCATGGTAAATGATGTGAATGAAATTTTAGTTTGCAAAATAAGAGCTATTGTTATAAAAACAGAGGGATTGTAATTCTGAAGAGTGTTTGGAAGGAAATGTGAGAGTAAAAGAATAAAGTATATCTATTTTGAGGATTATAGCAATAAAAGAGTTATTATTAAATTATTTATTACTAAATAACTTATTAATTAGACTATTTTAATACCATATTAATATTGAATTAGGAATTGTACACATTGAATTTTATTATTAATATTGTGAATATAAAACACAATGAAGCTTCAAGTTAAGACTCCTTATGTTTTGGATGATGCCACAGGTTGCTATTGTTATTGTTGATTTTGTTATGGTCTCAAATTGTGAGTTAATTCGAATTCAAGTAATTCTTTTTCCCTAAAATAATCTCAATATAATCTGCATACTTCTGTTTCATAGCAGTATTGTAATTTTATCCAGTCTTTTCAAGCAATTCTAAACTTTCCTTCAATGATTTCAATACATCTTCCAATTACCTTTCGACAAGAACTCCACCAATCAATCTCCAACATCTAGGATAGAATAAGTGAATTACCTTCTCTTTGGGTCAATATTTTTGACTGCATCCAAAACCAATGTATGTTCCTTCCTCTCATCTTCAATATCAAGATAGACTCTGAATATTTCAGCGTAGTCCTGTCTCATTTTGTTGTATTGCACGACTTATTAATTAGTCAAATTCTTCAGCATCTCTTATTACTATTGCTATTGCATTAAATCAATAATTAAAATTTTTAATGAATTGCATATTAATATATTATTGATACCAATATAATAATAATGAAAATATCTGCATTGAATATATGATTTAATGTCATCTTAATCTGAAGAATTTCCAGATAGTGCCTTCCTCGAATTCAGATGTGAAATCGTATTTGTTTAATCTTTGCTCCTTTCTTCTCCATTATAATCCATTGTCCACAAATCCCTAAATCATTAATAGGAATGTACAGTAAGTCTATTGTTGCTATTCATGCACGCAAACAGTGCTCCAGCCATCATAATTGAATTCCACGCAATAGAGAATCCCCTCTATCTAACAAATTCAGTAGTAGTTAATCCCAAAGTGGATTTTCTGGCAGCGAAGAAACCCAAAAATGACACAGTTGCAAATAGCCCGAAATCTGCCTTGTTCAAATTCCTCAATACCTTTGCAATATATGATATTAATGTACATCTCCAACAGTAGGCTTACTAATGATAACTGGATAAGGTGGTCTTTCACCAACATTATAGAGCATCTGTAATCTTCTGATCTTGAATAGGTTCAGCCATCCCAAAAATGAGTCGTGTTCGAATGTCCCCCTATATGTTGACATAAATTAAAATATATATTATATTAATCATTCATCGTCTTTGAACTTCTCTCTAATCATTTCCACTTGCAGAATAGTTTTATCATCATTTTTCAATTGATCTTTCAAGAATCTACAAGTAGCTATCCAATGAATCTATATATGAATTGTTATATGCAATACAGTTGATAAAGCTCCTCTAATGGCTCCTGCAATCATATTTGAGTAATTGAGTCCTTGCAAATGTTCTGGCAACTCTACGAAATCATTCAAAGGATTCTCAGTGAAGTGCAAGTTAAAAGTGAATATCTTGTCAGTCTCAGGTAACACTTCTACTTCAGCAGTCACTCCAAGAAACATTTACATGGCTCCCTTTCCAATATTCTCTGCAACGTCGATCTTATCTCTGCATTACTTGATTTCTGCTTTCGAAAGGTATTCATCAATGATTCTTTGTCCAATATTAAAACCCATCTTCTCCAATTATTCGTTAGCCTCAATCACGGTGTCACTATCCTTGATTATTTGAGAAACGATGGCCCCATAAGTCAAAGTCAACAATTCTGAATTCACTTTCTCAATTCTATTCACTACTACTTTATTTGATTTTCTAATCTGCATATTAATAATAATAAATAAGTATACGTAAAATATAAGATTACCCCGATTTATATTCCTTATTAATTTGTACTCCTAATCTCAATCCCAGACTAACACTACCAAATTCTCTTTAGAACTCACTAGTTCTTACATAATTCATGATCTTCTACTTATGGATATCCAAATAGATTTATTTTGGTAATTCTATCTCACATTAAATATCAGAAGATTGTCAGGATTTTGGCAATTAATTATGCCATTTTATAATTTGTTTACTTAGAATCACTAAAGCTCTGTTTCTCTGCTGATTATTCATTATTTTATTTATTTTGATGAATTAAAAAAATAGTATTTACGGGAGTAACGTGTATATGAAGGGCCTTGCCATTTCATCTAAGATTCGAGGTCAATAACAGAATTAAGTAATTGAAAGTGAGTTCATTTAAAACAACCTCATTAAAAACAATCCTAACGAATTTTGGTTTAATATATTTTACAAGAGGAAATAGGATTGTACTCCAATGAAGGGTAGGCTTCAAAAGAAAAGTCCTCACTTTCTTATTGGATTTTAATGGAAATATTGTGAATTGGAGAATAGAGTTTTTTCATACTACAAATCAGATAATAAGTAAGAATTGGAGGGATCTCTAGACTTCGATTTATAAGAGTACTAATTTAAAGAAATCCAAAATGAGAGAAATTAAACAATTTAGTTTACGTATCATAATTGCTATCTTTTAGGATGACCCCTAAAGGCACTCAAAAAGAATTTGTTTTTCAATCTGACAAACCAGAAAATACTCATTTATGGGCCTTGCAGATAAAGATACAAATAAACGACTCAATTGGAAATTTAAAATAATTGTAATTTTTAATTCAAATCCCCAAATTTTGGAAGAACTCCTAGTTAAAAAATACAAAAGTATTAAGTGATTGTTAAGATGGAGATATCGCATTATTCAAATCGAAAAACAGTATGACAAAAGTGTTAAGAGCCGTCACTCTGTGTGAATATGATCACATCTGTTTGCTTTATAGGGACAATGGATAATTGTTTGTTTTTGAGGCAGTCTCAAATGGAGTAGGCACATTCCCATGGAGTAAGTAAAATAGTTTTATCTTAAGGTGACCTAACCGAGAGGAGCTTTGTAAATGAATATGAAAAGGTTTGTATCAGAAAATTAAACTATTCCAAGAGGTAAACCCCAGAAGTGTAAAATAAATTAAGAGAGTTTATTACAAACAATTTGGGAAAGGAATATGGTCTTAATCCTGGTAAACTCTTATAGAAGGTTTCGTTAATTGTTCCGCCAGCTCCTCAGGGACAGGAGAAACAAAGAACATACTTTTGTTCAGAACTAGTTGCTAAAGCATATAAAGAAATGGGATTACTCGAATAACAGAAATCTTCAACTTAATATTTTCCAAGTGACTTTACTTCAGAGAAAAAATTATAGCTGCTAGAAGGAGCAACTTTGGATCCTGAAATGCTAGTTATTTTTGAAAGCTGACCATTTCTATACAGCAAATATTAATAATATCTAATTTAAATACATAGAATTTAATCACCAATCATCTTCTTCATCTTACTCATCAATCTTTTATTGAACTTGTTATTGCTATTAAATTTAGTGTTTCTATTTATTTGATTTATTTGTATCCTATTTGATGGTGACCAATTTGGTATTTGGATCCACCTTTAGATTTGGACTAATAAATTCCTATTCATCTGAATGAGCATAGACAGTCTCCTCCACTAATACTTAACCGCCAACAGAACAACTAGATGGACAACTGTAGATGTATAAGGCTCCCCATTCTAGGTTGTACAATTCAGGAAAGTAAGTCAGTATAGAATTATTAATTTAGAATTCGAAAATCTTATTCTTTTTACAATGTGGACATTTGGATTCAATCTAAGGTTGTTTTTTATCACTAAACCAGAGTGGTTTACTTTGAGAATCAAAACAATATCTGACAACATGATTCTAATATTAGGTCAGAAAACTAAGTAAGATTTTACAAATACTGTTAGTAAATCAGAAAACAACCATCGATATTGTTTTGTTAATCTTTCTCCAATCCGTCTATGTCTTCAATATCTTCTTTCTCTTCTGCACTCTTTAAATAGTTCTCATAGATTTTATTTTCATTATCAAATTTCACATTCTTCAAATCTACATCCTTGTCCTCATCATCTAAATTAGTGGGCAATAATTCTTCAGCTACTTAGAGTTCGTTGTTGTTCTCCTTAGCGCTTATAATCTCAGTGTCAATTATGAATGATTTGTTTTATGGAGATAGTATATAGTCTTTATTTTTGGATTATAAAAGTTAAGGTCTTTATGACGATTGCATTCTAAAAACTCTAACACTACTATTGTGTTTAGAACATTGCTCATTTAAGCATAGAAACACATAGATCTCTCTAAAAGAGGCATGCTTGTTATTCAAAGGAGCATATATCTTAAGAGTAGGATTAGAAAAATACTTAAAGCAACATTTTCATTTGATTACTGCATTATTAGCATTTAATTGATTCGAACTTGTCTTCATTCTCTAAGAAATACTAAAATTAAATTAATATCATCTACAGGCAATCCATTTGCATAGGAAGGCAATTCATCATCTACATTTAGAATATCATCTGCTTGTTCTAAATATCCAAGAACGATCTCTTCCTTATTATTCATTAATTAAAGAATTAATTTTAATCAATTGCAATTTCTTAGAGTCACAATTATTTGTTTTAAAAATATATTAATATACTTGTTAGCATACAAATTGAATGTTTCAAACTGTTAATTTTCTAGATTATTATAGATCAAATTTTCAAGTTTCTATTATCTTCCTTTCTCAGTTGAAATAATATTCCTCAATAATGTAATCATCACCTTTAATTGTAAACATACATTCATATTATTAATTATAAGTGTATCAACTTTTGAACAAATATTTTCTTAAATCAGCTACAATGAAATCTTAACATAATTTTATAGCTGCTCACAATTCTCTCCTGTCTACCCTCCTTGAATGAATTTTTAAGATAAAATGTCTAACTTATTTAGTAGATCATATTAACATAACTTCTAATGTAATTAAAACGAACTTTACTCATATTCAATCCAACTTTTGCGATATGAAACAACATAAGCTCCTCTGACATAATTTAGCAAATAATATATCTAATCTGATAGAGTTCAATTCTAGCTCTTATTACTAAATTTATCCCTATCAAGAATGACTTGCCATCAATAACAAATTTTCGCCTATTATTGACCTGTGCAATATTTAAGTGAAAATATTAAAAAAATCCCATCTATATATCATCATTTATCTTCCTTAAGATTATCTTAATGGTTAACTGCTTGTTTTCAAACTCTTAATGCTATTATCAAACCTCTCAAATTCTTTATTTATTGTTTATTTGCATTCTTTCTATAAATACATATCACATCATTTCATTCCTTTCCATTTTTCTCTTTCTTCTGTTTTCTTCAATAACTTAATTTACTAAATTCAATCTTTAATTTGGCAATTGCATTCAATTATTTCAATTATAAATTTATTAGATAAGGATTATCAACTATAATGAAATAATTAGAACAATTTGCAAACACTTTTTACGATCTCCTTCAAGCTTAACCTCAAAAACTGAGTAATTTTAGAGTTAAGCTTAAATTTTTATTATCCCAACTTAAATTCTAATATTCTGATCTTTTAGAAGAACAATAGAAATAAGCCAAAAAGAGTCCCAATGATACAAATATCATTCAAAATTTGATCTCAAATTTACAATCAGTTGATAGAAGAGATCACTAAATTGAGTAAAATGAACTTATATTTTGCAATAAACTCTAAGAATTATTAAGAAAGTTGAAAAAACCATAAATAGAAAATTTAAAGGATCTAGCCTAGGAAGTCTTAACAGCTGACATTAAACTACTCCAAGATATATCTAAAATTATCCATTCTATATCTCCATTACATGAGATACTATCATAATTAAAAAATTATATTGCTAAAGAAAATACGTACTATGAGGATAAGGCACTCCTAAAATGCCCTTTGCAAACCATTCATGCCATCACTAAAGAAACGGCTTCATCGCTGATTAAAGGAGATCAGAACTTAATATCAATGCTAGAAGCGTAAGGGTATTAGATCAAAAGACTAAAAAACAATGAAGAAATCTTCTATTATCAAAGATATCTGGTTTCGTATGTGCTTAAGTCATTGATCTTCCAACTACAGCTTCCTCCTGGATTTGTAATAAGAATTTCCTCTTATGAATCAAAAAACAAAGAGTTGAGGAAATAGTACTCTTATTTCTTCATTACTGCAAAAGTCGTATAATCCGATTTAGTCATCGATAAGATTGAGTTTGCCAAACACTACTTGTCCTTATAATGTACTGATCATCTAGATAGTGTTATTCCATAATACTATGGGGATCTATAAGCTTCGTTTTCAAAAGATATATCCCCACAATTAACCATGTATGAATAATTTAAAAACCCACTCTTGTATTATAAAAAATACATTTTTGAAGAAACCTATAAACCAGCTGAATTTGATAAATTTTAACCATAAAATATTTTTGAAAATTTGTTGAATTTCTTTTAATTCCTATCAGATACTTAATTGAATGATTTTCATTATAAGTAAGAAGAAAAGAATGAAGTAGTGAGATACAAATCACTTTAAGTAACTTATGATATGATGTAATTGACATACTAAAGAATTAAGAAATTGGAGGATGCCTTAATAACAGTTCAAGAAGTTATTTTTCCTTAGTAATTATGTGTTCGATTAATTTAAATAACTGAAAAAATGAATTAGGTGTTCTTTTAATTTTAAAGATTGGATACAAGTAGATTTTCAACCTTAAGTGAATATTAAGAATATTTGGGTAAAATAAACTTAGAGGAATTAATCCATAAAATTATAGATGCAAAGCATATCACTAAATATAATAATTAAATTAGATAAATCAAATAAGATCTAAATCAATTGGAATAGTAGCATGAGAAATCAGTAGGCAAATAAACATAAAATTTGAATTTGTTGTCTTAATATTATTTGCAAGGACCAAAATGGATTATCATAAATTGCTGTTAAAAAATAGATATTCAATATGAAATTAGTTTAACCAATAGGATTAAGCTTTTGGACTTTTTGGCAAATCTGAATTTCCATTTAGACACTTAATTTGTTAGTCAATAAGAGCATATATATGATTCAATTGTCAAAGGATTTAATGATTCTTGGTTTGAATTAGATTTATGGAAGCAGGCATTTAAAGCCAACTATTCTATCTAATCGCAATGCTAGTTTAATAATACTCTGTTTGTTGAACTATTGGCCATTTTATTTTTCAAAGAAAATTATACAAAGTTAAATTTGAACATATTTGAATCCTTAGAGTAAGTGTAGGAAAATGAAAAAAATTCACATATCTTAATATTATATTTGATGAATAAATGTTTTAAGGGAGATTTAGGGTTTGGTAAACATATTACTTTGGTGGAAAGTGCATTGAAACATAAGAAATTTTATCTTGTATTAAAATTATTGGAAAACAATTAAGGTTAGAAGATCAGATTTGAATATTTTAATTACCTTTTGGATGAAACCTAGAATCTATTTTCATAATCTGCATATTTTTCAAATTTATCAGAGAATGATACAAAATATCATGAATAAATATTTGATTAGATTGCAAAGATTCATCCATAATTGGAAGGAAGATTGAGATGGGATCATTTTTGGAATCAAATTGTTAAAAACTTTGGAGATCATACTTTAAAAATATTGGGTCGTGGATTTTGGAGTTTAAAGGATGAATAATATAAATAGATTTTCGTGAACAACTAATTGGGTAATTAAGGAGAAATTCCTAGTTATTTAGAATTGAGTTTAATTGCATAGATTAACAAGAATAACAATAAGAATTACTCAGTTCTAAAAGTAAATGATCCTTTCATAAACTAATTATTATTTATACAACCTAATTTCCCTTTATAAAAGTTCATGGCTTCCTAATTATATTAATTATTACAGTTGGATTAGTTTAGTTCAAGGGTTGAATTAATTCAAAGTGATTAATAAATCTATTCAGTCTATCAAGTAATTAGTCAATTCAATAACAACAAAAGATCAAAAGTAACAATTGCTTAATTTTTGTAACACAATGAATACAATGAGTAAAGATTAAGAAACTGTATTGGTAATTATAATTTGGCTAATAAAATTGTACTCTGTATCTTATTATTATCAACAAACACCTCTCCTGATGAAGAGTTGCTAGTCCCTTGTGGAAATTACTTGTCACCAGTTTCTACGAATTTCTATTTCAACCCTCAATTTGATAACTTCATCAATTCCCATGGATTTGAAAGAGATGGTGAGAGTGTTAAATTATGTTGTCATAATATTTACTTCTTAATGCAATTTATGAAAGAAAAAATAGATTACTAACTCTTACAAAACTTTTAGAATATTACATTAACTATTCAATAATGGCTCAAACAACTAAGTTAGATTGAAGCTACTGCATCACAATCTGCTGGATTATTATTATTACCATTATATAAGGAGAATATGATTGAGTTAGTAAGGAGAGCCACCATAATCTAAAATTTAATTACAAAACCCAACTTTCACATCACATACTTGGACTTATTGAAATTATGCGACAAGAATTTAGGAGAATTTTATCAAATTTTAATAGAAAATCACACGCTTAATTTAATTAACAAATTTGTAGAACTACCACAACTCTCTACTAATTCTGATAGTTTGATATTGTCTGATTTCATAACTTTTAGAGAGAGCTTTGCTTATATGAAATATCCATCTGGATTTAATGTTAGGAATATGATTGGTCCCTATAAAGGATTGAAAATGTTTCTCAAATATTCCAGATTACTCTCTACAACTACTTTATAGAATTTCCATAAAAAGCTTGCTGTTGTGAAGAAACAATAGCATTTTTAAATGTTAATGAAAAGTTTTGAATGGAGAAATTTCAAAGACAATGAAGTTCAAATTGCATTTTAGTTATTGTCTGATTATTCAAAAGATTTTAATAAGTCTTTCGAACTAGTTAACTTTAAAGAATTGCAATCTAAATAATTTCCCCAATTATTTTAATCTTTGTAATTAATTAGAATAAAAATTCTTAACTTATCATACGTTGATGCTGTAAATGATAATTTTCTATTTGACATTGCTTAACATTGTACTGAATTGCATGTTTTAAATCTGAGTGGATGTTAAAATGTGCATTAAATTGGATAGACTTCGAATATTTTAAATATTGGGAATTAGAAGCCACTCTAATTTTAGAGACTAAAAACATTAATTGCTTAGAATTTACCAAATGTTAAATCGATTGAGATTAGTGGACAATTTCTATAAAATTTAAATGTCAATTACTGCAAGAATCTTTAGACAGTATACACTAATAAAATCAAATTAACAAGAGTTTAAGCTAAAGGTTGTGTATCATTACAATTAGAGATAGTTCAACTTTGGATAATATAAGGAGTGAGAATTCTATTTGACGAACATACCTCCTAAGGTTCTTTGAAGGGATTTGTTTAACCATAACTTATAATAGATGTAGATAAGGAATTTATTTACGATAAAATTTATTTAGAGATGATATTTTAACTGTTAAGTGACTTGTATGATAAAATATTACATTAGGATCAATATATAAAATCTCCATTCCCATAATTTTTTTTGAAAAATGGAATTATTAGTGATGATTTTGAATTCTAATTTAGGGGATTTCTATAGAACAAATTAGATGAATAGAATAAGAAAAAGATTTTGTAATGTTTGTTCACATGCTTGTTTTAGAATGAGTAAATTAAACAACTTGATTTGAAATCGATGTTAAAGAATAGAGGATAGGAAAGGATAAAAATACTAGATTAATTCCTCGGAGATTTTATATAAGCAATCCATTTAACCATAGAAGATTAGGATTCCAAAATTAAATAAATTGCAAAGGAATTCTTTTTAAATATAGAATCACTTACAATTCCATGTTCAAAAGAAGATATTATAGATAAAGTAGCCTAATTAATTAGATAAATCTAAAATTATAGAACTACCTTAAATATTAGTTTTACAAACTTGAAGGTAATAGGTAATGATATAATTGGTAAATTCTTTGAAAAAATTTAAAGGAATGATAAATAAATCCATATTTAGTAGATTGATTTTTCAGGGAATAGTCTTGAGAGAGAAAATTTAAAGAACATATTTTAAGTCAATAATATCATATAAGTCAATATTCAATAATTAATATTAAGGAATGCAGGCATTGATGATAAAATTTTATTGGAAATAGCAGAATATTTCTGGGAATGCGAGAATTTAAAAATAATTGATTTGAGTTAAAATCATTTAACTAAGAAAAGCTTGAATAAGTTATTTGAAGATGGAAGAAATCTAGCAAAGATTCCACTGAACAATATTAATCTTAGTGAGAATTCGATAGGGGATGCAAATTTCCAGATTTTGGCTGAAATCGAAGAAAAATAGTGGTAGAACAAAGAACAGAATATGTTATATTTAAAGAGTACAATTTTAAGAAATTGTTTTGAATAGAATTTAGATATTTAACCCTTTTGTGATTTTGTTGCTTAAAGTTACATGCTTTAAATTTTGGATTTAAGAAAAAACAGCTTTAGTGAAGAAGGAATGTAATAGTTATCAAAATCAATCGGAAAAAGCAAGTCGTTAACAACATTGTACTATTAGAACAATATAAAAACGAGCAAAGCAATTTTGATTTAAGAAATTATGAAAAATACTCATCTTAATAGTTTAGAGATTATTTTATCACATCAAGAACATTATGATGAAGAATTTTTGAAGATTTTCAATTTTTCTAATTTAAAAAACTTAGAAATAACATTACCTAGTATCACTGAGGAAGAGATGAAATAATTAGTTGATCTACTTAAATCAAATATATCTTTGGTTAAATTTAAATTGAATATTACTAATAATGATATTAAATAAAGAACCTTTTACAAACTTGGACTTTCTAAAATAAAGAATATTATGGAAATTAAGGAGGAATGTAATAAAGATATATATTTTTATGATCCATTTTATAAACAAGACACTTTGAGAATAGATGTACAAGATTATTGTTAAATGGGTTTATCAATTGATGGAGGAGGTATCAGAGGATTGATGCCAGCTACAATTATAAATTATATATGTAGTGAGATTAAAAAAGAACCCTATTAAATTTTTGATTGTGTTGGTGGTACTTCTATTGGAGGAATCTTGGCCTTGGCCATGACTGGAACACAAGATGGAGTTCATCCATTAGCAGACAAAGATTAACTTGTGAAATTCTTTACTGAAGATGGCAAGATAATATTTGATCAATAGAAGAGAGGTGTTTGGAGTTTGATTAATAAATCAAAGTATGATGCCAAAGGTATTGAATCAGTGTTGTAAAGGTATTTATAATGAATGGTTAGATTTTTAGATATGCTGGAACAGCTAAATTAAGTGAGACTTTGCCTCACACAAATGTAATTGTTACTGCAGTCAAACTATAAAAACATAAGGGAGACAACATGGCTAAAGTGTTCAGTTCAAGAAAAGCTAAATTAGATCTGACTGAGAACTTTCTTATTAAAGATGTTGGCAGAGCAACTTCTGCAGCCCCAACATATTTCCCAGCTGCTTAAATTAAGTCTTTAGCCGGTAAAGAATATTAATTTATTGATGGGGGTGTTGGTAAGAACAATCCTGCAAATTTGGTGTTAGATGATTTAAAAAAAGGCATGCTAAATAAAGATAAAGATAATTTCTTCGTTCTCAGTATATCAACTGGAGTAAGTGATTTATATTTATCATCTAGGTATCAAAATAAAAGTAACATCTTTAAATTGATGAAGGTATTATGGGAGTAGTACGGATTTTAGATGCTTTTGGAGAAAGCAACTAAGATTTTGTAGATTTAGAATTGAAGAAAAATTAAGGAAAATATCTACGCATTGTTCCAGAATACGATCTACCAGGTATGATTATTAAATAATTTTTATAGAAAGTCAAGCATAGTTGGATTGCACAGACATCAAAATATTGGAAGAATATTAATCTGCTGCAACAACAGCAGCCTCTCAATTTTTGGAATAAGAAAAATTTGGATAATATCAAGATAAAACATTTATAAAATGGTTAGAAGAAAATACAGCAAGAAGATTAGAATCATTATGATATCATATATAAAATATATAATTTCAAGTTCATATTATTGAAAGTTGTTGATTTAATTTATTAACTTACTTTGTAGTAATATTTCATAATGTTATTTGAGTAATAAAATCAATCAAAATAGAAATTATAAAGCTATGTTTTTCATTTTTGTTGATCAAATAAAACATATAAAAATTATAGAAATTTATGTTAAATTGATATTTAATAATAAGAACAATTCAATTCTAAATCTATAAATAATATGAATAAAAATTAATTAATTATCAATAGATTGTCTTACAGTTGTATCCTTATCTTTTTTTGTATTCTTATAGTAATTTTTTGGTTAAAGTGTCATTTAGACTATGTTTCTATTGATATTATTGTAATAGCTTCTTTATTTATTGTTAATTATCTGAATAGTCTCCATTTTGTTTCTAATAATTGCCCATATCCATACTTAGATCCTTTTAAAACTAGGATAAACAAAGAATTTACGGAATGATGTGATTCTTCAATTTACTCAGCACATGAAAAAGGTCGAGGGATTTGACTTACCTCAGTTGGCTATTTACGAAAACTATGAACTGAATTGTTGGACCTATTAGGTTCAGCATGTTAGGATGTTGATGGTTTTTTCATAACTTTATTTTAATTACTTTAAGCTTTATCTTAACATGCTTTTACTGATTACTGACGCTTTAGTTCTTAATCTTCTGTGATATGAATATTTGTTACTTATCAGATTTAATACATTTTAAGCTGTCTTGTTTCTCTGGTGTTTTTAAACATTTGAAGTTTCATAATGAGATGAGTTATGTTTTCTTTTTCGTTCTTAATATTCACATGATTCAGTTTGTGTTCTTGTAGCTAAATAACTAGATTTGTTATTCTGAGTATTTGCAACATGAGTTGAAATAATTCTTTTATGAGAATCATTTCTAGGTTTAAAATAATCATCTTATGGGTCAGTTTAGATTCTGTCTTGCTATTGAATTGTTATAAATTATACATAATCTTAAAGAGGAGGCTTCTATTTATCAACTTATAAATTGATTGTAATAGATTATTACTTTGGATGTTCATTTTCTATGTTCTCCTTTTTGTATTATGACTTTTGATTGTTTAAGGTAGATTTAAGAGATTGATTTGTCGTGTCTATTGTACTATTATTTTTAATCATTTAGATTTCCTTTTCCTATGATTTTAGTTTCTGATTCAAGGTGTTGTTCTTTTCATATAAGACTTAAAAATCACTTTTGATTCCTTATAATTCTTCTTCTAATTCTTCTTTTATTTTCAAAGCATCTTCCAATTTTGATTGTGTATTTTCTGCAAACAACTTCAATTATTATTCAATCTAATTTAGATTTTTAAATTACTCTTATGTGTTATCTAATTTCTGCTTCTAATTTAATCAATTACTCTTCATAATCACTTTGATCTCTAATTTTTTGTTCCTCTACTTATTATTCTAAATTTAACTAATACGATTTAAAAAATACTTTATCTTGCATTAGAACTGTGAAAATGCATCCTATATAACAAATTAAACTATTTGGATCTGTATAGAGATCTTCTGGTTTGTCCAAAGGCACTAACTTTCGTATTTAGCATAATAATAACTAATTTAGAATAGGATTTGTACATGATCTTCAGTTTTGAGGATGTTGCTTTTAATTTATGAATAGAGATCGAGTATGGATTTTTGTAATTTGAGATCAAACTTCTTTTCTGTATGTTCTGAGCTATGTCTGTAATTAGACTCCAAAGATGTATTGATATCATCATGGAAATGCTATTATTGCTGAAGTAGTTGCAGTAGGGTTTTTGATTTTTAAGACATTTTTAAATAAATAACTGATTGAATAGACAATTTAAAATATATATATTTCTTTATATATATATACATTATATTACATAAGAGAAGTAATAAAAAAACAAATCAAAAAATACAACTTTATGTCATGTCCACAGATTTCTGTATTTGTAAATCAGTCTTCAAATCTGGGACAAATTCACTTTCTATAGTTGATAAGTCATCCAAACTGAAATTCTGAATTTGTTTTGAGTCAATTTATAAAGAATGCTAAAGAATTACTCAAATAATACCACTTGTGATGTTGAATTTGGCTACTCCAAGTTTGGAAACCCAACAAATTATGGTGTTCCTAAAATATAAATGACCATCTATTACTAAATTCCATCAAGCCATATGACGATTTGTGTTGAGGTTTGAGTGGTAATTGCTAATCAATTAAGATTTTCAATTAAAATTATTTCAAATGTCGCTAATGCTGATTTTCAATCAATTTTGATCTCCATATTGGCATTGTCTGTTTCTCTTTCTTCTTCTCATCGCAATTCAATTGTTAATGAATCAGGTAGAAACAACCTAACATATAGGTCTGGAGTAGTAAAGACTTTTTTGGAAAAACTCTCCTTAAATCTTCTAATACATGAGGCATTATGAATTATTAATATTATTTATTATATAAAGCATAATTTAAGATATGAAAACATTTTATAATAATACTAAATGCATATATTGCATATTAATAATTTAGATAAGTTCATCTCCATTTCATAAAAATATTGTTAAATTTCATAAAATATTTGTCATCTACTCAATTCTCATGTTTATTAACAAAAACAACAAAGTTTAAGCAGGTCTCTATAGTAAAATTATCTACTTTATAGACAAGGAAAATCATAAAGCTAAGAATTCAGAATTTTTATGATTTAAAGTAAATACAATATATAAATTCTACTCATAATTATAGATAGTTATCTCATGAACAGCACTTTCATTAAAAATAAATGGTTTAATCTATTTTATATTGTTTATCAAGAGAAAACAGATGAAATTTTATTCTGTATATTAATACAATATAATTATCATTGTAATTAATAATACGATGTTACTTTACACTAAATTACATTTAAAAGCAAAGGTAATAATTTAAAGTATGCTGTGGGTTAATAAAAAGTATATTCTACAAATCTAAACGGTAATCAACTATATGAACTTCCAAATAATGATTTGAAGAAGGCTTATAAAAAAAGAAAATATATAATTTAGTAGTTTTCTTTTATCTATATATATTTATACTTGAAAATTTGATTGTAACCAACTCTAAATTTATTATCTGTTATTCAAGTTTATCCAATTTTGATTAATTGCAGATCCTCTGAACCTTTTCCTTGTAACAATGGATAGTATCTTATATTCTAAAACTGAATTTAATTGTCATTCTATTTTAGTAAATTCTTCAATTTTAATGAATGAATTTAAAGATGATCTAAAAAAAATATAGTAAATGATCATATTTTTTATATAAATACAGATTATTGAGTTGTTTTGTATGTTCCTGCATTTTTATGGTGCTTAAAATTAAATTAAATTTGTTATTTTGTAAGAACATTTCCAGAAGAATACCAAAAGAATACAGATATTCAATCGATCTATTGGATTACCCATAAATATGAATAATATAAACAAGAAACTAAGTTTATATAGAAAAGCTATTAAAATGCTAGCAGTATTTTAGAACACTATCAAAATGCAGCATTTAAACCAGCTACAAAGACAGAAAGCCTTTTGAGTTATGCAATTTATGATGGATGATAACATATAGATATCAAAGTTTGTCAAAGATTTCAAGAGAATAGAATTGACCCTCAAAAATTTTGATTCTAATCACTATATGTAAAGGAATGTTGCAAATATTGAAAAAATGAATAGTTTTAAACCATCCACAAACTCTTTATGCCTATACATTAAATTTAATTTAATGAATTTGAAATACTATTCAATTTAAAGAATACTTACTTTGCTGCAGTGAGATAATTATTAAAATGAATTAATAATAATAATTTTTTTGAGTTTAACAAGAATACATACTTTCGTCTATTCATGAAGGTAGGAATCAACTATAAAAAGTGTGATGAATTATGGAAAAATAATTTGAGACCATTTTTAGATTAAATTTTATATAACAGAATTGTTTAATGAATTTAGTTTAATAAATAAAGTCAAATTTTGGTATGATTCAGAGAAAGGAAATCATTGCTAAGAATAAAAAGAAAGTGGAGATATAGAACTAACCATAACTAATCTTCAGCATTAAAAGAAGGCACAATGATTAAGCTTTTGATAACATATGTATAATCAAGAAAATGATTATTAATAGTTTTTTCGAATGAGGAAGAAATGCTCAAATTTCTATATTCTCGAAAACAAAAAAGGTTGAATTTAGATGAACTAGTGGGTAATCTTTCCTTAAATGAGAAGAATTAACAAATGTAAAATTAATTGTCAACTCTTTAATTAGTGTGGGGTTACAAAGAATACCACTATAAAATATCGATTCTGACTAAAACTTAGAATTTAAGGAGACTGCTGAAAAAAGCTTGATATACTTTAAAAGAGACAGATTTGTTACAAAGTTTAGAAAAGATTTTAGGGATTCCTTGTTATCCAATAATAGAAAAAAAGTATATATACATATATATATATTAGATAATAATACAACTAGAGTAGAATAAGAATTGTTTAACAAGTGTTAATGAGAAAGGGAATTATGAGTTCGACGAGGACTACTACATAATATAGAAAGTTGAGAAAGAAAAAGCCAAATCCTAAATAACCATGAAAATTGATACTAAATAAATAGAGAAACAGATTGCAGAGTAATAATATGGAAGCGATGCTGAGGAGAGTTTTGATAGTGAGGATTCTCAAAGAACTGATTATGATGATTATGATAGTTTGGATGAAGGATCCTCACAATAAGAGGCAATGGAAGAAGAAGAATAATATTCTGATAATGATAGTGAAGACTCAGTTGATTTGAGAAGATTTCAATCAAATTAGGTTTAGTAAGACGACTTTGAAGTGGATGATAAGGATGATGGAATTCAAGGAGATTAGACCGAAATGTTCACAAATTTCATCAGATAACATGAAAAATTGATCAAGGATAAAGTTTATTGATTTTATTAATTCATTTTTTTTGATTTTGTATTTTGTAAATACAAAGTGTTAATATAAATATTAAACATTATAATAATTCATCAAATGCACCCTTAAAATAACTTTATGTACAATTAATAGGGCTATATGTATCCTTAACAATATATGTATCCTCATCCTCATCCACCTCCAAATTACGTATTTCCATAATCTATGCAACCTCCTTAATTTTATTATATGAATCCCTAAAATCCAGCCATGTATTAATACAACATTGGATAATAACAATAACAATAATAACAATAATAGCAATCACAAAGAATCAAATGTAATCAACCCAAAACAAAAGAGTAGGAACTCAAATAATAAAAACAACAAGCAGTTAAACAGCAACCAAATTAACTTATGCAATAGTAGATAGAAATGTAGAAAACAAACTTGAAGATCTTAACTGAACAATAAATTAGAGATCAAGTGGGATCTATTACAAAATAAGGGTTTTGTCATTATTGCAATAAGAATGGGAAGATGTGTTATTATTGTTTCAGTAATTATCGATCGACAGACTGTAGACATGGATTTTGTTTTGATTGTTTGATGTTCAAATTCAAGGTACAAATTTAAGTTAATTGATTCATTAGATAAACCCAATTAAGATATTACTCAGACCTGATTGGAGTTGTCCTATCAAATGCAAATAATGTATTTGTAGCCGATGCACTAATATAAATCATATGGATTCAGATTAATTCATTTCTAATGACTCTGTGGAGAGTTGCAATAAGTATGCTCATATTATAGAGAACACTAAGAAAATTAAAAAGTAATATTAAAAGAAGAAGAACATAATAAGAGAAATGTTTTAAGTAAAATTTTAGCAATTAGATCCAAAAAAGAAGAAATAACAATAGGTAAAAAATTGGAATAAAGGTAGTCAATGAAGAAGACTCTACTCCTCAATAAGATAAAGAAGCAGATGTAGTTTTCATAGGAATGTATATTGAAATTGAAGTAGAAACATAGTTAAAATGATGAATAAATATTGCATTAGGTAGTGAGATATAATTTTGGTTCTTTGATCGATTTGTTTAAGGAATATAAGTCAGCTTGATAATTCATAAACAATATAATTAATATTTGATTGATATTTTTACAAAAAGTTTGGACTTCTTGAAATATCATTTTCATGTTGAATATCCGTAATGACAGGAAGTATCTAAAACAACTTTTATTAATATTATTATATTTATTTAATAATCATTCACTCATAAGGATAAAATTATTTTGAATCAAAAATAAAGGATGTTTTTTCAATTCTTTTTCTATAAACTATATGATTAATCAAAAAGATTATATAATCAATTAGGATAACAACAAATGAGATATTTCTATTGAACATCGTTAATATTTTTTAAGAATAATATAGTTATTAACCGACAAAAGTCATTCTTACTAAGTTTTACCATTTAATGACTTCTTGATACTCTGTAAAATTTTACTTACTTTATTTGAGTATGTAATTTCTGATTATTTTTATTTATATAATATCTAATATATTATAATTAAAATTAATAGTGTTATTTTATTAACTTTTTGCAATTTAAATATTTTTGGAACAAAGAATTCTCAATATTAATTAATTTAAATAAACCAGAAAAACAATAGATAAAATGCCAAATACTTCATTAGTTATTATCAATCAATAAAAAAGATCAGTTTAATTCAGTGAATAAGATACTGTTCACATTGTTGAAAACTGGAAGGAATTCAATTACACTCCTAAAGAGATTAAAATTAAGGATAGAAAATTAAAAGTGGAAAAAATAGTTATTAGAACTGACTTCGAAAATTATGTGTTGGAAAAATACAATAAAATTAAATCTACATTAAAAGAATTTACAACTTCGTGCTCATTTCTTTGAAAATATTTTTGACTTTTTTATATTGTGTGTAATAGTACTAATTTATAACAATTTGAAAAAAATAATTCTTCAGTTCTGAAAACTTGAGTATATATTTTTCAAATCATTTTCTTCAGATTTTTATCCCTTCTGAGTCAAAAAGCCATATTCCATTCTGCTTTGTATATTCCCTGTAACTTTGGGGTTAAATGAGTTAGGTTCTATTGGTAGTATTTTTTTATTGAATACTTACAAACACATGCGAATAAATTGTTATTTTTGGGGATTTTACGCATTGTCTTAATTAATTATGGACAATTGCGAATAGTGTGATAAAAGGTAGAATACGTTATTATTGATATGAAATAGAAAATAACATTATTAAATTATTTATAGAAATATTGTAATTTTCATACAAACTATGGAGAGAATAACATCTGACTAAAGTACAATATCCTTTGTATAAAAATATGTTTAATTTTATAGCAATTGGATTATAAATTACAATGAAATATACAAAAGTGTGTTATGCTTCAAATAAATTTGTATTAGATTAAGTTTTGCAATGATGAATGATATTGAGTTCATTTTCTTGTATGATGATGAATTTATCATCTTTTGTTTGCCTTAATTTAGTTAATTGATAACTATTATATTTAATTTAAAATTTCAAAATGAATTACATTATAGGAATGTCTGTCACATAGAAACATTAAATTTCTATTTAAGAAAATCTGGCTTATGCAGCAGGGTCTATAGTAGTATATTACTCATACAAAGAAAATTAATAAGTGAAATATTTGATTGGGAAAGCATAAGTACATGCCATACTTATATCAAGAGATGGTACGCATGTGTTTACTGGAGAGCAAGCTACAAAGAATCCTGCAGTTAATATATTTAAGTTGACTGAAGATCGCGAGATTAATGTTAGTTAGTAGTTGAAGGGACATAAATTTGGAATCACTTAGATTGTAGAATCTCCAGCTAAACCATATTTAGTGTCTTTGGGTTCTGAACCTGATAAAGGGTTGTTTGTATGGGATTGGAGTCAGGGCATTAAATTAACTGTGAATAAATTATCGAAACCTGTTAATACTATTCGATTCAATGATAATGGAAGACTATTAATAAGTGCGGGATAGGGACATTTGAAATATTGGTAATTTAATAATGACGGAAGTGTAATAGCATATGACAATATGATGGATCCAAAACCTTTTTTATTGAATGAGCAATTCATGCATAAAAACTTTATTGATATTCATGTTACTCAATATTAGGTTTTTGCATTAACATTTGATTCCTTAATAACTGTATTTTCTTTGCAAACAAAACAATTCGAAAAATGGATGGATCTCAAGGCTGCTAATTCTTATTCATTAACTAGTCATTTAAATTATCTAATAACAGGTTGTTCTGATGCGATAATAAGAATATTCAATTTGAATATGCAACACATAGTAACACTCTCAAAACCTCCCAATCTTGGAAATTACAATATTGAAAAAGGAGTCACCAAACTCAAAGTCTAAGGTGACCAATTTGCGGATTGTTTGGCAGTGCAAATCTATTAGAATTATTTAGTTGCTGCCTATAGTGATAGAACAATGTTTTTATGGGATATTGGTAATTTTGAAAAGATTGTTGTAAAGCGTTCATTTCTCAATCACAGTGCCAGCATTAATGATCTATAAATAATGACTTAATAATCATCAATCGAAGCCACATTCTTCGTTACAGCCTCCTCTGATCAAACCTTAAGAGTGTGGCATATTTATGACTAATAGCCTTTGGGATTGAGGAGAAATGCTTACTGTAAATATCTCTCCAAAATTATCTATATTGGTGATTAATATCAACACTTCAAAGCCAATCAATAAGCATAACTTCAAATTAGATGTGTAAGAGTTTCCAAAGATGGTAATTATCTTGCATGTGGAGATTCAGCCGGAATTTTGAGAATATTCTCTACTTAAACATTCACATTGTATAAGCAAATCCAAGCCCATGATCAAGATATTATGACTCTGGATTTCTCAGAATATATAGATTTACTTGCCACTGGATCCAGAGATCGTATAATAAATGTCTATGATGATCAATTCCAAAAAATAGGGTCACTAGAAGAACATACTAGTTCAGTTACTTGTGTTAAATTCAGTAAGAATAAACTCATAAGTTGCGGATTAGATAAAGCCATTATCTTTAGAGAATTCAATGGATAGAAATTTAAAATATATCATCAAGAGCAAATTTCAAAAATATACTCAATGGATGTTAGTTTCAACAATTTGTTTATTTGTTTGGAGAAAAAAATATCAATCTATGATATTCCTACTGGCAAATTGAAGTAGTCTTTTGAAACAGATGCAAATTCGAAAATTCTACTCTACAGTAAGGATGATCAGAATTGTCTCCAAATTGCTACTTATTCTGATAAAAACATCAAAATTTACAATAACAAATTTGAATTAATCTAAAAGTTTCAACATGATCAACTCACTTCTATGGGATTTGCTATGGATAACAAACACTTCATTACTGCTGGACATGAAGGTTGTATTATTATCTGGAAATTAAATAAAGTATTTAAGAAGAAATAATTGGGATTAATAGGTAAGAAGTTGAAGTAAGTCTTCGCTTAATAAGATCTAAAGAGTTCAAAAGAATGGACAATCAATAGTTTGTGGATTGAAGATGAATTGAGAGGCTTCCTTAACAATAATAAATAACAATAATAATAATAATAACAATAACAAAGCTAGAAGTAAGAGGAAGAACAAGTAGAATTGTTTAAATTTGAATCCGATAATGAAATGGATCCCAAATCCTCTAAATAAATTGAAAATGCTCTATCTCCTTTGGGAAATTCACAATTCAACTATAAGGATCAAAAATTCGATAAGGATGATATCAAAACTATTTAAAATCAATTGCAGATCGTTTAAAATAATCTTAACAAAGTCAATGAAAAACAATAAAATAAATACTAAATTCACAAAAACTAAGAAACCATTTAAGAAGTCAATCAACTTGAAGAGCAGAGTCAACTGAATTTCTTTTATGAGAAATCACAATACTAATAATCCTCCCGAAGTTAAAGTGTGGATAGTCAAATAATAAAAAAGAGAACTAGAGAAGAAATCAAGTAGGATAAATTGAGGTAACTCAATAAAAAACATGATGCCTTATAATAAAATTTGGTTACCCAAGAAAGTTAAGTCGATCAGACTTAGAGAGAAACAACAGAATTAGAAACAAAGAGAATGGATTAGGATACCTAAATAAATAGTAGTTAATTGCATTCCAATATTAATACTTATGCCGATTATCAACCACCACAAAATAAATAATCTTTCCCAACTGAAGCTAGTTTATATATCAATAATGCTACCTAAACATAAGATCATATCAAATAGATGATAGGTCCAATCTCAAAGGATTCTATTAATTTGAATAGTTCTTATGCTTACGATTAGCATTACCATCAATAATCGGTTGATCCAACTTAGTAATAGGTAATTATTATTCCTTATCATTTTAGATATTTTAATAAACTAACTTGGCTAAACATCATATTAGACAGATTCAAGTGGAATTGCTGGATTTAACGAACTTATTAAATTCGATTAAAGATTAATAGATTAAGGATAATGTTTTAAGGGAAATAGATGATGACTTGAGTAACTTATAAAAGTCTATATAATTAATCAGAAAATAGGAATAGCCAGAACAATAGACAAATCGAATGATGGAGCAATCGTAGGCACAACTTAGTGAAGAAGATATAAGTATGAATTGATGTTTATAATTAATAGAGAAGATAGTGATAAATTGCAGCAAAGAAATGTTTGAAAACTACTCAAAAGTCTTATTAGAATAAATTAAAGGAAAGAATGTATGAGATTTCAATTAACAGAATTTTTTTCAATAACAAAATACTTTCAAAATTTTGGTTAATACTTTGGCTTTCACTGGTTGAGATGGGTATCTTTCTCCATCTATACTCAATGGACAATCAGTGATTGGTTCAAAAGTATATTCTTTTACTTTTTCATATTTCCAATTTCCTTTCGTTTTCGAATTTCCTTATTCATCAATTTCAACATGACTAACATCATATTGTTTGAATGACAACTTTATTAATTGTGACCAATCTCCATCCTCAAGATATTGTACATGATAAATAATTATCGCTTATGTAAGGTATCTTTTATGCTAAAAAATATCTAAATGTCATCTATTGATTATTATATTTGGCTTAATATTTCTTTTAAAATATCACTCTCCATATTCCATATATATCAAATCTAGAACCTCCCAAAAATCTTAATGATTCAGATCCCAAATCCACTTCAGAAATGAAAGCGTAGGATAGAGATAGGAAAGAAACAACCTTCTTTTGAGGCATATCTTATAGAATAAGATCCATTTATCTTGTGATTCCTTTGGCAATTAGAAGTGCACAACTTTCTGGTTTACATTCCAAATATGATAATTTGCTTAAGAGTTTAGCAAATGCATTCCACTTCCACCTGGAATTACTCCAAAGGTAATAGATTAAGATATTTATTCTCAAACTTATCTTGCATACAAAGCATTGATAGCTTCATGCGGTAATCCATCTCCAGATACAAGTACGACTCCATAGATATTTGAAAGATCTTCTTTTAATAAATAATGGTGACAATGATTTTGAGATTATGTTAAAATGACTTGATATTTTATATTGAACTTATCAAGAATGGATTTTGCTTTATTCCATTCTTTCAAAGCATGTCCTTTTCCGCTAGCTGGATTGACAAAGACCAATAATTACTTTGGAATATCCATTCAATAAGTTTATAATTTATAATTATCAATATTTCTCAAATAATTTATCATTTTGCCACATTCCTTATAATTTTTCATTCTTTTTATAAAGTGTTCCTATACCATTTTTAAGATCCCTTTCAAAATTGCCCACAAAATAAGATTCATCATCATAATATTCAATTCCAGCTCCATTTTTTAAACCATTTTTGAATTACCCTTGATATGATAGTTTGCCTTCTTAATACAATTTTCCAAATCCATGATAAACATTATTGAACCATTATCCTTCATATTCTAGTTCATTTGTAGAATAGGAACCAACTCCTTCTTTTTAGTTTCCATTCATTTAACCGACATAGCGATAATTTTATCCTCTAATAGTAATAGGAGTGTCTGATCGAAGTCTTGATAAAGAATGAGAGGATGTATTAAGATTCTAAGTTTGCGATTAGATCAGTTTGTAATCGAATTCTCTAGAGATAATGAATGTATTAACCTTTTAGGATTCTTTTAAGGAGATTGTTATGTGGCATTTCTGTTTATGTTTCTAGTAGGAAAAGTGGCCTAAGGAAGTGATCGATCTTATATATATAATTAATACAATCAATATTGTTATTGAAAGTTATGGCATTCATTGGTGATTCTATTAAAAATAAAATTTATATGCAAATATATATATTATGAAATCAATTTTATTGATGAGTTTACATTCCAGCAATATCTTTGATCTTCTTCATGATTTGAGGATCAGTATCATTATCCCATTGAGCCAATTATATTCTCTCTTACATTTTATCGAGAGTGTCCTGAGAAAGATAACTTCAACATAATACTTTGAGCATTCTAGCAAATTCAGCTGACATCTCTTCAATTTTACGCTTCAATTCACTAATTTCATCATCTTTCTTCTTCAATCTGTATTCATAATCTTTAACCATGTCTTGAATATATTGTTCTTTGTTCTCTAAAATTGATTGTGATTAATAATTTACTAATGATTTCTTCTTTTTCCACATCAGTGGATCTTAAATCAGTAATTTATTTGAGTAATTCCTCCTGCATTTATTTATATTGTCTAGTCATATCTGATCTATATTATGAATAGATAATCCCCCATACACAATGCAAAATAATTTATCTTTCTCCTTCTTCAAATCATTTTCCATTTCCATCACTCTGGCTCTGATCTCATTTTCAGCTGCTTTTGCTTTATCACCTCTTTCTTGTTCCTCCACTTTAATTTAAAATAATAGTTCTACCAAATCTAGTCTAAAGAGCTCTGCATTTATGTTCCAAAACCATAACCTTTTCCTCTTCCTCTCTCTCTCCATCATCACCTCCTTTCTTCTTGCTTCCTTTCTTTGACATATTATTATTATTTATTAATTATATCTCATAAAATTTTTATTATAACTGTTTCATGATCAATCGAATAATACTCGTTTTACTATTTGTTGTGCATCGTCAATCTAAATCTGCTTAAATCATAAACTCCTTTCTCTGTAAACACACCTTCTAAACTCAGAACTTTCATCTCTTATGGCTTCAAAGTGATTTGGTGTTACAAGGTACCTTCCCACAAAAAGAATGGTTACTAAATGTCATTGACCGACCTTAATAATTATATTATTGTACTTCAAAGGTTCATCCCCATTAAACAATGTCACAGTAAAAGTAATGGGTTCTAAATATTTCGTGTTTTTGAAACTTATCTTTATTGGAACCATCGTAATCATACTTTGGTGCTCTACTTCATATGGAGCTGAGATCGAAAAAGTCATTGGAAATTCCTTCACATCCCTATGCAAATAGTTTGATTGCAAAACTGGTAATTCATGCAATCCATACACTATTTCATCCTCATATCTATATGTCCATCTTGCTATAATAAATAGAGGGAATTCCTCTTTCCTTTAATCAGACAATTTCTGATAGAAAACATTGAAGTAATGCTATATATCCAAATTCACAAAGTCCAATGCAACACCTGCTGGAATATCTTAATCACCCAAAACTATCTCATTAAAATTATCGCCATCCCTATAAAACCTCTCCTTTAGTCTATTTTGATATTCTTCATATCTATAATCCTTTGTCTAAATCTTCTTCATTTTAAATGTAGTCAAAAGAAAGGGATCCCCACTCGATTGATATGGAACATCAAAGTATTGCCAATTCTCATTCAAGCAAAGGATTCTATCAAATCTCAGTTTGCCTTTCCCTCCAAAGTAATCTTGAACTTGCAATGTGAATTTCCAATAGTCTACAATCAAATCTGTTTAGAGTGATATCTTGAAACTAGGGTCTACTTTCATTGGAATCTCCAATTTCTAAATTCTAATTCCACCACTTTATCCTTATTAATACTTTAATAATAATTAACCAACAAATTCTTCTTAAAAACTGCATCTCAAATAAAACTGATATTCCAAAACCTAAAAGGCACTTAAAACAATCTTTTTCACTTCAAATCCAAAATGATAAGGTATTATCGGAGTTATGTAAATAACAATTTCTTCAGGATTCTTATTTGTGAATTTAAATAGAATGGGTCTTATTTCACCATAGGCTATAACTGGTTTTGTGTAATACTCAATATTAATTGGTATGAATTTAGGGAACACTCTAAACTTATTGTAAAAATTGACACTCTTCTTTTTTGATTAATCCTTAGCATCATAATTTATTTATAATTATGCAGGAATATTAATGAAATTCCATTGCAAACCTGTGATTATCAGATATCCTGCTTATGGGGGAGTTATCGAAACTTCTAAGTATTCTTGGATAGCTCCCTAAAAAGGAATGTCCTTTACTTCTATAGTATTTATTTTTGTGAGTACATATTCTTTTTCATTATTTGTATCTATTTCTAATAGATTCTCTTTGAGTGTGTAAAATTAATACATAACTTATAAGCCATTGATATAACTGGGCACTTTAAGAGGTAAATTTATGAAAAATCTTAAAGTTATAGTGTCTTCAGCAAAACATTGTCTTCCAAACTTGTTAATTTTGTCAACTAGATCTGAGATTTTGTCAATGTTTAAAATACAAGGTGTTTTATTGAAACATGCTATTCTTTCTTCCAAATAGAGGGAATCAAAACTTCTAATTGATGCATCTTCATAAAATGATTCATTTTTAGAAACTGTATTCCATAAATTCTTAAATTTCTATTTGATATTTTTAAGAACTATTGAATCAAGTACATCTTAACCATGTGTTAACATATCTACAGGTCCTTTGACAATTGGTATCTTAAGAGCAGTATTAGATTGTGTAAAGTATTTTTTTCTGTGATCTTAAAGTTGCTCAATTGATGTATATGCTTTTTTCCAGTCAACAACTAATTGATTATGTTATTCTTAACTCTATCTTTCATTTATTTGATTGAATGCCAATTTAAATGAATCTATGGCCTCTTGAATTCTCTGATTCTCCAAACAATTAGCCCCTATATGACCTTCCAACCAAAACAATAATGGAACCCACTTAGACTATTAATACAATTATTCAACTATTTTGAAGCATCTCAATGCATGTTTCTTGAAATTCTCAGATTCATATTTATTAGCCACCAAAGTTAAATTGTGAGCAAACTTTCTGAATTCAGGTGGATCTAATCTCAAATGTATAAATGCAATTTATTCATAGACTAATATCTAATACACTACAAAATAATCTTTTTTTGTAGTGCTTCCTAAATCCTTAAAATAACGATGAAATCTTTAAAGGAAATAGATTTACTCCTTGTTGTATTTTCCAAACATGTGAGTTGTGATAATATAAAAATACATGATTCTTAACATATATGGGAAATGAACTATCTTATGATAGCCAATCTAGATTTCATCGAAAATGTTTTTAAGATTATCTATTTTCTGTTATGACAATAATCGAGAATACAAATAATATTCAGTTGCATTTAAAGTAGCAATCGTAGTATTGGTCTTATTATTTTTAAGTTCATTTATAAGTCCCTTATAGTATATGGTAGCACTTTCATAATCGTTCATCAAATAATGATTGTCACCCAAAAATCTCAAAAGTGATTCTTTCTGAGTCATCTTATACTCAGTTTCAGTTGGTTAACCTGTTCTTGTGTTGAAAATGCTTGTAAAAAATGTATCGAATGTTTTCTACTTCATTTCTTAATAGAGTTGTGTCTATATATTGATTTGTCTCTCCAACATAATCACTGCTTGTTATAATATGACTTCCTCAAGAACTTGCCTATATATCTTAGTCCATTATTCATCTAAAATTCCTAATGGATGTTTAGGCACTTCCCCATCATAATTATATCTCTGATATGCAAATCTAGACCAGTGAGTTTGCTCAATAGGATTAGGCAAATTATATTTTAGAACGTAAGATCGTAACTTACTTAATTCTTTATACTAATCCAGAGATTCACATTGCACTGCCTCTTAAGCATCATTCAATATTATGATTACTTTAGTCACCATATCCTAATCACTTTGGTTATTCTTAAAAATCATCTTAATCAAACTACTTGAATCATTTTTTATTTTGTTGTACTCCTATCCCAAATTTTTCTCTTATCCACTTAATACATAAAATAATACAATCGGATGATCTAGGAAATTATAATGATATTAAAATCCTAAACAATCCCCTACTACCTATTACAATTACTAGAACCCAGCCATCTTATTTTATTCGCATATTTGATCTAAAGTTTGTTTGCTACAATTTCTTGAGATTTAAACTTGATCCACAACTTGAGTATCCTCCAACAAAAGACGTGAATGCTTATCCAACTTGACATTTCCAATCTAGTCGTATTCTCTCAAATCTAACAATTTTATGTTCAGCTCTTTTTCTTTCTCTCTCAAACCCAATTTCAATCTTTGTATTTTTCTTGGTAGAAAGGGTCTCAAGAATTCAGCTGGAGTTATTTGATATTTACTAAGAAGAGCTGCCTGTATGAAATCAGAAGAAATCACCATACCCTTATATTAATGGCATGCTTGATTAAAGAGTTCTAGTTATGTAATATTCATTTTTAATTAATTATGTTTTGTGCTTCCATCGCTCTCTTTGGAACTGTCTTTTTGGGTTTTCTTGGATATTTGGTTCAAATTCAAATGCCCTTTTTGAAGTTCAAGATGCTTGATCGACAAACCACACAAAATGCTTTATATACTTCATCCATAGTAACATTAACTATATAAATTTAGATCTATTTTGTGCTATTTCTTCTTATACTATTGCATGACTGCTGCAAAACCAAACCATATCCACAGTATAAAGTTTATCAATAATGGAAATACGAAATGTTTTGAATTAATAAACAATTTTTGTGCAAATATTGAAACAATATAACTAATAAAAATATTCATTTTTTTCTCTTAAAACCTAGACCATTCATTCATAACATCAGTTCCTATCCCAAAACAATAATATCAATTTCATATTTGAATGGAATGTTTACTTTTTCATGAAATCAACCTCCAATTATTTGTAAAAACACTATTATCATCAAATTAAAACTCTAAAAATGGTATAAAGTCTAATTTATGAAAATAGATGATTATTATTGTATTGAGCAATGTTTATTTTTCACATATATAACCAAAAATAAAATAATAATCAACTGAAATATTGAACTTAAAAAAGAATAGGTCCCACTACTATTCGCACGCCATCATGTAACACATGGCATTTACTTGGCATGTACTAATCATATTGGTATTGATTAGCAAGTAAAGCAAAAGTACCATATTGTGTTGGATCTAAATATTATGATTCTTTTGGTTAAATCAACCACTAACTGTTTTTAAATAATATCTTGCAATGCTCTCTTTACAAACTAGAATCAGGAATAACAATTGAGCAATTTTAGCCTGATCCTAACATATATTCCTACTCGGATTTTAGAAGGAATTCCTTCCCTTTAAGGGCTCCCTCTATGAATTCAATAACCAAAAGAGGAGTATCCTCACTATAGCTTGGTAACTTGAATTTCTCTCGATAATCTTAGACTGATTTATATAACTCAAGAGATTTAACTAAATCTATAATGGAAGGGTTCCTGTTATCTTCATATGTTGATATTTGCATAGTAATCTTAGGCATAGGTTAGATGAATTTAATTTTAAAATAAGTATTTTGATTTAGTCTAATAACCATCAGGGCATCAAGTATAAGCTGCTGATGTATACGTTAACAAGTTCGAAATGATCTTGATGTGTCTCTAATTAAAAACACATTATATGGAGTCCAAATTATCTTCAAATGTATAGGGTTCACTTATCTATCATTTATGATTTAGAGATCACATTCTTTTGCATAACCCACAGTGAAGAGTTCTTCCTATTTCAAAGGTATTTTATTCTAAGTAGTTCTTGTTATTTGTATATCTTTAAATTAAGTAGGACAGCCATCTGCTATATATATAACCTTTAGGTTAATATGCTTTAATGTTTATTTTGGTATTGAAAATGTTTATAAATTAAACTAGTTTTGAAATAAGTTTAATCTCTCTTTCTTAGATTTCCAATACTAAGAGGTATATATTATTGTAATACTGTCTCAACGAATATTACATAATCTGCTCTCTTTATTATATTTCTATAATCTGGATCTATTTTATATTTAATGAAAAGTAACTAATCATTATCCAATTCGATTTCATCTAATATTCTGACAAATTATGTAAAAGAAGCACTGAATTCATCCCAACTTACCTCATTTTAATTATGTAGAAACCTTTCCCAAAACAATAATTCCTGGTCCATGTTATTAATAAAAAATTTATTTTTATTTGCAATTTTATAAACATTAAATATTTATAATTCATTATTACCTACTTTCTATCATTTTCTTCTTTTCTTACAATTTGTTTTTCTTTTATTTTTCTTCATCTTCCTTTCTCTTAATCATATCATATAATCTCTTATTTTTTCTACTCAACATAGTTTCAGCTAACTTCTTGGTCTCCTTTTCTTATTGTTTAGCCTATTTCTCCTTTTGTTTTTTATTATTCTAGTAAGGTTTATGTTCTTTCTATTGTCCATCTTCTTCTTCGCTTTCAGATTGAACTTCCTCTAAGTTTAATTGCTCAAATGGACTTAAATGAGGAGGGAGAGTCTTAAATAATATTAATAATTCATACTGATTCTGGAGCATAATCAGCTACACTCAATAATTTTAATTAGTTAATAGAATCGTAAACCCATTATGGTTATATGTATTCTCTCTTTTTGTTCTTTTAAACTGTTCTTTCAGTTATCACATGTGTAATTTTTGGATCAGTCAATTATGAATTTTTGTTGTCATTCTCCCACATAACTTCTCCCCCAAAACTCAATATTACAAATTCTAAAGATGTTTTGGGTACTTCAGGAAACAGGAAAAATGTTAATCCTTTGAATAATTCCGAATATTTTTTTGTTTCCTATTACTATTAATCCATTTATTGTATTGTTGGATCCTCTTTAAATGCTTCATCAATTTCAATTCTAATATTAATTAATAGCAATACTAATTGTTTTATGCAAGTGACTTTAATTTTAATACTTCTTCTCTAAAATCTGTAATTTCGATTTCTTAACCAAGAAGCTTAAAGTTGACGAATTTCATCAAAACTTAATAGAATTCAAGGAAGGTCATCATTATTTTATAATCGACATCCAACGGCAAAGAGGCTTGAATGGGATATGGCATTATCCAAGTTATGGTAGCTCCTTAGACTACAGCTTGGTAATAGATACCCTTAATAGAGAGGAAAACCTAAGTGATAAAATGGGGGAATCATACTTTTCTCAAACAGTTATGAGCTGCCACATATAACAAAAATTGATGGATCAATTTTTAGCAACTTTTTATTAATGTGTTAGGAATGTGGAGTTCTTTGTGAGTAGGAAATGAAGCAAAAAGACTTACTAAGCATAAAGGATCATCAAGATCATTTAAAGCATCAATAAAGGTTGGATACCTTTCTTTGACCAAGTGATCTAATTTATCCTTTGGTTAATTTCTTCGTAATCTACCAGCCTTCAATTTGTCACCTCTTGTTAATGCTTTTCTTATTTTTTTTAAATGAGCCTGTCTTTGTCTGAATGTATCAAGTATGGACTCATTTTTAAGGAAAGCAATATCCTTGTTATGGTAATAGGTTTTATGTTATTTTCTCAATTTTTGAGGTGGTTCTCTTGGGTAAATTCCTTTTAAGATGCAAAGTCTTCTGAAATCCTTTAGATTGACTTATAGTTTTTTGAGAGCTTTGGTTCTGGATACATATTCTTTGACTGGTCCTTCCTTTCCCTTTTTAATTTTTTTACCCATAAATTAAAACTATAAATTAATATTAAAAAAGATGAATCAGGAAAAATAAATGAATATTGATTAAATTGGATTGAAAATAAAAGAATGGATTAAATATCATAACATTTTTTCGATTTCGATTTAATTATTACTTTGATTCTCTATTTATAATCTCTCAATGTCAATAAATAATTGTCTTATTTGTCTTACTGACCTAAGCATCATGATCTAAAAGAGAAGTACCATAAACTCAAGTGTCATAAAAATAATTATCCTATGAAATATACAATAATTATTATAACCTGACTAGTCCATTTTTGTTATAAATCCCTAATTAATGATCAGCAATGTGATTGGTTGCCAAAATAACGATAGTACTCGAAAATTCAATCGTAAATGACACAAATATTCCCAGAAAATAGAAGGTTAGAGAATTATATTTTTGTCTTCTGATTCCAATCGTTCCAATGGCGACACTTAAAATCCAGAGTAGAGAACTCATTGTAAGATATTTATTTGTTACGATATTATGATCAAAATGGCAATTGTAAATGAGATAGTAGTAAATTTATTTAAGCCGAGTAGTTTGATTGCAGTTACTATAAATAAAAACACTCCTCCAAGTTAATGAGACGCATGAATTCTAAATAATATCAAATAAATATTCAGTTTACGATTTCGCCAATTGTTTGGATTCTATTTATTTAGCCACCATAATTTCTAATAGACAATGCTTATCTTCCACTCTAGGGTCTTGGAAAAAAATTGGTTCTAACTTATTGTTTTTAACACTCTAGATTTCAATTCTAATTTAGAGTTTAGAAAATAAAATAAGAAGTACTATTCTTTTAGGTAATTCACCTCAGGTTGTAACTTAAGACTCGGTTTCTTTCGAATGATATCAATTTATTCGGCTTAAAGTTATGGATCTTAATTTCCTTAGGACATATTATTCTTAATATAATTCTAGTATAAATATTAGTCTAACGAAATAACCTTATAATATATTTGAGAAAATATATCAATTTGATTATTGCTCCTCAGCTTCCAGCCTTCTGATTCTTTTTCCATCCACCCATTCTCCTTGACGACTTTTCAACTACTTTCGTAAAGGTTCTTCTGCCATGTTGCCATCCAACCATTACCCAACGTACTTTTTCCCATTTGGCCAAAAGAAAGTACCTTAACCTTCTTTCTTGTTATTCTTATATCTAATAACAAATTAACCCCAATTATTTACTCTCCATCATGTATTTTCCCATCTTGGCATTTGGTTATTCCAGTCCCATGAATTTTATTGTTATTCCAACCTCCTTCATACTCCCTTTTATCTGCCAACATATCGACCTTACATAACCTATATTAAACTACCTTTCTCATGTATTTCATTCTGATTGAACTCTCCATCGTAAAATGACCCATCAGCAAATTATAACTTCCCTTTACCCTGTTTCATACCGTATTCATATTACCCTGTGTATTTACAACCATCTGGCCATTTTTACACTTCATTACGGTGTTTTTTGCCATCCTTCCACTCTCCTTCATAATTTTCTCCATCCAAATGATAATATCTCCCTAATCCATTAGCTTAGTCATTAACCCATTCCCCTTCATACATATCTCCATCAGCATGAATCAGTTTTCCCTTTTCCACAAGCCTTATCATTAACCCATTCTCCTTCATATACTGATTGATTGGCCAAATTTGTTTCCCCCAACCATGTCTCTATTCATTCTACCATTATCCGATGAAAATGGCCCCAGATTCTAAAGTAACAGGTTCAAATTTTTCGAGAACTGACATCTATAATATTTAAGTTTTATTTTCATCAAAATTGAAAGAAAAAAAAAATATCTCTTTTAAGTCTCGTATAATGGATTCTCATGATTTAAACTTGTTTAATTCGACACTTCTTGAACTCTTTATTAATTACTTGTTGGAACATCTTCATCTCCCATTTGTAGTCCCATTTCAATTTAATTATCTGCATTCCCCATGTTGACTTACAAAATTTTTACAATCGTATTCTCAGGATTGCTCTGTCCACATATTTCGCACAAGTACCCAATTTCATTTGACGATTATGTTAAAAATATTTTAATTAACAATGAACTTAAAGGTTATGGTTATTCAAAAATTATATAATTAAAATAGAATATCAGCTATGATTATAGGATTATTAAAATTGAAAATTGCTTAACCATTTTAGAGTCCTTTTATAATTAGCACATATAGTTTTGAATTATATTAAAGAACTTTTTTTATCTAAGATAAGTTTTTGACTGAGTATATATTAAAAGTTAGCAGCTCTAAAGTGTAAGAAATTTTAGATGAATTATCAACAAAAAAAATTAATTTATAAAGTTTTTAATCTTTCTTATTTAACAATACGAAACTAGAGTTGCTAACATAAATAAATAAAATGGTTTTATCATCCTTACCTAAAGTCTGAATTAATGTTTTGTATTTTTTTTTGCAAAAAATCTATTATAAAAATTAGATAAAAACCATTTTAGAGATGTAATATACTTCAAAGTTAATCTTTAATTTTTATAGAAGACAATTATTATATATTTCTTTGATTCTTCTTTTGGGTGAATGAAAAAGCTCTTCATTAATTGGGATTTGTATATAGTTATTAGTGCTTTAGTGTTTCAAAACCAGTTGAATTTATTCTAATTTAAAGTATTTTAGAAATTTTCTTCAAATTGCGCGTTCTAGGACAATGAAAAATTTCAATCAAGAATCTAAGGCTATAATTCAAATGACTTAAAGATCTATTTTTTATAATGATATGGAAATGGCTAAATGATTTGATTTAGATAATTTAAAAATAGAATTTAGTATTTTTAATAAATTTTGTCCTTTGAGTTCAGATTGGCTTAATCTAAATATATTATTTTTTTAAGTAAATACCAAAATTTTGTTTTAACACCCATCTCAATAGGAAAGCCAAATTTTAAAATTTGGTTCCTAAGAAACAACATTTATTTTTTTTAGTAGATGTAGGTTTCTGGATTAGACACAAAGGAATTAAAATATGGAATATTTAGCATTATTATGATATAAAATGAAGATTTAGGAGCAGGTCTTGATTAAATTGATAAAGGATTTTAGAAGTCACTATTAAAGATATATTATAATATTCTAAAATGTTAATTGTTACATAGTTGGACCATATTATAACTGGTCTCAAAGAATAGAAAAATAGAGGTTATTAAATTTAAGATCATGTTTTTAACGACACTCAAATCTATAATAAATTAGTTAGGACTATTAAACAAAATTGAATCATCAGTTTATATTTTTAGAAAATTAATATTAGTTATAGAATATTCTATGCCTTCTCTATAGTTTCATTACGAAATTGGAGTTATTGTATACAAAATTGAAAATGATATTAAGTTAATTACATAGAAGATTCTAAGAAAATATTATATAAAAAATAATAGAATGGTACTAAATTTTGTGAAAAAGGAAAGAATGATAATAATTAATAAATTTATATTTGGTCTCAATTATCCTCTTGTAAGAATCCAGCATCTCTTTTTGGGAATGAATTGCATGAGTCAACATGAATTTCACTAATTTGAATATAAATTTTTTTACAATCCACTTCTGCAATTCCATACATCATGCAACTTTTCATCTTTAATACACCAATGCTTCTAACAACATTATTATTTATGTAATCCTGCACAAACATGACCATCTGAATTTTTGCAATCTTTGTGACATGAATCATTCTCAGCTGTTGATCTAACCCATTTCTTATCATTGCTTGTGATAGGAGGAGCCATTGTTGCTGATATTATTCCAATCAATAGAAGAACTAATAATACTCTCATTTCCGTTTTTATATATAAATTATTAATTAATTTTACTTAACAAAACAAAAGTGATTCATTTTAAGAAATTTTTTCGAAAACTCCTTTATTTGAAATATAGAATTTTATTAAATTTAAGAAAATAATTAATAGAAGGCATTTTAGGTTGAAAAAATATATGATCGAATTAAAATTACAAAATAATATATTAGATTTGGAATGAAATCTATTCTTAACTTTAAACTATTATTGAATAATAATTTCTAGCTTCATCAAGGTTTTCAAAATATGAAAAATAATCCATTGATTATAGAGGAAAATGAAATTTATTATTTAAATATTTTTGATTGCATCCACTATGCAACATGTAACTAAAAATCTTTTTATAGTTTATTATAATTTTAGATTGAATACCTACGTTATTAATTTTGTCTTGTTCACATATTTTCAAAAATATCTGTTTGGCTTTTTATGTTGGAAGGTTTAAAGTCATTTTAAGTGAGTTTTCTGTTAGAACTAAATCTATAGCAAATTTAATATTATATAATTGGAAAAGAGTATAAAAATTTTGAAAACTAATAAATCTTTAAGTTATTCTAAAATGTGAATCAACAGTTCTGAATAAAATATGAATTCATGATTCTCAGATTAACACATGAATACATTATAAAGGTAATAAATTATAATTAATTGCCATACCAATACTGAGAAGCTATATAGTAATTATATTTAAATTCAGAAATTCTAATAATCAAGTTAAATTGATCGACATGTTTCAAAGTTTTGTATGAATAAATTTAAATTTTCCATTTAATTTATTCGAAACTAATTTACACAAGCTTTAATTATTCGAATTCCTTATTCCTAAGCTTCCTAAGAGAATTTGACATTTGGAGTTGCTTGGCTCCAACCTGCATATTCACAACATTTTTTTTCCACAACATTTCAGTCGATGCAAATTCTTAAACCTCAAAATTGTTTTCATTATAATCTATTTGCATATTCTATTTTTATTTTTATTAAAACACCAAGTAATGTTCTTTTAATGCATAAAACCTATCATGGTTAATAATATCCCAAACTCATTTCAACTAATTCTCCGAATTCTCTTATTATATCTCCTTCCGTCTTTACTTGAATAATATCGCTTATTGATAAAACAAATAGTGCTTTTTTTTATCAAATTCTTAATCATCTTTTTTGGGCTCTGAAGACTTTCAGTATCCAATATAATAATGTAATCAAATAAATTATTAAACATGCTTTGTTATGAACTTTCAATAATGAAAGCTACATTTATTTAGTATATCCGTTAAGACTTGCCATAAAATGACATCCAAACTTTTTGAGCAATTGAATTTTCTATCAAGTGATAGATTTTCATTAGACTGAGCCACCTTTAGAATATTGTCTTTCTCATTTTAACTTTTATCTTATGATAAACAGAATACAGTAGCTTCGAACCTATTCTTATTAACTCCAAACTATCCTAAAGGAGCCTTCATTAATTTTGAGGTCAATCTTTATTTTATTGTATTTTCAGTTTTATGACTCAGAGCAGGGGGCTCTGACTATTATTCTTCATATCTAATTTTATTTGTATGATTTCTTTTATCAACAACGAAATATAAATAGTAACATTTACTAACACTGCGACAAACTACTATATATTTTAAGTAGTTATTAATTAATTAAAATCAGTAAGCTTAATTTTTAAAAAATTAGAATTGAAATTTCCACTTTCTTCATCTAGCTATTTATAAGCTAGGACTATATTACTCAATAAAGTGATTATTAATTTAATTTACCGTGATTGTTGGGAAGTTATAATCCATTGATAATAAGTTATATTTTACATAAGAAATTAATAATAAATAGACATAGTTCAGTTTGATCTCTAAGTGTTTTGGTTGTTATTGTCCCACCCACGGATAGAGGGTAACGCTACTAAATTTTTAAATTATATTGGTTCTGGATTGATATTAGATAATCTTCTGGGACAATTGGATTAGGAATTATTGTGTAATTTTGGAATATCTGGAACTTTATTTCTCAATATTTCTGATTTGATAATGCTTAATTTAGTAATTTTCATATCATCTTCCCATAGAGGCGATGCAGATAATTTCGAACTATTGATCTAATGAGTGGATCCTTTGTTTTCAATGTTTTCTCTAAAGTCTCTGGATTCTTTCTTGTTTCTAAATAGCTTCTTGTCATATAGATATAAATTTCGATATTTTTTAATTTAGGTTCTTAATGCACTTTATTACTTGAATCCTAGACTTGGGACTTTATTGTTAGGTAATTCAGCCAAGATTCCTATATCATCAAATGCTGGTGCCACATAGACAGAATTCAATCTCTTTGGACGATTTAATATTCTATTTTACAAATTAAGTAATTCCTATCTGTTAAAATTCATGAGCAAATAAAAAATTAATAAATTAATTAGTCAAAGTTTTAATATTCAGAACATGTCTTCCAATCGTCTACTTTGCATCTTGATTTTTATCTAATGTTCATTTTAAGTATATTTTACTTTAAATTATTAATGCTTGATTCCAAAGTACAATTTAGGTTTAGTAGGTTCTTGGATCATTTTGAGATTGATGTATTTTTTGCAAGTATTTTGATTCAAAGGCAATCTGCAATCAAATGTTCGATTGATTGGTTTTAAGTCAGCATCGTAATGCTAAATTTTGCGATATGATTTAACACTGTTCTCTCTCTTTTGGTTTAGTATCATCTACTTCAGATCTGAAGAAGTCACGAAGGTGCTTTGACATATTTTTGGTTATTTCTAATATTCTTTAACACCAATTAATTCAGAAACCTGGACTGGGTCATCATCTTAAAGACAATAAGTTAATGCTTTTTTTAGCATATAATAATAATATGTGTGATTTCATTAATTAAAATACTTTACCAAAACATCCGAATATATTGGTCATAGAGTATCTAATTTAATCATGAGAATAAACCATGAAATTGAACCTACTTCTATTCAATATGATTCTTTATTTATAAGTATTTATGTATGTAGCAATTGATAATCTTAATGTATTATAGAAAATTAAATAATAATTATATGATGATATATATCATTTATTGATTCTGGCAACTCTAGCTTACAATTTCTGAATTTAAGGTTCTATGTTCATTTATTCTCCAATTTTTGTTTTAATTATTTGAGGCACAATTTAAGACTTATGACTAGCCTCTTATGAATTATTATAAACCTAAGAAATTGACTTTTATAATTGTAAGACTGATTTAATAGGTGGATCTATTTAACTTAAAGTGTAGACTTCTTATTTATTTTGTTGAGTTTTCTATGGGACTAAGACGTTAGGTTATTGAAACATTTTTTGTATCATATCTGACAATGAAACCAATAAAGTTTAAATCCCTACGGATAATTCATCATCAGGATCCAAAGTATCCAATTACTGTAAAGTATCTTCAATAACTGGCAAAGCAGATTATGCATTTGAATCTTTAGAAGCCTCAATTTGTGAACGATAAAATTCAAATTTGACTATAGCTTATTTATTAGTAAGTTTCCTATTAGTATTTGTGATTTTTGGTTGACTTGCTAACATTTCTATGTGCGATTTTAAGCATTGTTCATTCTTACTTCTGCAAACAGGAATCAACATTTAGAAATGATTTGAACATTCTCTACAAATAGTTTAACTAGATTCTCCACATTCAATACAACTAAAGGTTCCTGTGTCTCCTGATTCCAAAGTGTGATTCTAAGGAAACTAATTAATACCTCTTCTTTTCAAACTACGTACATAGAATGAGTGTAATAATTGCTTAACAAATTCCAAATACATTTATTTTGCTTTTTCAGGTGTTAATGAGGTTGATTAGTTTTTTATTTTATTTAAAATATTAGCATTATAGATACTAGAATAAACTAATTAAACTAATATTTCTAAATGTTAATTGCCATTTTGATGAGGTATTTGAGAATATTAATAAGTTTTACCTCTTTTTTCATATTATGTCTTTATTTTATCATAGAGATATAAGATAATTGGTTTATTGACATCACTTTTCATTTTAGTATCTTGAGGTTTAAGTCTTGTGAAGTCAGCAAAAGAAGATACAAATCCCTCAACTTACTATAAATGTTGTTATCTTTCAGCAAATATTAGCATTATTATCTAATTGTCAGATGATAAAAATTGAGTACTCTACCCTTTTTGTGCATTCTATTTTACTTCTTAAATTTAATCCTGTGTAAGTTGGGTCTAAATATAATAAATACATACCTATTTGTCTACTACCTTGGCCAATGCACCAAATTATTTATTCTTTAATTGAGTTATCAGATTTAGAGATGATACATCAGGTCCTAAATACAGTTTATGATGTTTTCCTTAATAGATTTATAAACTTTTAAGAATCTTTTAATCTTTAATTCCATATATAAAGTCTAACACATATCCTTTCATTCCATCTGAAAGTGATATGAGACCATCTACACTATGATTTTAATAAAAAATAGGTGAGTCCAGTGTTAAGAATTCCTCTGGTTGGTAATGAGTTTTAAAATTCTTACTTATCTTTTCAAAAATGAAGGAATAATCCTCTAGTTCATCAATACGAATTTCCTTACAAATATGACCAAATGTCACATAATCTAGTATATGATCAAATCTAACTCTTTTGATTTCTCTCATGCCTAATAATTAGATATAGAAAATGTAGATTAGCGCTGAAATAAATGATTCCAAAATATCTTCATCAATTCTTATGCATTATCTTTTATTTGATATTAGACATATGTATTTGAAGATGCTTTAATCAAAATACAATTTGAATAATTCATAAGGATCACTTGTTTCTATTTCTTATTCTAAATCCACTCTGAACTTCTCATTCATATAATAATCCTTAGGGATGTCTGTATTGAAATTAATTTCCTGCCAATATTATTAATATGTTTATTGTTAAGAAGCACAAGGTATATTGCCAGCTCTCTTAAAATCTATAAATGCTTGGCTATCCATAATGTCATCCATGAAATCAGAATCATTTTCCTCTATAGTTGGCTAAACAACACTTTATCTCTTAACACTTTCTTATATTTTCGCTTATAATTTGATTTAAGACTCCCTAAGTTAAGATTATTAATGACCACTCAATTGTTCCTTATTTTTTTTTGCTTAATTCAATTCATAATTGATATTCCTCTCCAACGTTTATTATTAGAATACAGGTTGTTATCGACTTGGCATAATGGGAGGTCGATCAACCTAATATGAAGAAGTATATTATAGTGTAATCATGTCTCTTACTCTGGAAGGACTATTACTGAATCTTGATTAATTTTGATTCATTTCAAGATATTTATGATTTAAAGACTATTGTGCAGCCTAAGATGAGGATATCATTTAAACTGAACTAACTGTTGGCAACATTTTAGGGGTTGACCCAGCATGAGGGGGAACGAAAGGCTGACTCTTTCTATCCTATTTATTAGGATACCAGGCTCCTGTACCTAAAGGCATATTAGAAGACTCTTAAACCGCAGTTATCTATTAAGATTATGGAGGAGCATTAGATTTTTCTCTGATTTCTTAGAATTTGGATAATATGTTTTGAATCTACTATTGAGGTTATGGGGGAGGAGGCTACTTTTACGGTAACACACTGGTTTTAATAAATTAAATTCCTCCATTTGGTGGTTGCGATTGATCTTCAAAGGTCACATTTACTTTTTTTCTCCCTTATTATTTCTTTAGTCCTGCCTTTGGTGGTACAATCATTGGTTTTTTGAGTATTCCCCCATCTTAGTTTTCATTTTCTTATTCAAGATCTTAAGCAATAATGGCCTCTAAAAAGTCTGGTTTATTTGCGAAATGCTCAACTAGAACTTAAAATTATTTTTGTTTCTGCACTTAATTGAGTGTGGTTTATGGATTTTTTAGTATTGATCCAGATATGATCACATCATTATTATTACTATTATTTTTGTTGTTATAATTGCTATTATTAATTTTTGATTCAGACATTGCAATCTTTTTAGTTAAAACATCTTTAATTTCATCGTAGTCTTGATCAGTCAATTTAGAAGTGATTTTTTCTAATTTTTTAATTGATTTCTTTTTCCATCTTAATGCATAAGGTCGACGTAGCATTTATTCTTCTTCAAGTTATTGTCTTTCAATGGTTTCAGTGTTTTCTATATTTAGTTATTGCTGTGGTTATTACTCAATAATCTATTAAGTTATTTATTTTTATTCCTGTATTGGAGTTGGAATAGCAATTTCCTAGGGATTATCAATCATCTCAATTGAATCATCACTTTCTACTTCATAATCAATGACACCTAGTTCTTCATTAAACATTACTGTAAAATTATTTAATTCGATACTATTTAATTGTGAACTTGTCACTATGTCAAAAATTTGACATACATTTTAATATATAAAATTTATATTTTAAGTATCTATATATAAATCAATCATCTTCTTACTCTTACTCTTCTTCAATCTTCATCAAATAGGAATTAATCTATTAATCCAACAAGTCCTTAAGTTTCTCCTTCATATTCTCATCCAATTCTAATTAATGATTAATAAATATTATTACTATGTTCTTTAGCAAATTTATTGGCCAAACTGACTGAAGTATCACCTTCGAACACTACAATTCTAGCACTTTTGCCGTCCTCAATCTTAACATCCACATACAACATGGGAGTGCTTTTGTCACTAATAGGTCTGCTCTTATTCTTCTTTTATTTTGGTTCATTGTTGAGTTCATTCTCGGTAAGACACTTCTCCTTTCTTCTAATGGTATTGTTAGTGGTAGTTCCCTTGTTCTTTAAATTTGCAAGAGTCTTCTATCTCAATCTGGCTTCCTTCATTCTTGCAGCCTATTTCTCCATTTCTTACACAGCATAATTACTTGCTGAAGTCTTTTAGGCTGGCTTACTGATTTGTGGTTGGAATGTGCAATGCTATTGTTGATTGTCGAATTCCACATCCACAGTTGTTCTATCCTCTTGCTTTTAGAGAGGCTTGGCTAATTGATGTAAATCTATTGTAATTTCTCTCGTGATGGATTTACATTCCTTCATTCTTTCCTCTTCTACTTGTTTCTTTAACTCTTCCAAACCCTGCTTCTTTTTCTCCTCTTATTATGTGAACCATTCAAACAATGATGAATCTTGTCTTTTAGCTTCAGCCAATTGTTTAGTTCTATCTGATATCTTGGGTGATCCACATCTGATGTCTGGCTATGGAGATCGAGCCATTCTTCTTCTAACTCCATTTCCATTCTGTTACTTAGTATTCAAATATAATTTGTAGAACATCTTGTGTAATTCTTAACAATCACCAACACTCAATATTAGATTTCCATTCTCATCACATTAATATTTAGACTTAACCTAAATGTTTTCTTCCACCTTAGGTTTATACAATGGTATTTCTATTAAGTGTTATGGAACTGCCTGGATGGCTAATAAGATAACCAATAGGTTTCTTGATAAAACATAAAATCCATTATTCAATTCATTCCACAACATATCACATTATCCAAAACCTAGACCTCCCAAAATTTTTTAAAAATCATCCTAATATATCTTAGAATAATCCTTTGTTTCTTGAACTCTATCCAAACCGCTCAATTAGTAATAGAATTCCTTAATGAATCTCTAAACAAACCAAGATTAACTCTTGTCAGTAGGAGATATTACTGATTATGGAATCATAGTTTCAGTTTATTTCTTTTATTCTAACCTATTTTTAGCATCATTGTATAGGAAATCTTAGACTGATTCTTCTCTTTTGATTTCTTTGGATTTCTTGGATATCTAGGGTTTGAATGAATGCCCTAAAGTAGAATCAGGTAATGTCTAAGTCTTAGATTTCACTTCATGCAATCTTTCAACAAGAGGCTGTTCGCAATATTTTAATGTTAATTTCTAAGTCTTAACTGTTAATTTAGGACTAGACAATTCCGCCTTTTCATCTTCCTCTTATTACTTTTAGAGGATTTCTCTCTTTTCATTTACTTTTTGAAGATGTCTCATTTGTTATTCATGAAATTCATCTGCAGAACGAACTTCTTGATTTGTAGCTTTTATGGCCATTTTTCTACTCTTCTCATCTATTTATGGTTAAAAGCTGCATTGACTCAAGTATTCAGCATCCAATTATTCTTTGAGTGTTTGTTTCTTGTCACTAACAAAGGTCTTGTATTCAAGGAGTCTATTACAGACTTCGGGAGTTTTATCTCCATTTTAATTAGGTAGTGAATGTAATCTCTCTGGAGATAACAACAATTTCTAATCTTTAACATGGAAGGCTCTTTAAGATTTATGGGCTTCCAATGTGTCTGGGATATGATTATAAAGTTATTAGGCGAGAACTGTGAATTTGGAAGGAGACACAGCCAAAGTTCTAGTTTACCATTGGTTTGGTTTCTCAGAAACAGTAGTTTACATTTATTTTGAGGGACGATTGTTTTCTTTTTTGGGTTTATCACCATAAACTAGTGATTAAGCCAATTCACCTGGCTTTGACTTTCCATACATATTTGATAATTGATCTAGAGTATGAACCTAGAAATGCTTACTTAGTGATGTGATTTATTGACGATTATTGTCTCTCTGTTTCATAGAGGGATCATTATTCTAACTCATAACTGACATTTTAATAATAAAATTATATTTATCAATATTCAACATTATCAATGACATTTAAGCTCTTTCTCCAGGGGTGGACTTGATTTAGATAAAGCTATTAAAAATCAAAATTTGTAATAGTAGGTACTTCTAACATGTGTCTATACAAATATTATATATTCTATTTAATTGTATTCAGACTAAATTGTAATTCATATCTTATTGCTTATTTGTAATATCTATCACTTATATATTACTAAATTCCTTTAGATAGGTTATAAAAATAATTAAGTTCATGTTATGTTCTATTTTCTAGGAGATGAGTCAGACTTAGTCTAATTAGGAGTTATTACTGATTTAGATTTGTCTAATTACTAAATATCTATTTATGTCTCTAGATTATTGTTAGAATCATAATTTTAATCTTAATTTGCTAAAATTGGTATTTATTTAATTTATTCAACTTGCATTTATGAGTAAAACATTTTTGATTATATGAACATAATTAATTATTGTAAAAATATCATTATCTGAATTCAAGCTTAAAATTCTTTTATAAATTCTTCTCACATCCAGATATTTAATTTCTGGTTAATCACCAAGGCTTCAGATAAAGAATGAGTGTGTATCAAAGAAAATTAATTAATATTTTGAACTACAAAGATATCTAATATTTTTGGTTTTGTAAGCAAGAACTTTGTAAATACTTCAAAGTTCTCCAAAGTTTTATAGTTTATCAGCAATAAATAAATATAATAACAACAAATTGAAATTATTATATAATTTTAATTGTTAATAGGTCATTAAACTGATTGGAAACAAAAGAAGAAATAATAAATTTAACCTGTATTTATAAAGTAATATATTAAAGGAGATATTATTTAAAGATCCCGTTCAATCCTCATATTTGGATAGATCTGATAATTGATGGAGTTCACTTGTAAATAAAGATGATGAATACTGAATATAAGTATTTATACACATAAGTTATTGTAACTTTATATAAATATAAGATTATCAAATAAAATAGAAAATAAAATACTGAAAAAATACTATTAACATGAATCTAGATGATCAAATGGAAAGATGTGCTTTGGAATATTGTAAAAGAAGAGATTTTTTACCATTTTAATGTACACTTTGTCATAAGAAATTTTGTCTCGAACATAAGGATCTTAAAGATCATGAATGCCCATATTAATTTGCTGAAAGGAAAGCAGTGCAATGTTCTCAATGCAAAAAAGTTATTCAATATATGTCAAGTCAAACAGAGAATGAGATTTTAAAATAACATGTATGCGAATAAGTAAAGAAAGAGGAATAAAGATGTTTTTAATGCAAAATCAAATTAAATGAGTTGAACAAGTTTGAATGTCGGCATTGCCATCGAGAAGTTTGTTTAAAGCATCGAATGTAAGAAGATCATAATTGCAGGAGAATTAATTAGACAGGTTGTTGTACTATAATGTGATTATAATAAATTATATTATGAAATGCATTGGCAATTATCAATTGGGAAAGACGATTGGTTCTGGCACTTTTGGAAAGGTGAAATTGGCAGTTCACATTCCTACCTAACAAACAGTAGCTATTAAGATTATGAATAAATCACGAATGGTTGATATTGTAGATATAGAGAGAGTGTAGCGTGAATTACACATTTTGAAAATTGTTAGACATCCAAATATCATTATGCTATATGAAGTCTTCGAAACAAGTAAATATATTTTCATTGTGATGGAATATTGCTAAAAGGAACTTTTTAGTTACATTGTTAAAAATAAGAAAATACCAGAAGTAAATGCATGTGCTTTGTTTTAATAATTATTATCTGGAATAGAATATTTGCACAAATTAAAAATAGTCCATAGAGACATAAAACCAGAGAATCTCTTAATTAAAGGTCGAATTAAAATTGTAGATTTTGGTCTCTCTAATACATATGATGATCTATTAAAGACAGCTTGTGGATCGCCTTGTTATGCAGCCCCTGAGATGATATCAGGGAAACTCTATAATGGTCTAAAAGCTGACATCTGGAGTAGTGGAGTTGTATTATTTGTGATGTTGTGTGGTTATTTGCCTTTTGAAGATGCAAATACAAATTAGTTATATAAAAAAATTCTATCTGCAAATTATAAGGTTCCTAAATTCTTAAGCAGTGATGCAATAGATGTTTTAAAATTTATTTTGAATCCAGATCCTGATGAAAGACCTAATATTGATTAAATTAGAAAGCATCCTTGGTTCAATTTATACAAAACTAGTTTTTAAATAAAACAAGGAATTTTAATTGGATAACATAAAATTCCCATAGATAATAATGTTGTAAGTCAAGTAGAAAAGTTGGGATATACAAAAAAGTACATCTATTAATGTTTATGTTCAAATCAACATAATGATGTAACTACAGCATATTATTTGCTGTTGGATTAAATAATTCAGTCTGGTGGATAAACTTGTGCTGATATTGCATCAGATTAATTTCAAGCCTAATTGATTGAATTGAATTCTTAGACAGCAAAAAGTGAAATAAAAATTAATATGACAATCGAGGATGAGAAGATAGATACTAACACAATGAATAACACTACTAGTATAAATAGTCAATAAATTTAATAACAACCTTAGATTACTCCTAAAAGTCTATCGAGTAGGAGATCAAATAAAACAGAAAGATATCCTATGTTTGATAGATTGATGAATAGAATTGATAAAGTGCCATCAAATGCAAGATCAGAATCTGAGTAACATAAAAATTTGATTAACACTAAATATGAGTGTTAATCAAATAAGGGAAGTAAATCCATTTCTTTGAGTGATTATTATTCTGACAAATTAAGTAAAGAATTGCCATTACCAACAATCCAACAGTAGTTAAAAAGAAAGAAACCAAAAATAAGAACTAATTTATTAACAATTCAATAAGTCTATGGAGTTAGAAAATGATATTCATAATAATGCCATTGATTATTGGGATACAATTTACTCCTTATGTTGTGTTGGTTGAGTTTATTAAGTGAAATGTTATTTTCTTTTTTCTTTCTTCTCTTTTAGTGCTTAAATTATATCACTGGAATGAGTCAACAATGATGCAATATTACTGGATGATTATTCCATTTGTTTAGCCTATTTTTCTGATTCATCCTCTCCTTTGTCTAATTCTCGTGCTCTTCCAAAAGGAATCCAACTTAAATCTGTTTCTTTTATTTTTTTATCAACATAGGATTCGATACCTGAATAATCTTAAGGATCTTTCCATTGCAAATAAGCAATATCTAATAAGAGTTAATAAATAGAAACTTACAATATAAGTAATTCCACATATAGTGATTCTGTCTTATATGATTCTTGAATCCACCAGATGATCCATCGGAACTTCTTTCGAAAATGATACTAAATTGAATATTAATGTATAATTACTTCTCTTAACCACATATGAAACACTTATCTTTAATATCACTATTCATCTTGTTTTCATCTTCTCTTAGTTATCCAAAGGTGTCAATAATAATACCTGAGGCAATACTTACCATGATAATAACCAATAACAGATTATTAACTTGATCATAAATGTATCTAAAAATCTCATAAGTAGGAGATGGATTGTTATTTGTTATATCACCTCCTATGCCTCCAGGGGCTTTGAAATTCTTATCGAATATTTAAAGGAAGCAAATACTTACTTCCTTGCAATCCAATCCAAAGGGATCTTGTAAAGCATAGAAAGCAATGAGTGTAAAGATGTATGTAATGATAATAATTAGTAGTAGAGTCAGCACCAATTGTTACCAAGGCATTGTGACTGCTCTTACAACATTACTCAAAGTGGGATATCTTATGAGTATGACTGTCAAATGGAAACAAAAGAAAAATGGATGCACTAATGTACCAATTACAGATAATGCTCCATACCCCAAATAGTAAACTAATTGGAAATCTTGTAAACAATAAAAAAGCACGAAAAAGAATTTGGCCAACCAATTTATTAATAGCTTTATCATTCCTTATCCTTCTAATAAAGGTTTTCTTTGCAACGCTTTTTTGATAATAAGGGGAGCTATTCTTGCTAAGACAAATAAGACCACAAACAAGGAACATATCATCATCGCATATCCTAATGCACTAATTAATCCTTTCGTTTATTCTTAAGTCCATTCATCCTTCCTAAAGAATATATATTCATCCAAGGCTTCACTACTCACATCTTCTTTTGGTCTTTCTGGATCTGATTGATGTGAAAATGAAGCTATGATCATTATGTTAATAACCAGAGTCAAATAGAAGGCTAAGTCCTTCCACAATTGGATATAATTGGCAAAGAATCCAATGAGTTTATATTGCTTATAGAATCTATTCATTTCTTCTTCGTGTCTCATGATTTAGATCAACTCAGGACTCTTTTCCATGAGATCCTGAACCTTAGATTTAGCAGAAGAACGATCAACTGTTTATTGAAAAGACTGCTTCTCATCCTTATTTAGTTTACTGAATGGTAACAATGGGAAGAACACTAATTCTATTTGATCATCTCTAACTACTTCTATGTGAGCTGTTCTAGCTCGGAAGAACATAAATGCTTTCTTCAATCTCTTCTTCTTTTCCTCTTATTTGCGCTTCATCTACTCCAAAATGAATTCTGGATCATCCTTCCTGGCCTTATTCAATTCATTAAACATTTATTAGGTTTTCAATAAGGACATCTCATACAATTCCATCCCCAAAGCAAACAACTAACCCAATGTAGAGTTTGGATCGAACAACGAATTTTATTAAATTTAACTCTTCAGATATTATTTGTTATATCCCATAAAGACTGAATCGATCTCTTCATCACTCTCCATATAGTAGCAAATCAAAAACATAATGTAGAATCCATTCTATATGATAATTTCACAATCCTTGAATTCCTAACTTTCCTCGTCTAAATCCATAGCCTCAATCTTCAGTAATTCAAATGCTTGCATATTATAATCACCGGTATATCTATTGAACCATTTCTTATAAATCTTACTCAAATGTCTTTCTAAAACATTCATTGGCAATACTCTCATAATCCTTTTTATAATAGAGTTCTTTCCTCTGATTTCTCTATTCTCCAACAATGACAGAACCAAAACCAAAATCTTGTTTTACAATTGTGCCTTCATTCCTCTTGTTAAAAGATTAGAAGCCGATTGGGATGGCAACACACTGATCCTCTTTGTTGCTGCAACTTTAATAGCTTTCTATTATGATACAGCTCCTTTTCTTAAAGGAAACATTTCCTACACAACATCAAAGAATTTAGAATCTGCAACTGCTAATTGATTTTCAGCACAAGGTCCTTATACTAGTTCATTTAAGGTGTCCAAACAACACATTAAATTACTGAAATTCTATTTAGTTCTATCATAATTTTTAAATAAATCTGCCACTAAATTGATGAGATCTTTGGATGCTCTTGAATTATATTAATATCTAATGTAATTCTACATATTTTAATAATGTCCTTCAGTACAATTTTAAAAGAACTTCAAAATACAATTTACTATTTGCTTCTAAATTTCGGCTTCCTCCTTGTCTTCATTCATGTCTCTTCCTGAAGTAGCAGCAATCTCCAAATACTTCGCAAATGTTGAGAACATCACTTCACTTTTCTATTGAGTCTGACAAAACGTAAATATTGTGCTCTGTACTTATGAATTACCATTTCTAAGAAGCACATTAATAAAGGAAATCAAATAAAATAACATTTCATTACTTAGTAATTTAGAATAGTCTGTGATCACATTGAGTACCATTCTTGTTGCTCCTAAATTATCAAATAATTTCTAATAGTATTCTTTCTTTTCATCTGAATCTTGTTTCTCAATAATCTTAGACATTATCTTCAATAATATGACAATAGTTCCTTTATTGTCCTGTTGCAATACAGCAGTCTAAAGAAATGTGATGAATTTCTTTAATATGGATTCCAAAGAAGGTTTAATTTCACAAGGCTGGTTAATTAACTTATCTATCCCAATGATTGCATCTGCCAATGCCTCTTTTTCAATGTCTATTTGCTCTTCCAACTTAGGAGATCTGAACATCTCCTCTGCAAATCTTTTCCATTGCTCCTGTAATTTAATTGGAGTTAAATCCCCTCTTTTGTGTTTGCTAGTTTTATTAATTAATGATAAATTCAAGGAAGCAAATTAACTTAATAAATTCTTTGATTTTGATTAGGATTTCTTTTGAATCGATTAGACATGCTATTCTTCAATTGGCTACATTAAGTCCTCACCATCCTCCAATTAAAACTGCATATGTTATAGATGTAATATTGATTACTCTCCTTCCTATCTGTAGGCAGGTTCATAGTATTCATTTTGATAATATTCTCTTAACTTTGATATTATTTCTAACTGTTCATACTTAGTCAATTTCTAGTAGAAAGTTGAGCATAGAGCTTATGCAAACTAACTAGAAAATTCTATTAATGCGTTTTTAACATCCTCTTACTAAACACTTAACACTCTTTAGTGATAACATAAAATTAATGGAATAACCTATCCTATCATATAATCTATGTAACAATTTTAATAATCTGTTCCAGCTGCAACAAATTCTAACTTTTTGCTTTCGAATTCCACAAAATGGATAAATTATCTACTCAATTAGGATAGCAATCCTTCTTAAGCATTATTTTTTTCACTCACAATATGTACTAATCTTAAGAATTCGCATACTATTGGTTTGAGAGCTGTATAACCTTTCTTTTTATTAAATGTTTCATCTTGATATTAACTAGCTTAACCCTTAATAAATTAAGTTGGCATTCTTGCTAATCTTTGTTTGAGGGATACCATGTCATCATCTAATCTTAAGATTTCCAATAGATAACTTGGCTTGATCATTTTCTTTAATTTAAATACACTAATATTAAAACTATCTGTAGACATAAGTGAAGGATTGTATTCTCTTACAGTATTATCGATCAGAGATGTTTACAATAACAAGTCTAGAATCTTGGAGTGATATAAAAATGGTTCATCTCTATAACAATCTTTCCAATCAATAGCTTCCAATTATTTTATCAAATTCTCTTCAGGTTCCAAAAATTAATCGTCAAAATAAAAACGAAGATCTTTTTATTAACTGCCTTCTGCATATAATAACCTTTGTTCTGTTTCTTTCAATGATCTCATTGGCAAGAAAGTATTTAAAATCAAAATTTAGTTTTCTAGTAAATATTATCCTGCAATGCTAATTAAATTTAGTAATCTAAATGAATATCATATATCTTACATTTCTATAAATTTCACTTGTCTTCCTTCTCTTTCTATTATTTCAATTAATCTTTATACTAAGGATTTAACTCCAGTGTTTAATAGTCTTGGATTGTCTTTGAAGATTTCAATTAAAAGTTTGCATTGTCCAACATCATATTATATGAACTATAAATATATCTCCAGATATTGATAGAGTATTAGCTGATTTCCCTTGTTATTTGTGCAATAACAAATGAGAAACTTAAATGCATTAGAAAATAGCAATAATAATTGTTCTTTTCTTTCTACTTTGATGAATTCATCATTCAAAACTGAAATAAAATGCGCCATCCCATTTTAAATAAGATTGATTACTATTTCATGAATTTTTAGAAATGTCATTATAGATTACTTTTCAGAATCATTAATCTCCTTATTGACTACTTCTACTACTAGCTCATGATCATTGACTTATACTCCTTATCTCATACATAAGGTTAATTGCCTAATAATTTGAGCACATTTGTCAAGTTCTTCAACATCATATCCAGCCTTAAATTGAGTCAACCAAATTTCAGTCTTCTCCACCATTACTCTCAAATCCTTTTGAAGATGTTCAACAAATTCGTATATCTTTATATTATCATCATCAAATAAGATTTATAGTTTTTTCATATTTTCCCTCAACTCTTCTCTTTAATTGAAAACTCTCATAATTACATTAAGACACCTTTCCTCTAAAACTTAATCCTTAACCAAAAAGTAGGTTGACATCAAATATGGTAATAAACTTGCCACTTGTTTCTCCTTTAATTGATCTTCATTCAATCTATCATTATTATCAAACTTTTATGCTTAACTCAAATAGTAATCCAATTCTTAGAATTCATCTTCAGATTTTATATTATATTATTGGAAATAGTTAGTAAATGTAGGTGGCTTCTTAACTGCCATCTATAGGAAATCCTAAGTTGTATCTTCTGGTTCATCAATCTCATCGATTCCAGTTCTAGCAATAGTGGGAATCAATGTTTTATAGTTATTATTAAATATCTTTGGTGCAGCCTTGATAGTTTAATCATCATCCTCATCTGACAAATCGTCATTTGTGTATTAATATTTTAAGAAGAATAGTAATATATTAGAAATCAAGAAGTTTTGTCTTCTGTCTAAGAAATGATCTAGAATTGAACACACTTTCAATTTAAATTCAATTTCCTATTATGATTTTGGTAAAGTAATCAGCCCTTCCAATTAATTACTCATTGCCATGAATCCCTTCATTATTGGATTAAGAAACAATTTAGGCTAATCATATAAATTAATTTCTTCATCCTCTTCCTCTTCTGCAATTTCCTCCTTATCCTCTTATTTTAACTATATAAGATCTTTCATTCCATTAAACACATTTCCAAATTAATTAATCACTATACTTTTTTTATCTTTCCTCTTATTAACAGTCTATTGATAACTTTTGACTGCAGCATTCAAATAATCAAGGTTCTTTCTATCATATATGAACATCTCTGACATATATTTAATTATTTTTTTGTAATACTTACTTGGCATGATGTCCAATTATAACATAGTTAAAATTTAATCAGCAGCATTATATATTAACTCGTCATTTAATAAATCACTGGATGCAAGACTGGCTATTGCCTAATAGACTTCACTTCTTTTGGTTTTTATGTATTTAAACATCTTCTTCAATTTGAATTGTTTCTCAATGTCTTCATCATTCCTATTTTTCAATTAGTCTTGATAAGGGGAATACAATCGACAAAAATTAGGAACAATCAAATATTAGAATGGTTATTAATCAATATACAAAGTTCTACTTAATCTGCACCAATATGATCTCAATTTGTCATCTATTTGATTACCCTCGACCTGATTTGGATTCCAGATCTAGTTTATTAGAATATCTTTTTCAAACAATGGACTCAATTCTGCTTGCCATAAATAATTTCTTCCATAAGATACTTCTGAAAAGAATTATAATAATTCATATTAAAATGAGATTTCCTTATCTATAATACATCCATTATTAGTTTCAATTTGTAATAATTTAGTTTATTTATTATATTTCTTATACAACTTGAACAAATTCTCCTAATTGATACTAATGGCATTATTTTTATATCTACAAATGTGTCTCAAAAATCTCAAATAATGTTCATTGTTTTTGGCAGAGTCATCAATAATCAAGTTGAAGAAATATTGTATTATATTGATTGGTCTTGTAATGATACGATCGTGTACCTTTACAGGGATTGATACATCCTACTGTATTCCTGCATCCTTCTCATAGAAATTTATTAACACTTTGACTTTGTTTTTAAGATCATCTTCAATTTCCTGTTTTTTTATATAATCAAATTCGATCTTTAAGTTATTGCATAGGTTTATTAATATTTTCTCATTGCTCTTAACCATCTCAATCAAAAAGTTAATAGTCTATGGTAGATACTTACAATAATGTTGATAATCTGGTAATCTTTCAAATAGATAAAGTTAATTGTTTGTATTATTTATTACACTAGTTTGTAACAACACAAAAATCATATTGCAAACTTCAACTTTTGAATTCGACAGTTCTAATTTATCTTTCTCAGAAATGGTTTATTATTTTCTTTGATTTTTCTCAGTTAAGGATGGTTACTCTAATGCCTTGAGATTTCCCTTTTTATTTGACCATATTTCTAATTCTTATTTAGTGACCGTGGATGTAAGAATTTGTAATAGCACATCAAAAAAATGTTGATCCTTCAAGAGTTTCTACCTCTTTGGAGATATAAATCCATATTTTTAAGATGGACTTGAATTGTATATCTTTTATCTAAGAAAATCATCTAAGTTTTAAATGCATCTTTAAGCAGTAGCTAACTTTTTAGTCTTTATTTTTAATAGCTCTACGTCATCTGATAATGATTAGTATATTTAATTTTATTCAAACTTAAATGGCAAATTGATATAAAATTAATACTTCCTTAATTATTTTGTACATGAATCTAAGAAGAGTACCTCTTAAGTTTCTTATTTATTTGCTCTGAAGATCTTAAAGACTGCATGTTCATTCTTTTGATTTAAAATCACTGGTTTCAAAGTATTTTCATCTTAATGGAATTTATTAATAACATCCAGATATTTTCCTTAAGTGACACTTCTAATTTAAATAAAATCAGATTAAATTTCATCCTTATTTACTGATTTTAAAGGTTCAAATTTAAACAAGGCATCCTTGTTAGGCTAAACCTATAAGGTAAAAGTGGCAGGCACCTTCTTACTCTTTGGAATAATCACTTTCTTTTTGCCATAAGGATCAATCTTAATATCTTCTTGTGCTTTTGGGATTACTCTAACACAAGCCAAATACAACCCTGTATGAAAATGCTTTAATCTATAATTATTAGAATATAGGTAAGGTCCTCCTTTTTTATAATCTTCCCCTTCAATTATCCACATTGAATAAGCATTACCACTATAATTATCAAATGACAATTCGCTTAAATCTGTTTAAAACACAGAAATCTTGGCTCTGTTTAGATCTCTTTCATAATCAACAGCCAATTATGAACAAGTTTCAGAGTGATGAATCCATACCAAATCACCATCAATAGGTAGTTCTTCAGCAAAGAGATTAATTTTCCAAGAGGTTGATTCTTCAAGTGATGCATTAATTTCTCTCTTCTAAATCTTTACTTCACTATTCTCTCTATACTCTTTAATCGCTTTTTAAGGTATCTCTCCTGAACAATGTAAATAAGTGGGTTTCCCAAGAAAAGGTATCATACGCATAATCCTGACGATTTCTTGAGAATATACTATTTGATCTCCTTCTTTTTAATATTTATAAGTTGCTACTATTTTAAATAGAGTTTCATCGCTAGTATAATCACTCAAAGCAAGTTTAAAATTTTAATTTTCAAATTTGGCTTCATCCAACAATGAACAGAGCCATTTAGATGAAGCCAAATGCAATAATTAGATCGGCTCTTCATATTTAACATAATTGCCTTTCTCTTTCTCAAACCCATCTACATTAAATTTAAATTCATTAAACAAATTCATCTGATTGTCTCTTACTTACTTTTCACTCAATAATGGTTGCACAGAGTGGGTTACTGATTTAATCTATTAACAGATATAACACTATAGTACTTATGATCTTACAGGTGTAACCTCACTTTTTTGATCAGTTACATCATCACTTATTGATCCAAAAGGTTTCTTCTTTCTTTAAGGAAAGATTTTGGCAACTTCTACTTTCTTTCCATTTGATGTTCTTGGACAAACTACAAATAAACAATTAGGCATGCTATTATTAGAATTATGAATACTTCATTTGACTAAAATAGCTAATGTTAAAATCTTTAGTGTCCAATTTATTTAAAGGGGACATACCTTTAAGTATTACAGCACTACTTTAGTGATTTATTAATACTTTTTGATGAATCCATCTCCACCAATGAGAGCATCATCATCTTATAAATGAGAAATACTCACGATTGAACCTATTTTGATTATTTCCATTTATTTTATTATAATATACTTAGAATTGTGAGAATAATATTAAAAAATAGTCATAAAAAGAATCATGAATAAAGTCAATTCTATAATTGTAAGATTAAAAATTAGAATAATTAAGCAATTTTCAGAGAATGCTTATTCTTATTTTTTTGTATTTCTTGATTAACTTTAATCAAATCCTATGTTAATTATTCTATTCTTCTTTGAATTTGAGTTTATCTCAATAATGTACATATTTCTAATGCTGCATAACAATATCTTCTTGTACATTTGCACATTTCATCAAAATCTCTCAGTAAATTAGTTTCATACGATAAGAGGTATTGAAATTTTCCAATTAATTCTGATAGTGTATTTTCATAAATCTGTACTTTGCAGAACTTTTAATGGTTATTATTCTAATTCATATAATTTTTGACAAATTATTTACAGATATTGCAAAAGGAGTATTAATAATCTTCTGACATATTTAATAGTTTAAGTTCAGAGATATTGGGATTCCAATTTGAATGTTGTTAATATTAAAGATAATCATAATGTCTGTCTAAATATGATTAAATATTCACAATCTCTGAATCACATCTGCTTTATTGAAAACTACATTAAACTTAAACATTTTCTTATTTAATTGGGATATCTGCAGTTTAGATACCTATTGTTGATTTAGGTAATAAGAGACTGGCTGATTGAGTTTAGAGTTTGTTTTCTTTTTCGATATTAAAACTAGTTTAACAACTTTATTCTTATTAAAGTAACTTGGTATTAGATTGCTACAATAGAGATCTACCAAGAAGACTCTTTAAAATTGGATTAACATTAGGTAAGGGATCAAAAATCCTATTTTTATGTCTTTTTTAAGTGTATGATAATGATATTTCTTTTGGTGCTTAATACAGATCCGTAAACTAATTTTCTTTTTGGATTATTAGACACTCTTCTTGAAAAGATTCAATTTCTGATGGTCTTCTGGATGAGTTTAATAGAGATCTAAGAGATTATTATTCAGTTAAAAATATTGTTCCTTCTTATGGAGTTATTGGCTGGTGAAATCTTTATTCTTCAATTTAATCGTACATCTACATAAACTTTTATCTTAACCCTTGTTTGTATTTCTCAAGAGGATCCTTATTCAATGATACAAATCTAGAATTATTAGTATGAGTAGATTGAGATTAATTCATTCGTTTATTTATGTGAAATAAAATAAATATAAATTTTAGATCAAAATCCAAAATTTTTATGAGTACTTTAGAAATTACTATTGTTATGTACAGAATTAAACGATTTGTTCTCTTGATTAACTTCTACTACATGTAACTCAATACGAAAGTCCTTCTAAAAGGTCTTACCTGATTTATCCTTGAATATATATGTAATATACTTTGCAAGCTTTATCCAGCATAAATTTATCTATCATTAATATACCTGTGTAGTCAAAGAAATCACAATTAAACCATGCTTAAAATAACTTTTGATTGCTCAAATATTTTTGTATATATTTACCTTGACAAGAAGCCTTAATTTAAAAATTATAACATCACATCCCCTTGCAATATTATGTCTTTTAATTTAAATTCTATGTAGGGTTCTAATTTATATTCCCTCACAGAGAATTAATTCTTTGATGAATACTCTTTATCTTTGTTCTAAATACGAAACCAAGGACCACAACCACCGAAGAAATTTACATTTGGGACTGGTATCACTCGAATCTTAACAAGTTCAACCTATTTATTTGGCATATCGTTTGGCACCCATTTGTTGTTGAGGGCCTTCTCGAAATAAAATATGTATCGAATTTAAGATGGAATTGTTACACCCTATAAGAATATAACTCTCTTATTTTACTTTCTTATTTTTTGTCCTTATCATTCCATAGTATCTCATTGAATCATAGGCATTTGTAAATTAACGAGCATATAGCATGTAGCAACAGATCATCACCCCAGTTCGACCCTTAGTTATAATATTTCATTACTTTTCCAGCTTTACAATGTATTCCAGCCACATTCTTTTCATGTAATTTTAACCAATAATCCTATTTGATAACTACTAATCATACCAAATCTAAGCAAAATTCATATATCAAAGAGAATGTTGGAGCTTAATGATCTTAAAAAGGGAACTCTGCTACTTGATTAAAATTTGAATGATCATATTTTCTTTCTTCACAAAGATTGTACACCTTATAGTGTCCAGGGTGAACAGAATCAAAAAACCTCCTTACATCCTGCATTGAGTTTCGATATATTGATTCAATATTCTCAGCAGGAAACCCCATTGCTATTATCTTTTCAGTAATATCTATCATAAGTTAATAGTAATACAAGTTAGATCTAAATTAAATCCGTTGTAGTTATATCTTCTCTTTTGTTTTGAAACAAGCAATTTGATTGGATTAGGAACGCTAGTAATATTTTAGTGATTTCCACTAATATGCTGGTTCACATGATTGACTTCTTACTTTAGTTACTGAGTGCTAACTCTCTCTCTTAGGTTTATTTCCTGTCCTTTCTGATCTTCTTACACAATCCCATAAGTTAATGCTGCCAAATCAACTTAAGACATTAAAAAATTATAATTTTCTGGATCGCACTCTTCATCTGAATCTGAAAGCACTTCTTCCTCTCCTGAAGAGATTTCATTTTACTTGGCTCTCTATTTTAGTTCTTCTTATGTTGCACTGCGCATTTTAAATAAAATAATCTAAAATGTATTATTATTAATTTTACTAAAATCATTGAATTTTACTTATATATATCCGAATTCCATCAATCTTTAAAGCTCAAATATTTATCAAGCCTAATAAAAAATAAATTATCCCGTCTAAATTTTATAGGACACATTAATTTATCTTTCTGGGTTGTCATAACTTAGAATGTTCAAATTTATTATTCTTCCTTCTTTAATCTGAAGTACCAGGCAAAGTGCATCACAACAATGAGAATTTTTCTCCGACTTAAATTAACACAGCTTTCACGCTTGAATTAATTTTAATATGAAAGGATGAAAAATGATGAAATTTAATTAATAATTTAGATTTTTTATAGTAAAAAAAATTAATAAATATAAAGATTAATTGAATTTCATTTATTTACTTCTTGAGATATTATAAAACTAGTCTCATTGAATTCTTCTCAATAAGATCATAGCAATTATCATTATTTTTATAATATGGCTTTCAATTATTTTATAGTTGAGATTTCACAATATAACATTTAGACCATTTTATTAGAAAATTTAGTTAATTCTTTGTTTAACTATAAAAGGACTAATAAATTGCAATTTAAAGCTATTGTAATCCGATATTTTACTGAACCTATTATTTAATAATTTGGCACTTGCAACTAATGCTATTAAGATATGGATGCTGACTATTCAAATGTATTCTTCATAAAATTTTGTTTAAACCTATTTTTGAAATTAAATATTACTTTATTCTAGAAGTCTAACAATTATATTTTAAAATATATAATAATAATTATAAAATACATTACAATAAAATTACATCTCTATAAAATAATTTATAATATGAACATATCCACTCAGTTAGATAATCAGTATGTATCATATAGAAAGGCCAATAATAATTGGAAATATAAAATTATATTTTCTAATTCCAATTAAATAAATGTTATGGTTTTATAAATATGGCAAAAATTTTAGTGTAAAAACTAACCATTTGAATTCTTTAACTATTATAAAAATAGATAGAATGACTTGTTAAACAAGTTTATGAACAAATGGCTTAATTTAATATAATAAGATTTTTCATATTATTTCCATTTTTATATTATTTCTAGAATAGTAATGGGTAAAGATAATTTGTTTAAGAAGGACAGGTTTAATGTTATAGCACATTGCTCTTTTTCAAATTGAATAGGAAAAGTTTTTCGAGATTAGTCTAAGAATTATTGTATTATAACAGAGACTAATGATGGATATTTTAGATGGTATTTGATATTTGTGCATGATATATTATATAAATCAGGCTGTGACGACGTCTCCTCTAACTGTTTCTGCAACAGCGACGGTTTATTCAACCAAATCAGCAGCAACACCAGCAGAGGTCAATGCACTTCTCAAGTGTCCAATGACTGTTGTGAATTGGGCATTTGTGACTCCCATGTTGGCATGAACTTCCTTCAAGTTCTAATAAATATTAACATAAAATTAGTACTCTGCCTCCCCATGCCTTTGGTCCTCCAAGAGCAGCACATAAAAATGATGCTGTCTTGTTTGTTTAGTCAGCCATGTTGATTCCATTGAAGAAATTGGCAACAGTGGCATCAGCTTGGATGTTAGCATAAAATTATGCTGTAACAGCTGTGACAGCGGCTTCACCTCCTAATTATTCAAAGAGTGTCATTTTTGAGTTTCTGGATTGTTTATTAATGAATTTTTTGGATATGTTGGGTAGTTTTGAACCTAAGAAAATTAAAGATATTTCATAATCGAATAAATTAAAGCAAGATATTACGTACTATTGGTGTTATAATGTATATAAATTATTAACTAATTTATTGACTCTTAAAATTTCCCTACAAGAAGGACACGAGCATTTTGGTAAATGCATAATCGCTATCTAACAGTTAAATTACATAACTATTATTAGATCTAATGTTATCATCGTACCTCAACACAGATATTAATTATCAAAATTAAATTTAATGTCATAAATATGGTTTTGTAATCAAATCTATAATAAAATACAAAAAGAATGGTATTTAATTCAAAATTATTATTCTGCCTGATCATAAAGAGTTATTGAATAAAATAATATAACTAAGTTACATAAATATTCAATTCAAATGATCTTAGACCAAAGTATCAAAATGCTTTATAAGAATGTTTCATAGTGGGATAAATTATTGTGATACTTGAGTATAAAATAGAAGGTTTGAATGTGTGTAAATTTATCAAATCAATTATTTATATAATTTGAAATTATAAATGGGTAATTGTCAAGCATGTATGAATGACCCATAAAATATAAATGAATATGGTGCTCATTAGAATGCTAAACAAGCATCTTTACACTCAATAGTTAGAAGATCTTAACCTTTTTCAAAAGCATCTTTAGCTGAGATTGTAAATGCATCATAGCATTAATTGAGAACAAGTCAGAAACCTTCGATCAATATTCAAAAGGAGGCATCATTGTCTATGGTTGGAGATGGTGCAGATATTTAAAAATAAAAAACAAACTCAGAATAACTAATTTCAATGCATTGCCCAATAGCAAAACTGGCATAGCCTTGGGGTAGACCAGCCAGTGAACTCTAAAGTTTGATAGGATCAAAAGTCAAAATGGTCCTTAGCAAATTAAAGGAGTATTAATATACTAGAGGGGATGATCCAGAAGCAGTATTTTTAGAGCCATAAATATTTGAACAAGGAATGGTTTATGATGGATAATGGAAATATGGATTAAGACAGGGTAGAGGTATTGAATTGGTTAAATATGACAGGGAGACAAGTTTGGAAAGAAGGTAGTTATTATGAAGGGTATTGGAAAACTAGTTGTGCTCATGGTCATGGTAGATTGATACATGCAGATGGAGATTATTATGAGGGAGAATGGGATAATGACAAAGGTAAAGTATAGTAAGTATAATAATAGCACATGGTTAAGGGAAATATGTGCATGCTGATGGGGCAAGTTATGAAGGTAATTGGAAAGATGATAAGTAAGATGGATTAGGACATGAAATATGGCCTGATGGTACAAGTTACAAAGGAGCATATATTTAAAGTAAAAAAGAAGGACATGGGATATTTAAATGGCCAGATGGATCATATTATGAAGGCGAATTCTTAGACAATGCCATTCATGGGATAGGAACCTATGTTTGGGGAGATGGGAGGACCTTTATAGGGTAATGGAGATAAAATAAAATGCATGGATTAGGAGAGTTCAAATGGGCAGACGGGAGAAGATATAAAGGATCTTATTAGAATGACAAGAAATAGGGTTATGGGACATTTGATTGGCGTAAGTATATTTACCATTCCTATAGCTGATGGATCAAAATACGTGGGAGAATGGCATGATGGCAAATAACATGGGTTAGGTTCGGTGGTTGATGAAAAAGGCGAAGAACACAGAGGAAGATGGGACAATGGCACATTATTGGAGTGGATTACTTAAAAGGATTGATAGTTTATTTAATTAACTAAAGAGTATATTCAAATGGCTTTTGTATATAGAAGTGAAAACAGAGGAACTTACATTCCAAAAACTGAATAAGTGGGACCTGGACAATATGATCACATCCCTGAAATAGAAAATAGGGCCAATCACCATCCCTTTAATTCAACTGTCGAAAGAATAAATAAATCCAATAATCCTAATCCTATTCCTGGCCCTGGAACTTACAACATGCAAGGGTCCTTCGAATGCCAAAAAGTAATCTTTTAATCAGACGAACAAGAAATCAAAATTTTGGAAGTACCTAAACCAATATCAGTTTTCAGATCCACTACTGTGAGATTTAAAGAGGATAGATTTGAAGGACCTAGGTATAATCAACTTATTCTATCCTTAGTCCGACTCAATACTTTTAAGATGAAAGGTAGAAATTTCATTCAGCCGGTTAAGCCAATCGCCCTAAAAAACTTAATGTTTTGGATCAATTAGCTAGGGAAAAAAAATACTTAAGCATACCCTCAATTCCTTCTAATGTTCATCAAGGCTACATTGAGAATAAAGGTTATAATACTCAAAACTATATAAAGACAATCAGTTGGAATAAAATCCTGTTGACATATCTAATGATGTTGGACCAGGATCTTACGATCTTAAAAGTACATTCAACAATACAAAACCAAGAGGAGTCTCATGGCATAAGCCAAGAAGCTAAGACAAAAAAGATTATTAGTCACCTATCGGCCCTGGTTATTATGACATATGCGGTCAATCCTAACCTATGTACTAAATGAAGCCAACCACAGCATTCAGTTCTAAACAAAGTCGCTATTCGGATTTTAAATTTTAAAATTTCAAATACAACACTGGATTTATCAAAAAAGGATTAGATAATAAATAATATAGTTTTCATTAATCTACTAATCCAACAACTACAGCCAGAGAAACTGATGTTGAATCAGAATATAGTTACATCGAAGTATTTTATATCATTCAAATAGGATGCGACACCAGGTCCTGGTTACTATGAAAATGCCTCTACTCAGTAAACGATTTCTTAATTTTTAAATAAATCTTAAGCTAAAGGTTCAATTAAAACTAGAACGAAACGATTTCAATCAAAATCATAGCATACTCCTGGTCCTGGCAGTTATTAATTGGAAGTAACTGCTCATAGACATAAAGGCGCTTAACCTCCATTTTTGATAAGCAAATCTAGATTTGAAGAATAATTGTCAGTGACTCCTGCTCCTGGGTCATATATAGCTGCGAATACAATAGAATAAAGATTGATCTCGAAATTAATGAAGGCTCCATTAGGATAGTTTGGAGTTAATGAGAATAGATTCAAAGAACAAAAGTTATTAGTTCCTGGCCCTGGAGCATATGAAGTTGATAAAATTGAGGATGCAAAAAAAGACAAGAAATTACCAGAACAAAAGGGAACTTATGCTTTTACGAGTCATGCTCCAAAAAGTTAGGATTTATCAATTCCAAATATCAATCCAGCCCCAGGTGCATATAATGTTAATTAACATACAATTGCTAATAAAATTCTAAAACCAGAGGAGGATGATCCTAAATTGGCAGTTATTAAACCACCATTTGGTGTTGGTGCTCAAAGATGGAAGATAAAAGAAGCGAATGAAGATGAAGAAGATGATGAACCTACTTATTTAGACAAATCACCATAAAATCAATTAGGATTATTTAAAAAGAAAAAAAAAGATCCTCCTCCATTTATGTGCAAAGTAATTATATAATATTGATATCAATAGTAAGAAAGATTTTCAAAAAGTGTTCCTAAGAATAATCAACCTGGTCCTATGGATTATGCTGATGGAATGTTTCCTAATTGGAATAAAAGAACATTTAATATCATTTTTGCTGAAATTTGAATATCATTTTAATTATTTTATTATATTCAATTAAACTCTTCTTTAATCAATAAAACTACAAAACCTTTTCCATTTAACCTTAATTTTATGAGATAATGTTAAAAAATTCAAAAGGATCCATTATTAAATCGTATTATTAAATAAAAAATGATTCTAATATAATCAATTAACTTTTATTTTGTATCTCTAAAGTAACTCATTTCTAACCAACCTATTTAAATAACAAAAACAAAAAAATATCTCAAAAAGCAAACCCATTTAAATAGTATCTTCTTTTGATAAAACTTAATATCTTAAAGGAAAAATAAACATTAATTGCCTTTCATCTGAACAAAAGATAATTAAAGGCTATGACTTTTTTTAACTTATAAAGCACTTGTAATTAACCAAAAAATTATGCCAAGATTCAGAAGTCGATTACTTTATTAAAAAGAATGCTATTAATACCTAGGAGTATACTTATTAGAATGCAAGTTTTTGGATATATAAAAATAGTAAAATACCCATCCCTTTACATAATGCCATTTACAATTTTTCGAGATAATTTCAATGCAGATCCTAAGTCCTATTTGAATAAAATTTAAATTGAATAGAAAATTCAGATATCGTTATTGGAAGAGACAAAATAAGGGTAAGAACTTACAAACGATTTTATCAATATTTCTTGCCCATGATAAATAGCCGTTAAAATTATTATTATAATTGTGCGAAAAATTGTATCCCCCTTGCTATAAAAACTCAAAATTAATATTTTATTTTAGTTATAATAACACTAAAGTAATCGATAATGTCTGCATTATCAAAATACAATAAGACTTTGGAGTTGTAAAGCATAGTGGAAGATAAATTAATTAATATTTTTTCTTCAGAGGAAGTTTTTACAAAAATAATAAACCTTTTCCTCGGTAGATTGAAAAAAAAAGATGATAAAAAATTGGCTGTCGACTACCTTATTTCCAAATTTCCAAACAATAATAGCCTGAATAGTCTGAGGGCAGGAGCGTTTACTAGGTTTTGGAATACATTAAGAGTAGATGATTATGGATTAACAGAGAATATGAGAATTAATTTGTAGTATGATAGAATGCATAATGTAATTTAAAATAAAGATTGGAGAAGTCTTCATTAACTTTTAGAAGAATAAGACTTTTTTGAAATTTGTAGATTTCCAACGTCTTTAAGAACTAATAAACATATATTTGAAAAACTTCAACATCATGGTATTAGAATTGTTGAATTAATGTTGCAATGTAGAAATACTTCATTTTAATTAAATTCTATTATTTTGAAAAATTTGATATTTTTTTTTTTTCTACCTAAAGAATTAGAGATAAGCAACTAAGAAAAAACCGGACTATATCAAATATTAGGAGAAATATTATGTAATAGTTGGATTTAATTTGAATATCATCATCACTAGTTGTTATAGAAAAATTAAGACTAACTTCAGTTAAAAAATCTAAAAGACATATTAATTTTGGTGTAGAAAGATTCAAAAATGTTATATGAATCAATAATTCAATTAGTGAATAAATTACTAAATTATGATACTACAAGTAATTTAAATTATGTGATTGTTGAGAATTTGATAGAAAAATTATTACCAATAAATTTTGATCTTTAAATTACTTTTTATTTGATGTGCTTCTATTGTTTAATTAGCTTTGACAATCATTTTAGAAAAATTTTGGCCTAAAAAAATAGAGTATAAAAGTATACATTACTTAATTAATACATTTAATGCAGAGTGAGTTAAAATAATCAACTTAATAAGGAGCTAATCAATTAAGTCCAGTCGTATAACAAAAATTAATGTATCAAAAAAGAAGAATTGGATAAATGGAAAATTTGGTCTATCAGAGAATTGATAGAATATGTTATTGAAGAAAACTTTTATAATGTGATTAAAAAATTGCATGTTATAAACTTGAATTCATAGGCATATTCATAATAAAATCCAAAATTTTTTAATTTGCTGACAAATATAAGTGCCGAAAAGATACGTAAAGTAGCAAAACTATTAGAAATTCTTATTAAAGAGGATAGTTTAATTAAAGTTGTTTTGATATTAGAATAATAAAAATAAAATTACCTTCCTCAAGAATTAGAAAGTATTCTTAGAATAGTATTAGAAAACTCATATTAAAGCATCATTAATTTTTAACTACTTTATTCTGTTTTATCATAAGATATGAGTCAAACTGAGAAGGAAAATATTATAAAGGTGGCTGAATATGATGAAAATTTACCAATTGAATAGAAAATTTAAATGCTCTCCAATTTTTCTTCTGATCAGTTGNGGAATACATTAAGAGTAGATGATTATGGATTAACAGAGAATATGAGAATTAATTTGTAGTATGATAGAATGCATAATGTAATTTAAAATAAAGATTGGAGAAGTCTTCATTAACTTTTAGAAGAATAAGACTTTTTTGAAATTTGTAGATTTCCAACGTCTTTAAGAACTAATAAACATATATTTGAAAAACTTCAACATCATGGTATTAGAATTGTTGAATTAATGTTGCAATGTAGAAATACTTCATTTTAATTAAATTCTATTATTTTGAAAAATTTGATATTTTTTTTTTTTCTACCTAAAGAATTAGAGATAAGCAACTAAGAAAAAACCGGACTATATCAAATATTAGGAGAAATATTATGTAATAGTTGGATTTAATTTGAATATCATCATCACTAGTTGTTATAGAAAAATTAAGACTAACTTCAGTTAAAAAATCTAAAAGACATATTAATTTTGGTGTAGAAAGATTCAAAAATGTTATATGAATCAATAATTCAATTAGTGAATAAATTACTAAATTATGATACTACAAGTAATTTAAATTATGTGATTGTTGAGAATTTGATAGAAAAATTATTACCAATAAATTTTGATCTTTAAATTACTTTTTATTTGATGTGCTTCTATTGTTTAATTAGCTTTGACAATCATTTTAGAAAAATTTTGGCCTAAAAAAATAGAGTATAAAAGTATACATTACTTAATTAATACATTTAATGCAGAGTGAGTTAAAATAATCAACTTAATAAGGAGCTAATCAATTAAGTCCAGTCGTATAACAAAAATTAATGTATCAAAAAAGAAGAATTGGATAAATGGAAAATTTGGTCTATCAGAGAATTGATAGAATATGTTATTGAAGAAAACTTTTATAATGTGATTAAAAAATTGCATGTTATAAACTTGAATTCATAGGCATATTCATAATAAAATCCAAAATTTTTTAATTTGCTGACAAATATAAGTGCCGAAAAGATACGTAAAGTAGCAAAACTATTAGAAATTCTTATTAAAGAGGATAGTTTAATTAAAGTTGTTTTGATATTAGAATAATAAAAATAAAATTACCTTCCTCAAGAATTAGAAAGTATTCTTAGAATAGTATTAGAAAACTCATATTAAAGCATCATTAATTTTTAACTACTTTATTCTGTTTTATCATAAGATATGAGTCAAACTGAGAAGGAAAATATTATAAAGGTGGCTGAATATGATGAAAATTTACCAATTGAATAGAAAATTTAAATGCTCTCCAATTTTTCTTCTGATCAGTTGAAATTGGTTTTTAATCAAAATGTACTCATTAATACTTTAATTGAATCATATTTAACAAATTTAACTAAAAATCATTCTTAACTCCTTGAAGTCTTAAGAAGATTGTTTTAAATAAACTAACAGCTAGAACAGTAGAATTAACATACCAAACTATTCTCTCCACTTTGCAAATATTTATAAATTGATTAAATCCATCTATTAATATATCAAAATAGATTAGTTTAGATTTCTTTAGATGATTATAAGATAACTATTAGTCTATTATATAAGGTGTTCAGCAAATTATAAGGATAAAATCAGTAGGAAGATTTCAAAATGGCCTTAGAAAGTACTTCAATATTTCCATCAATCTATTGTTTCAATCATTTTCTTTATTTATTTTTAAGTCATCGTAGTTTGGAATAAATAACAAATATTTTTACATTAGTTTATTATTGGTAGAAATAATTAATATAACAATTACAGGTTAGTGCTGAATTATTTTGTAAATAAGATCCTAATACTTATAGCGAACAATTTTCAAAAATTAACTATTTTGACATAAATTCATTAGAAGTAACAAAACTACAATAAAAAATAATGAGTGATATTTATCCAAGGTCTCTAAATATCTCCTTGGAAGATTTTAACATTTCGTTGACTTTATTGAATAGATAGTAATAGGAAGAATTTGTGCAGAATTGGATTCAAAAAGTTAAAGACCCTGAAGCTTTTAAATAATTAATACCATTCTTCTTTAATATTATAAAAAGAGGAGAACCATCATCTGAATTCTTAACCATTATTAATAAATAAATAATAAAATAAGAAGAATTAAGAACTAAATATGGTTGTTTTAATTAAAAATCCATATTTTAAATATTTTATAATAATGCGGATGATGAATTAAAAGTTATGCTTCTAAAACTTATAAGTAAACAATACCCGATTCCATTACTATACAGAACTTCTTACTTTACAAAAGATGGAGAAGAGGAAAAACTAACATTTAACATAAATACATTCTATGTATTTGAGGAAAATTATTCTATCATTAATTTAAGTTTGGCAAACTAATAAAAAAGAATAGGTAAAACAGATTTAATTAATAAAATTTTTTATAAACAATATAAATTTGAAATATCAGACAACAATTATTTGAATAAACAGACAATTGACATTATGTATGATTTTGAATTTAACGGATCAAGAAATTTATCAGTTGCAGATGCACATGGGTTTATTCCTTATGAAATTTTAGATGATATCTTACCTCTGTTTAGGATGTGGATTATTTAATTAGATACTGAGAGAGAAATTAGAGAAACAATTTAAAATTTAAAAAAGTTGAAATCTTTTAAAAGTAAATAAAATGTTATTTGTTTATTAATTCGAAATTCAATAAGAGATTTAGATGAGTAAGAAACTGCAGAATTATTGTATCATAATATTTAATATAAGTAAGTTATTAATCTATCAGATAATGATCTAAATAATTAAATGAAGTAAGCTGAAATAGCATAAGCATCCAAATTTTTATTTGATTTAATCAATAAAAATAATTCTTTCACATTGAAATAAGATGAATACATAAATTAAATTTTTCACATGGTTAATTGTGTTTAGGATTAAAAAATTCAAATTAAATAAGTTCAAGATCTATTTAAAGATATTGAAAAAGAGTTGGGAATTCAAATGGAGCATGTTGATGGCTTTTATAATTAGAATGCTTTTCCATTAAGAAGCATAGAATGGTAAATCAAAAAAGAGAAAGATGAATACTAAAAAATTTAAAGGATTCGCTAAGACAAATAAACATAAGAAAAACTCAATTAAATCACTTTAAAAATAAAATAATTCCAAAATTCCATTAATTTATAGAAACCTACATAACTTTTAATTCATTTTTGTAATATTTTTAAAAGATCAAATTACTATATATTATATCTACATTTTGTTGATAAAATTCGAAAATTTAATGAAAAAAATACCTATAAATTATAAAGAGAAAATTAGAAACTAAATGAAGAAATATAAAAATTAAGAAGAGACAAGAAGAATTTATAAACTCAAAGAGATAATTCCAGAAGTTGTACTATAAATGAATAGATAAATGAAATTCAAACATAAATTGATGAATTAGTTGCTTAATTGAAATAGAATTCTGATATTATATCAAAAAGGAATATTGGAATAGAATTATTTTGGAGAGAAGTCATATCCTAAAGAGAGTAATGTTAACAATCAGATATTGATTTTGATCCCTCTTAAATTGTTAAAGAAATGATCTCTAAAGGAGAACCATTTGAATTCTTAGATGGAGATTCATTAAAAATCGATTAACCATTCTTAAAACAACTAATATCTAACTTTAAGGAGCAAGGATAAGAAAGAATTTTAGTATTAAGTGTTTTAGGACCACAAAGTTCTGGCAAATCAACAATTTTAAACAAAATATTTGGATGCCATTTTTGGACAAGTGTTGGTAGATGCACTAAAGGAATATATTTGCAATTATTGAAAGTACATAACAAAGCATATTTTAATAATTTATTTGATTACATTATTATATTGGATACTGAAGGTCTTCAGAGCCCAAACTAAGATGATTCAGAATTTGATAAAAAAATAGCACTTTTTGTATTATCAATAAGCGATATTATTCTAGTAAATGTGAAAGGAGATATAACAAGGGATTTCAGAGAATTAGTTGAAATGTGTGTATATACTCTTGGATAAATGAAAAGTTTTACAAGTACAAAATTAATTACTTGGTGTTTTAATTAAAATAATGATGTCAATAATCGTGATCCGTTTATAGCATAATTATTGTCAATAGCTACAAATTTAAATAAAGAATTAAGCAATTAAAATTAGGAGAATGAATAAATTGATTATAATGAAATTCTTGGAATTACTGAAGAAAATATTAAGGTTTTAGGGTTTGCATCAACTGAACATTTGTGGAAAAAAAATGATAGTGATGGTGTGTATACAAATTGGCGCCAGCTAATTCTAAATGGCACATTCTCTTCAGAAGCTTATGAATAAGGAATTCGAATAATTCAAGCATATGTAAATAAGTTTGGAAAGGAGGACAATTTAGATGGAAGAGAATAGATGGAAAATTTAAAATGTTTTATAGACAAAATTGAAACAACCTGGAAAAGTATTATAACCTTACCTGATTTACTTGAATTTTCTTAGTTAATATAACATTAACAAAATCAATTTATGAGAAAGTAATTTATTGAAATCATAAACAATTATCCGTTTCCTACGAAAATTTAATTTATTACGCAAATCCATGAAGCTATAAAAGAGTAAAATTAAGGCTTGTCTATAGATATTTTAAATGCTATACTGGGAGAATTTACTATATCAATGAATGCTTAATTTGATTAAATTAACAATGAATTTTTAGAAAGGTTGACTTAAATAAAAAATGAACACAAAATATCAAAAAAGGTAATCAGAATATATGAAAATATGGTTAAAGCTAGAATTGATAGTGAAAGATCAGGCATCTCATTGGCAATGCTTTCAGAAATTAGGATTTAAGAAACAAGTTTTTAACAGAAAATGGGTTTTATAAAGATTGACCATTTTATTCTATAGTTAATAGGAAATGAAAATCTGTTCAAATAATATAAAGAGGATGAACGTAAGATTGAAACTAAGTTTAAGGAACTATGGAATGAAATATTAACATAAGACAAATAAAAATAAGATGAAAGTTTTATGGGATATAGCGATCAATTGTTAAAAGTAATTAAGGAAAATTTTAAAAACTATATTTTGACAACAAAAAATGAAAATAGTTATAAACAATAATACATGGCAAAATTGAATAAAGAAAAACCTAAATTTAATGACTATCTCCCATCATTAGAAATATTAAAACCGGAATTATAGACAGCTTAACTTATGTATATAGCAAATTCAAATAAAAATTATTTGTTTTATGAAAACTTTAACTAAAACATTGAAAAGAAAATATCAAGAAGTTCACCTAATTAAGTTTTATCAATCAATTAATTTTATTCTAATAAAGTTGAAATCACATATCTGACATTAGAAGATTTCAATAAATATAGATAAAAAGACTTTTAAGTTGATCTTGAATCCTACTGCAGGTTAGGAAACAAAATAGATAAGTATTCATTTGCAACATTTTTACAAAATTTTTCTTTGTTTGGTTATTAAATATCAAAATAAGGAGCAGAATAATTATTTACTTCTCATAAATAATTTAGATTTGATATAAATATGCTAAATTCCTGCTTTTTACATGGAGAAAGGTAGTATTTCGGAGATGCTTAATACGATTCATCAATCGAAATGATCTAAAAACATTGTAAAAGCTTGACGAATTATTATAAGAAACATGTTATAATTACTGATCTATCCTAGAATAACGAAATAGATAATGCTAAAGCAAGGTTTAATGAAAAAGAATTTTTTTTAATATCAGTAAAATCACAGGTGATTGTAAAGTAAAATACTGGATCCTAAATCAATAAAAGTCGAGCTTATAGTATCTAATAATAAAACTAGGAATAAATTTTTAACTATATTTTAAATAGAAATTTAAACTCTCAATATGAAAATATTTTTAAGCAAAGTATTGCTAGATATATTGAAGAATTAATGAGTGAAATAAACAATGAGAGATGGAAAAAAGTCTATTGTGAAATACATCAAATGATACTTGATGAAATTAAAGAAATGAAGGCAAAATAATTTAGTTACGGTTTAATAAAAAGGATTTTGTAAAAAATAGAAGGGAAAATAAAAGATTTAAATATGTAATTTTCAGATTTTGGTGTTATTTTGAATGATTTAGGAGAAAGATGCATATATTATTATGCCATTTTTAGCATTTGGAGAGTTTTGTGTTATAAATAATATAGATCATCTAAGAAAGCTTCAGAATAGTTGAGTATTTAAGAGGAAGTGCAATATCAGAAGTTTAAGGCTGATATCTAATAAAATAAAAAAGAACAAAGTAAAATCAGAGGATAATCATTAGCAGAGGAAATTATAAGTTAAACAATTGCAAGATTTCAGAGGTCATACTGCGAAGAAGCTAAATAATTTTGGGCTGGATTCAATAAAGAGTCAAATTATGATATCATAAAATAACTAGATAAAGATATTCTAGAAAGGTATGATAGAACTGTAACTGATGAATAGAGACTACATTATATTAAAAATCACACAGATTATGTTGAAAAATATGTGAAAGACAATATTAATAAATTAAAAGTGGAAATTCAAACTAAATTTACAAAGAAATTATAAAAGGATCTGAATTCTTATCTTTAAAAAGTGGATGCAAATACAAAATATTTATATGATAATGTTGTTTCTCCTCTATAAGCAAAGGACTACTTTGTATAGTAGTAAAACCCTGATGAAGCTCCAAAATTATTATTTAAAATTACTTTAGGTTGTCTTTAAGGATATGTAGAATAGAATTTATTACAAACAATAAAACCAGATAAAATTCATGCGTTTCAAACTTAAGATTTTCATATCTTTGAGTTGCCATTATGTTCATCTATTTAAAAGTCAGATGAAGAAATATAAATACTATATAATTTTGTTTAAGCTTTTAAATAAAGGATTTTATTGGGAATTAAAAATTCAGATTCGATTCAGGTTTAATTAGAAACACTGAAATTATAAGATGATTTAGATGCTTAATAACTTAGACAAATTGGTTGTTTGTAGTTTTGCCCACTTTGTAAAAGAAAGTGTGATTAAGAAATTGATGATAGTAACCATATACACTTATGTTAAAATGGTCATTAATTAAGAGGTAATATTTTATTAAAAAATAGGTATGACTGGAGTCTTAATTGGTAGTCATCCTTCATTATATACATGTGAGGAAATATAGGATGATTTTTAAATTTCATTATTAGAAACATCAACAATTAAATAATGGAAGGATATCAAATAAATTTATAATGGGTGGATATTTTCATGTCTAAATAAGGATGAATTAAAAAGTTAGAAGGAGAAATTCATGAAGATTTGGAATGATAATATTGGGAGAATGTTATGCATAAAATTGACTGAGGAAATTGGAAGAGATGTCTTTTATGTTCCAAAATAAGAAGTTGAATTAGGTGGAAATTTAAAAACTGCCCATTATCTTCTGATATTAGATGACTCTGGCTCAATGGAAGGACGTCCTTTTTAAGCAGCTAAGTCAGGTTTGGTGGCTTTTCTTTACGAAATCCAAAAAAATCCTGAATCTAGGGTTACTATTATTCTCTTTAATCACAGTGCCCGATGTGTAGTTGACTATCAAATCCCTGATGCTTTGGGTTAAAGTTAGTAAATACAATACAGTGGAGGAGGAACTGATTTTGATGAACCCTTAAAAATTGCCTTTGATAAAATTGCTAAAAATCCAGATTTCAACAAATTTTGTTCGTAAATATTCATATATAAATAGCCATTCTATCTTTTTCTATACTGATGGATAAGCATAATACCCTTCAAGGGCTTTAGAGAAAGTTAAATAATTCCCTTCAGATTAGAGAGAAAAAATAGAGTTAGTTGCTTGTTCTTAAGAAGAAAATCCAACAACATTGGTCCAAGTTGTTAAATTTGGTAAATAATATTTGGGTTCTGCTAAAATATAAGCTTCAATGGAGCCTTAAAGGATTGCATAAGTTTGGATTGAAGAGGTCAGCTAATTAACCCATTAAATTAAAAATTGTTGATCAATTATCAATTTAACGAAATTAAATTATATGTTTTATTTTCTCCTTGCATTATGCATCTTTAATCTAAACAAACATATCTAAATAGTAAATTCAAAAATAACAAAAATTTTATCTTAGCAATGAACTAAACAAGGATACTATAATATATGGAAGATGCTGAACCTGTTTTTTAATATCCTTCGTTTAATTTATTACAAATTTCTAAGTTTCTGAATTAATATTAAATGACATTATAGAGGCAATGCTAATTTTTTTAAATAACTTGCTCATTAGTTCTTTTAACAAATTTCATTATTTTCAGGTTTGGTCCAACTTTTTTTCTCTTGAAAGTGAAAATTAGTATCAAGATTTGGCTGAAATCTTTAACAAAGATTTAATATGCTGCTCATATAATCTTTACTATTTCATTACCCTGACATTTCAATCGATAATTTATTTATATAACGATTTCAATTTTGTAAAATATTCAGAACTTAATGATATTTGTCAATATACCATTAGTATTAAAGTCTAGAAAAAAACTCAAAATGATAATTTAACATTTAATTTGTTGTGAAATTCCGGGATGGCATACAAAACCCACTTAAAGAGGGAAAATAGGATTGAAGCAATTTTTAAATAATAATTGATATCATAGATGTTTAAAAATAAAAGCTAATTTATTCATATTTTTTTATTTTTTTAGATTAAAAATGAAAGTGGAAGTCTTTAGTGTATAAACCATTTCTGAAAATGGAGCACTGTGCTTGTTATTGATAATTGAATAGAAAAATCACAAATTATAAATAATGCTAGATTGTGGTTTGAATTAAAGATTGGAATGCAATCACATTAAGCATTATATGAATAAAATTTAGAAAGTAATTAATGAATTTATTATAGTCTAAATTAGTGCTACTATCATAACCATCTATTGAGTATGCTGGAGGTCTCCCTTTAATTTCTGAATTCTAAATCAAAACTTTATCTACAAGTCCAATAATTGAATTTGGAGTCAGAAACTTTGTAGATCAATTGATTCACTTATAATAAGCATTTCTTAAAAAAGAAGTTATGGAAGAAGACTTTAAATAAGATTGGAAGAAAATTTTAGATGCTGCAGATGATGCATATCGTCAAATTAAACCATTAAAATTTGGACAGAATGAAACTATGATGTTTGAAAATGGATTATTTTAAGTGACTGTTTGTCCTATAAGAGCTGGTAAGGTTATAGGTGCATGTGCATGGAAAATTTAAGTGAATACATTAAATATTATCTACATCACAGATTATAATATGATAAAAGAATTACACATCGATTCTTTGAATATAGAACGATTGCTAATTAAAAATTAAAAATAATCCCTTCTTCATAGAGAAATTGTTGATTTACTAATTTTGGAGAATTATCCTAAGGAAATTGTGTAACCATAAAACAATTAATTGAGTATTCCTCCTTAATTCTTTATTAAATCCAAAATGGAAGAAGAGTTAAGTGTATATCATAAAAAGTAATAAGGATAATTGATATTTGCATTTTATCCTAATGAGAGAATATTAGAGGGAATTAAATCTCTACATTAAATATTTAAGGAAAATGAGAAATATGTTGGAATGAAATGGGATATAAATGTTTTATATCTTGATTTAGTTGATAAGGCTAGGACATTTGGAGAATTTTTATGTTGGGATAATATTTAATCGCTTAATTATGATAATTAATCAAAAATTAAATCATAAATTATACTTACATCCTATAATAATTTATTTTCTGGTCCCTTCTTTTAAGAGAATTTATTAACTGATCCAAACAATACGATTATTATTTTCGATAAGCCACCTTGTTTAATTAATGAAAATATGGGGAAAATTCGGAAGAGTTTTGAATTGAATTTATAAATCAAGGAATCATATTCAATAAATTTAAACTATATAAGAAAGTAAATAAGGCTAATTAATTTAGATTATTATTAAAAACAAATGAGAAGGAAAATAAACTTATATCTAATGCGCCTAGTACAACTTACCTGCCTGGTAGTACAACAGATTTAGTGGAAACTCAGAGTGTAGATATTGGTAACTAAAAGACAGATGATCAATTTTCAGTAGTTAGTGATCAGAAACCAAACCTTGAACCCTTATTTGATAAAAATAATTATAAGTCACATAATTAATAGTATTTTATCGATACTGAAATTAAAGGTATATTTTAATTTTATATTTTAAAGAATAAATATAATTTTCAACTGCATAATTGGATAAGCCACTCAGACCTATATAATAACTTCACTTAAGAGATGACTATGGTTCAGATATACCTAAACATATTAAATAAATGAAGAGTAAGAGAAGATAATAAATTGAAACACAAACTTAATAGATGGAAGAAGAATAAGATGCAGAGAATGAAAAATAAAAGTTGCAGGAATCAACATTTGCTATGCCTAATATGAACAAAGTTTAGAATTAAAAAGTCTTAGCAGTTCAAGCAACAGTATCAGTTAAATAACTACCTTAAAATTTAAGAAATGCTTAAATGCTTCTAGAATATTTAAACCCTTAGAATCTATTAATATTAAATCCAAGTACAAAGCCTAGATAGGGAGGTGTGCAATTAGCAGTTGCAAAACAAAGTCAAGCCTAATCACTTATCTCATTAAATGATGGATAAAATTTACCTTTTGTAGAAATGTCAGAAAAATAGATTGAGATCAGATCAGCAATATAAGTAAAAGGGAAATTGGAATTAAAAATCTTTAGAAATACCCAAACAATGAGTTAGATTTTGAAGTTAGTGGCAACCTAAAATAAAAAACCTATCTGTCATTAGAATATTTAGTTGTTGGCCTTGTATGAAGAATTAAAGAAGCGAGGGGATTTAAAATTGGAATTAGGATTTTGTTAGATAAGTTTGAATAATGGCTAGGTTATAATAAGTAAAACAAAGTAAGGATTCAAAGTGGAAGGATATTTCAGCAATTTGTACAAGGAGGTTAGAAACCTGATAAAGACATTAAATATCTGATTTGATATTGTTATGAAATAAACGCATGTATTTAATATTATATATAAAATGAATGGAGGTCATCGTCTTAAGTTTTAGATATCGTTTAGTGAAGATGAAGTCAAACCAGAGATTATTACTCTTAATCAATTTGATGATGCTCTAAAATTTGAGGATAGATATGAAGCATTATAAACTTTGGGTATAAACTTATAATAATTTTGATTAGGTTAGGGTGCTCATGCTGTTGTGAAGGTAGCAAGAAAGAAAGACACAGATGAGATTTTTGCAGTGAAAATAGTGAGATCTGGAGATTAAGAAATATAAAACAACGTTAAAAGAACTTTTAATAACACTAGATGTTTGAGACATCCAAATATTGCCTAGGATATTGAATTGTTTATTAATGAAAAGATGGAAACTTCATATTTGATAATGGAGTATTGTGCATTCGACTCATTAGAATCCATTATTAAGAAAAGAAAATTGACAATAATGGAACTTAGAATAGTGATTAAATAATTACTTTCAGCAATTCAACATGCTCATTAGAAGGGCATATGTCATAGGGACTTGAAACCTGATAATGTTCTAGTGGATTTGAGTGAGAATATGGAATAATCTGAAGTCCGAGTAAAGGTTGTTGATTTTGGAGTATCAAGAAGATTTTAATCAAAAGGATAGGAAATTGAAATGTTGACAAAAACAGGTAATATATTTTATTGTGCTCCTGAAATTTATCATAAATCCTGTTATTCTAAAGAAGTGGATATTTGGGCAATCGGAGTGATAGCCTTTTAATGTTTATTTCAAAAACTACCATTACATTCTGATGAATATCAAGATTTTGTTGAGTTATTGAAATCCCCAGATAAATGGAAATTTAAGGAGCATTTAAAAGAACTAGAAATACCTTTATAAAATTTGATCATTGGAATGTTAGAGTATGATAGTTAGAAAAGAATTACAATAGATGATGCATTGAGGAATTCATTTTTTGAATAGCAATAGAAAGAAAGTACTCCTCTGATCATCAGTACTAACTTGGAGAATCTTATTTATAATAGTAATAAACATATGAAATAATTACAAACAAGTTTAGCTATCAACAACAATTATTTTGGTTATCACAATTAAAATTTGGGTAATGTGATCTAGAAGCTTAAAGGAGAAAATAACTAGGAGAGAGTAGATGTAGAAGAGTTAACAAGAAACTTTGGAAACATACATATTACATAGAAATAGAATGAAAAAAGAGGGCCAATATAATTAATGAATTCTATAGGAAGTAGCAATGTTCTAATGAGTAGATTTGGAAGTAGGCAAGAAATATCTTATTAGGCTCAATCTGATGCATTAAGTATATGTTATATCCTATTTAAAGGGAAAATATGTGATATCAAAGGTTCTGGAGATCCTTTTGGGGATTTTGCTATTTAATAAAGTTAAGAATTGTAAGAACAATAGGAATCTAATTTTCAATAGAATAATTCTCAGAAGATCTTTCAGTAATTAGGATCTCAAATTGAATCTAGTATCAATCTCACTCCTGAAGATCAAACCAAAGTCATCAATTAATTAGATAGTTTGGGAGTTCCAAAAAGGAGTTCTGTACTTACTTAATTTTTTGGTGATTTGGGAATTAAAGAAGTTGATGAGATAACTGAAGACTGTTGAATTATTTGAATATATATATATTAAATATCATTATTCTTAATACAATTAGATTTTATACTCTTATACAGGTATTTTAGATTAATGTATATACTTATTTACCACTTTTCAAATAGCAAGGGATTATCAAATAAACAATTGATTAATTTTTATCATTATTTCTTTATAATTCTGATTTTATAACTACTTATCTCTTGTCCAAAAATATACTGATGTACTATATAAAAATTAGTACCTATGAGAGAGATAAGATTTAAAATTTACTGATATTTTCGATCATCTTTGCACATGATAAACTACTTGATTGAAATTATATATATTTAAATCAAGTATTTTTTTATAATGAAAAAATTGCTACTCTCATTTTTATATAATCAATGATGTTTAAAATGAATCTCAGCAAATTGTTTTAAGTACTCCATAGCCGGCTTTGGAAACCAAATCGATTCTGTTTTCCATCCTTCCAGAAACCCTATATGTCCTCCTGCCTTTGCTACACAAATGATATTTTTAGCACTTTCTTAAAGTAGATTTTCCTGTAAAGCCTTGATATGACAAACATCGTCATCTTCTGTGCATATACATAGAGTTGGAATCTAAAATTGATTTTATTCTTACATTTATTAATGGGAATCTATTAGCTAATGAAAAATGCTAATAATAATCTTTAACGCTCTTGTATCCATAAAGCTAAATAACAAAATTTGCATCAAAATCACTTATCCAAGTGGCTGCTAAAGCTCTATTAACTACTCTCTAGCATTCGATAGGGTATCTTTAATAGCATTCTGGTTTTGGATTGCATTCCTTCAATTTCCCTTTTAAAATTTTTGTTAAGGCAATATCCATTGAATAGGACAAATATTTCTAATTAATTAACATGTGATGAGGAGCACATACTAGGCAAGCAGCATCAACTAATCTGATATTATGAAATCTTCCTAAATAGTTACCCAATTATGCTCCTCCATATGAACAACCTATGGCTAATATTTTATTAAAATGATATTTCTATTTCAAATAACTTAAACAATGATGTAGATCTGCAGGCAAATCAACTCTTGTTCTCTTATTCTAAATAACATCATCTTCAAAATGTTCATAATCTCGATAAGGATCATCGTAATTTTATGGGTTCATATTTAATCCATAATTATAGAATTTTGGCTTGAAAGTAAAATCTCCTTCCTTCTGCAGTACTCTATAATTGTAAACACATATATTATGAAAATGCTATTTGTGAGCTTCACTTACTATAGTATTGATGTAACCATCCTCAACAGATCCTGTTAATCCAGGCATAATAAATAATAGTGGCTTATTTTTGTCGATTCCATGTCCCCTATCTATCCAATCAATAGACATTCCTGTATTTTCAATATGCTCTTTATTTGTTGAATGTTTTTCAGTTGGATGCTTAAATGAAGACAATACTGTATGCAAAAACCCATTTAAATAAGGAGTTGGATTATATGTGAACAATGATGGGCATTTCTATATGATTTATCTTATTTCTTCGTTTTCTTTGTAAATCAATTTTACAGATGGCCTTTTATATTAGTACACCTGATATAGCAGAATCAATATCAAAAAAATGATGAAAATATCGAAAAACATACCTGCTTATGATAATTCTATATTTCCTAAAATTCTTAATTATTAATTTAGAATATAACATATTACAACTCTTGCCATGCTAAGAATATCAAAGACTTTGTTTTCAAATCTTAACAATATCAATCGATTCGCTTATCATACCATAAGTGACCAAATATAACTTACAGATTTTTGTATTAAGGTATTTTAGATTAATAAGGAAGGAAATTTAAAGAAAATAAACAACCAAGTTTAGGAACAAATTCTTAAGATTAGGAGTTGATGGAGCATGTAACATCTTATCATATATAATGTAGAGGGATGTTCAGGGTTTAAATACTCTTTTAATTTTGATGATTAAATTTTAGATGATGATTATGTTCTGAAACTATAAAACGAAATTATATTTGTTGTTGATGAAATAACACTCAAATTTGTTAATGGATGTGTCATTGACTACGAAGATAAGATGATCAGAGCAGCATTTTATGTAAATTAAATATTTAATCATATTAGGTCTAAGAAAATCCGAATGCAGAAAAGTCATGCAGTTGTAAAGCATCATTTGCTCCAAAACCTGAGTTATTATGACCATCATATAATTAATCCATATTATAATCTTGAATACTAAAAATTAATCAATTTCATAATTACTTCAAGAAAAAGCTTTTTAACAATCATCTATTCCATTATAGCATTTATTTAAATTTATGAACTAAAAACATATTGCAAATCAGAGCAAGCTTGATAATGAAAAAATGTCTTTAACAACGAATCGAGATACAATTCGAACCGTCTTCTCTGATATGACTAATTTTGAGTTCTCTAGTATGATTATTTCAGGAAAACAAAATTTTAATAAAACAAAAGAATAATCACAATCCTAAACGACCAAAAGAAGGAATGCAATAGTTCCTTGTTTAATAAAATTTCCAGCTTTTTTTAATTATCCAGAAACCAAGACAAAAATTTATAAGATACATAAATTTTCTATATTAGAGAAACCGATACTTGCCTATCATGAAGTTTATTATTCTGAAATTCAATAATTTGAAAGAGATATTGAATAAAACGTATATGTTATTTTATTCAATTTAGAAACAAGATGGCAATTTTGATATAAAATAACATTGTTTTACTGAGTAATAGTTAGAAAAGGCTCTAGATTGGATGATTTATTAAATTATTAGATTTAAAAGTTTTAGTTATGAATCCCTATTTAAATCAATAGAGTTGATTTATTAATATTTAAGTAAGTCATAGCAGGTGGAATTTAAGGATTTAGAATTAATAAGCGGGTGCTGCATTTATTTATCATCAAAAACAGTTGATTTAAATCCAATATATATTGATGATTTAATTAATGAAGTAAAATTGAAGTTAATATTTAGGTGTTAGAATGCAGATTTGACTATTAAGAAGTTTTGAGATAAGAGAAATTAATTTGCTAAGCACTTAATTACAATTTGCTTTGCATTTGTTCATTATAAATAGTTTATCGAATTATGCAGGAAATTAGTTCTAAAATGGAGTAGATGTATGATTCTGGAAAGATTGAGAATTTAAGGAAATAAATTTTGGATAATTTATTATTGATGGAATTTGGGAAAAAATTTCGTTAGATTTCTAAAGGCAATCGGGCAGTTAGTTGCATTTTATTAACAATGATTGAAAATAAGATAGATAAAAGTGTTGTAATAATTACATTATTATTTAACGTGTTAAGCTGTTTTGGAGAGTGTAAATCATTTAGAAATGAACATAAATTGGATAGAGAGGAATGTAATTGAATTAAAGCAGTACATTGAGGAGAATAAAGATAGATATGGAAACAGGAACTATTTAATATATTGAGTTTATGCGCCAATTAATAAATATTATAATTTAAATTATGTCAGATCAATGCACCAAGGGCACTAATTGGGGTGTGGTTTCCATTGATGATAAAAATTTATGCATGAAATATAATCAGAGCAACATAATCAAATTACCATTGAAAAAAGTTGTGAATTCGAACACTTAGAAGAATGATATCGTCCTGTAATTGAGTACAGATGATTATGGAGAAAAGTATATATATAATCATAATCTCTTAGTGATGACATGTTATGCGAAGTCAGATTTTTCATTCCTCCTCAAGAGTAGGTAAGTTACTTGAAATAAATTAGAAATTGAAACAAGAAAAGGACAAGAAAAAATAAGAAAATGAGGAAAATTAAAATAGCATGGAGGAAGAGGATGAAGGAGCAGATGAAGATGCTGANTAGTTCCTTGTTTAATAAAATTTCCAGCTTTTTTTAATTATCCAGAAACCAAGACAAAAATTTATAAGATACATAAATTTTCTATATTAGAGAAACCGATACTTGCCTATCATGAAGTTTATTATTCTGAAATTCAATAATTTGAAAGAGATATTGAATAAAACGTATATGTTATTTTATTCAATTTAGAAACAAGATGGCAATTTTGATATAAAATAACATTGTTTTACTGAGTAATAGTTAGAAAAGGCTCTAGATTGGATGATTTATTAAATTATTAGATTTAAAAGTTTTAGTTATGAATCCCTATTTAAATCAATAGAGTTGATTTATTAATATTTAAGTAAGTCATAGCAGGTGGAATTTAAGGATTTAGAATTAATAAGCGGGTGCTGCATTTATTTATCATCAAAAACAGTTGATTTAAATCCAATATATATTGATGATTTAATTAATGAAGTAAAATTGAAGTTAATATTTAGGTGTTAGAATGCAGATTTGACTATTAAGAAGTTTTGAGATAAGAGAAATTAATTTGCTAAGCACTTAATTACAATTTGCTTTGCATTTGTTCATTATAAATAGTTTATCGAATTATGCAGGAAATTAGTTCTAAAATGGAGTAGATGTATGATTCTGGAAAGATTGAGAATTTAAGGAAATAAATTTTGGATAATTTATTATTGATGGAATTTGGGAAAAAATTTCGTTAGATTTCTAAAGGCAATCGGGCAGTTAGTTGCATTTTATTAACAATGATTGAAAATAAGATAGATAAAAGTGTTGTAATAATTACATTATTATTTAACGTGTTAAGCTGTTTTGGAGAGTGTAAATCATTTAGAAATGAACATAAATTGGATAGAGAGGAATGTAATTGAATTAAAGCAGTACATTGAGGAGAATAAAGATAGATATGGAAACAGGAACTATTTAATATATTGAGTTTATGCGCCAATTAATAAATATTATAATTTAAATTATGTCAGATCAATGCACCAAGGGCACTAATTGGGGTGTGGTTTCCATTGATGATAAAAATTTATGCATGAAATATAATCAGAGCAACATAATCAAATTACCATTGAAAAAAGTTGTGAATTCGAACACTTAGAAGAATGATATCGTCCTGTAATTGAGTACAGATGATTATGGAGAAAAGTATATATATAATCATAATCTCTTAGTGATGACATGTTATGCGAAGTCAGATTTTTCATTCCTCCTCAAGAGTAGGTAAGTTACTTGAAATAAATTAGAAATTGAAACAAGAAAAGGACAAGAAAAAATAAGAAAATGAGGAAAATTAAAATAGCATGGAGGAAGAGGATGAAGGAGCAGATGAAGATGCTGAACCAACCTTTTAATAGAAATTACAAAATGAAATATTAACCAAAGCCAAAATTGGTTAAAGTAGCGCTGATTCCATTCTAACTATTCATGATGTTCCTTTAATTGTGCCAAGGTAATTATTTCATTTACTATCTTTAATAGAGGTAAATATACCATGGATTTCTTTACAAAAGATATCAGATTTCATGGAAATACCTATCAATTTACAACTGATTATAAGGGAATCTCTAGATTCTTCTTGCTACCTATGCCTGATGAGATTAACCTTTCTTTTGTAATTGGTTTGGAACATCCATTCAAATAAGGTTAGACTACATACAATTTTTTGGTTATGTAATTCAAGAAGGATTTTGAGAATGAAATTAAACTAAAATACAGTAGACAAAAGTTAGATGAAATTGGTTGGAAAGGAATAAAGGAAGAATATTCTGGGCCTCTCTATGATATTGTATGTGAAGTATTGGCTGAGATTACAGGAATCAAAGTTGTATCTCCCAAAAATTTCAAGAGCAAAAATGGACTATTTTGTTTGAGATGTTCTGTTGGTCCTCACTCAGGATTTCTATTTCCGTTAGAAAAATCATTAATTTATTTGTAAAAGCCTGTATTACATATCAAACATGAGGAAATTAAAGAGGTTATTTTCTAAAGAGTAACTATAATTTTTATGCTAGATTGGTTCGACAAATTTAAATAAATTTTTTGACGTGAAAATTGTATACAAAAACTAAAATCAACTATTTTCAGGAATAGAAAGAGATGAACTTGACAACCTGACCTCATATTTCTAATAAAAGAAAATTGCTGTAAGAAAGCTTCAAGATGAGGTTCCTCATCTTCCATTAGATGATAGTGATGATGAGGAAGATGACGATGATAGTAGATAAAAGAAGAAGAATGTATATGTCTCTAATAAATGTAATAGAAGACCAACATCGATCCCAACAATTTGGATTCTGACGACGATGATGATGATTTCCATGCTGGAGAAGATGAAGAAGATGGCAGTGAAAGCGAAGAAAGTGATGAACCAGAAAGTAATTCCAGAAATTAAAAATGATTATCCATTCATCAGATCATATTCTTTATATTCAATAACACATTCAAGTTTATTAAAACATATTTCAAATGTTTCTATATTATTGATCCTTCCTTTTCTTCCTGTAATCATATTGGCTATTATTTTATGTATAATAAGCATTGCAATTCTCTTCCTCAAATGAATTTTGGTTCATTTACATTTATGGTTGTTATTAAAAGTATTGGGGTAAGGGCTCCTCTAAAAAAGTAGTCTTCATTTTAAAAGCAGCAGGCTCAGAAGTCAATAAAGGATGCTTTGATATTTAATATCGGACGCTGTTCTTCTCTAATATTTGTAATATTTCATCTCTTTTTTTTCTTACCCATTCCATCAGTCCATCCATTGATGGAAATGGTACGATTTGTAATAGGATATCGTATTATCCTTAGAAATACGCTTATCTTTCAAGATTGGTAGCTGTCTTGTGGAAATTGGATAATGAACTTGTTGTTTTCTAGAATTGCTATTTTAGTCGTTCAAGAGAATTCATAACTTAAATTAATTCAAATGCAATATTATTGTATTGTTTATATGATAATTCTTCAACTGATCGACCTTTGTCTCCATGAATTAACCATTCCTTGTATGAAAACTCCTCCGATTGCAAAAAATGAAGCCACTTGATAATTGTAGCTGTCTCCTTCTTTAAATCCATATGAGAATGAGTCAAGTATAAAAATTCCTGCAAATAAACAGACATAGCCTACTAATATCAATAAAGCTTAAGCATAAGTAAGTGCAGCCTATTTCAAAAATGGTTAAACCATTCCAATCAAAAATCCTACCAACATCAAGCAAAAGGCAGCAATTGAGAGACTCAAATAGCTTGAATATTTATCTGGGTCTGTTGTAGGTATGTTCGTAATCAATGAAGTAATTAAAATATGACTATCATCATTCTCCTTCAAGTATGAATAATATGCAAGATTGCAAACTATGACTAGCGACATGAATGTGTTACTCAACACTAATCTCATCTTTATATCCCTAGATGTTTATTATAAATAACATACAATCCCATTCTAATGTTTTATTTTATTAAAAATATTACTAACATCAAAATTATGCTCAACCCTTAAGTAGAGACAATACACTTAATGGAAAAAAATTATAAATTCAATATCCCTACCTCTTTATCAGTCCATTCAGAATTTATATATTATAATATATTGCCTAATCTTTGAAATAAAGATATTCAATTTTATAGAATGTTATAATATCCATAATCCTTTAAAAAATTTCTAATAATAATATTTAATATTGCTATTTTTTAATATAATTGTAGATTTAGTAATATAAATGTTTCTCATATTTAAATGAATGTAAATGATAAAATTCACTCTGTCTAATCATTCTATTTAGGTTAATATTATATTCCGGACTAGCAATTTGATGCCAAAATTTGAGTTAGATCCTCCTTCCAATTGCTAATTGAAGTTGAAATCTATCCTATGCTGTCTGAATCATCATTATTTTGAATTTCGCTAAAGAAACCTTTGATTTATTTGCTTAATTTATGAAGTGTTTTTTCGATGTTTAAACAAATTTATTTATTAAATTCGACATAATCATTGAAAATTTATTATGATGAATTATGCCTCTCTTACAGATGACTAAGTTTTGGGCGAGGCTATATTATTTAAAATTAAAACCCATCTTTTGGGGTGATGGTCTCGATTGATGAAAACAACTATTTCACATCTTCCATTGCTTATTCTGATGTAGATATCTTATCAAGAATCTTTCCAATTTTTTGATAAGTTTCACATGTCTCTAAACTTCTAAAATTAGAGATTGACCTAAATATCTTTAAAAAAATACTCTTTTATTTAACTCAATAGATTATCAAAATTCCCATCAATAATTTACTTTACCTATATTACCTCTTTTTCAAAGCTTTCTAAGATTTTGGATAGACTAAATATGAATAAATAGACTACTAACCAATATTTGTCATTCATTTCCTCATCGTCTGTCTTTTTTTTTTGATATTGCTATTTATACTCTATCAAAAACTTTTTTAAAGCTGTGACTCTGTGTCCTTCATGAAGTTCTAAGCATAAACAACATAAAAGTCTTTCTTATTTACAATTTTAGTCAATACAAATTGTATTTAGCCATTCATCTGTATGAGACTCCTTTTAACAATAATTATATGCTATTTAAACTTTTTACATACTAATATATATAATAAGTGAAATATCATAAATAATAATTCATTAGTGCAATACTTTCACAATTTTATTTTTTCAAACTAAACCTTTTTTTTTTATGGACTGAAAATATAAACATTTTTGACTTTCTCCACTAATTTTTGATTTCTATTAGTTATAGATCTTTATGTTGCCGTCTCTTTTATATCTGGAAGATTAGACAATGATTTAATATGGTTTAAATTTCTAGTAGTAAATGGAGTTTTCAATTTTATTGGAGATGAACTATCAGTTTCTGTGAGACTTTAAAGTTACTGATATTACAATTAAACTTAGTCTATCATTTTTGATATTTTGTTAGCCTGAATACTTTGTTGACGTTCATTAACATAATTTTAGATAGATGTAAAAGTCTTTCTTTGATTTTTGCTCAAATTCAAGACAACTTTTGGTTAATCTTAATTTGTATCAGTTTATTGCTTCTTTTAAGTTCGTTTTGCAACTGGAGAATTGTTTAGAGATTAAGAATATCTTTTTAATTCTTCCTGAAATTAAATATATTTTTCTGAATTCTACATGTTGTATACAAGTTCTTGAGACTCTCTCATTTAACCAATTTATAACTCGAATTACCTTATAATATTAGTTGGAGATCTCTCTTCCTGCTTTAAAGGAGACTCGTCTAACTTTTGTAATTATGATGCTCCTAAATTACTTTGAGTTTTAATGTTGTTGGAATGTTTTATCAAAATGCTTGACATTCTTTTGAAGATTGATTTCTTTCTCATTTCATTCTTTCTTAAGGCTTTCTATTGAAGATGTTAGGCAACAAATGTAGTTGGATACAGAGTTGAGAGTCTGACCTAAAATTCATATTTAATAAAATTTACTAATTTATCACTAGCTCTCTCATATTCACTTCTTCTTCGAATTTTGAAAACGCCTTAAATGACATTTGCACTCTCTAGTTAACTTTTACTTTTATGCAATTTGTTGCAAAATTGCTTCATCCTTAAAACTCTTTAATAAGGAGTTCTAGTATTTAAAAGGGACGTTCTTTAAGGAGAAAAGAGATTTTCCTCGAAGACTCTGCCTTATTTATTGCAAATCTAAATAAACTTCAAATTTTCTATTGAACATAATGTGTCGGAGTTCTCAAAATTACATGACTACTTTACTATTTGAAATGAAAACTTCTTTACTTTTTGTTTGATGCTTACAAAGGGGAGATTCGACTTCGTTTCTCCTATCAATGATTTAATAATTGTCGGAGAGCTGATTTGGCACAAATCTTCTATTTTATTTTTATGATAACATAATTATATTTATAAATTTAGATCTTTTTATTAAGTATCCAATAATTAAATCTTACACAATAGTTGTTCTACTCTAGATTACAATTTCAATTTCAAATAAGTGCAATCTCATAATTATTCAACACAAAAATTGTTTTGCTTCACATTATATAAAAATTAATGAAAAAATCACTTACTTTTTATACTGATTCTAAAAATAACTTTTCTTAGAAAATACATCTCGAAAGACATTAAAGAAACAAAAATAAAATTAATGAAGCCATATTGAAATTAGAAAATCCTTTTGACCCAAAATCAATTTCATAAGCATTAAAAGGTCTTGAAAATTAATTACAAAGAAGAACACTATTAGATAAAATTATATTAATTAGAGCCTAAAAACTAAAGATGTAAGAGCTGGAGAAGATGAATCAAATGAAGGAAATGTTAACGAAAGTAACAAGAAAATTAACCTAAATAAAAAATTACCAAACTAAATTCTCTCGAGATCATGATGATTTTTAAATTTTACAAGAAGAAAGAAACAAATTGAATAAATTTCAGTATGAAAATCTTGATTTTCAAATTTAAGAGGAGAAAAATCAATTAAGAAGGCTTTCTAGTTTAAGTTTTTTAACGAAAGACACTGACAAATGGAAGGTTAATCCATAATAAAATGCACTTTTGTAAAATTAATTTGTTCGGAGAAAAACTTAAAGAAACTCTTCATTAATCATTAATGCAGTTTAGAAGAGACAAATGTATTTATTCATTTATTCTTAGAAGCTCTCTTAAATCAGAACAGAATAGCACAGATTCCATGATTTTGTAAAATTGTTCATTATAATTCCACAAGTGACATTTTAAATGTAATATTTCTAAAGAATTTGTCTCTGAAAATTATAATGCTTCACTTTAGTAAGATTAAAAAAAATTAATTTATTTTTTTTTAATTTAAAAATGATTCCTCCCTTCCCATCAAAAACCTATTTCTATCGCTATTTTGAGAAACCTGAAACAATACACTTATCAGTTTTAATTAAAATTTTTTTATTTAAATTGATTTAAAAGGTACAAAACAAAATTGAAAAAATAACAAGTATGAATCATCCTCAATAATTATTATTTTTGTATTGATAATTCTTTTATAAGGGCTGATTTTTCGCTTGAATTTTAGAATTCATCTTTGTGCTTCACTGCCCATTCATCCTTTAGAATTGTATGTCACATAATAAGTTAATAAGCTATGATGCTATTTCTTAAAATTTATCAGGAGCTACAAAGTAACAACATCCTTTCTTATTTATTTATGGAAATACTCTACAAACGATACCAATTATGTTTATTACAGAATGAGATTTTTTCCATGAAGTATAGTTTTCCAAAAATACCAAATCAAACAAATATCAACAAATATCAATTTTTCGCCCTCTATCTACGCTTTTAGAATAAAAATTCAAGAAGTTTTAAAAATTAAAATTTAGACCAAGTAGAATAAAAGAACATCCATGAAAATTCAATAATAACAGAAAACTAAGAAACAAAAATTCATAAATACTTGAAAAATCAGATTCAATAAGTATTGAAAATGAAATTTAGTAGTAACTAGTGTTATTTTTAAATTCGTTTAAAAATTTGTTCGAAAAAGAAATAGTTTTAACCTTTTAAGTTAATGATGCAATTATAAATTATTTTTAAAATGGAGTATCTTTGTATAACTTGAAAATTTACTTTGAATAAATGCTTTAAGGCTTTCTAAGAGGATTTTAGACATTATTTAATGCATTTAAAGTACTTTAGTGCAAGAAAGAAGTCAATAAATTTAAAAAAGAGTTTAGGAGCAGGTAGGGTAGCAATAATAAAATCAGAAGCTGAGGCAGGATTCATATTAATTGATTCACAATCAGTATTCTAAAAGTAGCAAGCTATTGATGAACTCCTGTTGATATAAAATGATAATATAATCACAGATTTTTCAAATTACCCTACCAACTTTCATTTCCAAAAATTATAATTTTACAACTACTTTGTAATATTATAATGTGAAGAATTGATTAATTACATAATTACATATAAGAATGATAATTTACAGATAATATTTATTAAAATAAAGATTTATTCTCTTAAAATGAGTTGTTTTTTTAAGATTGATAATTTTCTAAACTATCTTTATAAATCTTTTCATTTTAAGATTTATTACAAATGTATATTCATACAAAGCACTTGTGGAAATTTATATTTTTAATACTTAATAAGACATCCTATCAAAAGTATGTTTTTTCTCACACTTTTTTGATTCCTTTTTAGAGCGATTTTAAATTATAGTCTTAATATTATTTAATCTATTAATTATAAATTTTCTAATTGTAAATCAATATTCATCTTCAATTATTAAGAAATCTATACTTTCGTACTCCATGTCTTATCTTTCTATTCCCTAAAAAGAATTCTTTACTTCGTTCAATAATCAAACAAGGTTGTTACAAGACATTAACGAAAAAATACGTACAAAATAAAATAAAATTGACTATACAATTGGAGGATGGTGAAGGCTTAAAGTGAATTTAGTAATTTAAATAATAATATAAGCAAACTGTATGATATTATGGCGGTCAATTTCAGAATAAAATAACTAATCGATTTCTCCTATAAGTATATTTTTTTTTATTTTTTGCTCTATAAATAAGTCATAATTAATAGAAAATTTTTTACATAAAATAGAAGAAAATNTACGCTTTTAGAATAAAAATTCAAGAAGTTTTAAAAATTAAAATTTAGACCAAGTAGAATAAAAGAACATCCATGAAAATTCAATAATAACAGAAAACTAAGAAACAAAAATTCATAAATACTTGAAAAATCAGATTCAATAAGTATTGAAAATGAAATTTAGTAGTAACTAGTGTTATTTTTAAATTCGTTTAAAAATTTGTTCGAAAAAGAAATAGTTTTAACCTTTTAAGTTAATGATGCAATTATAAATTATTTTTAAAATGGAGTATCTTTGTATAACTTGAAAATTTACTTTGAATAAATGCTTTAAGGCTTTCTAAGAGGATTTTAGACATTATTTAATGCATTTAAAGTACTTTAGTGCAAGAAAGAAGTCAATAAATTTAAAAAAGAGTTTAGGAGCAGGTAGGGTAGCAATAATAAAATCAGAAGCTGAGGCAGGATTCATATTAATTGATTCACAATCAGTATTCTAAAAGTAGCAAGCTATTGATGAACTCCTGTTGATATAAAATGATAATATAATCACAGATTTTTCAAATTACCCTACCAACTTTCATTTCCAAAAATTATAATTTTACAACTACTTTGTAATATTATAATGTGAAGAATTGATTAATTACATAATTACATATAAGAATGATAATTTACAGATAATATTTATTAAAATAAAGATTTATTCTCTTAAAATGAGTTGTTTTTTTAAGATTGATAATTTTCTAAACTATCTTTATAAATCTTTTCATTTTAAGATTTATTACAAATGTATATTCATACAAAGCACTTGTGGAAATTTATATTTTTAATACTTAATAAGACATCCTATCAAAAGTATGTTTTTTCTCACACTTTTTTGATTCCTTTTTAGAGCGATTTTAAATTATAGTCTTAATATTATTTAATCTATTAATTATAAATTTTCTAATTGTAAATCAATATTCATCTTCAATTATTAAGAAATCTATACTTTCGTACTCCATGTCTTATCTTTCTATTCCCTAAAAAGAATTCTTTACTTCGTTCAATAATCAAACAAGGTTGTTACAAGACATTAACGAAAAAATACGTACAAAATAAAATAAAATTGACTATACAATTGGAGGATGGTGAAGGCTTAAAGTGAATTTAGTAATTTAAATAATAATATAAGCAAACTGTATGATATTATGGCGGTCAATTTCAGAATAAAATAACTAATCGATTTCTCCTATAAGTATATTTTTTTTTATTTTTTGCTCTATAAATAAGTCATAATTAATAGAAAATTTTTTACATAAAATAGAAGAAAATATATTAAATTAATATATCTAGTTTCTATTATAATTAATTAGGTGATGAAAGGTTGTTACTTAATATGAAATAATTTGAATGGAAAAAATTATAAATGAAAATGAAAAATAATATACATAGGATTTATATTATATAAAGATAGTTTAATTGAAAAATTATATGTTATAATATAAAATATGTAAATGTAATTTAAAAGTAAAAGTATAAATTTTCTGAATATTTATCCTCATTTTTTGAATAAGATCTAGCTAAATTTATTCAAAAGAATTTTTTAAATCGCTTTTGAATAAATTGTTGTCGCTTTCAATTTTCAACAGCATCATTAACAAAATATCTATTTTTAAAAACAAGAATGTTTACTAAAAAATTGATTTCTGGCTTCTTACTTTTATTGAATTTGAAGTTGTCTTTACTTATATTTTCAAGAAATTTTTTGATTAGAAAATGCTTATTATTCGTTGATAAATGGTGGATTATTAAAAAAATATTAATTTATAAGCATTTGACGTCATCTCAGGTGACATAATTAAAAATAATGAAATAGGTGATTAGTGTATTGTTGATTATTGCCGTCGCTCATGCGAGATCATATACATTATACAAACAGTGTGATGCAACTTGGGGCAAGGATTAATTAGGCACAAGCTCAAATACCATTTGTTCAGCTGGTTGTTTAATTTCATCAGTTGCTATGATGTTACATACTTATGGTGTGACAACTGATGGAACAACAACTCCAAGAACAATGAATACTTGGTTGAAGAAGAATGGCGGATATGCTTCTGGGGACTTATTTGTTTGGGGTTCAATTGACAAACTTGGATTCCATTATCAAGGAAAATTCACAGCTGCATAAGCTAAAAGTATTTAATAATATAATAAAAAGGCAAATTTGATGCTGGATAACACGTTATCTTGTGTGTCAACAGTGGTGGACATTATGTTTTGATGACATCATATTCCGGTGACACCTTCAACGTTAATGATCCAGGATATTCCAAGACTAGCTATCCAGCAAGCGGTGTTACAAATGCAGCTACCTATACTCATAGCAAAATCACCTATTTCAAGAATCATGTTTTAAATTTGGAATGATTCTATTAAAATAAAAGTGATAAAGATATAAATATTTTGATATTATGTAATATTGATCAACCCAGGTATAGCATTATTAATTTCATATAATTCTTGGCTATTTCTCCATTACCACCACATCTAATACCAACTCGTAAAAATTCATTGGTTTAATCTAATGATGAAATGATAACCATAATTGGTAGATTTAAAATGTTATTTTGCTCTGGTGGTTTTATCATCAATTATCCACATGCCCAAATCATTTGTAAATTTTCAAGTGAGGGGAATGGTTAACTATGTTATAAAACATTGATTACGCTTTCAAATTTAATCCAACAGAAAGGAGTCCTCCAGCTTTTTTGAGTACTTCAGACATTGGGATATTAGATGGAGCAGTATTTCTGATAAAAGAATCTAATTTAAAATAGTTTTAATTGCTTAAATTATTGCTAATGATTAGAAGAAATAAATACGTAAAATCGTCAAAGAATTTAGTGAATTTATCATATGGCATGTCAACTGGTTGAACAAACTTATTTGTATAAATTGGTAGATGGAATTCATGTTTCTTTTATTATCCATTTTATTCGTAGAAAATAGATGCTATAGGCAAAGTCATATTTCCATCACAACTTAAAACTTGCATCATGACTTATGGAAAATCTCCTTATTTTACAGGTAAAATGTTGAATAGCATACCATTGGTCTAAGATACAAGAATAGATAAGTTTTAAATTGGAGAGGTTCCTTCAAATTAGAAAGAGACCTAAATTTAAATTGTGTTATATAGTACCTTTCCCAAGTGACCACTTATCTCAGATTTATATTAAACAACAAGATCTCCTGGTTTATCGACTATTTTTCCAATTTATGAAGTTAGTAACACCTTGATTTCATTGACATTGCTTATTGTAGGAGATTTTAAATTATTATCCTCTGGAGATGGAGGAACCATAATATTAACTCCTTCGAGTGCAATTTAACCTTAAAATTGATTTAGATATGGACAAGCTTTCAACCAACTCAGATGCTTTTAAAGTTATTCTGGTTTGCTTTACAGTCTCTATTCTGCCATAGCAATCTCTTGACTAGCTTAGATTCTTGCCTAATTTAATAGTGTTGGATCCTTTTATTCCTTTGGGTTTAACACCATAACATAAATTCTCTTAGTTAGAGGGTTATTTTATTATACTAATTCTGAATAAGGAGGCATTTTAACAACTATTTGATTTAAGAGTTTATCGTCTTCCATTAATAATGAGAAGTACTCAATCCCTCTTTATTAAATATCTGGATCAAAATGTTCCCCAGCTATTTGACATATCATAATTGCTTGATCTCTTAATTCTGGATATTTGCATGCCAATTTAACAAAAGCATTTAATAACATTTGCCTGCTTCTTTCTGTGCTAAATGTGTAATGCTTGTTAAGAATGTCAAATAATTTCTATGGTTCTTTATTCTATTCCACAAGCATTTAAGAGTATTCACTGATTATAAATGCTCCAATACAAATCAAAGTTTCATGAACATGAGGCATGGATAATTATGAAAATAATTTGGTGGCTGCATATTTTTAAAGTTCTTGGTTTCCTTCCTTTTAGAATCCTACAATAATTTGGATGATTCTAAACCAAATATCTTCTGTGACAAAATCTCCTGATGAATTTATCATTCTTACGACAACGTCTATATACCAATATAAATTGTCTGCAAATTTCTCAGATAATATAGCTATTTTTAAAACTAAATCATCTTTAATCTGCAAATCTGCCCCATTTTCAGCATAACTTAACAATTCTTCAACTATTCTTTAACTAGTATTTGGACTACTGATTAAATATAATAAATCTAAAGCTCTTTTTCTGATAGAGATATCATTGTCTCTTAAAGATTTAAAAATAGTATTTAAATGATCTTCTAGGGAATCTCCTGCGAGTTTAACAAATTTACACATTGTTTCTAATCCTAAATATCTTAGATTGGGTTCTTTAACTGATATGAAAATTCCAAGCAATTTCAAAATATCGTTTTTCAACTCCATTCCAACTGCGCCATTATATGTTATAACAAGATTAGCAGCTTCGAATAGAATGCCATGATCAACATTATTTTTATTAATGCTTTTAGTAACTTCAGTTTTTTTAATTATTTTAGTCAGACATTCTGTCAACTATCGATGAGAATCGGTGGATGGAGGTGGTGGTGAGAAGAATGAAAGCGCCTTCAAAATCTTGACTTAGAGCCATGGTGCAGGAGTGGCATAATAATTATAATCTCCAGGGCTGTCTTTTTGAATTGCAATCTTGTGAAGTAATTTAATTAATTTAGGTGTGCAATCTTCAAAGATTGATGGATTGTTTAACTAACATGTTCCGACTAATAATGAAGTAGCTGCAGTCATAAATCCTAATGAAGGGTGTCTAACAATAAATTTGATAAAAATACCTAGATTCGAACATTTGTGAAATTCCTTAAGCCCATTATGATGGCTGGAATTTGTCTTGATATTTCCTATACATTCTAAGTAAGCAAGCACATGCCTTCTTTCTAACGTGGAAAGTTGATCTAGATTCTGTCAATGCCAATTTCTAGACATCCTAATGCAATGCATTGACCAACTCTTATGGTGCTTGTGTTCCAACCATAGTTAGGGCCAATGATTGATTAATTTCATTTACAGATTATAGATCATTTCTAATTGAGGATGCTACTTAAGTAAACAAGTCATGTGTTTTTTCACTCACCAGAATTGAGGTGGCTACGTATCCTGTGTATTTCTCACTAAATTTTGAAGAATTAATTAAGAAGGCGCATTCTTATTATCCAAAGTCAACTTCATAACCTAATTAGAAGATATTTATTTTGTTACCTAAAATATAGATATACAGCAATTTCCAAACGTACTTCTTTTTCTAATAGCCAGCCAATCCTTTTTGAGAAGTAAATTTGCCTCTGATTTTTTACAATTCCTTTTCCACTCTTTTCTCCTCCTATTCCTTATTTGAGCAGTGACGGATGTCTGTGATGAATGTATTCAATCCTCTCATATTAGTACTCATGTTTTTAATAATTTATTTACTAAATTTCTTTATATATACTTTTCAAATTTTAAATATGCAAATTGGCATCGTCATAATAAAGATAATATTATTATACTCATTCTCCTTTATATTATGGCTTTCTCTTCTCTCCAAATGCTTTCAACCCTTCTAATCTATCCTAACTATGGCAAACTTGATAGTATAATTATTCCTCAATTTTTAATCCACTCTCAATATCTACTTCCATTCCTCTATTTATAGCTGCCTTAGCTGCTCTCACTCCTATTGGACCCTTCATTATTACTAAAAAATACATTCTACAATATCTAAGATGCAATAGCTTCAGCTCTATTGTTTGCTTATTGTCCGTCTTCCTCTACATAATTAACTAATCCTATTTATAATGATTCTTCAGCACTTAATCTCCTTCCTGTGAAAATTAATTCCTTTGCCAAAGCCACTCCGATAACTCTTGGGGTTCTTTAGGTTCCACCCTTTTACATAATATGATAATTTACCGCTCCAGGTATTATTGCTAAACCTGTTTCAGGTAATCCCAATATTGATGATTTTGTTACAATTCTTAAATCACAAGCTAATGCTAATTCTAAGCCTCCTCCAAGCGCAAATCCATCTATGACTCCAATTACTGGCTGGGGCAAATTAGCAACTTAATTAAATGTCTCTCTCAAATTCTTCACCACCAATTCTGTCTCAAAATTACTTAATCCTATTCTCTCTTTTAAATCTGCACCTGCACAAAAAGTACCTGCTGTTGATGACCTTAATATGACGCAATTTATATTTTTTGATGCTGCAAGCTCGCTTATCGACTGTCTCATCTCAACTAACAATTATTTTGATAAGGCATTCTTTTTTTATGGATTATTTAATTCAGCTATAGCAAGTCCCTTAATTTTTTCATGATTTCTGACTGAAAAGAGTCCTGTTGAAAATTTATAGATTAATTTCTACATATATTTATGATAAAGATATTTTTATTATTATAATTGTTATTACCATTATTAAATTTCTTTAAAGGTGATTGATGTTGGGTTTGAATTCCTATCTTACTAATAAAAGAATATTATTTAATTAATATTTTATTATTTAGCAAACTTATTTGTAATGTATACTAAATAGTTTTCATTTTTTTTTTTAAAATATCATATAATTCATTAAGGGATTGATTTTTAATGTTAATTTTTGAGTCTTGGCTATTTAAATAATTAGTTGGAACATAAAATATTTATTTATGAATAATTATTCCAGAGATCCACCTAGCAAAATTTTGCTTCTTGTTATAACACAATTATCTCCCACCTTTCCACTATGTAATGAATTACTATTTGAACAATTCTCTAAATATGGTGATATCAAAAAAATTCTCATTTTCGAAAGAGGAAAGGCAAACAAAGCTTTTGTTGAATATTATGATGTGAAACATGCAATAGAAGCAAGGAAGGACAAGCTTGGCAAATATTTAGCTGAAGGAGAAGGAAAGTAGAAATATTTAAATTATGCATAGACTAACCATCCACTTCTCTCGTCTTAAGAATCTTGATCTAGAAGTTGTGGACAAATCTCGAGGAACAGATTACACCTAAGCAAGCAGCACAAATTCAGATCTTATGAAGCATTCGAACACTGATGATCCAAACATACTTAGATAATAGATAGATTAATTTACTCGCACTTTCACATAAACTTCTTAACGAAATCTCAATTCTGCCAGGAATGATGAAATCAATAATTTATTGAATTCAGATTCTGATGATGACATAGATATCTGGAAATAACAAAACTAATAAGGACCGTAAATTTCTTAAGATGTTAAAAATATGATCACTCAAAAACCATCCAAAATTATTTAAGTAACAACTATCGATGATAGAGTTACTGCCAAAATGCTTTATAATATTTTTAACAAATTTGGAAATATCGAAGAACTCCTTTTAGAAAAGTAAATGCAAAGACTCTTTGTTAGATACTCAACTATAGAATTTGCTTAAATTGCCAAAGAATATTTAAATAATATTTAATTTTTTGATCAATAAGTAATCAATTATATTCACCTTTTTTAGTGGCGAATTTCATATCACCCTTTACAACAGTTACAGCCAACTACCATTACCGACGAATATATGACATATTATAATCCTAATGGGCCCAAAATGATTGTTCCTTTATCTAAAACTATCATTCTTAGTGGTGTTACAGAAGCAATGGAAATATCAGAGATGATGAGACTTGTAGCTAAAGTCACTGGTAACAAATGCTTAATAATATTAGAAATTAAAATTGTAGCTGCTGATAGTTTAGAAATAACTATGATTAACATTTCTGAAACCTTAAAAATCATAGCTGTATTTTCTGACTATGAATACAAAAATTAAAAATTGATTATTTCTATAAAATGAATCTATATTAAAGCATATTATTAATTATCAATGAATTTATCTTTTTTTTAGAATGTGCTAGGACTGAAATTTTACATTTTAATCCAGTTTGCAACTATGTCTTAACAACCTAGTCCAATAAAAATTTTTTAAATTAAACTTCATTAGAAATATCAATAAAGCTATTTAGTCTACTTCACAAATTTGTATTTTCTTAGTCTAATTGATTAAATATTAAATTATATAAAAATTAATATCAAATATTAGTTACATTTTGTTTGTTAAATTACTCTTTCCTTAATTATGTGTTTACAATTTTTTTTAAAAGGTACTATTCCTTTAGGTCCTATAATTACTAAATTTCATTTGCTCTTTTGAGTATTGAGATATTGAATTTGGTTTTATAATGAGACTTTTCAATTTAGTTTTATATATTTGATAACTATATGGTGTTAGGAGATTCTTATATATAATTCAATTAACTCGACGGTATTTTAGATGATTCATAAAATTGATATCTTTGAGGTTTTTATCTTTCAGTTTAGATTGTATTAAAATTTGTTTGATAATTAGGGTTAGAAGCAGACATGGATCTTACGTCCTGAGAAAGACTAATAATATGATAAGGTAATTGAGGTCTTTAATTTTTTTATTAGTTATTTTCTATCTCATGCTTATTTCGATAACAGTAATCATCCTAATCTGGTCCTATCAGACTTTGTATTAGATCACTATCAGGAGCAACACCATCTAAGGTTTCCCACGTAATAAATGAGGATTACTTTGGCTGAGTTGATTCTGTTTGGATATTTAGGCTATATGCTTATTTTATTGAAGGTTTGCAGTAATCAATGTGTTTTATTACCTTTCTTTTTTCAAGTTGCTTTATTAATTGAATGTTTTGAGGATATTTTTCATACAATTCAGTCCCATTTTGAAATTTTAGTTCGAATTGCAACTTTTTTTTTAATTTTTTCTCCTTTTCTTCATTTTTTTGTTTTTCTTATTTTAATTTTCGTTGCCTTAATATTTCTTTAATGAGAGTGTTATCTTTGATATCTGGATGGTATAATTTGAATTAATAATGTAGTTGATCTTTAGTAAATCTTTGTTTATCATCCTTCATCTAAAATGGTTTCCCTAGCGATTTCATTTTCTTTTAATTTTTTAACCAAACATCAAAGCCGAGTTCTTAATAAAATTAACATAAATCAATCCCTCTATAGAATGCTAGCAAACTAAACACTTATTCGAACTATTCTAAAGTTATGTTTGATCCCTGAGTTGCACATTTTTTAAAAAGATCTTAGAGTTCTTATTTATTTAGGAATTTTATGTTGAAATCTCTGCAAAAATGAAAGAATTTAGCTAAATTTAATTAGTTACTTTCTTGGGCCTATCTATCGAATGTTGCATTTACGCCTATAGAGTATGATTATTTAGTGTAGAAGTTGAAAATTTATTGGATTACAGTGTTATTAGAAGGATAGGAATAACTATTTCTTCTGGTATCCTATTCTTGAGTGGCAGTTGGAATATATCTAAATAAGGAATTCAGTTCGGATTATTTATTTTTGTTTTTCATTTAAAATATATAGTGAATAAATGTAAAATGATAGTATAAAATGAAAATATAGAAGGAATGAGGGAAATAAGGAATACTTTAAAGATTAAAATTAAGTGAAGGATTTGATTTTGATGAGAATAAAAATAATTTATTAATAAAAATGAGATAAAAATCTCAAACTGTTCATGAAGGAGGATTGAAAAAATTATAAACAGTAGATTATGAAAAATGCATATATAATTGTTTATTGATCAAACAAAAATTTATAGGAAGAGGTCCACGGTATATTTATTTGTTTAAGAATCAAATTTGTATAGGAAAGGTAAATACTTAATTTTTGATTTTGAGTCTCCTTTTGTGTAGATCCCTGAGCGTTAATTCCAAATCAATTAGGATATGAGAATATAGTGGTCTTACAAGAAAAACCAATTAAAATCAGTAATATTTTAAGTAGGTGGAGAGCAATTTGAATATTTTGGTACCAATGAATAACTTAGAGAACTAAAACAAAAAATTGCTCTTTATGTATTTTAGGTCAAAATATAAGATGAGTATCAAGCTGAGTCAATTTTAGGGAAAGGGTCATACGCAACTGTTTTGGAATTATCGAGTTTATAATGTTAAAAACAATATGCAGCCAAATGCATAGATTAATAACGTATCAATGACAAAAAAAATGGATACAAGCAATTACTTTAGGAAATAGAGACTATGCGTATTCTATCGGAAATCAAGCACTAAAATATTCTATAATTGCATGAACTTTATATAGGGAATCAAAATTACTATTTGGTAATGGAGTTGGCCAAAGGAGGATCCCTGCTATCATTGATGAAAAAGCGTTAAACACTGTTCAGTAGATCTGATATAAGAATAATAATGAAATAATTACTAGAGGGTTTAGCGTTTATTCACAGTCACAACATAATGCATAGAGACCTGAAGCCAGAAAATATTTTATTCATGAATAAAGATTTGGAATCCTTGGTCATAGCTGACTTCGGATTAGCATAATCAGTAGATTCCCATCCATACACATATCCCAAATGTGGTACTCCAGGATTTGTGGCTCCAGAAATTTTAGAATAGGATTCAGATTAAGCTAAATACTCAGTTCTATGTGATATTTTTAGCGCTGGTGTAATCTTATATATTCTGTAAATATTTGATTGATATTCTAGATTGATAGGGGAACCTCTATTTGAAAAGAAGGACAGGAAAGAATAGTTGGAATTGAATAGAAAATGCGATATCAATTTCAGTAAGTTTAGTCATGATTAATTGAATGATATTGAGAAAGATCTTTTAGTTAAGATGCTTTCAAAGAATCCTGAGTTTAGATGGTCGGCAAATAGTTTATTAAAACATAAATTTTTTGTTTCTGATGATTAGATAGAGAGTGAGATAGATTTCTATAAACTCAATAATATGGCCATGTATGATAAGCATAAGATATTAGTCTGAAGAAATCCATGATGCCAACATTTCTTAAAAATCCATTTATGTAGAACAATTGCAAGAATCAACTTACAACAAGAGATAAATCGATATCACTAATAAATAGGTAAAGAAATTGCACTTTAGTAATGCAAACTAATTTGAGATTTGATAAATCTTCATAAGAATAATTGAATATTGATTAGGTAGTTGGCATTGGCTCTTTTGGATTGTTTAAAGATGAGATTAATTAAAAGAACTTTTGAATAATAATACATTAATCAAATTTATTTTTTACTCACTTTCTAAAATGGATTTAATCTACAACTTTTTTATGAAGTACCTCTTTAACTGATGCTGTTTTTTTCTTAGACTTTATGAATAATGTTAGCTTTTTATAAGCTCTTTGATTTCTAACATCTAAGGGCTCTTTCACTTGTAGGTTGAGTTCTTTATGATTCTAATGTACTTGAAGCTAAATCTATATTTCTAGAAGACGTTTATTAAGAACTCTCTATTTTTTGAACTTCTTCATTGGCTTACTTCTCTTTCTTTTTCTTTTTTGTATGTTCATCTATATCTAAAATAAAGAATTTAGACTTCTTGTTTCTAATAGTCTTCTCAAGAATATGATCTTATTCATATGATGGTTTTTCTATAAGGATTGATTACTCAACAACTCTCTAATCATCATTTTAATTTGTAGGTTGAACTTTCAACATTTCTTATAATCTCTTTTCTTACAATTTCTGTAAATCATCTTAAGATACTTTAATCTACTCTTCATATTTTCTTATTCTAATTGATACATGATTTCCAAGCAAACAAGACTTACGAAATTCAGCTAATAATTTATTTTCTGATCGATGCACCTTCATTCTTTTCTTCATTTTTTATCCTCTTTAAGTTAAATAATCTAAATCTTGAATCTTCTTAAACCATCGTTTCCTTACATTTCTAAATTTATCTATTAGATCCATAAGTTCCACCAATTAATACAGGATTTTAACACCTGCCTTTTTAGACAACAATTAAAATTTATTATATTTTCTCTCCTCAGCTATGATACTCCATTTCATAAATTACTAACAATCCAGTATAAATGTTTCAACCAAATTAAAGTATTTAATCAAATTTTCTGATTGCTTTTAAATTGCTAGAATACAGATTATGTATAAATGACAACGCATTTAACAATATTCTTTATAAGGAAAAAACAAATATTTTTCATAAATCCCAATAGCAAATTCAAATTGTATTTTTGCTTTATCCAATTATCCATTTTCTAAAAATATTTCACCTATCTTCTCAATATTATGACCATAACATTCATCCTTTTATATTTAAGCATATTATTTATGAATTTCTTAATATCGTTATGAGGCCAATTGATAATCATTATTCTTCAAAAAACCGTTCGAATGCAACAACTTCGTACCTGTCTACTAGTTTAATGAATTATCCATATATAAAATTGAAGATACGAAGTAAACTTATTAAAAAAATGGTTTCATTTTATCATAAATGCTTCTAACTTTCGTTTAATAATAAAATTCTTATGATTACATTCGATCACTATGCAATTGATAATCCTTAATATGAGTCATAATCAATTTTCTTTACTATTAAACAAAGTACATTCTGTTAAAAGTTTATGTCCTTGAAACTGTGTACGCTTTGCTAGCTCTTGAGTAAAATCTTAGAGCACTAAAATAAGAATTGCAATTTTAAAACACTCCTGCAAGCAAAAATTCTAATTATGCAAAATTTTTATTATGCAAACATTATAATTTATTATCTCGGTATAATTAATTTATTTTTCTAGCGTAAAGCCAACCTAATTTCAATACTTATGAGGATTCTTCATTTTCAATGTATATCTTAAATATCATTAACACTATTTCTATTACTTCATTTGAAAATTCATCATGTATTAGTTTTCTGTATTCAATGGCTTTTTAAAGAGCTTTTAATGCGTTTTCTGGATCATTTAATTAACAAAATACAACACCTAAGTTATAGGCCAATTTAGAAAGGTTGTATGTAGCCATATTATGAAAATTAATCAAGACCTTTTTAGGATTGTCAGGTTCATCCTTTTGTTTTGTTTCTTTCATTGATTTTTTGTTTAAATTGTCTTCTTACTATTTTTCTTTAATTTCTATCCATTTTTCCATAGGGAAAAAATTATCGTATATGGTTTTACTCATCTAAAATGTTATCATGGCCGATTAAATTTAGATGGTCTCTTGACAAATGATACCATAAATATACAATGAATAACCAAAAAGTAAGGTAGAAAGTAAGTTCCGTTTCATTTGGACATCAATAATAGAGAATATCATAGAATTAGCCTCATTCAATCTTGAATTAGCCAAACAATGTTCTACATTAGCTAGTTGAATTATCACATGTTTTCTCATCTCAATCAATCCAGTTTATGAATGTATGGCCTTCTTTATCTTACGTCGCATTTGAAATTTCTTTTATGACTATTATTAACTTAATTGCAGGAGTCGAAGCAATACTACTTAAGGTTTTCTGTAAGAATATTAAAGCAACTAAATTAGAACTAAAAAGTGTGATGTTAACATTGTTTTATCATCGTACTTTTACACTAATTAAATAGCTGTTTCAAGATCTTTTTAAAATTGTTTTTTCCTCACACTTTCATCTAGAATTTCTTAAGATTTAGCCTAAGCCAAATATATTAAAGCTTAGACTTTATCTATGGAATATTTTTCTTCTTTTTTCAAAAAATTGTCGCAATTCTTTAAGAAATATCGATTCATTAATAGCGATGAATAATTCATCTCATTTTTTAGCTATTCTCGAATTTTTGCATCTTCATTTTCTTTGTTATCCATATGTTTCATAGTCAAATTTTCAATATCTAATTCCAAATCAAAATGCTTCAATACATTATCCTAATCTTCTTCTTCACTATTTGAAGATAAATCAATAACATCCTAGTATTCATTATTATTTTTATATTTCAATATATGTTCATCCTTCTTTTTTTATTTCTACAATTACTCCAAACTCAAAATAAGACTTTCCATTTAAGTTATATTGCTTTTCAAATCCTCCAAAGCTCTAATATTGAAATCAAAAATTACTATTCAATATTAAAATCATTTCCTAAAAGCGATCTATTTAGGCCCATTTTAATGAAATCTAGGATGACTCTATCCTCAACCTCATCAAAAATTGAATCAGCATATAATAGATAATCTTTATATTTAACATCTGTTTCTGTCTATGGTTTCTTCTTTCTTAATTTACTTATAGTTCTTTAGTTTTATCCTCTAGGATTCTTAAATAATATTATGATATCGCAAATTGCAAAGTAATCCTTGAGATAACATTTTCTAAAGGATAGCATTTTTGATTCACTAATGCAATTAACTGATGACTCAACATCGGCTTAAAATGGGATAAGTGAACTTATTCTTTGAAATGACTGCAATTTAAATACTTTTAATCTTCTGAAATAGTATATATTGCTAAGAGTAAAGTTCAATCTATAAAGATATTTTGCATAACAGGAATATAAAATTTTAATAAGACACACTCCCAATTTTAAAAGACATATATCAGATAATTGCAGTTACTCAAAATCCAAATGAGTGTGCAAATCTTTTAAAGAGTAATTCATCCCTTAATAGAATAACAGGATCTTATAATATTGAGGACAATCTAAATGAGGAAGATCATGGAATAGAAAATAGACTTCTTCAATAAAGACGAGATATTCTCTTAAATGAGGGAAGTAGGTTTGGAGCATTAAGTGAAATATGATGTTCAGAAACCTAGGATTAGTTTCAATGTCAAAAACTTAAATGACCTCCATCAATTCATTTACCAAATCATAATTTACCTCTGTTTTAGATTTATGTGGTATATTAGATGATTTTATTAGGACTGATGCTAAGTCTGCAATCATAGCCCATCTTCTATTAACCACTCTCTTTTCTTATGATGAAGTGGACTTTTAATGACTCTTGAGCACTTGTCTTTACACTAATAATAATTATTGGAAAAAGTGCTGCTTTTTAAAATCACTTTCATCAATGTTGAAATATTTGTCATTTGAAAAAAAGCAATCATATCTTGCATGTCTGGCTGCTTCTGAATAAGTAAAGGGGTATATTTGTAGATGTTAATGATTGTCATTCACTTAAATTCCCTTCAAATCCACCATGATTTCGAAATCCAAAAATGATGCTGATATTTAGATTTTGTAAAACTAGGATGTGTCCAATTTTATCAATTCTACGATAAATTATTTTATCTTCACATTATACTCAACTTTTAATAAATAATTTCTCTCATCTACCTTCTCAAATTCTCGTTTATGATGACTTGAGCTCTTTACATGATGTTCTGTATTTACATTATACTATTTCTTGGAATCATCACTGTGTATAAGTTCTTAATCAGAATTTAAAGTCGTCCTTATCCGTTCTTATTGTCCTTCTTCTATTTGAATTTACTGCTATTCAAAAACCGTTTATTCTATAATATTTTATATAATGGCATCATGTTAATTATGATTACTTAAACAACAACCCATATTTTTAAAAGAAGTAAGATCAATTTAAAAACAGTCTTATTAATTAATATATTGAAAATTTATCTTCTTATCAAATGACTGCAATTTTATAGATGTCTTTACTAAATGCATAAAATAGCAAAAGACTTAGCAAAAATCAATAATCTAAAAAATATCTATTATTATTATATATTATTTGTTTAACGGTCACTTTGTATGTTGAAAAGATAAAAGCACAAGCTTATTAATAATGAGAATGAGAACCCGTCTGAAAATTATGAATGCAAATTTAATGAATCCCCATAAAGGCTTCATTAAGAAAGAAGAGCACAATAATGCTTAGAATAAATCAGTTCTTAATTCCTCCTATCTAACACCTTTGATGTATATGCTGGTTGGAATGAAAAAGAAGAGAAGCCTTATAAAAACTATTATAGACCAGTTTAGTCTTAAAAATCTACTTTGGACTCATCCTTCAGAGTGAGGAGTCAAATAAGAACTGCCACTCCTAATCAACGAAGATCAAAACGAACTCAATCTCACATGAAAGAAACTAAAATTTTATTAGACATCTGTCCAAAGTAGTGTTTTAATTATCCATTACCTGCCTTCAAAACTAAATAATTCTCATAAAAAGAATAAATTAAATATTTTCAAGGATTTTATGAAAGAGATAATAAATCATATGATTGGATGAATAATCTGCTTTAAGTTAGAAAAATTAAAATGTGATATATATATTTAAATACGCTCCCTTCATCATTGATATAATTATTATAATTCTAAAGAAATGAGATCCTAAGTGATACCATAAATAATTGTAAAAATTTAATCATAATAATTAAAATTTTTCCAAGAGAAATCTTAGATCATCTATCGACAATGGCTTTTCTAAATGCAAATCTGCACCAATAGTTTTTGTTAAGTTATGGTCAAAATCATCTTTCCCACCTGATAATATGCAAATTATTGGTCGTTTTAATTTATGTGATTGTTTTTCATCACACTTTCGAATAAGCTCGATTGCTTCGATGCCATTCATTATTGGCATTTAGATATCCATGAAAATTAAGTCAAACTATTGTTTCTATGCTTTCTCAACAGCCTCTTTTCCATTTAAAGCTTAATCAATAATGGATTTTGGCAATCTTTTCTTAAGTAATAATTTAAGCGCATGCAAATTAAATGCTGAATCATCCACAATTAATATATGTAATGACATTATTACATCTTTTGATAAATCTATTAAAGTCTTAGCTTTTTATGTTGATCTTTGTTATTAAACTATTGAAAAGCTAGGCATTTATTTAATAGGTGAAGGATCATTTTCTGAAGATATAAATTCATAGTTGCACTTCTAAGGCTAAATTTACTTCTCTTACATGTTCTTATAGATAGTAAATGTAAAGGAAGACCCTTCATTTTCCTTAGAAATCAATTCGATTTATGGTTTTGGTCCTAATAATCCAACAAGATTCTTTGAGATTACTAAACCTAATCCAATACCTTGGCGATTGAAATTTCCTAAATTAAAGGTAGAATAAGGTTTGAATAATTTATTTTAGATTTGTGTTGGTATGCCTATGCCTGTATCTTATACAGAAAATTATATCAATTGTGTATCTTATACTTTTACGATTTAAATTATGATAGATATCTTCCCAGAAAAAGTAAATTTAATAGCATTTGAGATTAAATTAAACAGTATTTATTATAATCTGGTTTGATCAGAAAATAAAATAATTTTTTCATTAAGCTCTGTAATGATTAATTATAGGTTTTTTATTTCTATTTGAGTCTTAAACATTTATTTAATCTATTGAATGCACAAAGATAGATCAAAATGAGTTAAATTTAATCTTAATCCTTGTGCTTTCATTTATGAATAATCAATAAGATCATTGATCATATTTGATTAAATATATTGGTTGGCTAGCATGTCATCTAAATACTTTATGATTTCTTAACTTAGCCAAATAAATGAGTACCTAAAATTTCTGATTACTAAATGTTCTCTTTACTTTCTAAACTATTTTTGATCACATTAGTTATTATTGTTTGTACATTCAAGGGAGTTTTAAGATCATGAGAAACCGAAGCTAGTAGATTATCTTTATAATTGTCTAATTCCTTTAAATTTTGCAATCTTAATTCCCTATCTGTTGTGTTATTCAATATCAGCATCATACATAACTTCCCTTCCCATAAACAACCTTATACTATAGTATCATAGAATTATACTTTGTCTTGAATTCTAGTTAACTAGTAATTTATGTTAAATATTTTACCCTTTAACATTACATATCATGATGTTAGGATATAATTTAATAATCAAATGGGTAATATGCGTTTAGTTTAATCTCTTTTTAAATTGTTGATTATAATTCTATTATCTTATCCATAAGCTTCTTTTTTTCTTTATCCAAATTTAAATTGTCCATAGTAACCATCTCTAGCTCTTATAATCTCTCTATTAATTTGTCCTCATTTTCAGTTTCAAATTGAATAGAAGCACTTTTGTTATAGTAAATTACATTCATTGATCTATTTTCTGGGGTTTATAAATCATCTTTTAAGCTAAAAGGAGAATTCAATAAATCATTTCTTTTACTTGATTATTTTTAAATTAATTCTAAAATTATAATTGATGTGGGAATAGTGTCATCAAATAATTTTTTACATTCCTCTAAATTTGTTTACTTTTTGTGAATCAACAGATAATTCAATCTGCTTGACTTCTCATTTTGTCTTAATAAAAGACAGGTAAAAAATAAAAGTATGTATTGAGACCATAATCGATTATTTTAAAATTATTCGAATATTCCTATCAGAATAAGAAAGTAGCTAGTGATGGTTAGGCTTTACATCAAATAATTAGACTATATTAAACTCAAACTGATTGCAAAAAATACTTATTACATACCAGAAACAAATGAATAACTTATTACATCTTCAATCTTATCTTCAGTCTTGATAACAAATTTCATAAAATAAAAATAAAGCAATATGTTAAACACACTGTCGACGAGAATTGATACATTAATTAATGCATTCTAATATCTCTAAGAAATCTTTTGCATCACCAAAGAGACCAACATCCAAACAATATATAGGGATCTATATAACACTAAATCAAGTGATTGGTGAATCAAGTATGTATCAAATATGTAAATGACATTTATAATGATTTGCAGCATTATAGATACCCTAAATTATATTACTACCTTAGTCATTTATCGATTTTAATAACATTATTCCAATTCTGATGAAATAAATTTAAGGGTCAGACTATTTATGAAACACTCATTTTTATATAGTTCTTAGATTTAATTCTACTGGAAGAATTCTTTAATGAAGGTTTTAACAGCTTTCATTTGCCAATAATATTTAATATACAAATTAAGGATTTGTAAAATTTGGATTTACAATTTATTTAATTTATGCGATTGGAATTACATGAGAAATGTCTATTCTTTCTAAATATAATATTTCGACAATAATTTTTTCAAAAATGTTATCTTTGAATAGTAATTAAGATATCTAAAAATTCAAATTTTAGAAAGGCATAATTCTTAAAAACAAAATTTATCAAATTAAGGGAGATATCAAAAAAATAACTATATAATTCAAAAAGAGTTAAATTTGATCTAAAAATATCATAATCCAAGAATTGTGCTTAAGAAATATTATTAATTAAAATATTTAAAAAACTACTTAATTAATATAAATGTATAATTTGTGAACTAACAGAAGTAATTAGATTTTATGGTATGTTTAGAAAAACAAATTAGAAGAATTAAAAGTTATGATTTTTGATGAAATACCCTATGATGATTCAAATCAGAATGAAATCTACAATGAGAACACTAATCATGAAATTCTACTTTAATAATTGAAAAATTTAGCTACTGCATAAGAAGCTAAGATTTATAGCACTTTTAATTAAGATTGGAAGGGTATTATTATGTTGTGATTTTGTGTAGCCCAATTGGACCCATAAGTGAGATAATGGATGACTTAAGTGAGATAACACTATTTCGAAACTTAAAAAAAGTCTCAAAAAGTGATTTCAAATATTTAACTCGAATCTTACTCATCAGATCATCAAACTGCTGATATATCATTAGATGACTACTTCTAATTATGAAGTATGAAAATACTGTATTCTTTTGTGATTCAATATATTCATGTAATTAAATTTTTTTATGGTTAATACACTCATCCTACTTCAAAAAAATAAATTCTAGATTAATATTGAATATATAAAAATAAGGAGCATTATCAAAATCTGATATTAATAATATAAAAAATAACTGATGGATTGGAGAAACAAATTAGAGTTGATTCAAAACAAAATAAGAGGCTAATTACATGCTCGTAAAATAGATGACTTGGAAGGAGTGTACCAATTAATGGCAGAATTTGATAAAGACAATTCTGGTATGATTATTTCTAATATAGGTTATTTGGATAAAGATGAATTCTAAAAGTTTCTATCCAAAATAGGTGTCTTCCTTACAACTCAAGAATTAAGAGCAGTCTATGACAAATATGATTCAAATAAAGATGGCAATATAGCTTATGCTGAATTTGTGAATCTTATTAGGGAAAATATGAGTGAAAGAAGAATCAATGTTGTCAGAAGCACTTTTGCATTTCTAGATCAACAAAGACAAGGAAGACTCCTAATAGAAAATTTGTATAGACTCTACCAATCAAAAAATCATCCAAGAGTAAGAACTAGATAAAAGACTGCAGATCAAGTTACTAAAGAGTTCGTCAATGCCATCTCAAAAAGAAGCAAAGATGGTCAAAGTATAAGTGAAGATGAATTCCTCAATTATTATGCTGATTGCAATGCAACTCTCCCTAGTGAAAAAGAAGAATATTTTACAGATGTACTCTTGATTATAGTATATTTAGTTGTTAACATCCACTTGGGGAGTCACCTCAGGAGCAGATTATGTTTCTCCAGAAAGACTGGCTTAATTAGAGATTATATTGTTTGAAAAAATAAGATAGAAAACGGTTACAAAGGATGATGAAGGCAAGACAGCTAAAAAGGCCTTTATGTACTTTGATTTGGAAAATAAAGGGACTATTGATATCTATCAATTTGCATAGGCTCTTTAAAAGTTTGGCTGTGTTTTCAGTGATAAAGAGATTCAAGCATTGTTTAATAAATATGATGCTGACAAAAGTGGAAGATTATGCTATGATGAAATCTGTGGATTGATTGCTTTAATGGGATCTGGAAATAATGCAAATGTTAATCCAGTGTTTCAAATTGCAAGAGCTCCACCTTCAGAAACTCTAAATAGAATTAGAGCAGATTTAATTAAGAAAGGATAACATTCTGTAATCAGAATGGCTGCAATTTTTGCTAATTCAGACAAAAATAAGAATGGAACATTAAATAGACAAGAATTCCAATGGGCTATGAAGGAGTCTGGGTTTTTACTTACTAAAACAGAATATGACAATCTCTTTAGATATTTCGATAAGAATTGTGATGATGAAGTCTCATTTGTTGAGTTCATTAGTTTCTTAAGAAGTATTCTATCAATTATAATTATCATAGAACCATTGACTTAATTTAGAGCAGATCTGGTAAATTAATTATGGAATAGAATATCAAATGGACAACCATCAGTTGCAATTCAGTAGCTTAAATGTAAATTCAATATAATATTTCTAGAATTTTACGATGCCTCTAAGAGTCAAGATGTATCTTCAGGTATTAAAACTGTTGCTGATGCTACTAAAGACTTTAATGACATATGGAAAGAAGTATAGGCTGTAACATAATAATAATTTATTGATTATTTAACTGATATTAGTGCTCTTTTAGAAAGTGAACCAGCTTTTGAGAAATTCATCAGAAATTCATGGAGATGAATATAAGATAATATACATATATATAATTAATTGCTCTTTAAATATTGATGATATCATAAATCTGCTTATTGCTTATTTTTAGAACAGCCACAAAAGCATGTTACATATATAATTATTCCCAAAAGAAGGAGTACCAATAATAGTTTATATAAAATTTCTGATTAGGTATATGTTCCTAGGGTAGCTAAGAAGTTCATTTAACTTTTTTTGCTGTTGGTGTATGGTGGATATCTAAGAAATAAAGTAGATATTATACCTTGCTTATGGATCAATTGTTGATTTCTCAAGAACAGGTTTCAGATGTTAGCATTGATCAAATCCAAATTTACTACCACAAACTCCATAGCCACTATCACCTACTCCTCCAAATGGCAATTCTTGATTAATTAAATGAAAGATGCAATCATTAACACAAACTCCTCCTGATGATGTAGATTCAAGAATAGCATTTTTATGGACTTTGTTTGTACCAAAATAATAGAGAGCCAATGGTTTAGGTCTAGCATTGATGAAATTAATAGCTTCTTCAATCTTCTTATAGGTTATAATAGGAAGTATTGGTCCAAAAATTTCATTCTTCATCAATTCACTATTTGGATCAGGATTAATTACAAATGTTGGCTCAATCCACCTTTCTTTTAAGTCAAATTAACCACCATGAACAACCTTACCTCCATGATTATTTAAATATTAAGCAATTCTATTGGTATGGAATTCATTCACTATTCTGTTGAAACATTCAGATTTTTTGGTTTCTGGTCCATAGAAGTCTTTTATTTATTATTTGAAAGTGTTGACAACATTATCTAGTATTGATTCTTCAACTAACAAATAATCTGGAGCAACACATGTTTGACCACAATTAAGTAATTTTGTAGAAATTACTCTTCTTCCAGCCAAGGCTAAGTCACTTGATGAATCGATAATGCAAGGTCCTTTGCCACCAAGTTCTAAGATACAAGGAACCAGGTTTTCAGCTGCAGCTTTGGCTACTAGTTTTCCTTTTTCTGTTCCTCCAGTAAAAATGATAAGATCAAAAGGTTATTTGGTAATATTAATTGCTACATTAACTCCTCCCTCTATTGCACGATAGAGAGATTGATCCAAATAATTTGTAACCAATTTTGCTAAGAGATTGGAAACATGAGGGACCATCTCAGAAGGTTTTATGACAACTGCATTTCCTGCTCCTATAGCTTGAGCCAATTAAGGTATACAAGTGAAGATTGGATAGTTCCAAGCTCCTATAACCAAGACAACTCCGTAGGGTTCTGGTATTAAATAACTTGTTCCTGGAGCTGCCATGATTGATGTGCTGACGGATCTCTTGGCTGTGTATTTGTAGATGTTTTTAATGTCACTTTCAATATGAGTTAGAGTTGCCTAGAACTATACCAGTTCACAAAAGAATTAATCTTAGTATCCTAAATCCTATTGGAATTTTAGGAAGAAATTACTTTCTTAAAAGCTTCATAAAGGTCATTTCTTAATTCCTTAAGGCCTCTCAGTAGGTTTTGCAATTGTTGAAGTCTAAATGGAATTGGACGAGACTTTTTAGTCAAGAAATTGGCTTTGAGTTCTTTTAAAGTTGGAGCAATAACAGATACGTCATCCTTAATCATCGTTTTTTTAGATATTAATTAATTTAATATAATTAATAATATAGATAGAAAATGTTCTTTGTTTATTTTGCATCTTTAATATATCTATTAGCAGCTCAAGGGAAAGAGGAATTTATTGAGGATGATGAAATCTTAAAGCCACCACCTGAGGAAGAAAATTAATTTGCCCATCCATTACATAGGACTTATTTAAAGGATTCATATTGTATGGATGGCACAAAAGCTGCTGCTTATGTTTATGAAGGCAGCAGTGACGATTTAATTATGTATTTCTATTCTGGGGGAATCTGTGTTTAAGATAGCACAAAATTTCTAAAATATGGGGATTATGCTTACATTGATAATTGCACTCATCGAAATTCTACATTTTATGGAACTAGCAATGGATATCCAGAAGAATTCAATGCAAATTAAGGTGTAATGGGAAATACTAAATATTAGAATACACATCTTAGAAAAGCTCACAAAATGTTCTTAATGTATTGTGATGGTAGTATGTGGCATAAACAAATGAATCCTGAAGCTTTTAAAGGAGCGCTTTCATAAATGAAGTTAATTCCTAAAAGGATCATTTTAGCAGGATCTGGAGTAGGAGGATGGTACTTAGTTAATAAATATAATGAATTAAGAATAGCCATTAAAGAGTTTTATTCAGATGATGTTGAATTAAGAATCCTTCTTGATAGTGTTATTTTTGATATCACTAGAAATCAAGAGATTTTAGATGCTTATACTGAAGTTACAAAAAGAGTAGGTATTGCAATAAATGATATCTTCTCTTTTGATGCTCTTAGAAAGGTTGACGTCCCAACTTTTATAGTGCATTCTTAATATGATTGGTGGTAATTAGAAGTTAACGACCGTTTTGAATGTATAGGAAAAATCCATCTAGATAAATGCACTCCTAAAGAAAAGAAATAGATTGAGAAGATTAGATCAGGCATTTTATAGGAATTGAAAGATTTGATGAAAGCTAAACCAGACTGGGGATTATGGGCAATAAGTTGTGTGTTTAATGAGATGATCATCTGGACTGAAGCCTGGAATCATCCAAAGTTCTAAATTCCTATGGCTACTGGAGGAAAACTCTCTGATAAATTTTAAGAGTAAAAATATTTACTTATTATTTAGTTGGCTTGAAAATATAGGTGATAATCATGTACATTACGATATTGTTCCATGGCCAGATAATAAACCATGTAGCAATATCTTTCATAATGGGAAGACTGATCCATAATTGGATGAGATGATCAGGAATTATGAGATAAAGGAATCAAGGAGAAAGAGAGAAGAAAAATATGATTTATGAAATATAATTAATTATTTAATGGAAGAAAGCATCTATAATATAATAACAGACGATCCTCTCCCACCTAAGCGATAAAAAAAATATAGATCCTAATTCCCTGGTACAATATAGCCATCTTATAGTACATTTGCAAATCAGTCAAATGTTATTTAGGTATGAAAATCGGCTTAGATTTGAGGTTAAAAACATAAGCGGAGATTATCAATTGTCATCAAATAGATATGCATCTGAAAGTGGAACTATAGGAAAAGCAAAAACATGTTCATAATCTTAATTAATATTTTAGAACAACTTTCACCTATTAAACCAAGAATTATGGGCACAAACAATTTGGATGAATGGATTGAGAAGGGATCTCTTATAAGAAGTCGAGAATTTGTTCATTCTCATAGAAATAAGTTGAAACCCTTGGTCCCTAGATCCATTGAAAAACCGACAATGGGATTATAATCTAATAGAAATTTTATTGCCACAAATAAGATTGATGTCATTCTCAAATGTTAAACCCATCTTTATTTATAGCTCCGAAACAACCACAAGAAGATCCTAATTGGTTAACCAAGAAAAATTATGGATAAATTCCATTGTATTTGAGTTAAATCAAAGATCAGCTCTAATAATCGTATTTAGAAGAATAAAACAATGCTAAACAACAATTGGAAGAACAAAATAATAAATTGTAAATATCCAAATATTATAAATTAGATAATTATTGTCTGAAGAAGAATTATAATAAATTAGAGATGGTTTGAAACAAAGGTATGATGAAGTCAATAAACAATATCAATAATATACTCATTTAAAAAAGGTTGACACAGTCGGATAAAAAAGAAGAAAAGAATAATTTGAAAAAGAATTGATATAATTAGAAAAAGACATGGATAAGATGAAAAAATAATATGTTTTTATAGAGAAATGAATATAAATATTATATAATATTATGAGTAATTATGACGATCTGAGATCAAAAGAAGAACAACTAATGAGAATGAATTAAGAATTAGAAAAATAAAGAAGAGCTTTGAAGGAAGATTATGTATGAAGTAATTGATAAAATTTTAGATAAAATTCAAAAATAAAGATTCAAATTATGAGGATGATAATTATGATGAGAATCTGGATTACGATGAGAATGAGTTCAATGATGTATTTTATTATATACAATTTAAAATAGGTATATAAAGATGATAGTGATTAAGAGTAAGGATTATAGTAATAATCAAATTATGATTCTTCTGAGGATGAAGATTTCAATAACGATGTTGCTGTTCAATAGATGGTAAATCAAGTTAGGAACATCAAAAGTGCAGAATAAAATAGAGATAATCAATAGCCTATCAAGTATGATGACAAAAAATAAGAAATCTTAGAATAGGAACTGATAGTAGATGAATAAAGTAAGATTATTTAAACAATATAGAAAAAATATTAAGAATGTAAAGTTTAAAAGCAGATGCCTTGAAATAGGAATTAGATAATATACTCTAATAAAACAAGATGAAAGAAAATTTAATTTAAGAAATAGAATAGAAAGGGAAGAACATTAGTGATTAAACCAAAAAGTATAATGCACAAATTGTTAGTTTGAATGAAAAATATGAATAATTTAGATAAAAATTATTGGAAACTTAATAAAAGACTAAGGCATTAGAAAAGGAGAATCTGGCAATCACAAAAGAAATAGAATCAGTTAAGAAGGAATATAGAAAAATTGATGCAGAAGCTAATAAAAAAGATATTGGAATAAATAGAACAGTTGAATAAATATAAAAGTTGAAATTAGAACAATAAAAAAATAAATTATCTAATAATGATAAATAGAGTGATTTATCTCTGAATATAGAATAATTCAAAAAAGATAATTAAAGAATTGAACAATAGATTACAGAATCACTTTAGGCTTTAAAGAAATAATTAAAATTAATTGACATTCTTAAAAGATAACGTATACATATAATTGCAGCAAGAATGTTTTTATTCATAGAATCAGATTTTGCTAAAACTACTGATCTTAGTAATAAAATATAATACTGAATAATGCGAAATGATATTATATGCAAAATTTAAATATTATTGTAAATATCAATTTAATTTTTCTTGTTCCACATTAGCTTACTTTGAATTTAATTGATTTAAATTCTCCATATCTTCTTCCCTTCGTACTTCTTCTTTAATCTACTTTTTGAATTAAATTTATTTAAATATTTTTATTATCCAAGCCAAACAAGCCTTCAAACCAATTGTGAGCCACAAGAATACCTCAACTCCTAAGAATCCTAATGAAACTGCAATTGAAATTATGTGATATGGTTCTTACCCATCTATAAGTTCCATTACACCATCATATTAATCCTTTATATAATTATATCAAATATATACTTTAAATCCAACAATATTGTCATTATTTAATAGTAGATCAGAATAGCTTACTACATCTTGGCATTATTTAATAATATATAATGATTAAGCCAACATTGAAAACAACAAAACCATTCTGATGACAATATCCCAAATAAATATGTTTTCCACTTTAAATACACTAATAAATCTCAAGATAACGGGAAGGGCTGGAATAAGGTAGCAAACCAATAATAGATAAACCAATGAAGTTATTGTACCAGAATCAGACAACATGATTATCTCGTCTAAAGAATCAAAAATATTGAATGCATAGTCAAATAAATCTCCCAATGCTTCATATTGCCATTCTTTATATCTTCTATAAAATAATGTCTTATTGTAATTTGCACTAATGGTTCTATCAAAATTAGATGCTGAATTAATAGAGTAAAATAATTAGTCATTTACAGTATTTAAAGGGATGAAAGTGTCATCTTTGTATTCAATATCCTTAGAAGTGTATTTCACTTCAAGTTTGTCATCTTATGGTTAATTTGGATACAAATTTTAATCTCTGTTGTTGTATACACTAACAAAGTAAGTATCAATCTTAAAATATGCTATAGGCATTTCGGATGGGTCAACTTCAGTCTTCAGAACACCTTCTTCATCAAATTCTACTTTAGTAATTGGACAATATTGATAAGTAGATGGAACACAAAACCTACCATTACTACATGATCTCATTTATCTCTCCTCACAAGTTTTCCTAACTCTTCCAAACTCTGCGTATGTTTCATTTTTCAACCCTAATGTTGCGCATAGTATAAATTTTTTAGAAGGCAAAGGTTCATATACCCAATATTTGAATTGTTATGGAGGGATGCTTTCCTATTCATCTCCATCTTGTGTGAACGATTATCTCCCTTACCAAATATAATTATACAGTAGTTCAGACTAATATTTAATCACTTATCATACTCCATCTGGACAAATCGGGTTTGAGAATAATTACTGTATTTTAAAAATAGGAGGTGATTCCCAAGCATAAAATTCATTTTAGTACCCTAATCGTTTATCACTGAAAGCGTCTTCAACACCATCATATGCCCACCAAAAGCAAAAAAATATGAAAATTCTTCCAACAACTGTAAAAAATCCGATTAAAGGATATATGCAATTCTTTATCATTTTATTATTAATATATATATAAAATTGTCTTAGTCATATTGAATTAATAAAAAATACTATCTAAAACATTCCTAAATATGTAGTCATTTTTCATTCAAAGGGCTAAACCAAATTTTATCAAAATTAATTAAACTAGTTATAAAATATTAAAGTAAGTGAAAACAAATACTCAATACAGAAAATGTAATAAATTGTAACATTAAATTATTTAGCTTTAGTATATTATTTAATTAATTAATATTACCATTCATTTTAAAATATTAGCAATAAATTGTAATAAATTAAAAAGACCTAAATATATTAATATTATAGCTTTAAAATTAATCAAAGATAGGAAATTTGAACATTAATATTACATATATAAAATTTTACTTAATATGGGTACTTGCCAAGTTAATTGTTGCGCCTTGAAAAATGGGGAATTAGTTTCAAAAGATTGTAGAAAGAACGAAATAGATTTAGACAATATTGATCTTTAAAATTATGAAGATAAAGGAAGTAGCATAGTCTCTGGGTCGCAATAAGAGTAAATTAATTAATCTCCCAAATCGATAAATAAAGAAAGAGAAAAATTTGATGCTGATAATGATAGTTAGTCCTTAAAGAAGAATTTAGAGCCACAATCACTAAAAGAGGTGAGTATCACATATATAAATTGTGTGGAACGATAAAAATTTGGACCAATTTAATTAGATAAGGGTGCAATATATGAAGGAGAATGGCTGTTAGGTAAAAGAGACGGATTTGGGAAATAGCAATGGCCTGATGGTTCAAGTTATGAGGGTTAATGGAAAGATGATAAAAGCTGTGGTTGGGGAAAATTATTGCATGCTGATGGTGATATTTATGAAGGAGAATGGTAAAATGATAAAGCAAATGGGAAGGGCGATTATGTCCATATCAATGGGGCGAAATATTAAGGAAATGTAATCTATTGAATAAAGTGTTTTAGTGGGTTGATGATAAATAAGAAGGTCTTGGAGTGGAAATATGGCCAGATGGTGCTAAGTATGAAGGGGAATATAAAGCAGGAAAGAAAAATGGCTAGGGAACACTAATTTTTGTAGATGGTTCTAAATATGAAGGAACATTTGTTGATAATCAAATAGACGGATATGGAACGTATTAATGGCCAGATAGCAGAATATATTCAGGATTATGGAAGAGAAACAAAATGCATGGACATGGATAAGTGAGTTGGATGGACGGAAGAAAATATATAGGAGTAAATTTGTTTTAATTTTAGGAATATGTTGATGATAAAAAACATGGAAGAGGATCATTTGAATGGGGCGATGGAAGGAAATATGAGGGTATTTGGATTAACGGTAATTATTATATTTATATTATAGGTAAATAATAAGGGATTGGGATTTATTTTTTGCCTAATGGAGAAAAAAAATATGGCGAGTGGAAGGATGGAATAAAAAAGAGATGGTTAGATTTAGAAGAAATTGAAAAATATCTTGTTTAAAATAAATCTAATCAAAAACTAGAATGATTTAGATTTTCAAGTGTTATCATATTTTTTTAAACAGAAAATTAATATATAAATTAGTTTTATTTATAAAACCTTACCCTAATAAACAAAATGTTGAGACAAAAATGATCTAAATTAATATTTGATTTATTAAATGAAAATTTTAAGAAATTAGAAAGGACAGAATTGAAAAATGGGCAACTTTAAGAATTATATGAAATTAATTATAAACGACTAATACCTTGAATCATTTGAAAAATGGATTACAAAACATATGCTACTATTTTTTTAAATAATTTAATATTGAATTAGAGAATGATAATATTTTAATTAGTTATAGAAAAAATAATTGATAAATATGATCCTTTCTTATTTTATGTCTAAATAAAAAAATAAAAATGATAATAGTTGATTAATGAATTTTAAGGTATATTGCTATAGAAGAGTGATGTGATGGGAAGGAATATAGTTGAGTTATTATTTGTATAATGAAATTTGTTTGGTTAATTAAATCCACCATTTTTATAATATAAATTAAATGTTAAAACCAAAAAAGAAATAATAATAAAACAAGATGGAGTAGTTGATTCAAAATAAGAGACAAGAACATCTAGAGTTATTGAATTAATTGGAGAAACTGGAAATTTAATAACCAACAAAAGACATACAATTAATTTAGACAATTGCACAATAGCAAAAAAAGGAATAAGATATTGAGATCATAGCAGCACCACAATTGGTTTCACCTAAATGGTTAATGAATTTAAAACCCACAATGACATATGAATGTGATGTTGTAGTTTAGGAAGAGAGTGAATTGGATTAGATAGTTAAGCATCAATTAAAAGAGAAGATCTAAAAGCAGAAAGTAAAACATACAATTAATGAATTAGGAAATGTAATAACAAGCTTATTTGGAATTGATAAATGAATTAGACTTGCAATCAAAACATCATGCATATGATGAGAAAGTAAAAGAAGATTTCAAATGCACCTATCAATATATGAGTCAGGGGAGATTAGTAAGTATTGACATTAAGTATTATGATTTCTTAAAATTAAATCCTCAGAATTATGTTAATGACACTATCATAAACTTTTTCTTAAGATTCATTGAGAATGATATCTTCAAAAACAAATCTCTACTTATTTACAACACTTATTTCTGCACTCGACTGCTATCATTTCATGCAGAATACAAACAAATTTATACTCAATATTTATAGAACAATTAAATGTTATAAAGATGGACAAAAGAAAACATCTTTATGAAATAATATGTATTGTTTCCTCTGCATTTACGTGAACATTGGGCAGTGATATTTGTAGTGAATCCATTGCAAGTTTGTGAACAATTGTGTAATAATAACTATTAATTGAGTAATGATGTGAATAAGAATGGGTATTTAATCTATTTCGATTCTCTTCTTGTATAGGATCAAAGAATTGGAATTCAAATTAAGTTTTATTTGATGCATGTCTATAATCAAGAACACAAGAGATATAGCGATGATTAGATCTATGAGATTGTGATGAGATCAACTTTTCCTGTGCACTAGCCTATAGTACCAAGATAAACAAATCTAGTAGATTGTGGATTGTATATGTTGGAGTATGTGGAGAGGTTTTTAATGAATCCCTATTAAATTCTTAATAATTTGGAGTAGGATCACTTGAAATGGTTTCCTAAAGTGATGATTTTTATTAAACGCATATTAATTAAAAAAATATTAAATGCCTTAAGTTCTGGATAAAAAGATTATGCACTTAGATACCAGGAAAATTGCAGGATGATCGATCAACAATTCAGTATTTATTTATTGATTATTATAAATTAGCTGATTCAAATCAATATGATTACATCGATGAATAACTACTCGAATAATTGTAAGTACCACGCCTACAATTTCATTTAAGCGAAGATTATAATTACTATTATGATGTATCGCCTAGTGTTGGTGTGTGATAAATATATATATATGATCATTAATTTGACTATTCATTATTCTCATCCTAAAAAGAA